AGAGGATCTCCCCCAATGCCCCATGTTGTGGCTTGCGTAAGGAATTTGGCTGTGACCTCGAGCGATCTTTCCGTGTATGGCTGTACCACCTTCCTGGTGTTCGAGTTTGCAGATTGGGGCTGGCAGGCCTGAGAAATCGCAGCTCGAACGAATATCTCTTCAGCCTTGAAGAAAGGGTTGCAGCTTGCTGCCACTCCTTTTGGCTCGGATCTGGAAGTGATCGCGGCGGGGAAGCTGGATCGCGCATCAGCTCAGAGCGTGCGGAATGGCAGACATCATACATGCTCCTCTTTGGCCCATGGAGCCGACGCCGTTGAAATCGCAACTGGAGATCCGACCACCACCTCGATGTGCAGTGCGACGACTCAAAGTCCGCCTGGACGGCCTGCAGCCACAAAGCCCAGTGCCCTCCTGCAAGAGCGGACGGATCTCTCGTTGTTCTGAAAGTAGAAATCATCAAGAAGCCGTTGGCTCTGGTCGGGACGGAGAAAGCCTCCTGCTCTTCTGACGGGCGCTCCCCCGCTTTCCTCCCTTGAGATCTCGGGCGCACCCGCTTGGTCGCTGGCGTCTCCTTCCAATCTCGAGTCTCGGCCTCCTTCCTCTTCAGTTTCCCCCATCCCAGGCGTCCACCCAACTTCCCCTTATCGCTCAAACTTCAGGGCCCGAGTGAGACACGAGGTTGGACAGCATCTTCCATTCCATCCGTGCAGACCGAGGTTGTGCAAAAAAAAAAAAAAAAAAAGCACTGACGGACTATGGCTACACGCAGAGGAATGGCTGCGCCCACTTCCTACCTAGACTTTTGGGATTGCCTTTTCCGGCTGCGTGCGCAGATTCCGAGGTGTGCAAAGTATACATCTCCACCTCGTCAAATACGTGGTACGTTATACTCGAGGCCGGAGAGAGGGAATGTCTGCAGTGACTTGGAGCTGACAGTGTTCTGGGTCATTGGCCCTCCTTCCCATGAACCCCGAATTTCTGACTGCGCAGCCTTGCTCTATCAAGTTAGCTGAGGCTGATCACCTCCATCGCCTTTTCAAAGGTTTCAATTTTTTATTGGTCTATGGGAAGATACAAAACTGATGTGATCCATCACCTCGTCAGGTTCGACTCAACCGTTGCGGCCTGTGTGACGAAGTACTCTCCTACTGAGCACGAAGTACGTACCTTCCAAGGCCTTCTCCAAAGTGTGCCGGGCGCTGCCCGGCGCCCATGGATGCACTGTTCTACTGATACCCAACCCATCCCCCGAACTTCATCGATATATACATTGGCTGCATATCCCGCAAGGCCGATTCAATAAAATCTGTAATAGGCGAACCTGATCGGAAGAAATCGATGCTAGGAATATAGAGTTTGGGATAGTGCTGCGTATTTCCTGCGGCCAATCTCGTCGAAGCCGGCTGTGCCTTTCTCCCTGCAAAGTTTGACAGATGGCCATGTCGCTCGGCGCCACTTTCCTGCATTCTGGTCGGTGGGCACTCCAACTAGTTTCTCTTAGTACGAGCTCTCCCAGTGGGCGAGGAATATTAATTGTTGAGTTTATTATTATCTGCGGCGTTGACGGAACTTGGCGCCGTTGGACAGTGGCTTGTGGGTGGCAGAAACCGGTTGCCCATGAGATTTCCAATCCAGCCACCGCCCTACCGAGTTCGGTACCAGAATAAGTTTCCCATGTGGGGGTCGTGGCTCTGGGTAACACGCTTGCCAGTCTTGCGAGGACACCAACACAAGCCGTACGACCCGTTGGGAGACAAGTCGAAATTCAGCAGCCCGTACTCCTCGCAGATGCCAGAAGATGGTTGAGAGACTGTTGGCCTGATATTATCCGAGGGTCCCGGCTTTCCTTCTCCTTGGTCGGGTCCAAAAGAGCGCCAGCGATGCCAGGAGCCCGGACCTCTAACGGACCTCTAACCCAACCAGGCCAACCACGCATACGGAGTACTACTATAACCTGGTACAATAATAATACGTACAGAACAACAGCACAGTCAACTTCCTACATGCTTCCAACACCGTCATATAAAACATATAGATATCGGTAACGTCTCTTGTCGCACAACTTCTCTGGACGTCTTGGGGAGCCGAAGACAACATGTGACTGTCGCTTCATCACCACAGATTTTGCCAGAAAACGCAAACTCGCAGGCAGATCTCCGGATTTCTAACATCATCGTAAGAAGTTGCCGTGGTTGCCTGAACTATCACTCATTAGTACCGCGGCTATCTTCCAAGCCCCAGCCTTCGACAAGGAGTTGACATCCTCCACGGCATGACGCCAGCCTGAGTCGAGGCTTCTCTTTCTCCCCGAGAAAAACAATCGCACAGACAGCATGGGCGACTCAGACTCCAAAGTAGTCTCGATCTAACGGTCACCCGAACAATCCACCAGCGCCAATTAGACTTTGTGACTCGTGAGAAAACGTTTTGTGTCAAGATCTTACCAACTAATACGTGACACCGATGGTGATTAGGTTGGGTTCCCGTGTCAGAAGTTCAGAACCCAGCTCACCACAGCGCCGGCGTCTCATTACCGCCGAATTCCAAAGCTGTGTTTCGAGCCTTTGAGATTTGGTGGCCTTCAACATGGAGGTGATGCTCTCAATGATGGCTGTCCGTTGACCATTTACAAGCTGACAGGCTGGAGACCTCGTTAAAATACATTCCCATCCTAATGGCTAAGCTTGCTTAATGCAGAGACGACTCTTGTGGCCTGTGTCAAGCTTTACCCGCGGCGAGAGTCTGCCTGCCTGCCAAGTTTTACGTACCGTAAGCCATCTGACAGGTCCAGATCAAGGAATCTTGATTCTTGAAATTGAGATCGCTTTATGTGATGAGCTTGAAGGGCTGCAGCTATCGCGGCTCGAGCTCTCTCAGCAATCTTCTGATAGATGGATACTCTCTACGGTTCCTTTGAGTGACAAAAAGGGAAAAATGAAGAAGAGAAAAAATGAAGAAGAAAAAGAAAAAGAAAATAAAAACGGCCCTGGTTGGTATGCAGATGCAAGAATTGACTTCAAAAATATCAGTGCATTCCCTCTTTAGAAATACCCAAAACTACTGCGTGTGCCTGATGCATATTCGACTAAGCCGTTCATCCCGAAGTGGCAGCTCCAGTTTCATCTCGTACCATGTATGGCCAAAAACGCGGGACCGAGCTTCGACGCTCTCCAGAACCCAAAGGAGAAAAAAGACACTTTTGTTCGCCTTGTCCAATATTATTGCACATCAAATTAACTACCTGGGACCAGATACCTGATTTTCTACTCCATCCTCTCCTCGGCTATCAGTGCAAGCGTTGGCCCGTTCAAAGGCAAGAGCTTTCCGAGTTTCATGACTCGATCAAAGTCTGATTCCAAACGTCATCCAATTGGGGCCATATTGCCCGATATATTCGCCTTCTTCATCTGGAAGGTCATCTACAAAAGTCCTGGACCAAGCGACCAGAGAAGGACAGCCCCTCCCAATGAAAGTAATAATATCACCACCGACAGTTTGGTCAAGTGAAAGTGGGACGAAGACATGGTTTCATGATCGCTCAACGATGATCAGATAATTGCCCAAACAGAACAGGAAAAGAGCGACAGCGCCTCGACTAATGCGGCAAGAGCCTAAAATGTGATCGTAATCTTCCAACGATGATCAACGCGTTGAGATGGAGAAATTCACCACCCGCTTTCCTTCGAAAGCTGAACGTTCTCGAGCGTTCACTTCTTCTCATCAAACTCCAGAAATCCAGAGGTCTTAACACCGAGGGCCCAACAACGGTGCAGATCACACCTAAAGCAGTTATTGAAGAAACACCTACGGATTCTCGATTCTGAAGGGACGGGCGCTTTCAGTCTTTCTAGCTAATGTTTTATGGGGATCTCAGATATAGTCATACAGCCAGTTCAGTTCAGACGGGCCAAGCCCCGAGAGCCTTATCTCCAGAGGTTGGTAAGCTGGCGTGGATGATAAAAGCTCGCCGCGCCTCGATAATCTCTCCGAATCGACTTCGGTTTCCCCTCCAGGTTAAACAACGGTGGCAAAGTGAGGATCGCAGGAGCGAAGATCGCGCACCATCCGGGGCGAGGGATCGGATTCGCGCAAAAGGAGATATTCGAGACTTTCTGGAGGATGGGTTTGTCGGATGAATCAATCAACGTCGTGGTGGAGCCTCCACCTGCAAAGTCTCCGGCGGCTTTACCTCAATGGGAAGTTTGACAGCTGCGAGTCCTCGAAACAAGAAACCAGGTCACAAAGAACGGAAGCGGCCCTGAAGCCACTGGAGAAAGGGGGGTTTGGAAATCTGCTGCAGCCAGACAAATTGAGTACTGGACAACGCTTCTCTATCCTCTGCCCAGAGAGTCGAGCCCGTCCTCCGTCTCGACCCTGGTCTGGCCCTGAAGAACAAAACAACTTGTCACATGTTAGTGCACTGTATAGACTCCGTCGTTTATTTTATTTTTATTTATTTTCATTTTTTTTTTTTTTTCAGTGCATGGGCTCGGTACACGTCCCATTCAACAAAGGTAGTGGCCACAAGTCGAAGCACTGACTCTTCAAAGTAAATTTGAGTTCTGCTGACTCCTTTTTTCCGGCTGAGGTTCGTGCCGCCTTGCAATGAACTGAGGAATGGTGGATATCTGCGGGATACATAGCCTATCGTGTCCTTACTTGGAAAGAGCCAGGCAAGAGGCCAATCTCCGTTCGTAGATACGGTTCATTGTTCAATAATCTTAATCTCCATCTCGCTCTCTGCCTTTGCAACCCCCTACACCGTAAACGGACACGTGAAGTGGGTGCGACTTTATCGGTTTCTCCCGCCTTTGGCGTACCAAGATTTGGCGTGACCGGAGAAGCGCTGGCCGATTTGACGAATCCGGGTCAGGCTCGATGCCAACAGACGCCGGTGTGGAGCTAGTCGTTCCTGCTGCATGGTTGACAGATTGACAGGTTGACAGGTTGACATCGTGCAGGTGCATGATTCCCGGTCCGATCGAAAAGTCACATCAACCACCAAGTCCTCGATCAGACCTCCCAACTTCTCTTTGTTATATTTTGTGAGCTATTAATTACTCCTGTTACTTGCGGTTCCTGTCACCGGTCGTAAAATTAGGAATCGATTTTCTCCCATTGGACAGGACGGGAGAGCGATGAGAGCTCGCTCCACCAAAAAAATACCGCCTTCGCCAAACCGAGGAGAGGGAAAGCAGCGTCGCGGGTACCCAATATCCATCATGGATACGCTCCAGGTTATCCGAATAAATCGCATGCAAATCCTGCGGGCCTGCAAGATCCCTTTTGATGGTGTGCTGGATGTTTGATCCTCCTTCCCCCTTTCGGGGTTGTACTGATTGGTTCTCCAATGGAGCTCTTCCAGAAAAAACGCCCAATTTTCAAGTTTCCAGACCGTTGAGTTTCCCCACTGCATCGATCATCTCATGGAACCACCTCGACTGTGACTACTGACACCAAATTCCGATCCACTTACGCATGGTCCGGAGTTGAAGGGGGAAACAGGTGGTGGCGCTAATTTCGAAGGATCCATTTCGTTGTCAGTTGCCGTTCGAGCCGTGAGTGGAGGACGAGGTAAGTAAAGGACAATACTGTATTTCGGTTATTATTATTACTATTACCCTGATGGAAGTCTCCTGGTGGTACTCCTGGTGGTACTCCTGGTGGTACTCCTGGTGGTACTCCTGGTGGTACTCCTGGTGGTACTCCTGGTGGTACTCCGGAACTGACTGGATTTGGATCGCCACAGCAAAAAGTGGTAGCGACATGGAGAAAAGGGTACAGAAAAACTCAACACGACCCAGTTTCACCGCCACCTGTCATACAACCCGTGCGGTTGGGAAGGAATCATAGCGTCGCCGTCAAGTTCCATCATCCGAAGAAACTCGTCACAGACTTCCAACCTAACCCAAATCCAGGATGCAAATGGTGGGGACAGCAGCAGTGGCCCCCTTCCAGAAGTGAACAAAGGTCCCTTCTCCACGTCAGACGGAGCTTTCTGCCTCCTCAATCCTCATAACACCCTTACGGAGCATAACGGTCGATGATCAGCCTGGCCCGCTAATTATTCTCCGCCCCAGTAGTGGCCACTCTTGAGTCTTGCTTGACTCGCACCGGCGACAGTTAGCCTGTTGGGTCAGATTCCGGATCTCGGCCGGCGCAGTGGTGAGTTTGCTTGATGACCACGACTCATGAATCAGGGCGAGATAATATGTCATGCCATATGACGCTGGATGGCGATCATTAATACATTACTCATGCCATGTGCTTTCCAAGAGACCTCGGAGATGATAACAAAACAGGTATAGAGCTGGTTCAGCAGGAGGATTGAGACTGTTGAGATACTATGGAGTATGGAGTAGCTTCACCGTCCACCGTTTGGGCTTGATTATAGTAGCATTTGTTATATCCGACTATCAACGCAATCTCCATCAAGCCACGACGAGTGGGTGCACGAACTAGTACGTAGTTATCAAGGAGTTTGGATATCGTCATCTGAAAATTACAAGGTCGAGAGTGAGGCATAGTGCCATCTCACTATTCCGAGCTATGTTGTCTTGCCTGCATCTGGTTGTTCGGGCTTCGGAGTATATTTCTGCAGGGTCTCATGATGGTCATGCTGTGCCGGAGTTTAACCAGTGAATAATACTACCGTAGCAATTCTTGCTCTCCCAACGACTCTGTCCTAATCATACCTGTACTCAGAGTAGTGGTGTTACTTGTCTACCTCAAACCCCGGCAGCAGTGCGAGAGTACACCAAGGTATGAAACTTCTGATGCTCCATGTAAATAGGCACCCCTCGAAGCAGTATACTCCGAATTACCCACGTGGTACTATGTATCCGTCCTCCGTCTGCTATGGGTGAACCATCCATCTATCAATCCATCCAACTGGTCCCGCATTCCATGGGATTGAGTTCGTTGGTCAAAACGGTGACACCTCGCCATGTCTTTCAAGTTCCCGTACTCTACCCCCTTATGCGGAAGAAACTCGAGTCATTCGGACGCGGCTCGTTGGTGTAAATCTCCAGAGAGGGCGGATCATCCAACAGTAGTTCCGTTCCTGAACCATCCAGGGACGAGAGTAACTAGCCCCCGAGCACAAACCCCATAGCGGCAGGGCAGATGGAAAAAGGAGATAAGGTAAGACTCTCCGAGACTTAAGCGTGTCTCACCTTTCCTTTAGGGCACACGTGGTGGCCCCCTTAGAGGTGGGCCGAGCGGGAAGAAGGGGAGGGGGGGAGAAGAGGGGGAAAGAGGAGGTGTTCAGTTCAGCTGAGCTGGAACACATGGGAGAAAGGGAAGAGAGAAGAGAGTCGTCATTCGTCGCAGCTCCGGATTGAGATCCAGACGAGGAGTCGGCCCGGGGTCCTAGAAAATAAAATACAATCAACAAATATTAATAATAAAAATGGGGTTCACTGAATCAATCAATAGTTCCCAGATTGTCTCGCTGACTGACTCGCGGGTATTCCGTGTGCATCATCACCGGCACCCCCATCTCCAGCTGCTGAAGAACTTGAAGAAAGGAAGGAAGATTTTGGGTGTGGGTTTTGAAACGGCCGCCGATGGAGGAATGGAGAAGAGGGGCTGGGTTTGTATGGATTTATTGGACGATTCAACACGAGGGCGATTCGATCGATCGGGATAATTTCGATCTTCGGTGTCAGCGCCGGGAAATTTTGCGCGCTAGGGAACCAGTTTAGACTCCATCAGTATTGCCTCGTGAGGACGTTGGGAACCGCAGCTTGACGTTTGATTGCAGTTTAATCTCTATCCGGTTCTGTGGGATCTGTCCTGTGGGATCTGTCCCGTGTGGAGTCAATAATTCCAAGACAGGTTCCTCAAGGAATGTCAGTGTGTATTTGCCAGAAACGGCAGTACCACTTGTGGTCCAAACGGTCAACAACACAACCGTTGCTGATGAATAATGATGAATAATTGATGGCTGGGGAGCACGACAGACGGGACGGTGGATGGACGGATGGGGGCCCCGGCATTTGCTCGAGGTTGCTTCAGCGCCAGGTTTAATTAACTCGATGATCCATCGACACTTCCTCGCACTCTGCTTGACTCAGTATTGAAGACTCAGCCGCCGTGGTAACAATACTTGGGTTTGATTCTTATGTATTTTTGCGCCGGTAGACTCGCCCGACCAAGATCCTGGTTTTCAGTTTCCGATTGCATTGTCAATGCGTGACAGGGGTTGAAGGTGTATTGATTCAGCTAGTATGACGCTGATGTCGGAGCAATCCGTGAGACGACGCCCCTTGTGTACTCTGCACTCGAGGCCTCCGAGAGTGCCAACGCACGATTCATGCTGCTTGTCGCTGTCACTATTCAAGCCCTAGTTAATTGGTAAACTAAGCCCTAGGAACAAAAAAAAAGAAAAAAGGGAATAAATGACTTTGCTGTTTGAATGGGCCATGTACGCTCTCCGTGAGGAATGGTTTAAAGCATGTGTGCTTATCATATTTGGGTCCGCAACGCAATCAACATAACAATTGGCCGTCCACCACATGTTGAGGGCTAGGGCTATATCGCCAGATCTCCCGATTCTATCTTGTCGGCCCCCGTCAAATTTGCTTGTGATGGTTCCGGGGGCGACTTCTCGCCTTGGCTCAGCATGGGTCTTGGATAAGCAGGTTGGCACCCATGTGCTGCTTGTAGTGGTACCAGATGAGATATTGTATGACCACTGAGCGATGGAGGTCGATGTCGATTCTAGATTTGAGCCGCCTATGGTGGGTGTCTCTGGCTTCATTCCTGGCTACTAACTGAGTTCTAAAATTCGGGTACTGCTCGACACTACTTGGGAGATATGCTAGGTGTAGGTAGCAGAGTATTGATATCCAATCCAAGCGCTTGTGTTACATTATATATTCCTGTTCGAGGCTGGATGCTCGGTTGGCTTCAGCTTTTTTTTTCTTCCCCCTTGGATTGAAAGTATATCTCGACACGGTTTTTGGTCGGTGGGTAACGATTTAGATATTTTGCATTCTTTCCCTGGGCTCACCTATGTATACATTTTGGCGTAGTGATCCCAGTCCATTCCCAACCTATATCTGGAGTAACAGGTCCCTCACAGTCGGACCGCTTTGAGACCCGTATAGCAATATAGTCAGCAGTATCCCACAGCATCTGGTTATTATTAGCCGATCTCCTATAACCAGGCTCATTCGTACCCGTGCTCTTCTCGTGAGGTCGTGACACAATTTGTCATACCCCAATTTCCATACTATCCAGGGTCGGTTGCATTTTGCTGAGGGTGAGATTGAAGTGGTAAGAAAGGTCGTCAAAGGCAAGTGCGTGCTCCTGACAGCGGTTTAAAATGTGTGGTGCTATCACAAGGTATTTGGTATGGCCAGTCGGATGGACTTCCTGTGCTTGGTTGTGTTACACAACCTCATACCAACGTGGTAGAGGGCGGCATGACTTGCATTGGCCTCCTTACGAACTGTCGACATTTCCCTGTGGAACAATCTGACACATGCTGTATTAGCACTGCGACGGTAGCAAATCTATCTATATAGCTTGCTTGCCTTTGGTTTTGCGAGTCAGGAACCTGTGCAGTTAGGGAAAATAGTACAATGAGAACCACAGAGGATTACCGGGTATAAGTAAGTATCGTCTATGCGACGTCGACGAGTGCAGATAAAAAGGCTGAAGCTTTGAGGTTCGCCTGTGTAGTACGTACTCTTCCGGCCTTTCACGGAAATCCGCAGTAAGTAAGGGTGCACTGGCACGAGGAGAAAGATGGCCTGCGCCTGACGTACGTACATCCCTTCCCATGTGGTTACAAGGAAGGTATTTGAGTACCAGTCAGTATTTCCTCTCGGTGATAAAAAGAGACACAGAAAGGCCTGCTTACTTCTCTATGTCACGTACTGCCTACAGCTCTCCCCAGACGAGGATGGGTTGGTCGCTGCCCGCCGTCTTGACTCCCACCGCACCGACGACAGCCCTCAACCAGTCTTCCTCTGAAGTTGACTCTATAATCACAGTTATAGAGGGGTTTGTATCCGCCCTGAATGCCAAAAATTCCATCGAGTTTGAGAAATACTGCGTGCGGGCTGGAGGGATGTCATTATGGCCGCCTGCTCCTGCAATGCCTAGATTCTGTACGATCGGTTCCTTCGTAGAGCATATCGCGAAACTTGAAGACGAGATCGATGAGCAGATATGGGACCCCGAAGTCAAGTTATACGAGGCGGGGAATCTTGCGGCAGTATGGGCACCTTTTCGGGCGAAGATTAATGGTGCCGTTAATCATGTGGGCGTTGAGCTTTTCATCTTGCACAAGCTCAATGGGAAGTGGAAGGTGACTGGGCTGGCTGATTCATGTCGACAACCGACAGAGGACGAAAAGAGTCTACTTTGAGGATCAATTTCCGTCGAACCGCCACCTTGACGTGGCATTGAAGCGGCAGGAGAGGGGTGAGGGAGAGCAAGCGGAGAGCTCTGGTGTCAGCAGGAAGCGGATGATTGAAACTGGAAGGCACGAAAGTAACGTGATATGGGAAAGTAAACAACGGTTATGCTATGTACCTAAAATAAAGCAAGGGCAGGGTATATACGGGAAGTACCCATGTCTATGTCTGCAGTATATATGCTCATATGCTCAGGCCTTCCTGCCTCTAAGCATTTCCCATCCAACGCTCCGATTTGCTCCTTCTTTAACGCTCATCTCATCAACGGCTTTCACAAGATCATAGCAGATTTCCTCGGACACGGCACTGTCCTGCTTGTACGCAGGGTGTTTTGCGACAAATTCTCGAATCCACTTCGCACCGGTCCATAAAGTGCCGTTAGCCCGCTTCCGTATTAAGTCGAGATACCTTGCCAATGAACAGCGGGTTTCAACATCTACGTTAACACTGTTCAGGTAGGACTCAACGAGGGGAATCAAGCCTGGGAATGATCCATCGTTGGACCCGTTGATGATGTCGGAGATGCTCATAAGTTCGTATTCTGACTCGACGGGGCCAAGCGGGGGAGAGGGCGGAGGCGTGTTATATGCTGAATGTGTAGCTGATGAAGTGTTGCTTTCACTAGATGAAATTTGCTGCCTACGGACAGGCGGCGAAAATGGGTTCTTTCGGAAATAGAACTTTTGATCGAGCACAGCATTCCGTGCATGTGCGGTCTCCATGTTTTCCGTTGTTCTTTGAATGGGAATGTAGAAGTTGAGGTCAAAACTCAAGATAGCGCGGGTGACGAGCACAATGAAGATAGAGAACGCGGCGTTTTCAAAGTCCGTCATTTGAATTTCCATCGACCGAAACTCAACCCTCCAGCCGATATCGTGTTTCTCAGGTGGCGGTGGCTTGAACCGCATATGTTGCCAATTTGTGGATTGTAGGTTCTCAAAGTGATCAGCTTTGTTCAAATCCAACTCCTCCAGGTCCTCGGAGAAAATGACAATGGGATCACGAATGAATAGATGTGCAAAATGGGTTGCCAGAAGATCGTCCATGCCGTCTTGCATTAAGCGTTTCTTAATATCTTCATCCACGATCAAATTTGGATCCAGGTATTCTTTCCGTAGTCTAGGGTCTTGTGAGATATAAGTCGAATTCGAGGCATATCTTGACTTTGGAATCCTCCACCTGTCATTTTTTAGCGGCTACAGCCGGTTAGCTAGACTCTATCAAGGTCAAACAAGATAAGAACTCACAAGCTCGCCAAGTTCTTCCTTTGTCCGGTCGTCTACCGCGTTGCCGATCTGGTTCCACCGAACATCTGTATCCACCAGAAAGCCCTTGTAAATTGGGGTCGCAGCCGTGAGTGCTAAGAGTATCGGCCCCAGTGGGCTTAGCTGATCATATAATTTCCTTCCCTCCGGTACATTTTTGGCCTGGAAAGTGATCTGAAGGCAGCAACTTCCCATGCCAAACGCCATTGCATCCATGTAAACATGGTCTTCTTTTGCTGCCCCGTTCCGGACATCATCATCTTCTGGCCAGATGTGAAGATCATAGTTCACTGTCGGGTCCTTGAACGGCTGGGGAGTGTTCTGGTCTTTGAATACAGGAACATTCAATTCAACTTTCCGACCTCTTCTTGACCTGATATTAGCCGCCAATGTAGGAAACCTAATGTGGGGGTTTGCGATTTCATCCGGAACAAATTGAGACCGCAGCGCCGGCCCTGATGGAGGATAATAGGGCTGTATATAATCATCTTTCGTGCCCAACCTAGGGAAGGTCGTCAGGGTCACAGGTGACTCGTTCGGTGCCATATGAGCCTTTGCTACTTCTCGCCTAACATAGGGTCATTAGTTGGCGCATAAAGGGGGTTTCAAGGAAGCCAATACCTCCATCTCATATTAGACTCCACCTTGAGAAGGTCCTTAAAGTCTATCCCCCATGGTCGACCAGGAGTAGCCTCAAGCATGAAGCGCCCAAACTCGGGGTGGAAATGAGGGGGCTCCTCACCCTCGCTACTAATCATCAGAGAATGGTCGTCAGATTTCTAATAGGGCCAACCCACTGTTCCTTGTTCTCAGAATATGTGCATGACCCTTCTTTCCAAAGTGCCTCGTCTCGGGCCAACGACTTGAGTATTTCCGCTTGCGCAAGCGATAAACGAGCCTTTTTTGTTGTATCATCCAGGGCGACGACTAGATATTCAACCTAGAGCAATGAAGTTTTGTTAGTTATATTGAATAGGTTCAGCAACGAAAAGGAGCCCTTACCTCGTCTCCCCAAAGAAGGGCATCGCGCTCTTTCCCTTTCGCCCTATGCCAATTCGCCAGCAATTGCTTTTATGCGTTAACTGAATCCAAGATTCGTTGCTCCCCAAATCATTGAGGCACTAACCTCAATTCCCCATTTGCGAACCTGGTCCGCTTTCTTCTTAGCGTCCGGCCACTCAAGTGCAGTTCCTAGCGCTCTACAGAGCGGCGGAAGTTAGAAATTTGCGCTGGGTTGCCGGCCAAAATGACTTGACGTACAGCAGGCCCATGGTAACACCTCCGCCGCGATCAGCAATTCAAGTAGGCAGGCAAAGAGGGGAATATAATATGGCGAATATGAAAATCCGATCGCTCCGCGGGGGTTGACGGGGTGCGCGCCGAGAGCCCCTCCCTTCGTAAAAGAGCTTTCCTTCGGTTTGAACAATGGAAGAGAGGGCGGATGAGTGGAACGGCCGACAAGAAGAAGCAAGGTAGGCACGGAGTAAGGACGATAAATGAGGGGTGTGGAGGGGAAAAGGTCGCTGACAAAATCCTATCGCCAACTGTATGCCCTTGGAGATTCTCGCCTGTTCGTTGGAGCAGAAAACACCATTCCTATTGGTGCAAGGGTGTGTCTTGCATGGCGGGACCAGTCAGGCTGCAGCGGGGCATTGATTATTTTATCGAACGATAACGCGAATAACGCATTTAGCGGCAGAAATCCTGTGGCTTGCTTGCTAAGCACTGTGGTACAGCTGCGGAGATCCCGAGTCACGTGATCTCGTGCCTGTCTATCGATGGGGTTTCTTTTGGTCATTGTGCCGAATTGAACTCTACTGTAACTGGGGTGATAGGATGAGGAGTCCATCGAGGCTATATAGGCACGTTTATCCTGGATATGAAGTGTTGGGTGTGGATTTGTAGTAAACTAGGTATAGATATAAGCCATGCTTAAACGGTGCATATCAGTGAAGGTCCACAAAAAGGAGAATGGCTTTAAGACAGGGTCTTAATAGAATCTGATGATAGGAAGCATTTGGTAATATTGACAAATAACGGATAGTTGTTCCTTTCAAAGGGTTCGAGTAAAGAGGTAAAATGGAATGATCCCTTCGCTCCTTCCACAACGGTACCCATGTTATTTTTGATGATCGCCGTTTTTAGCTTTTAATGCAGACAAAGTTCAGACAGGCGTGAGGCACACTTTGGTTCCATTTCGCGAGCTCAAGGTTAGAGCCAGTGATTCTACCCATGGACCTGGATCCCGGCTCTCCAAGACTCGGAACTCCTGGGCCATCCGGACCAGAACGTAGCTAACCTCGGTCAAAGCATATCGCTGGCCTATACAAATACGGGGGCCCCCGTTAAATGGTAGATATCCCCAGCGTGGCTGTAGCTTTCCATTCGCCCAGCGCCCTGGACGAAATTCTCCTGCATCTGGACCATAGATGTCTGTGCGTCGATGCATTGCGTATATATTGTAGGACACCAGGGTACCCTTGGCCACGAAAACCGGTGAGAGGCCATCCTTACCTCCCCCAAGTGGTAGGACAGTATCTCGTACAGCCTCGCGCTCATTACGTGGTACCACTGGATGTAAACGCAGCGCTGGGAATGTCAATGAGATGAAATTATGGGGAGGAGCAGCATAGTAGAACTTTAATCTTACATTCATTCACGCAGCATTGAACATACTTGAGGCTGCGAAGCTCCTGATACGTTGGTGCCCTACCCTGTAAGACAGCTACTTCTTCGCGAACCATGGCCCAAATCGCTGGGTGCTTAGCCAGCATGAAGAATAGATTGCTGAGAAGACTAGCAGTCGTATCACGACCAGCTAACAACACATTCATCAGTTCATCTAGGACACGACGCCTATCCGATGTGCGCCATGCCAGCTCGTGTGAAAAAATACGCTTCGGGTGCTTCTTCTTATTGAGTTGTTTTGGATCTTCCGTTTTGATCTCGGCCGCATGGAATGCCTCATCGACGAATTGCTCGACAAACTCGCGGCAAATACGATTGCACTCGTTGGCTTTTCGATCGTAGTAAAACATATTAAGCGGGCCCAGCATTGCCCGCACTATGACAGCCCTTTGGGCATAATGAAATGCCTGGGCAAAGTTCGGCTCCGACTGAGTCTTTTTCAGAGTACCGACTGATTCTCCAAACAAGAATTCAGTCGCTGAATCAACGGTGTAGCGAAAAAAGAGCTCCTGCAAATCCACCACTGATTTTCCGTCACGCGGCAGTAGGAGAAAAAGGTCCTGAATCAGATTTTCCAACGAAGTTAAGTCGGCAACCTGGTCGCGGGCGAAACTGGGTCTAATGAGGGCGCGCGAAGAGGCCCAATGTTCGCCATCTGTGTCGAAGATGCCCTCCCCTAGCAGTGGCTTAAAAGGCGCAAGGCGAAAGCTGATCCCGTAATCTTTGAACTTAAGCGAAAGGACTGTCTTTATATTCTCTGGCTCTATGGTCAAGATTGCGCGTCTTCCTAGCTCTCTTACTGTAAATGTGTTGCCATAATCACGGAAGAGCTCGCAACCTCTGCCAAGGATTCGATGCTGCGTAACAGCGCGGATCGTATCGGGTAATGTATCGAGTCCTAGGAAAGGTTCCTTATTGAATGATTTGGCCACTGGTTGGCATCCAGAGCGGCAGATCAACTGACGGCGGATAAAGAAGCGGCTGATGTGCACCCATGCGATGACTGCCAGCGCCACGACTAACAAGAGTGCAGGCTTCGGATAATAATTCCAATAAATCGCCATGGCCGTTGTTAGATAGTAATGGTAACACCAAAAAAAGTTGATGTTAGGATATACGGAGCACACATTGAGAGCACCATCAAATTTGAGAGGTTTACAGAGTAAGCTGGAGCCTAGAACGGAGGGGACCGCAACGATAAATGCCACTTGCGAAGCGCAGTTATCCAAACGTACAACTATCTTCGGGCTTCTGAGGACCCGATTGATTTTCCATCGCAAGCTTCTCTCTAATAAGAAAGAACCCACTAACTCGATCCTTCGTTCTTGGCGTGCCCAATCATCTTATCGAAGATTGGGCGAGGCAGCACATCAGGCGTCTTGAGTTGAAGCATCAGCTGTACACGATAAACATCGTCAAAGAAATGTATATAAGGCTTGAATATAGTCATAGACAAGAATTCTCTCAAATAAAAGGCTGCTTGTCTAAAGGCAGCAACCGCAGAGGGTGCCGAATGGCCAACGAGATAATGGTATGACCCTGACTTTTGCACACTCCCCAAGCACGACAATTTCGATGTTGCTTTGATATCCTGGAACTAATATGAAAGAGTAGGCAAAAGTAGTATCCTTGGAACCTTGATAAGTCGCAATCATCATCGTAGGCATGTCGGTTTATAAGAATTTCGCCACAATATAGAAGCGGCCACCATTTTGTCTTGAGGTTTCAGACCGGAGCAAGTTTAGGAGAAACCCAAAAGCAGATATAGGGAGCCAATATTAGTCGGTTGGGCCGAAGAAGTGCTAAATGTAGCTGCTGGAATACGGCAACGGAAGATCTCGGTCAACACTTAACATCAATGTAGGTCCATGGATAAACGATATCTGAATCTCTATTTACATAACTCGCTGTTTCGTACAACTCGAACACGTTTGTTGATACTGGTGTATCATTGGTATCAATTGCTCCGCGCACCGTCCTTAGCAGCCCGGAGTTCATCCATCTTCGCAACGCGCTTCTTGAACTCCTCGTATTGGCACTTCTCGTAGCCGTGTCTCTCGTCCTATAGCATAATTTGACGTCAGTCGCTGGCCCGGAAACAATTGGAAGGATTGAACACTTCAACATCAGAAGCCATACCTCGCACTTCCAAGGAAGGTAATACTCTTGCTGCCGGCATCGGTTCAACGGTATCAAAAGGTGTGCGCAGGAATCGCGGTACTGTAAGGGAAGGCGAGCAGCAGACATCTCCTCGCGGGTGGCTAATCAGGTTGTTAGCATTTCAAAGCTTTAAAACCAAGCATTTCTGCCCCCGCCGGGGACGCCAATTGAGCCAAAAAAAACATACCCTGGGTATCAGCCAGCCCAACGGCGCTTTTTACCGACTCAACGACTGTCATATTGTGAAGAGGAGGCGGTGCGAAGGGGGTTGATCGTCAGAGAGGTCGGCCGGCTTGGGGTTTGCAGCTCTTTGGGGTAAGGTTGCTGTTCCTTCCTTGTGAGATCAGGTGATGTCATGTGATTATTATCTAAAGAGGATTAGCGCCTTAATTCCACTTTACGCGGTTGGAGGCGCGTCTCGAGCCAGCCCTGCGAACCATCGCGTTTTGAGAGGGATCATTGAGTCCATGACGAGCCACCTGTGGCTGTTTTCGCGTTTATTTACGTTCTCAGTTTATGAATTGCGTATTATCATAGATTGCATTGCTCTGAATTGAGATTCATGACAGGGAGGGCCTGAATCTTTGACCCTCGGTTTTCAGACTGAAGCGGCGCTCAACACTCCTGGGAATCTGCTGGGCAAAACCAGCCCACGAGGTCGCATATCATGGCGGCGGTAGACTTTTCAAACGTCTATTCCGCTACCTATAGCAGCGTGAGTTTTGTCTTGTTTATTTTCGCTGCTGGCGATCGCCGTTTTTGTTCACTTGTATTGTGCAAGCGAACCTGGGCTAACGGTATTGATTAGGTCCCGGTATATGAATATAAGATTGGCTCTGACAGTATTATGCGAAGGCGATCCGATGACTGGATAAATGCCACGCACATCCTCAAAGTAGCAGGATTCGATAAACCAGCGAGAACTCGTATTCTCGAGCGCGAAGTGCAGAAAGGGGTTCATGAAAAAGTCCAGGGCGGTTATGGCAAATACCAAGGTATATCAAGTTCCAGATTTGTTGACTTGTATTCGGTCCCTTAACATATTCCTTAGGGACATGGATTCCCCTGCCTGAAGGTCGCCTACTCGCCGAGCGCAATAACATAATCGACAAACTACTACCCATATTCGACTACGTAGCGGGCGACCGCAGTCCTCCCCCAGCACCCAAGCATACAGCAGCTTCAAAACCAAGAGCGTCAAAAGCCAGCAACAGGAAAGTTACAAATGAAGAGGTCTTTGCTGCAAAACCACATCGAAGCATGGGACCGCCGAGTTTCCACCATGAACAATATGAAATCAACCCTGGCTTTGATGAGGACGAGTCTATCGAACAAGCAACACTCGAGTCATCATCCATAATAGCTGATGAAGAAATGATATCAATGTCCCAAAATGGCCCCTACTCGTCAAGGAAACGCAAGCGAGGAATGAATGAAGTGGCCGCCATGTCACTCAGCGAACAGGAGCATATCCTCTATGGAGACCAACTTCTGGACTACTTTATGACTGTTGGTGATGCTCCAGAAGCAACGCGTGTTCCACCCCCACAGCCGCCGGCTAATTTCCAGGTGGATCGCGCAATCGATGATTCAGGAAATACCGCCCTCCACTGGGCATGTGCAATGGGTGACCTGGAGATCGTTAAAGACTTACTGCGGAGAGGAGCAGATATCAGGGCATTGTCTGTTCATGAAGAAACACCACTCGTGCGTGCTGTTTTGTTCACGAACAATTACGAAAAGAGGACATTCCCCGCGCTTTTAGACCTACTTCTTGACACGATCTCGTTCAGGGATTGGTTTGGTGCTACATTATTTCATCATATAGCACAAACGACAAAGAGCAAAGGGAAATGGAAGAGCTCTCGGTATTACTGTGAAGTGGCATTAGAGAGACTGCGCACCACGTTCTCCCCAGAGGAGGTTGATTTGTTGTTGTCCTGTCAGGATTCAAACGGGGACGCAGCCGTTCTGGTCGCTGCGCGCAACGGGGTGTTTCGCTTAGTCGATTTACTTCTTTCTCGCTGCCCAAGAGCGGCTGACCTGGTCAATAAAAGAGGCGAAACTGCCTCCAGCATCATGCAACGAGCCCACCCTTTAGAGCGTGACATCCCTCCACCCCCGTCATCCATCACTATGGGAAATGATCAAGTGGATGCTGAAGCTGGCGTTCCCACCAGCTTGGAACCACAGTCCGTCACTACGCAACCTGAAGCGTCTCATGCTACTGCGCAATTACTATCTCGAATTGGTGTAATCATGGCAGAGGCAAACAAAAAGCTTGCTTCAAGTTATGGCAGTGCAAAACCCAATCAGCAAGACTCGGATGATGTTGCCAATCCAGAAGCGCTGTATGGGCAGCTAGAGTTAGACCGGCAGAAAATCAAGAAGCAGTACGATGCCTTGGCTGCCAAAGAAGCTGCGGAAGAATCGAGTGACGCACAGTTTGGCCGATACGAACAATTAAAAAGCAACTACGAGTCCCTGCTAGAGCAGATGCAACAATCCCGCTTGAAGGAACGTCTAGCCTCAACTCCAGTTCCATCCCAGATAATATCCCCGTCGTCGAACGAGCAGGCCAAGTTAATCACCTCCTTCCAATTAGCTCGCGCACTGTGTTCTGAACAAAAGACAAGACGTGTTGCTGTGAAGGAGCTAGCTCAACAAAGAGCCGATGCCGGCGTCAGCACGAAATTTGACATACATCGCAAGCTCGTAGCACTTGCCACGGGCCTGAAAGAAGAGGAGCTCGATCCAATGGCAGCAGAATTGGCTGAAACCCTTGAATTTGACCGAATGAATGGGAAGGGTGTTGATCCTGAGTCACCAGACGCAGATCAGAAAGACTCGGCCTCATTACCTTTTCCAGGGCCAATAGTATCAGTGGATGCTTAAATGATAATTTACTCACAGTTGATACGCCTGATGACGCTTAATATGCCGTTTCTTCTACGACTCCCTCAACACGGAGTATATTGTCTTGATTTTCGAGTCTATTTTCCACGTCTATTCATCTCATAACCTCTTTTGACTTGAGAGTTATTGACTCCGTGGAAGGTAGTCTAGTGTTTCGTTCTGTCTTGTCAGCAGATACCCTATTATTTTTAACTGCTCACTCTGGATTTTGTGAGCAGGATCCACCTTGTATAAGGCGGAGAGCAGAAACTTTGGCTGGACTGTTTTGGGGCGCAGACTCCCTGTTCTAGAATATACAATCCATGCATGACAGGATTGCGAAGATTACAGTGTATATAGGAACCGTCATGCAATAATTCCAACGAAATTTTGTGTTTACGCCGTATTCATACTCCTCGGGTTTTAGGTAAAAAGCATACGCAGCTACTTGCCCCTCCCGTCTATTTGACGATTGGTCTCTCGTAATAATTTCAAGAACTCCGGCAGCTGCCACGCCACTCAAGCAGTCAAGTAGAACCTCCCCATTCGCCACTTGCAGTGAGTCAAAAAGACTCCAGCCCACCAAGCAGAAGGCAGCCAGTCATCGGGACGGCGGTTCCTGAGCGAATCTTGCAAGAGAATCCAATCTGACTGGCGATGAGGAAAGCCACGTCGAACAGCGCTAGGCCGGGGCCCAGGAGCTGTGAGCCAATTATATTGGTGGGTCAAGGATGTGCTTCACTTGAGACAGGAGGGTTCTGGGGTTGGATTGGTGGAGGAGAGCGGCTGTTTCTTTGACTGCTGCAGGTGATATTAAGGTGGGCAGGACTCCAGCAAAGAGCGGGGAGAGGCGATGACCGGGCGACAAAGGTTAGCCTGTGTGGTAGGGTGAAAGAAATATTTTATTTTTATTTTGAATATGCAAGTGAATGCTAGTAATAATAGACCATGCCGGTACTATGAAGGTACTCGTAGTTCCAGCAGGTCAAGTTCATGGGAACGCACAGGGCCTGGGGCACAGACCGGTGTGAGCTCGGGTCACGGGTTGCAACATCGACTTCCTGGGTTTTCAGGCACTGCTGGTGATGTCCCAGTGGCCAATAATACAGGGTAAATGCCTGACGGTCACTTCTCGGCTCCAGCCGCTAGCTGGATTGGGAATAGCCGTTATTCAGGAGTTCAGCTCACAGCCTGAGCCCTGAGGTGTCAATGTCTGTGACTGGGATACGCGAAGCGACCAGAGAGAGAAAGACCGTGTAAATGGTGGTATAGAGAGAGGGTAAATAGGCATTGCATATTAGGATTGTTGATTTGATCGTCTCAGTGGCCGTGAAATGTTGAGATGATTTCTGCGTATTAATAGCAGCTTCATTGTGATTAGCGTGACTATTGAACTCCAGGTCCGGGCTGGCGATTCTGTTTCGTCCGTCCGTCTCTTCGTTCTTCCGCTTCCTCTTCCTCTTCTTCGTCTTCTCCTCCGACTCTCTTTCTACCCTCATTCTCCCTCTCTCTCTCTCTTGGGCCCCGACTCCCGTCCTTCTTCCTTTCTTCTCCCTCAATCGACTTTGTTCGTCTAATTCTCCATTTGCTTTCTTTCCTACCTTTCTCTTTCGTTTCTTAATCCATATCGTTTCCTTCCCCCCTACTTTCTTTTCCGTCACCAGTCCCGTCAACGTCTTTCTCATTTCCCGTCGGATTTTCGTCTCTTGCCTTGAAAAGCATAGAATCACAGAAATCTTCGAAGAATATCTGGGCTTTTCTTGCGTATAACTGCGAGAATCAGAAACAAAAGGCTCGAAACGAGGAAATAACGTGTGGGAAAAGCGACAAACGCGCCGAGACCCAAACCGCACCCAACTCACAGACTTGAGGTCTCGTGTCTTTCACGCATCTTTCACCCGAAACTTTAGAAAGCTTTGGGTAACGGAAAAGAACCGATAAAAACACAAAAAGAAATAAATACATCAAAAAGTTGAAAAGGGCAGAAAGCCAAATCGCGTCCCCCCCTTACAGGACTTCGGAAGCGGCTCTTCCCACCAATTCACCCGGCCTGACACTCAAGCAATAACTGCTCGATATTGTCACGCTTTTCGTTTCAAAAGAACAATTCCCATCTACCTTCAGAGTTGCAGAGCATCTCTAGGGTCTATTTTACTATCGCCTACCATTAATCGCTGACCCCGACCGCCATTCCCTTCGATCACCGCTCAGTGGGATCGTTGACGATCGCGTTCCACTGTCCATCCTTGACTCCATTTACATCGAATCCAGCTATATCGCACCACCTGCACCTAGACGCTTACATCCGCTAATCATACGCCTGGTTACTTGCTTTTGCTCGGGCTTCTCTCTTATTTTGCGAGTAGGTTGTACTTCTCGCTTGCCGTACAGAGGTTTTGCTAATCGATATTCCGAAGCTCACAGAGACCCGAATTGCCTTCTTTCATTGCATAACCCGTACCGCTCTCGGCTAATTTTTGGTGGACCATCTCTACCTTTGAAGTCCTCTAATCTGATAATTGACGAATTTCCCCTCGCGTATCGACCACATAGCGTCGTCTTGCATATTGAGATACCACGACTATTATATTCGTCTATTGCACATACAACGTTCTGATAAACAACCATGAGTATGGACGCTGGCGGTCTTGCTCAGATGACCTACAATTCATCTTTCAATAATGGCCCGTCCCTGGGTGCACCCGGATCCAGCTTTGGGTCTCGGAGGAAAGGCCCCAACGTTAAGCGCTTGAGTGTTCCGCCACCGCATATCTCAACTATTGATGAATCGCAACCTTCTGCGACAGTTGCTACCCCACGAACTAGTCGCTCGCACCTTTTGGCCGGCCTGAGAACTGCTCCTAAGTCAGCTACTGTTCCCTCTAACAACCAGCGCCGGCAGCATCTCGGTCTGGAGGGAGATCGGTATGGCAACATCTCCAATCGCACTGCCGAGCGCAACATCCCACAAACCGCAACGGGAACTGGATTCCCACGACACTCCTTGACGAATAACCAGAGTCACGACACGAATACTGGTCGTCCTATGTATACCTTGCCGGAGCAGGTCCTCGCACCTCCGGCTATTGATTTTCCTACTGACATAGCCATGGACGATAATCTCTATGCGGAGTTGATGTCAACAAACTTGTTTCTTGCCGCTCAGCAGCAACGCTTGCAACAGCAACTGCTGAGTGTCACTGCTGCTGCCCAGCAATTTCAAGGTCTGAGCTTGAGTGCAAATCTTGCTCAGCAGCAGCAGCAGCAGGACCTTGCCCCACTCCCAGTCCCGAATATGGGTTTCTATCAGCAGCAGCTCCAGCAGGGCGTGCAGCCAGTGGTTCAGCCTATTGCTGGCCAACCGGGGTTGTTCTCGGTTTACAATCCTTTAACTGGCCAGTTGAATTATATTTATGACAACAACACGCAACAGGATCTTTCGCCGCCGTACCAGTCGGAGGAGGAGGTTCAGTCTCCGCCCCTGCATGTCCCGCCTTTTCGGGCTGAGGTCTCTCCACCTCTTGAGTCAGTCAAGTCGCCCGTGAATGTATCGGAAGAAGCATCTTCCAACGGTACACCGTCTTCAGAAGATTGCATTGCACCGCTTCCTCCCCCTTCCGCGAATGCCTTCCGCAGAGCCCACAAGAAAGATACATCTTTTGGCCCAGGACCCAAAACTGGAATTGACATCAATAAAGCTAACAACATTTCCCATGTCGCCGGCCCCAGAACTGCTCCCGTCGCGACCCCGGCCACTGGAACCTTCGGGCCAGGTCAGGGCCGTGCAGGAGAGCATCCCATCCGCCAGCCACGTGGCCCGCCGTCGCTGGAAGAACTCGTTGCCAAGCCAACCTCAAGGCACGAAGGAAGCAAAAATTTTAGTACTCGCCAGCGTCGTCGCGCCGTTCACAACTTGGTCCGTGCCGGCATTGAACGTCGTGGAGACTCTCGAAGCATAGGACACAGCAGTGGTGGCACCAACACTCCTGCAAGTGAAAAAGAGTTTACCTTCTCTGACAATGATGATGCCACGGTCCGTAGTGGCAGTCTTTCGAGCAAACCCAGCTTAGGCAGCCTGCGTGCTGTTGCCAATGGTGCTATTGGCTCTGAGAGGAAGGAGAGATCTTCCCGCGAGCGCAAATCACAAGACAGCCCGTTCAGCACAACCCCCCTCAGTGAAAAAGACGGGTATTTTGCCGGCAAATTCGCGGACCACCCTTCTCCTCAAGGCGGATCCCCATCTGTGGCTGCTGTCGTCGCTGGCCAGAAGACGGCAGCTCAGGGTACGGAGAGACGCAAAACGCCCATGCTTGTGCTGTCAAGCGCCGAAAAGCGCAAGACTCCAATCATGTGATGCGCACGTCGTACATAAATAATATGACCGAAACGTAACGGACTGGCTACCACTATTGGGATGATTGTCTTTTTGTTTGTTTGTTTGTTTTCTATGTTTAGCTCTCAAATGTTTCATTTTCGTTTCTTACGCCTAGGCAACTGTGACCACGGTACATTACCCCATCTGAAATCGACGTCTACGAGACTTGATCTATTGTGAGATGGTTGTGGGATTCTGAGAGCTGATTCTCTCATTCATTCTATTCTCTACAAACTGTGTTTGGAACCTCGAAGACTCAAGATTCGACAGTTAGTCCATACTTCTTTCTTTGGTATGATTGACCTCGCCCACTGGATGGATCGATGTGTCTGTTTCCTTTCCCATCATATATTTTTTCATTACCATCAAGTATAACCTCGGAAATTCCATTATCCAACTCTTATCATCAAACTCCAGTTTCCTTTGTTTGGATTTTTAGAAGTTCTCGGTAGTAACAAAAACGAACTCAACTATGGATGTCTACGTTGACTATATAGCGGTTAGGCTGGAACGCTGTCTACGCTATAAAGGCCCAGCTAAATAAAGGCAATCGGTATTTGACAAATATTCGCAGGGTAACTATGCAATATCAACCCGTTTACTGCCGAGATTGCCATATATAGGTCAGCCAATAGATACAAAAGCAGAGCAGAGAAGGCACAACCCACTCATCCATCTAAAACAAAAACTCAAAACATCAATTAAGTACAGCAACCAAATCGTCCATTAATCAGCATCAGACCTCGTCTCTCCTACATTTCCGCCACCCCCAAAACTCGAACTACCTCCCATCTTCTCCTCAGCTAGCTGCCTTACCAACTCCGTCAACGACTGAATCTCTTCCCTCAACTGTGCAATCTCAACACTACTCTTATCAAGATGCACGTTTGGCGAACTCTCACGCACACGCTGTTTCCAGGTATCATCGATCTCAAAGTCCACCTGCTCTGCTATATGCTCCCACTCCTCAACGCTATCATCGTCTTCCTCACCGCGGCGGCGGTTATGCCTGATTCGGCGCGCTTCTCGCACTTCAAGGAAACCGATTACCAACAGGAGCGGTGAGTAGATTATACCCATTACAATGTCGTTAAGTTTGGCGTAAGATGGACTGGGGAGCCACCATTCGAAGGGGATGATCAGGAAGAGAATCTCGACGATGTTGAAGGGTGGGATGAAGACGTTTTCGTCCGGGGCGCGCACGAATTGCATGGTTTTTTGTGCGAACATCGCCATGTATTCATCAATAGCGTTGCCGGAGATGGCTTCGTAGGCGCTGTTGTAGAGGGCAATAAGGATGTTAAGGAGAACTATCGAGTCGTGCAGTTAATACCATGGTCTGAGCAAGCTGAAACCCCTGGGAGACGTAAAGAGGAAAAAAGGAGGGAGGTCATACTGGTTAGGATGATGAATGTATAGAAGTAATACAGGATGATACCGAACGGAAACGCAAAGTCCTCGAACATCCCGAATTCTGGACTTTGCATGATACTGTTTGCCATTGCAATTATGATACTTTTAGTACCGAGGGGTCCATCGTCAACTTGGGCCATGCCCGTGAATGCTTGGAAGAACCCGACCAAGACGACGAAGAGGAGAGCAAAGAAGATCAGACTCTCCTTCATCATGACGCGCAGGACAACAAACATGGCGCCGAAAAAGCGGAAAGTGTCCAGGTAGAGCATCATGCGCATCCAAAACATTGGACCAGCGAAGGCTAGGAAGTTGTAGCTGAGTTGGTTTAGTTCCTGTCTCTTTTCGTCCCCCGCAGATGGAGAGTGTGCTAGGGCTGCAACGCGAAGGAAGAACGAGACCGCAAGGATGGAGTAAAGTGTAGAGTTAAATGCGTTCCAGAAGTCAAAGTAGCTTCGCCCTATTTTCCAAAGCTTGGTCGCTTCGTCGCTAATAAAGGCCAGGGTCATAATGTAAAGTATTCCCTCAACAACATCCAAATCACCGGTGGGGTTGACGGTGTTGATAATCTGGGTATATAAGGCCAAGTAGACAAGCGAGAACAAGATTTGGCAAGCGCTCTGGTAAATGGGAGCCCTCATGCGGTCCGGATGGAAGTGCACTGAAAACTCAGTACTATCCCTATCTTGATAGGGAACAAAGTTGGTTGGGTTGCCTTCCTGCTGGCACAGCCAGCCATTCCAGAGGTACTTGATGCACTTCTGGTATCCGGAAGACCCAATGACCCTCAGGGCATGGAGATCAACAGCTCGCTCGATGACATTGGCGGGAGCAGTTTCTTCGCCGTCTTGGAATATTGAGTAGCGCTTGAGTAGGATATGGACGAGAAGATGATTCTGGTCTTCCTCGGATTCAATGCTAATGATCGTCAGTAAAGAACATCTTAAGTAATTACAAAACGAGGTCGTAATACATTCGCTTCGCAATGACCTCACATGCGGTCGCCCGCAGCTCGTGGAGGTCGGCATCCCACAGCTCCTGCGAAGCCTGGTGTTTAAACCAGCGTAGACACACTAGTAAGCAGAAAGGGACGCAGGTGCGAAGATCATCTCCCCCGGCCTGCATAGCAGTCTGGACTACATCATGAGTGATGATCCGGCTATTGGGGTTTGTGACTGAGTCCTCATCCAGCTCGCAGGGGATAACTTGCTCAAGCTGGTATTTCAGTCGCAGTGCAAGTCTAGTAACTTCCTTTGCAGGATGGTCCGTGGGAACCTCATCACCTTCGTGAGTAGGGAGCACTAGAAATTGTTTTAGATACTGTGTCTCGAGAAGCTTCCTGAGTGACGTACATCGATGCCGTTGAATGTCCTGCCGGAACTGTGTCGCGTCAGACGCGAAAATGTCCCGCCAACCCATATTGACGAAAACTTGGATAAGGAGCAGATAATTAATGCTATTGCTCCTAGGAAATAAAATCGGATGGAAAGGGTTGTGAACACAACTGGGATGGGGAGAGACGGGAACCAAAGTTTATAACAAGAGCAGACCGCTGCCCCGCCCCCAGCCACTTTCTGGGCCCATAATGGTATCGACGTCAATCAGTTTCAAAGGAATTTTGATAGCACTTTAGATGTCTAAGCCGGTCCACCGGCGGTGAATCACTGATGAGAAAGCTTATTTACATCGGAAATAGTAGGATAACGATAAAATGGAAGTTCCCAACCCCAACCATCTGGGCATGAAAACTATATCCACAGATCGAGGATACGCACAACGTCGTACAGACAGAACGCCTCAATCCCAGTCACGCAGGTTCGCCTCGGAACACTGATGCTGATCCAGACCTCCCCTCCATGCGAACTAATCCGTCCTTCGTCTCATAAGTCGTGACACGTTTGGAAAACTTCTAATGAACTTTTTGCCCTTCTACCCGACAACCCAACTGACCCCAGAATTGCTCCCAGCGCGACACGATACACGGCGATACGTGTAATCTAGACCATCTCGGACCCTTTTTTTCTAGCCAAGTCCCAGGGACGGTGCTGAAAATGACGCACAGTCTTACTCGGGGACGCCCTCATCGCTATCAGACTGGCTCTCGTCTCCGCTGACCTCCATGTTCTCACGCTCGCGCTTCTCCATGAGCTCCTGAAGAGCCGCATCATCGTGCTCCGTAACAGCCTTGGGAGCCATCTTGATCGTACAAGCACCATTCGCGCCCTTAATTGTGGTTTCAATCCTTTGAATGGCCTCTTCGAGCATCTTCACACCATAGGTCTTGTCCAGGCACTGGCTTGTCAGGACATAGAGCGGAGGAGCAACCAGCTTAACCTTTATTTGGTTTTCAGGGGTGTTCTCCGCTTCAGCGGTCCGCAGAGCGGTCTTGACCGCGTCGATACCTTCGTAACCAAAGCAAGTAACTTCAATGTCGGCACGCACTTTCGTTGGGTGAGGCGTAAGACGCTTTCCGATGTATTCAGTCAACTCTCTCTTAACAGCATCGCTGGGGAACTCGACATCGGTCCAAACTTCGGTGTTCCTAAAAGAGTATGAGTCATTTGCGTAAGGCTTTGGTGCACAGCTGGAATTGCCTTACGTGATCGAAATCTTGAATGCGTCGTGGGAATGGCCGTATTTCCGGTTCAGTGGCCACGCGATCTGCTGGTATAGCGTCTCGAGCGGGGTCTGGGTGGCCTCTGCAACATGCCGCAAGATTGAGTGCACCGCCTTGCTCTTGTTGTACCTCTCCTCGCATTTGATAACGTCCTCCGGAGAAACTCGTCTCTTCGACAGATCGATGTAGCCTAAATTTGAAAGACAAGACTCGTTAGAATATCTACGTTGATGAGCCGACATTGCACTCACCCTTCTCCTTGTCCACACGGAGCACAATAACAACCTCGTTGCGGCCAATACGGATAAGCTTCTGGATACTACGGATACGTCTTCGCGAAAGTTCGGAGAGTAGGATCATTCCGTCGATGTTATCATATTCGAGGAGCTTCACGTAGGCGCCCATCTCGGCAATCTAGAAATTTGCAAGACATAAGTTATTTTTGCCCCGTGAGTGTTGAATCCACATCTGAGAGTTCGTACCTGTTTCACATTGACCATAACATAGCTATCCACCTCCGGATACTTCTCCTCGTAGAACCGACAATTGGTTAACGACATTTTGGCGGGGTTGCGCCTTTTTTTTGCGGGCGAGAATGCGAATTCGTTGGGGTTGAAAGAAGTATCTTGTAGGCAAACAGTGAAGCTCTGAGGCTAGAAAATTCCTGATGGGGGATCTGTCGGTGAAATTTGGCGAGGAGAGTGAGAAACCGACAGGGATGATTGTCCTCGATATCGCAGCACAATTCCTTCAAATCGCTTTGTGGCGGCTCAAAACCCACTTTGGGCTTCGATTGGAGTCACGTGGATCCTTCACCGCCCGGGCAGTATCCACGTCGTTATCGACATCGGGCTTGTCTCCAACTAATATCGCAGCTTTCTCATATTATTGACACATAGGCCGTCCGAGCAAATCCTTCGGTGGCGAAAGAGAATTACCGGCCTGGCTATATCAACGCTTGTCTCTTTGAACTCTAGCACAACCGTTTTGGTCGCCGTCTTCGCCTCGTTATGCATCGTAAGATCCCAGGCCTCTTCTCTTTATTCTCGGTGATGGTTACTAACATGAGCGGTGTAGTAGTACGGAGGTACTTTCGACGGCGGCTTATCTTTATTTCCTAACTTTAGATTTACTTGAGCTTTCAAGACAAATTCTTACCCATATCCGGGCCGTCAATATCTAGAGAATAGTCTTCACGCACTGTCTCTACATGGCGTTCCATGGCTCCCACTCTTATCGAATATAACCGATTCTGGATTATCTCAGTTGGATCGAAACTGCAATTTGCGGGAACTGTGCTCGATATCTTTCGTTCATCTACATCCCCTAGTATTATACTTTGACAACGCATACCTATACAATGAGCAACGTCAATGATTCTGCGGGAGGGAATCCTGCTCGGGGAGTCGACTCGCGAACACCTTTACTGGCATCGTATGACCGGCACGAGCCTCCATGCGGCATGGGAGATGCTTGCGACCATGGCACCTTCACTCCGCGAGTGGAAATTGATGGGCCTGCATGGCGTACAGCTGATTTCGCTGGTGAACGTGAACGGTCTCGCATCGGACATCTCAGTCGGCAGTCTACCGGCGCGGCACCGAGCATACATGGACCAGAAAACCTACCTCTGACAGGGACTTCGACCCCGCTTCCAGTAAACCATAGTAAATCGCTGTATGTTAATGCTTTGACGCACCAGTCGTCAAAAGCAGTTGGCTAATGATTACTCAGGTATATATCGTATTACATTCCATTCTTCAATTGGATTTCCCAGTACAAGTGGTCCTACCTTCGAGGGGACCTCAGCGCTGCTTTGACAGTTGCCTCGATTTACATTCCCATGGGTCTCTCTTTGTCCAATATTGCGCATGCGCCTCCGATCAACGGTCTCTACTCTTTCGTTCTTCAGCCCTTCATATACGCGATATTGGGAAGCTCCCCGTTGTTGATTCTGGGACCGGAAGCAGCAGGGTCGTTGCTGACCGGAACAATCGTCAAGGAAACTGTTAAACCAGGGCCATCTGGGGAGGAAGATGAAGCTGCAAATGCTATAGTTGTGGGTGTAGCTACTGCACTGGCAGGTGCTATGATCTTGATTGCTGGAATATTCCGACTTGGGTTTCTGGACAACGTTCTAAGCCGGCCTTTTCTTCGAGGCTTCATTACCGCCATCGGATTTGTTATATTCGTGGACCAATTTATTCCCGAGCTTGGGTTAGCGGCGGAAGCGAAGAATGCTGGCATAACACATGGCAGCACGGTGGATAAGCTCTTATTCATAATCAGGAATATCAAATACTCGCATAGCTTGACGGCTGGTGTTGCATTTACGAGCTTTGCTATCATCATGTTATTCCGGTATGTGCCTCCTTCAATCTACACACAGATCAATTTCTAATTAGGTCTATCTACAGCACCGTTAAGAGGTTTCTCCAGCCGCGGTTTCCGCAGGTCATCTATTTCCCAGATCGTATACTTGTTGTCGTTCTGTCGGCTATTTTAACACAGCAGCTCGGGTGGCATGAGAAAGGACTTGAGGTCTTAGGGCGAACTAAGAACTCCGGCAACGGTGTTTTTAATTTTGAGTGGCCCTTTCAACCCAAACATTCAGAGCAGATACGCGGTGCGTTGAGCACTTCATTTATCATCGCGCTTCTCGGCTTTTTTGAGTCGTCTGTCGCCGCCAAAGGTCTCACAGGAGTCGCAAATAAGGGTGTGAAAGGAATACAAGTTAGCCCTAATAGAGAGATGGTTGCTTTAGGCTTCGCCAATGTCGTAGGCGGGTGCTTCATGTCTCTCCCTGCATTTGGTGGGTATGCAAGAAGTAAAGTTAACGCCTCGACTGGTGCGCACTCGCCAATGAGCAACATCTTCATTAGCATTATAACCGTGACATGTATCATGGTCCTTCTGCCCTATCTCTACTATCTACCGGTGAGTTTCACGCGGTGCCCTTTTTTATCCAAAGACTTGCTCATGAGGCCATAGAAAGCCGTGCTTTCTTCCATGATATCCGTTGTCGCCTTTTCACTAATCGAGGAGTGTCCTCACGATGTGGCATTCTTTGTCCATCTACGGGGTTGGACAGAGTTGGCGCTCATGCTTCTCATCTTCGTGTCGACCATCTTCTACTCGCTCGAGTTAGGAATGGCATTGGGAATGGGGTTATCCGTGCTAATTCTTATCCGTCACTCTACACAACCTCGCATTCAGATTCTCGGCAAAGTGGCAGGGAGTGATCGGTTCGACAACGCTGAACTCCGGCCGGAAACTGTCGAGGCAGTTGAAGGCTCTCTGATCGTCAAAATTCCAGAACCCCTAACATTCGCAAACACAGGTGATCTCAAGAACCGACTACGCCGACTAGAGATGTACGGCACAAGCCGTGCTCACCCGTCAATGCCACGAATTCGTCCTCCGGAGCACAACCAAAACATCATCTTCGATGTTCATGGTGTTACTAGCATTGATGGCTCAGGAACACAGGTTCTGTCTGAGATTGTTGACGGTTATGCGCAGAATGGGGCAAGGGTGTTCTTCTGCCGCGTTCCCAATCGCGGGGTCTTCCGCATGTTTGAGCGCAGTGGCATCGTTGCGCGATGCGGAGGCACATCCCATTTCGTAGCGCACGTCGACGAAGCGCTTAAGCTGGTTGATTCCGAAACTCAAACTCTCAGTGCTTCCAGTGTTTGATCGCCTGTGCCCAATTCCTTCTCTCTTTTTGTTTCTGGGTGTATTTTGAAGGCTGGCTCCCAACATCATAAATGAAGTTGAAGTCTATGGCCGCTCATTGCTCAGAATACACACATATTCCCATTATCGGCACGAAGACAAGATACATAAGCCGGAGTACTTCTTACTGATGTTGCCTTAATACCTCATATTGTAAAACAAAAGCAATGTATGCGCCTGTCATTCCTTACAAATTGGTATCCATATCAAATCAAGAATCAATCAAATCAACCTTGTTCTCCCTCTCTATCAAACCCTGATCCAGCCCTCTCTAAAATAGCCTTCACCAATGCCTCCCCGCCTTTCAACGCGCCCATATTCTTCTCATCCTCGCTTCCCTCTCCAGCCTTCGCAACAACTTTCAGCCTCCCCTCCCCTGTAGCAACAAACCCAGCGCAAGCAACCTTCGTCAGCCGCACATAACCCCCGACTAAAGAACCACTGCCGCCAGTCGCACTCGTCGGAAATGGTAACGGCAGTCCGAGCTCCAAAGCAAGATGTTTCTGTAAGTACTTAGAGAGACCAGACAGCACAGAACTCCCCGATCCCGCTCCGGTACTGGAGCCAATCGAAGAATTCGGCGTCCGTAGAAAATTCATCAATGTTTCGCGTGGTATATTAACAGTCAGCGCCTTTAGCGAGGGCGCAATGGGCGGTGCAAATGAGAGGGCGAGCTGCATTTCCCGAATGACATCTTCCACACTCGTGCTAGAGCTTGTCGAAGAGGCCACGCTCGCGACATAACTCTCCAAAATATCGCATAGCCCAGCGGATGAAATCCGTAGAGAAGAAACATAAGTGTCGAAATTAGAAGATAAGAACGCGATGAAGCTCTCCCGTAGGGATTTGGGGAGGCGCGTGAGAAGCAGTGGGAGGTATGTTGATGACGATGATGATTTCGAAGGGCGACCTCTCTTACGCGCCTTTTTCTGTGACTGTGGTTGCACGCCAGGCCGCGCGAGGAGGGCTGCTCTGTACGTGATTGTTTCGTAAGAGAGCGTTATGAGAAGCCCAGCTGGCTCCCGGTCCTGGTCCTGAGGCCTATCTTCATGGATACCCTGCGGACTCAAGAAGGAGAGGCTTGAGATGGGTTCCCATGTGCAGGATTGGAGTGCGCCGATTGCTGATAGGGCTGTTGTTGGGTCATCCTCCGCGGCGCGCCAGCCTTGCGCGTCCGCGAGAGAGTTGGTGAGGTGGTCTCTAAGACGGGTGGCGTAAGTTTCTAGCGAGACTGGATTGTTGAGGAGATCATCATGCTCGAGTCCATGGTGGAGGGGTGAGAGACGATGTGATGTCCATGAGATGTTCAGTAGATGGTGTGGGTTTGCCATGGTGATGGCTTTGGTTATATATGAATTGCTGGTTCTTGGGTTACTGCGTCCCTTTCTTTTTTAAGTAAAAAAGGGTACAATTGTTAAAATCACATGTCGATACCATTCGCCTGCTCTATTCTCCAGTTTCAGGCCGATTAATAGATGATAATCTCTGTTTTATGTTCTCTTGGATCGACTGGATTTGGCTCAAGACGCGACTAAAGACAAACCAAACAAACATAGGTACCACGTGCCAAGAAAGGCTGCTATCAGGGCTTAGGGTTCCTCCGCTACAGCTAACTGAACGTCAAACCCAACCATTGACCTCATTGAAGGTTTACATACGAATAACTAGGATATGCTCAAGTTCTAGACGTCAGGAATTTTGGTGCCAAAGGTGGCGGTGCCACCACCAATCAGCCAATAGTACGGGTAGGTCTCAGGTGATTGAGCGCCCTCGATAGTTAAAATCATAGATGACAATAAGACCTGTGCTATGTTATATGCAAATAACATCCGCCATGATGGAAACACAAAAAGCTCAAGACCCCAGGGAAACAACGCGCCTATCGCAATGCATAAAACAAACTGCACATCCGTGGTCCATGTTCTTTAAAAAAACGCCGCAGCCCGTGGGAGATATAATGCCCAAAAGAAAAAATACAAGAGAACATGACAAAATCAAAAGGTTAACTTCCATCAGAAACCGTGACATCCGTATTTTGCAGAGTATACCAACCATCGGATAGGCCGGGCTTGCAACCGGGGCAACCAAATAGAAAAGGCACCTGAGGATGAAGCATTACGCGTTCTTTCTTATGGTTTATCGCTCTTCGCGATTCCAATTCAGCCGCAGCCACATCAAACCAGACATCCTGAACCGAGCGGTGAAGGTGTACGTTAGGTGCGCTCTCGAACACCCGCGAGTTCATTTCATCATTTTCAGTCAACGTGATGTCGTTGTGGAAATTGCGCATAAAGACTCTGCGTTGCACTCGCTGATTGCCACCGTCTCCTATTTCCGCCGAGAAATATTCCACGATACGTTGGAAAGGCGACACAGCCAGCAGTGAGCCAATCCAACTGTCGTCTGAGATATTCGGTTCGTCCGGAGGTACGGTGTCCCGCAACCACAAGACCAGGAGCCGCATACAATGGTTGGTTGATATGAGTGTAGACGTATCCGTGAATGGGGGTGCCTGGATGATCTTTTTTTGTAATCCCATGTACAGATTCTTGCGGACATCTGGCGGTATTGGGACAGGTAGTCTTCCAGCCTCGAAATCGCGCAAAAGGATGTTGGTCTGCTCGCGTCTGGCATCGGCATACGACTCGAGGAAGTATAAGGTATAGTACCTAGTAGATCAATCGGCATTAGCATTTTCAGGTGGAGCTTAATAACAGGGTGAACTTACATGAGTGGTGAAAGATAAGACCAGACCCTCGCGATTGCTTTTCTTATAAACTCTGCACGTTTGGTTCTTGAAGGGAAAGAAGTTTTCATAAACGTCGACTCGACATCAGCAAATCGTTTCACGATCCGGTCCGCAAGGTAATAACACAGCCTTGAGCAGAGCTTCTCCCGCCTTTGAAAACTAGATAAATAGCGGAAGGTACAGAGCTGGCCACCTTTTGCACTCATTGTCGGGGGGAAGAGGTCCGACAAGAGGACGACATCATCCTCCGGTTTCCAGGTATATATTCTTTCGTCGTCTAGCGGGGCCGGGAGAGTCCCATGGCGGCGCTGGCGGAGGTATTGCCGCGCAATCAATTGTTCATGCGTACTGAGTATTTGATTGAAGGCTTTGCAAACCAATTTCAGCGTGAGAAGATCTGCGATCCCGCAGTGGGCGAATATTATGATCTGAAGCTCTACCGGAAGGAGATCCCATGGCGTCGAGGTGGGTATTGGGTTCTTAACTTTCGCGACACTAAAATGATTATTAGCACAAATAAGTAACAGCCCTAGACCCACGACAGGACCAACATACACTGACAACGAGGAAGAAGACGGAAACACCCTGTGCCTGAAGGTGGCACGCTTATCGGGGTCTGCCTGCTTCCTCAGGCCGGAAGCGCGGGCTCTTTTCACATGGGAGGATATCAGGTGCAGAAGAGAACTCATTATCAAGTATAAACCGACATGGGGACAGCCACCCCAGCTTTGCAAGCACTGGGAAACGGATTTAAACGTCCAGAACAAAGGGCTGGGATGCACTCGGTGCTTCAGAATCCTGTTTTCGTCATGCTGGGCCCCTTCTCTGCCGCTGTCGACCGACCGCCTGGCGCGGGTTTATGTCGGGCTAGTCCCATCCGGGACTAGCGTTGTCTCTGATATTGTCTGTCCCCAGCCGTCGATCCTCTCCTTCTTTCATGCTTGTCTTGGACTCTTGGTTGATTGTGACCGATCGATCTACAACGACAAATCCACATTTGCACCACCCCGGTTGTCGACATTCGTGTTTCGACTCTGGGTCTCTGACAAATCGACGATACTCGAATTCTCCTAAACTGAACCAATAGCTTTGGCGGTTGCAAGCTCTCCGCGGTCACAGTCTCGACCTCGTGTACATGTCTATTCAAGCAATGACAAGATCCCGTTGATTAAAAATACACCCTCATGAGAAAGCTGTCAGTCCGATCCCTTGGTCACTGCTGGCTTCATTGTCAGACAAGCAGGTGCCTCTGCAGCTTGTGAAGCTTGAGGAACTTCATTCCACCAAGCTCCCTGCGCGAAGCATATACTACGTTAGACAACTGCCTTAACACCTCCCTCGCATTGTCCTCTCGGATTCGGACTTCTGCGTTGGCCCCAGTGTAGCTCTTACTCGCCGCATCTTTAGTCATGCTGGCGAGCCCTGGAGGGGGAACAATATCCACTTCAAACTGACCTTGTGCTGATCACAAATTTGTAGCACGAACACTCGGTCGGCCCATACCCAATGTTAATTCTTTTAGCCAAGGCTGATTTTATCATGCGCCTTATCGACCTTGAGGGTCCGCAACGCTATTGACTTCCATCTGGACGGCTGACCTCGACCATGGCTGCAACTAGTGGGCTAAGTTCGGGTGCCCTACACAAGTTTATGGCGTTTCCAGCCATGCTCCCTACTCGTAAAATCCCGGCCGCCTGTATAAAGCCTTTCGGATAGTCTGATATACAATGTCAACGTGAGAGGGACTAGATGGGCGCCTAAGCCGGCACACTGGGGCAGTGAAATCCAAACCCGAATATGGCATGAGCGATCATTGTAGTTTCACGAGTGCCCTCTCGGATACGTGAAAAAAATTAATATCTTTTTGTTTGTCGGCAGTTGGCGATGTATAAATGTACATCAGCCTCACCTTGGAACTGTGATGACTTACGTCATTTACACGAGCGGTTGCGTCAAGTCATCTACATTCTTGATGAGCTCGACGTGAAAAAAAAAACTTTCCAATTCAACAATTTTCCTCACATAAATAACAGCATAGTCAGAATGAGCAAAAACATCCTCATAGTCGGAGCTACAAGAGGGCTAGGCGCCTCCCTCAGAGCTCTATACGACTCCAACCCCTCCACCCATCATGTCTTTGCAACAACTCGATCCGACAAGAAACCCGACTCTCAAGCCCGGGTTTCCTGGCTCCAAAACATCGACCTTACAAAGCCAGACGTCGGCGACAAACTAGTCTCGCAGCTCCCTTCGTCAACAAAACTCGCAACCGTCATCATCTCAGCGGGGTACTTTGGCCTCGAATCCTTCGACACTCCAGACTGGGACAAGCAAGTGCAGATGTACACCACATCCGCAATCGCCCCGGTGTTCGTAGTCCAGAGGCTGGCCAAATCTGGCTTTCTCGGCGAGGGCAGCAAGGTTATTCTCGTGAGCAGCGAAAGCGGCAGCATCACACTCCGCCATGAGAAAGAGGGCGGCGGCAACTATGGCCATCACGCTAGCAAGACGGCCCTCAACATGGTGGGGAAGTTACTGAGTCTGGATCTGAAACCTAGCGGCGTTGCCGTGGGTCTGGTCCATCCGGGGTTCATGCGGACGGAGATGACGAAGGGCGTGGGGTTTGATAAGTATTGGGATGCTGGTGGAGGTGAGTTTGTGTAACGTTACTCATCTATGACTCTTCTGACGCAGTTTCTGTCTAGCTGTCACTCCGGATGAAGCTGCAAAGTCACTTGCGGCTTTTATTGATGACTTTGATATCAGCAAGACTGGGCAGTACTGGGCACCGCGGGGTCCTGGGTAAGTCTTATATACCATCGGGTGAGAGACTTGGGGCTATCTTATACTGACCTATTCAGGGACATTGGAACCGCGGAACCTGTCTTGGGTGACAACCTACCTACCCCTCTGCAGCTACCCTGGTAATTTCTATAACGGGTAGTCAGGGTGAAGGCATGAACGAGCAGCTCGGTGATCCGGAATTATTGCGACTTTACCAATCCACTTCCATAATGAATTGCTTGATTCGTCAACTTCCCCATAGCCATTAAAGTATTCATTATTATACTAATTATATACAATTATTAGTCGTTAAATATAACTATACACACAATATAGAAATTCAAGCGTCAATCTCAGGCCGCTCCATGGTCGACCCTAATCCCCCATGAACCACCAACAAGAATCTCTTCTGCTCCAACCCGCACTTGATCTGACAGTTTGCCAGCCCAATACCCAAATTTGACGCAGCTCCCGGGTCACCAGAGCCAGCATGTCCCGTAACCCCCGCACGTCCTCTCAGACATGAGCTCATACACTTGGCCGAACCCTTGCTAAAAACCCGACACTGGCTGCCCATCCCCGTATGCGTACTCGGCAGCCACCCAAACCCTCTTTTCGTGCAGTCAAACACATCATCCTCCCCGTCATTAAATAGCGGCATCGTGTTCTCGATCAAGACCTCGCGCGTACGCTCGGGGCTATGCAAAAAGACAACATCGTCTTCCAGGATGAGGCATTTCGCTTTCGACCCGGCTGCGCATGCGTCGAGGACTTGTGCGTATTTCTCGCGGTATAGGCTATCCTTTGTCCCGGCGCTATGGCTCGTGTGTCCTGTTTTCTGCTCTTCTGCTTCTGCTTCGGCGGTAAGAGAGGCGGGGGGCTTGAGGCGCAGTTGGTTGGTCGTCACGGCATTGCACTCCGGTGTACCGAGACGGTTGGGGACTATGGTGAGGGTGTTGGAGTCGAATTGGGAGGCTGCATCACTGGTGTATCGGCCACATGATGCGGTGAGGACGAAAGCCTGGAATTGGCGCTGGAAGTATGGCTCGTAGGAGATGTCGTGGAGGTGGGAGTTTACGACTTGCGGCACGCGAGAGGTGAAGTAGACAATGAAGAAGATTACTAGGGCAGCGATGCTGAAGGATCGGGAAATCCTTGGTGTGGAAGGTGATCTGAACGCCATTGCCATGGGTTATGAGTATAGGCCTTATTCATGCGGCGATTGTCTCAGGTGAAGCTTGTTGGAGTTGGCTTTTGGCAAAGTGCAGACAAGAAGATGAGGGCTCAGGAGTAATACTGTAGGCTGTGCAGCCACGCTCTTATCGGCCGCGTAATGGTTCGAAGGCCCCCCCATCTCCACAAGTGATCGCTCAATGAGCCGCCCAGGGGAAATTAGCGTTCTGTACTCTGTTTAGACTTCATCCTGCAGTGCAGTAAGCCAGACGCGACTGCAAAGCTGGTTCAGCGCCGCCTAGTGTCGTTCCCAGCTGAACACTTGACAGGGCATTCACTCTACCAGAAAAGCCCTGTTATTACCCTGAGGGCCCTTTGAGTGTGCCTGGGTGAGCCTTCCACCATACAAGTTGATCATAGTCCGGAAAAGGCAGGGGAGGGGGCGATTCCAACAGTCGGGCCTGGTGGTGTGCAAGGAGTGGGTAATGGGTGTGGGCATAGATTCTTTTCCGAAGTCGCCGAGTACACCAATAATGCTTGAGATGGCGTGTCAATCGGCAGCTAGGGGAAACATACGAGCCTCCAGAGTAATGATCTCCCCGGGACCCCGAGTCTGGTCCTTGGAGGACAGAGGGATGGAAACCCTATCCTCCGCAGTCCACACCCGAAGACCGGCTCCTGCAGTCCTGTCCCTGTACATCCTTATCACGGACAGGCGGGGGTTCTACAAATTGAAATGTACATGTAACGTCCAACCTGCATATGCCATTCGCACTTTGTCAGTTTATTTCTTTCTTTTCTTTTTCTTTTTTTATTTATTATAGATATATATATATATATTAACTCCAGCATGAGAATGTATTGAATCCCTGGCCGACCTCCCGGTCGCTCATAGTGTGACCACAGCAGCGACAGCATCAGGAGGCTCTCCTGGCATGGCAGCCAAGATGAAACGCATGGTAGCTTGATCAATGGTGTGGTTAGTATACCCGTATTGCGTGGTATATCGGAAATAAGCATACCTATATATGCTAGAAGAATACATACCCCAGCTGGCAGTCAAATTGCTACTTGAATACAGCCATATCTTCTCAGACGTCCAAAATCGCAATGGTTCAAATTATTATAAACCGCCATCACGCTTTCCATATGGATTTAGGAAAACATGAGCTCTTGCCATCTAGTTGTTGAAACTATAAGGAAGGAGCGATGGTATTCATGCTCTCCATTGCACCTTCTCTCTTGAGTATCTTCGTAATAGGCAGGCGCAGTACGCTCCCGTCAGCGTCACTGGGCTAGGCAGGAACCAACGGACCCCGGCCCATCGCAATTGCCTTCAAACCACGAACCAGTGTCGAGGAAGGCACGATGGAGGAATATATGAGCTGGGAAAGCATTCATTGTATACCTCCCAACCTAGTATAAGTATGTATACCTACACCGCAGGGGGGTAATTTAGCTAGGCATATAACTTGGGATGCTGCAAATAATGCGCATTATCGATGAGAAGACGCTACAAATCTGACCATAGAAAAGGAAGCTGACGCGCTTCATTCTTGTCTTTCAGGAAGGAGCGACGGGCGTTCTACACACGGAAGGCACGAGGGAGACCTTGGCAAAATAGGAAGCTGTCTGCATGGCAGGGACAGGGTTTGGCTATGATGGCGAGGGGTGGTGGTCGGCTGAAAAATTAAAAGAAAAAAAGAAAGTGCATCATCCGTGAATCGAACACGGGCCTCATCGATGGCAACGATGAATTCTACCACTAGACCAATGATGCTTCTTATTGAAAAACTCTAATTAGATTAATTATATGAGCCTTTGGATATATTGCTCGCATCCAGGAATATTCTCGTCCAGTAGCGGACTTATTAGGTGCGACCAAAGAGATAAGGCAAACATTTTGACAGTATTGCTTATATTTCATACCAGCTCAACTGAGCATGTGTCGAGTCTCGATAAATGGTTCGTTCAATGCGTCGCCTTAACATTATATGCGCACTTATGTTTCTAGGACTCTATTGACCGATATATATCAACACCGAGACTAGCCTACGTGCAGAATGTTAAACCAGATATTGCACCCATCGCTAAGAAACATACCAACGGGCTAGCTCAGTATTTCCATGATCGATATGCAATTCCCCCGCAAGGAGAATACATACCGCACCTCAAAAAGATCCAGAAAGAGAAGGTCATCAGCCAGTATTATGCATAGATGACCAGGAGTATGCCGTGAACCTCAAGGAGGACCTCAAACAGTGAGTTCAGACACCCTGATACACCAATTTGTGCACCTGCGCAGCGGATATCCCCATATGCCTGCCCTGGAAAGAACCCAAAGTACCTGGGCCCCATTTGATGAACCACTCCATGCACCATGGGCATTCCCATTTACGCCGGGTAAAATTACTGGCGCAACAAAAGCATTATTCGGGAATGACTACATCGTCATCGATGCATGGCCACATGCAGCTGTCTGCCTAGGCCGGGAAGAGTGCCGATTCACTAATCTGGTGATACGAGGTCATCCCAAGGAACCTTGGTCTGGTGGAGCACAGCCGCATTGCGCCCGTCGCCCAGAAACTCCCGGGCGCAGATGTATGGGACTTGGCGCTAACTGAAACTTTGACTTCTGTCTCCGCGGAAGCAGGACGCACTCGATCTCAGAAAACATCAATAGCACTGAGCTTGTTGAGAATGCAGGAAGGCGGAAGAATGCACCGTGTCCCAGACAGCACACTGACAGGTCACCAAGTTACACGAGAGACGATGAATTGAATTCTCCCGGCTCACATGACATCTGCAAGCCTCCAACAGACTGGTTGGCTGGCTGCGGCTGTGCTCGAGCTTCCAGAACCCAGAATGATGTCAGAATGTGAGAACCCGATGCGATACGCCGTGAGCGTTTACGATGGCTCATGGCTAAGATCAGAAAACTAGCAAGACCTTGGGTTAAGTTGCTCGACGAATCGCCTGTAAGCAACAACGACTGAACCAACGGAGGAATATCGACCCACTCTGGGCTCAGCCTTGGGGGCGGAGGCTGTTTCGTTGGCAGGTCCAATCCAGAGCTGCTCTGGGCGTCTCCGCATATTAGTTGCACTGCCCAGGGGATGGATTGCCGCAAACATGGCGTACCCCCAATGCGCCGTGTTTCCCGACCGTGTCATCCATCCAAGAACCAAGCTGCGGAGTTGCCTACTTAAATCCCAGAGTCGCCCTTTCTTTTTGTCATTCGAGCTCTGGTCCCTAAAAAGTCCATTCACAAGGATATAGTGGACTTTCATCAACCGCAACATAACTCAAATTATTTATCCGCAACTAGTCGCACCCTCAAGATGTCCGCTGAACAAAGCGCCGCAGTTCCTTCAAACGTCAACGGCAAAGCTCCTGCCCACCCGCATCACAACCCCGACCATCCTCTTGTCGAGGTTCAGCCCCCGCGCTTGTCTGATTTGCAGCCAAAATACGCCTCGGTGATCCAGCACGACGACAGCAGCCCCGAAGCGCACGGGTGGTACGCCTCGTTCAGTATGTCGAACCCGGGAAAAAAAAAAGAATCCGTTGCTCAGTAGCTGACCAAGCGTCTCATTTTGATAGAGCACAGCATCGGAGAATGTGTCGGAGGGCTGGGAATTATCCCCTGCTGCCCTTGCCCGAACCCCTACAGGCCCGTCCAGCAAGGTGAAGTCGGATTGGTGACGCGTTTCGGCCGGTATGTATATCTGATGTTGAAACTAGGATGAGTGGCTAACTTTGTCTTTAGATTTGAACGCGCTGTGGACCCTGGTCTTGTCAAGGTTAACCCTCTTAGTGAGCGACTCGTCACAATCGACGTCAAGATCCAGATTGTCGAAGTGCCTCGCCAGATCTGTATGACCAAGGACAACGTGACCCTGAATTTGACCTCCGTCATCTACTACCAAGTCGTCTCTCCTCACAAGTCCGCATTCGGTATTTCCAACATTCGCCAGGCGCTCGTGGAGCGTACCCAGACTACACTGCGCCATGTCATCGGTGCGCGCGTCCTCCAGGATGTGATCGAACGCCGTGAGGAGATCGCCCAGTCAACATCCGAGATCATCGAGGAAGTGGCTGCAGGCTGGGGTGTCAACGTTGAGTCCATGCTTATCAAGGACATCATCTTCAGCGATGACCTCCAGGATTCTCTGTCCATGGCCGCCCAGTCCAAGCGTATCGGTGAGAGTAAGGTTATTGCTGCTCGCGCCGAAGTCGAGTCTGCCAAGCTTATGCGCCAGGTATGTCACCCAACTCCAAGTTCTCCAGATAGTTGCTAATTGCATCTCAGGCTGCCGATATTCTTTCTTCTGCTCCCGCTATGCAGATCCGATACCTTGAGGCGATGCAAGCCATGGCTAAGACGGCGAACAGCAAGGTCATCTTCCTTCCCGCGACAAACCAGACTGTGCAGCAGCAACTGGCAACTGCCGAAAACGCCGGCGAAGGACCCAGCCGTCATGCCCCACAACAAAATGATGGGTTCCAAGATGGATTCCAGCACGCGATCAACGCCCGCGTGGTGGAGGACATCTAAACGCGACGCTCCGGCGCTTGTATAAGTGGGTATGAATAACGGCAATAATTTGGAACGCCTTTAATATGTTTGGCCCATGATATCCTGTCTTTGTTTTTGGTTGAACTACGATACCCGCCTTCTTTTGACGTGATGTGTATTAATTATTTTCATGAAATCGCGGCATTCTCCGTAGCCGTCAAAACGTACATATGTCTAGTAAATGCGCTCGTCATTGAGGAATACATCCTTAACAATAATAGTAAAGTGAAATAAAGATAATGAGTTAACAATATATTGAGCGAGAAAGCAAATGTAGTAAAGGCGGGCGGTGAGTCTATGCTCGAGGCCAATGTGGGGACCCCAATCTCGCCCAGGTACAGCAATCACCCGGGGCCCGCCTGGACATTTACTGCTCTGGGAATGCCAACCGATAGAAACCATCTTCCATAAGACCAAACCCACGATCCCAGGAATGGCCCCCTCAAAAACACCCAATATTGCGCTGCCATACGCATCCACGACGAATCCACCGAACCCTGATTATACAGACCCGTCCTTCGATGCCGTCGACTTCCTCAACGATGCCCTCCCGCCATTGTCCCTCCAGTCCTCGCAATCGCAATCACAGTCACAGTCACAATCCACTCGCCCCGTGAACCTCACCGAGCTCTCCTCCCGCGTTCAATCCCTCCTCTCTCAGACAAACGCCCAGAATGTCCGCCATTCAACGAATCTTACATCACTCACCGATGAAATCCTACGCAGCGGCAACCGGCTCGCATATGAGGTTGAGGTTCTCCGCGGCGAGACAATAACACTCTCCGATCTGGTAACGGAAGGGTTAGCGGAGGAAATTGAGAAGTTTACGACTAAAGCGGAGACCAAGTCGTCTGCATCTACAAAAGGAGGAGAAGAACAAGGAAAAGAACAGGAAAACGAACAACACAACGAGGCCCAAAAGGAGGGACAACAAGAAAAGAAGGACGAACCGGTCTACGTCACAAACCTCCGGACACTGAACCAGGTACGCGCACGCCTGGAAGAGGTCGTGAAGACCTTTGGCGATGCAATGGAGTGGCCGCTCCCACCGTCCGAGACTTCAATTACGTCCTCGTTTATATCTGTTTCAGCGCCGGAGCCGGGCACCGATAGTCACAGCCGCGAGGAGAAAGGGCAGGAGGTGGCGAAGAAGCTGCGCGGGGAGATCACGGAGCTTCTGGGGGGCGAAGGTGGGGTTGAGGCTGCGATGCGCAGGGCTGAGGCCGTGCGGACGCTGGCAATGGTGTGGAAGGGAACGGCGGAGGAGAAGGCGAGGATGCGATTTGTGGAGGGGTTGATGAAGATGGTTGAGGAGCGGAAGAGGGTGATTGAGGCGGCCGCACAGTCCGAGCAGCTGGCCCAGGGGAGTCATGGCTCTACAAGGGGCCATCAGAGACAGGTGAGCGAGGGCCCTGGAGGTGGGATTTTCCGTAACCTGCAGCGGTTGCGGGAGGAGATCTACTTGGAGTAACTTGTGTTCGCCGGTCTTATGTACATGGAGTTTGGATGGGCCTCTTTTTTTTATATATACCTTGTCATGGCATACGTGGTGTCTTTACTGGCATTGTCCTTTATTAGTAGCTGCAAAGATTTAACGAGCGAATTTGATATAGACTTGGTGTCTAGGAAGCAGTGCCGTGCTAATAATGAAAACTGCGGAGACCAGGAACTATACCGCGAACAATTATGTGGCACCCAGTGTCCTGCGCCAGGAACCGCCAACCTCCAAGCCCCTCGGTTGCCGTGGGACAGGGATCCAAAGATCGTCCTGCTACACGGTGGTGGCCAGCCCATCAAATCCACCAATTGAGGCACTAGGTAGGGCTGTCAACCTGAAACGACACGAGCTGGGGTCTGATTACGCGGCCACCGCTAGTAAAAATAGGCCGAGAGCTATCAATGACACGAGTAAGCTTATTTGGGGGCGTTGGCTATTGAGGGACTGTTTCGCGAGGACTCAGGAGGGAGAGAGAGGACAAGAGGCAGTTGAAGGGGACAGTTTGATGCAATTTGCAGGCACCTGCAGAGATATCCATAGTTTAATTAGCGACGTTGGCCTGAAACTCGGTGCTGTTGCAGAGTCGGCCGGTCGTGGCGATCGCAGTTGTCGTCATCACATCGCCCGGTCTGAGTTGACTGCAACTCTGCATTCTGCAACATGGCCTCTTTGCACTCTCGTTGATCATCGCCCTTTCTTCTTAAGCCCCAGCTCATCCTGTACCCACGGGAGAAAGTTTCCCTCGCTCTCTGCGGTCACCACGTTCGCGCCGGAATGTTCATCTTCAACTTTTTCCTGTTCCTGTCCCACAGCTGAATCGACGATCCCCCTTGCTCTCAGCAATCACCGCAGTTGTCGAGATGGCCTCCCGCGGCTTGCTCAGCGGCATGGATGCCTCTCTGGCTGGTCCCTGGGAGGAGAAATACAATTCCTGGCGATTGTCCGCCAACCGGTTCCTGCAGCAGAGCTATAACCCCCGTCCGCGGCCGCGACCGACGCGGGTGGCTCTGGTCGTCGCAACATGTTTTCTTGTGATGTATCTTTTTCTGCGAGGCCCTCGCGAAGTAAGCTTTCCCCTCTATAACCCTTGCCATAAAAAAAAAAAAAAAAAAGAAAAAAAGAAAGAAACTGACGTCCCTAGCCGGATGTCAACCACTGGCTCCAGTACCCCTCGTACCATCCTTTTCATGAAAAGCCTGAAGACGCCACAGTCATTTCACCGAGACTATCACTCACCACACATAACCATACATTCTTGGACGAATTACAAAAGAAGAACTCTTCTTTCCACCTTGTTCTGCCGGCGACACGGAGCAATCCCGGACTATGCCGTACTTTGACTTCGGCTATGATTTTGAACTATCCGCCGCCAACGCTGGTCCGCTATGGTAGAGAACTGCCGACAGGCTCGGCGGGGCATGACTACATGGTGGATAGAATTACTGGTATATACAACTATTTAGCGTATACCCCAGGTTTGCAGGACAATGATATAGTCCTGATCGTGGATGGCTTCGACATTTTCTTCCAGCTTCCGCCGGAGGTCCTCGTTAAGCGGTATCAAGACCTTTTGCGCGAGATGAACGCCAAACTGCTCGAGAAGTATGGAATGGTGACGGTAGACCGGCCATTCCGCAAGGATGGAGTGGAAACTTTGCAGAAGTACTCTCAGCGTGTGATTTTCTCCGCAAGCAAGGAGTGCTTTGGCAACCTTACGGAAGATCCTGGCTGTCGCAGTGTTCCTGGGTCTACTCTACCTCCGGATATTTACGGGTGGAAGACGGATACGGAGGGCCACTTGACCCGGCCAAAATGGCTCAAGCCGGGTGCTGTTATTGGGCAAGTAGCGGATCTAAAATTGATCTATGCGCAGGTTTTGCGCTTCGTCGAGGAGCACCGGGATACCGAAGGCGATTACCTGGCATTGACGCAGATGTATGGCAGGCAAGAATATGTGCGTGAGCTCGAACGACGGAGAACTGCCAACGGCTTCTGGGAACTGATGTACCGATGGATTGGGATTTCTGAGGCTACCAATATGACTGGTGTACCCCCGCACCTTGAACCCGGTCAACGGTACGAATATGGAATCGGTGTGGATTTTGAGTCCCGTCTATTCTTCGACACCGTCAATGCTAAAGGAGATGTTGAATGGCTGCGATATAACAATGTCACAAAAACATCAACCGCACAAATGGAGCACCGCGTGCCCCGCGAAAGCCGCCTTTTGATCCCGGAGGATGTATCTGATCACAAGTTGGGCAACCCATTCAAACAGCCAAAATATAACAAGCACGAGTACATCAACCCTCCGTGGAATGAAACTATGGATAGGCTCCCAACCAATCGCTCATGGAGCAATATTCCTCTAATGACGAATGTCCATTCTGCGGAAGTTCCAGTTCTTGTACACATGACTGCGCAAGACAAAAGAATTGTCCGTGACACATGGTGGTCGAAAATGTGGTACTTCCCCTGGGCTCGTGGCCTTTTGCGCAAATATATGCGCTCACACTCAGGATTCGATGCCGCCCAAAGTGCGCTCCTTGGCCAGAATTTCTGGGATATGCGCGGTGGTGTGGGAGGTGTCTGGACAGACAAGGGTGAGTGGATTGACTATCCGGAGGTTTGCACCGGATTTGAGCGCGACATATTCGACGACGATTTTGGAAAATTCGGCGAAGAAGATGGAGGCGAATATGGCGGGCCCGTCTATAATCAGTGGGGGAGTCTGATTAAGGGGAGAGAATTCTAATCTCGTATCCTCTACTTTACGTCTCACCGGACTTCCGTGAGCTATATCGTTGGCATTGGTCTGTTTTTCTCTCTACGGTTGGCGTACGGTTCATATTTTTGCCGTTTTTTCCTTCTCTCTCGAAGATACCAAATAGATGCAAGCGATGCGTATAGCTGCAGCAGCAGTAAATTGATCATCGAATCAGTACTCCGTACTTTTTATCCGTGTCCTCTAACGCCCAAGTCCAGTATATACATGACCAAAAAAGATATCATACACAAGCATCTCCCAATATATGCACTCCATTTATGTCGTTGCAGCGCCTAGCGTCTCCCGGATAATCGCCAGAATCTCTAAGACGTTCTCATCGCTCAGTCGCTGTTCTCGTTCCTCAATAACCGTATCAATCAGCGCCAGAGCACCATAATCACCCGCCTCACCCTCTTCCCCTTCCCCTTCCCCCTCCGCCCCAGCCTCACCCTCACCCTCACCATCGCCGTTCGCCATTTGTTCCACCTCCTCAACCCCATTCCCAGTTACGGCTGCAGAGTCGTCCCCTTCCCCACCCCCATCAGCATCCTGCCCATCAACATCCATCCCCTCACCTTCTCCCTCCCCCTCCCCTTCTCCCTCGTGAGCCTCCCCTTCCTCACCAGCACCAGCACCAGGCGCAGCAGCCGGAACACCCACTCCCAAATTAACAATCATAAGCACTTCGCCCTTCGTCAGTCCATAGGGCTGTAACCGGGCAATAAGTTCCCGCAGCGCATTATCCAAGGGCGTTTCGCCGGTTTCCGCTTTCAAGTCCGAGGATGCATATTGCGGGTATCGGAGGAGATGCGGGGAGAGACGTGAGGCATAGTTGTGTATCTACCGTGAAGTTCCATGGTTAGTATTCATATACAACTATGCGTGGAATTGAACGCTTTCTGCTCTGTCCTGTTCTTTTCATTTTCCCGCTCCAATTGGGAACATGGATACGGAAGCGATACAAGACCGTTTCGGAAGAAGGAGGACATACCTCCTTAACAACGGTATTATGGTCCCGGAGATCTGGGCTCGGGATCCAATGTTTCTGGTTCACTCCTGGGGGTGCATTTGGCGGGCGCCGTGGGGGGTTGGATGAGAGGTAGGAGAGGACTTCGATGTTTGTTAGGGTTGCGTCTTGGGGGTTTATTATCTGGATATTACTGCGTTAGTTTATTTCTTGGAACAAAATGTAGGTGTCAAGATGTACCCGCATGATTGGAGATTAGGTTGTGTTTTTGGTATTAGCGAAATTAACTGTCAATATATGGTGGTGACTCGTGAGGGGAAGAGGAGGGAAAAATTAGGCGGTGGGAGGGGAAAATGTCGAGATTTTGGTGGCAGAATTATGGTTGGCTTGGGCGTATGGGTGCTGTGTGTGGCAGGCGGTGTGCTACATTGTGTATAGGCCTACAATGGCCAGGTACGGATACGTATCTGGCAATCAGATGCATAGATAGCCATAGCGATACATGTTCGATCCAGAAAGCTCATTCTCTACTTGTGTCAGATCTAATTTTCGACAGGCCTAGGCTGTACATTCCTCGCAGCCCCATCGTCAAGCCCATTCCCCCACTGTTTCACCACCTCTTCTAACATCTTCATATTCCCTCCACATCTAACGTCCGCAAGTGGACCCTCCTTGTACAAAATTTCTAGCATCTCCAAAAGCCAGACCCGGCACGTAATGCCGTCTTTGTCGTTGAGTTTGTCATCGTGACTACGGAGGGTGCTGTCGATTTTACCATTCAAGTCATCGATGTTGGCGTTGGTGTTGTTCAACCCCGCGACGCGGATAAGGCCAACTTGAAGGAAGGATTTGAGAATGCTCGATGGAGATTCACGACCGTGACCGGCGATCCAGCCGCGGCCTTCGTTGGTGATGTGGTATTTCGTTCCGCTGTTTGTGGTGTGGTGGTACAGGGCCCAGTGGAAATCGTTAGGGAGGGGAGGGTCGGAGCGGAGGAATAGTCATATGTACAGGCTGTCTGGGAGAAGGAGGGTAGCCATCTTGAAAAAAAAAAAAAAAAAAAAAAAGTATAGATACGGTGGAGTAACAAACTGGTAAGTAGATTGGTTTAAATGGCCGAAAATTTGAAGTCCAACACTTGTATTAACTTGGAAGATAAACTGACGACACCTTCAATGCGCCGGGAGGGACCAAAAAGTAATATCCCTCCTAATGCCACCCAAACATTGCAATAAGACCAAGAGAATAAATCACAGGAAAATCAACCCACATGGTGTGATATCATACAGAAGAAAAAAAGAGATCCGTCTCAAATAGTAAAACTTTTTTTTAGATGTCCCTTAGTCGTCCCTCTTCTTCTTCTTCTTCTTGCCGTCCGCGTCTTCATTCTCGTCTGATCGCTTGCGCTTCTTCTCGTCGCCCTTGGCGGCCTTCTTGGCCTCCTTCTTAGCTTTCTTCAAATCCTTCTTGCTCACTGAGCTGGGAGCTCCGGCCGCATCGAACTGGATCTCGCCTCGCTCGAGCTTCCGCTTGTACCGCTTGACGCTGAGACCAGCCTTTTCGGCTAGCTTCTCAATCTCTGAATCCTTGCTCTTGCTCTTCTTGGACTTCTTGGTTGATTCCTCCTCGGATGAGTCAGAGTCAGCACCGTTAACGACAGGCTCCTCATCAGAGTCAGCATCAGCCATCTCCTCGTCTTCAACCTCCTGGACGAGCTTTTTCTTAGCGGGTGTAGCCTCGTCCTCATCCACAGCGTCAGCGTCGGGGTTGTATTTCCGTGCTTCGCTGATGTTGAACTTTCCGGGTTGAGCAGTGGCGCCGTTAGGACCGATGGCCACACCGCGCGGCTTGAGCGGCTTGCCTTCTAAGGCAGCCAGCTTCCTCTCGAGGTTGAACCGGGCCTCGGTACCGAGAGCAGACTTGTCCTCCTCAGCGACATCATCATCCCATTCAGCCAGAGCATCGACACGGAGACCGAGAGAGGCCTTGGCAGCCAGCACTCTAGCCATCTTACCCTTGTTCTTTCCGGTGGCTTGGCCAATCAGAGAGGCGTGGTAGATCAAACCGTACTTGGGCGTGTCGTGCTTGGTCTTCAGAGCACGGAAGAGCGCCTTCTCGGCACCAAGAATCTGGAGAGTACTGGCAGGGCTCTTGGACAGGTTGGTTAAGCTACCAGCGTGGGCAATGAGTCGGGCACCGACAAGGTCACCAACCAAGGCAGTCAAGTTGGGGGCAATGGCGTTCATACGCGCGGTGATGTAGCCGGCGAGTTGCGAGCGGTAGTCGGAGAAGCCGATAACCTGCTCAGCGAGGGCTTGGATGTTCTCCAAATCTTCCTCGCTGATTTCTGTACCCATAGACCTGTCTGCCGCAGCCTTCACAGCGGCCTCAATCTCTTCAGGGAGGATCTCTGTGAGATCGGATGATTCAAAGTTGGCTCGCATACCCATCTTGAGGACAAGTCTTGAGTAGGCGATGTTGTCGTTGAGGATCTTGGCAAGTTCGGGGAAATGCCATCCGTACCATTCCTTCACACGCATAGCGTAGTTGTTCAGTTCCTTGTCTAGGTCATCCAACAGACCAATAGCCTGAACGATCATAGTATCAATCTTGTCGGGAGAGAACTTGAGCTTGTGTCTAGCGAGAGAGTGGGACAAACCCAGGGACATGGTGGACATGTCCTGGGGAAGAAGGCCGGGAATCAGCGTGGGAAGATGTTCACGGATCGCGCGGTAGATGTCGGCGGTCGTGGAGTCGGCAATCAATGAGATATCAAGACCAGGAAGTTTGCCAATGGCATTTCCTGTACATCATCCAGTCAATTACACAGTTGGCAGGCTGATTTTCTTTTCGCGACTACACTTACCTAGCTTGGGATCGGCAACGGCCAGGGAGACCTTCTTCTCATCTTTAATCTCATCGAGGAGGTTGGCAAGGCGAGGGGTAACCTTTCCTTCAACGACGGAAGCAACTTCCTCTAGAGCTGCAGTAGCGCTGTCGAACTTCTGAAAGCTCTTCAACTTAAGGCTATCTCATTTGTTAGACCATTTCGCGCCCAAAAAAATTTTCGTCGGTGAATTGAAACTGCAGAGCAGACTGTGCATGCATGACACACGAAAGCGATTGGGGTATCATACAGATTAGAGACACCCTCTGCCGTGGAAGCCTCAGTAGTAAGGTCATCACGCTTCAGAAGCTTCTTGTCCTTAGCTTTGAGCAGGGCATAGCCCGCGCTTGTTTCCGTCAAGATAAAAAGCGTCATGGTGTGCGGTCACGACTCCCAGATTTAAAAAAATATAAAGGACGGCAACCAGGAGAATGAGGGAGGGAGGGTTGGGCGAAGTGTGGGCGACCGTGGACTCGAACCTCCGAGAGCGTGCTGCTGGAGGGATTTTTTTTGACCTCCAGAGTAAAAAGTGCAGAAAAACCGCTACGGTGGCTGTGACCCGCAAGTTGTGGCTAGTGTGTGCGAGGCGGTGCGCGGCTTACATAAGACGTACGCCAAAGAACAGCAGCATGTTGTCTGGAGCTTCCCGATAGTTGATGCGGAGAGCCGTTCTGGAAATCTGCCATTCATCATCCCACCATGGAGGGACTGTTCTTCAACGTTAACAGCGGGTATGCTGATACTCTATGAGACATCGGTTGCGAGGCGGCTAGCTAACGAACTGCAGCTACATCGAGGGGATTGTTCGCGGATATCGGAACAGCCTGCTCACCGGACAACATTATTCAAACCTGACACAATGCGAAACTATCGATGGTGCGTTATCCTGGTCTACCTTCCATCCTTTTCTATTTGTCTAACTCATGTCTGGTTCCAGATGTCAAACTGCAGCTGGCGCCTGCATATGGCGACTTTCTCGGAGCTCTCCCCCCCAACCCCTCCACTTCTGCTCTCGCGGGCAAGATGACCGACAAGCTCGTCGCCGAGTTCCGCTACCTCCTTGCGCAGGCCACGGGCTCTACAGCGAAATTTCTAGAGTTTCTGACTTACGGATACATGATCGACAACATCGCTCTCCTCATTACCGGAACCTTGCACGAGCGTGATACTCGGGAGCTCTTGGAGCGATGCCACCCCCTTGGATGGTTCGAAACTTTGCCTGTACTATGCGTTGCAACGAACATTGAAGAATTGTACAACTCGGTGTTGATTGAAACGCCATTGGCTGGCTTCTTCAAGGGCAGCCTCAGCCACCAGGATCTGGACGAGCTCAACATTGAAATCGTACGCAACACGCTCTACAAGAACTACCTTGAAGAATTCTATAAATTTGTCACTACACACCCAGACTTCAAGGGTACGCCAACGCAAGAGGTCATGGCAGAGATCCTGCAATTCGAGGCGGATCGACGTGCCATCAACATCACATTGAACTCATTTGGCACAGAGCTTTCCAAACCCGAGCGGAGAAAGTTGTACCCCGAATTCGGTAAATTGTATCCCGAGGGCTCATTGATGCTCTCTCGGGCCGATGATATTGAGGCCGTGTCGCTGGCCGTGAGTATATCTGCGGATTACAAGGCGTTCTTTGATGCCGTGGGCCTTACCCAAGGCGGAGGCGGCCTTGGTGGCATGGGAGGCTCCGACGGAAAGAGCCTGGAGGATCTGTTCTACCAAAAAGAGATGGAACTGAGCAAGCTTGTTTTCACCAGACAGTTCACTCCTGCTATAGTGTATGCTTGGATGCGGCTGAAGGAACAGGTGAGTAGTTTGATTTGGATCTAAAGACCCCAACTAACGTTATCAGGAAATCCGAAACGTCACCTGGATCTCCGAGTGTATTGCTCAGAACCAGAAGGAGAGGATTGGAAATTTCATCTCTGTCTTCTAAGCTTCTTCTTCACCCCCCATTCATGTGTCTCGATACCTTCCCGAACTCGACCCCAGTGGGTTCGACCCGTCTCCTTCATGTCTCCCTGCTTTTGTTGAACATTACCCAATTCTACGAGCGTATCAATTCATCGGCATAACTTATGTGCCCGTGCCAACCCGTGACCAAATATGTTATCTCTTATCTAGGCGTTTGGGACATCTTCGTGTGACATAGTACCTACATAGCACCACCGTGGTGTTATAATATAGATGATAAAGAAGTAATCTTCTTTTTCAATTGGCCTTTTTTCCAGTCCCGTAACTAGAGATTACATTAACCAGTACAGTATATTAGTACTACGTAAGTACTAGTTAAGATCTGTTCACAAATCAAGAATTCAAGAATTGCTGTAGGTTTACCGGCCAAAACTCTGTCTCCAAACGTGGTGTCTGTGACTGGAGGTATTAATGCAGTAAATCAGAAAGCGTAACGTGGTGGTTTAATTGGAATGGAATGTAAGAAACTTAAAAACCTAACGTACTACGCAAACTCAGCCCCTGTATTTCAGCCGTGATGCAAGTGTGTTACATTCAGGTGAAATGTGGCGAGTTCGCAACCGAACTAACGGGATTGTAGCTTCTGCAGCCTTGAGAGAACCTGGTTCCTCAGGTGGATACTAAGCAGATTATCCAGTAACGAAGAAACCGCTGCAGCCCGAGTTTTCTAGGGGGAGGGATATTTTAAGAAACAATACTTTAGATTCGCTCTAGAAGCCAATTTTGAAAATGTATTTCTTTGCTATTCTTGATGCACCGACCGGGGATCAATTGGTAGAATATGGAAGTGCTATATACATCGGTTGTTAGAAGAAAGGACGGCGCGACAGAAAAAAACAGTGCATGATCTGCTGGAAAGAGCCGCATGGTTCCGAGTCTATGCCGAGGACGTATGTTCGCTACTTGCGACGACCGACGGTTGAATGCCCTGTATTTGCTGTGACGAAATATCATGGTGTTTGGAATTCATTATTTTTTGAATGTCGTGAGATGCAAAATGCGAATGATATGTTGAGCTGAATGGGACAGCCCAAAATGGCCCTATAGGCTTGGTTTGGTTGATGCGCACGGCATGGAAAACATGTGATGTGTATATTGAGTCATTCACATATGGAAGCATGAAAAATTGCAAATGTCTTGCGTATATCGCGTCATAAAAAAGGAAAGGAAAAGAAATCCAGTATATGGCTAAGCTCAGTGCTACTTTTTGAAATGATTTTCATATCGGATCTTTCTCGCCAAAGGCCCAATAGGAGAAAAGAAAACGTAAATATTAGACCAGTTATTCGTACTGGAAAAGAGCACTGATACTTTCCCCGTGGTGGACGCGACGAATAGCCTGAAACATGTGAGTCAAAAGTTTCTCAATGAATTGAGTTGGGCACCGTACCTCTGCGAAAACATGACCGACCTCCAAAACTTCCAGCTTGGGGCATCGGCGCAAGTGGTCTGCTTGAGTAACGCTATTGGTCACAACAACCTTGTCGAGAGCGCTGGCATTGATGCGGTCAATAGCGTCACCGCTTAAAATTCCATGTGTCACCAGGGCGTAGACTTGCGCTGCACCTTCCTTCTTCAAGAGTTTGGCAGCGCGAGTAATGGTGTTCGACGTGTCAGCGAGATCATCAATTAGGATCGCAGTCCGATCCTTCACATCGCCAACCAGCATCATGGTTGCATTTTGACGGTCCGTAATTCGCGTTGGACGTCGTTCCTAAAGAGCACATTAGGAAAATACAGTGTGGGAAGAGTCGAAAACACAAACCTTGTGAATCAATGCAAATTCCATGCCCATTGAGTCCGCGATCGCGGTCGCTCGTTTGGCTCCTCCGGCGTCCGGACTCACAACAACGGCTTCCTTGTAGTTAGGAATGTTCCGCAGAATGTAGTTCTTCAGAAGCGGGCGCCCGTATAGATTGTCTACAGGGATGTCAAAGAACCCTTGATACTGGGGATCATGCAAGTCCATCGTGATGATGTGGTCCGCGCCAGCACAGGTAAGCAAGTCAGCCACGAGGGTACCAGCCTGAGCCACCCATTGTTTGTAGCCGGGACGAGGCTGGAATTTGTTGATTTTGTCTTGGCTGTCATCCACAAGGCCATTGGGAAGTGCGGACTTGCTGCTATCTGACTTCAGAGACTCAAGAGTGTCGCTGCGGGTAATCCCGTTTGCCTGGCGTTTCTTCACTGGGCTACCGTTGGAATCTTCCAGTTGAGCCTTTGCCAAACTCTTTTGTAGGTTATCAACGCTAACACCATTGAGCGGGTTTCCGGTCTCAAGTTTCCCGGGACAGGGAGTCGAAGGTGTGCTCTCAAAGGTGTATCCATTAGAGGCTCCCTGCTTTCCTTCGACAGATGATTTCACAAGAGGAGCCCCCGATTTGTTGTAGGGAATGTCACTCTGGCGAGAATATGGGAACAGCGGGAGAACGGCGGTGACTCTTCGGGCGGAGGCAGTCTTACACGCCGAAATGGTAATGAGCAATTCCAAGAGATGGTCATTCACCTTTCCGCCACCGGATTGAAGAATGTATACATCTTTCCCTCGCACGGATTCTTTAACCTCGACTCTCGTTTCACCGACAGAAAACTTTGACAGCAGTACGTCGGCTGGAGGAATCCCGAGGATGTCGCAAATCGTCTGAGTCAGTTGAGGGTGAGACGTGCCCCCAATGACGACGATATTTCGAACCATCGTTGCCAGGATGTCGATCTGAAATGAAGTCTTTTAGAGAAGCTGGACGGGAAGGGCGCGAGGAGCGTTTTTGGGGGGTTGCCGATTCGGAGGCGGAGAAAAACCTAGGAAAATGCGTAGAAGCGGGTGGTCTGGAGGGGCGGTATGGCCGGGAACGTTAGCTTGGTAGACACTAGGCGAGCGAAGTGTTGAACGAAAAGTTCTGGAGCATGCAGATACAGGTAACTAGATCATGGCGCGGAGTAGTGAATACACTGCAAGGCCAAGGACGACAGAGACATGGATTGAGAAGTAGTGGATCTGGATGTCGTGTGAGCCCGTAAACCGAAGAAAAGGAAAAAAAAGACTCTAGTGGAACCTGCAGTTCGGGTTTTCTGCCGTTGGCGCCTCAGGCCCCAGATTGCCCAAACAGGACAAAGCGGTGCACATGAAGGCCCCTCGTTTCTGCGATTTCTTCCAACGGCCCCGCAGATGACGAACGCCCAAGCAATAGCCGGCCGGTGGTTAGCAAGCACACGACATGAATGAACAGCGGGGAAGCAGAGCAACGACATAACATCCATTCAGCATGCGGTTAGCCATAGTCTCTCTCAGACTCAACAGTAGATGCTTTGTCTGTTACGAAAGGGCTAGGGAGCTGCTGATTACACCAAAGCATAGTCTCAATTGACCAATAAGTACTTGAAAGTGAAAAAACCAGATTCGAGATGAAATGAAACAGTGCCAAAGAAAAGGAAGCATCAGAGAAATCCAACGGTATCGTTCACCGCTCCAAGTCCAGGTTCAAATCCAGGTCCAGGCTCCACGGTTGCACGGCTAGGGAAAGGGCCAAGAAAGGAGTTTGCGTTGTATTAAATCTGCCAAATAATGGTGGATACAGTATCAATTGCCAGTTTCAGTAGCCCTGTAAGGTTCATCGTCAGTAAAGGGCCATTCTGCTGGGAAACTCCAGAGCATTGTCACAAAGACCAAACATGCCAGAGCTAGGCTGGGTGAATCGCTCACAGTCACGAAGAACCCCCGATATGGTTGGGAAACCCGAGCGTCTAACCATAGCTATCCTTCCGATCGGTTGTTGAGGAAGTGAGATAGCAGATGCACAGCATTGTTTTATCATTGCCCGGAGCTTCACTTACTGGAGCGTCATCCTGTAACTTGTTAGTGTGAGACCCTGGGCTTATGCGCTCCAGAGAGGCAATTGCGCACTTACAGCGTACTAGTATGAGTCATGGATGCGGAGTGATATTGTTTTCCTGGGGTTGACTATGTGAATGTCCATCTTCAACAATAGTAGCGGCTCCAGCAGCATCATAGTACCAAGAGATTTCTCTTCGGTATAATTCAGATGAGTCCACAAACTAAGGATCAAAGCAAAAAGATACTGCTTTCATGGAGTGCTGCCATGGCGCTCGGTTTGAGGCATGGTAAACTCATTAGTCCGCCCTGGAACTTATGATGCGATGCAGCCAGAGATAGAGGAATGTCGAAGACTAAGAGCCATTTCAATTAATAAAGATAGTCTATTCTCCGGACCACACTCGGAAACCAAGAAGGATGGTCTTGGGCCTGGGACTTTCGTCGCGAGTCCTCCTTCAGGCGACCGTGTCAGTTTGCGGATACCGTGTCGGTGGTGCAAGGCCGATGATCCCATGTGAATTGTTTGCCTAGGCCCATGATAGTTACCTCTTGAGGTGGCCTTTTCATGATAGTACATCTCTTGCAAGATTACCAGCTCCTTGGGGCGAGGCCTTGGTCAGATCAGGCAACAAGCGAGAGTTGGGCAATAATCATTCCCAGTCACCTGCAGAACTCTGATCGGAGAACAGATGCATGAATCACGTGAGGTCTCAGGAGTATAAATAACACTATACTGTATATGGACTAGCGTATATTATATGACGATCTCCGATTGAGAGAGGCTCCGAGCTTCAGCGGGCATTTGCAACTTGGTTTTCATATTATGGGCTTGATTTTGCCAGTACTTCAGCGTGAGCTGTGTGGTCGCCTCTGAAGTCCGCGTGGACGCCAATACTTATAATATTGCGCAATTGGTCTTTTTTATCTCCGTCTAGATGCCTCTTCATCTTATATCCAGGCGTCCTTCGACGACGACGGCGTCATTCACAGTTTCCAATGCCTCCAGACATACGAGCACTGCCGCAAAGCTCTTCTTCTACTCCCAATTCCTCGCCCGCGCTATAGTATTTGCAGGAGTACTTTTTTATCATGCTGCGCGATTCCGCCATGTGTTCTTCGTCCAAGACGGATCTCTTGTGCCCTGGATCGCAGTATGGGCGAGTCCGCTGGGCTCTTTTGTTTGTCGCATTGCCGATACCTACAACTTCGCTTGTATCTCAGCCGTGAGCGCCATAGTCATTTATGCAGTGTTTAGAAAGGGCTATACAGGTTTGTTGATAATAGGCGCAGTCTTATGACCCCCTTACTGACCTATTCTATAACAGAAGAATCCCTCTTAGTTATCCGTGGCCTAGGCATTCAAACTTCCACGTCCTCCCCTACCTATCTATCCAAGGCTGCGACAAGGTTCATTCCAACAACTGAAATCCAGGACATTGTCATACATGAGGCTTTCAAGGGCTTCGAGGTGCGCTTCTACCTTGCTGTGGTGGTTGTAGGCGAGCCAGAGGTTGTTGTGGTCTTTCCAGTAAAGCTTCCCAATACCCGTTGATCCATATCCAGGGGAAAACATCTACTTACTCCGTATTTAGAAACTCCTACCGAACAGAGCAAAGCTTGAAGAAGTTTGGAGAGGGTCTCGGCATTGTCTGTACGACTCGAAACCATGAAGCGGCGAGATATTCCCAGTCCAGTTCGATAGTATGAGTCCCCAACCAACGGCGTGGGTCTTTCCATATTCACATTTCTATAAAGGTATGTACAGGCCATGTTTATGCATCCGCGTTCCCTGCCTGCTCTATTCTGCGTTGTTTTGCTGTAAGCCACCTTGCGTTGAGGACTTCAACAGTCTCCATCTTCCTCTTCTGCATAAGAGAAACATATTTCCCGCCAGTTTTGCCCTCGTTGGCCCCGTGAAAGATCTTTTCCACTTTGCTCTGCTTCTCTCGCTCCAAATTCTTGATGTTCGCTTCCTGAACACCACTCTGATCACCTTGTTGAAGCGCTAGATCTAGCAGCGCGCCTGCCAATATTTCGTCCATCTTACGCTGTCTCCAGACGGACCAGAGATCATCAACCATGCCACCGGCGCCAAATTTACCGCCTCCTTTGGCGTACGGGCTTCTCGTCTGCCTGGTGTCCCCAGCATAAACCCACTCCAAGGAATCCTCTCGCTTGCTACTGTCTTTCTCGGGGAAGACACAATCCCAGAGAACAAGCGGCGCATCAGATGCCATCTCATACATTGGCTTGCGTGGGTTATTTGATACATCAAGCAGTTCACGAACGGCGGATGGTGATTCGAGTCCCTGGCCCACTAGGAAAAGAATACCGACCATATGTCTCACCTGGTGCCAGAGGAAAGCGGAGCCCTGCAAAGTAAAAACATACACCTGACAACCAGGCAGAGTTGTGTCCCGGGAACCCCCAGCCACGGCATTCGCGACAGGATTCTCCAGAGCTTGGAACTCCGGTCGACTCACGTAGCCTAGCGGGCTATTTTGGGGGTCAAGTATTTCGATATCGGCCCGATATATGATTCGCTCAAAGTTTTCGATCTGCTTGCTCGTGTCCACTTTACAAAAGTTTCGAAAGTCGTGCACACCCTCAAAGTACTTCGCGGCTTCACGCATAGCGTCGATATCCAGCCATCCTTCTCGGTATTTTGGAGACTCTTCGTTTCCTCGTGGAATAAGTCCAAGAGGGCCCGGCGTCGGAGAAAACGCGGGCTGCGTGAAAAAATATTTATAGTGACGCTCTCGGCAAGAGAAGCGAGCATCGAACCCCTCCGGTGGACGTGGGCACCATGCTAGCACACGGATGTCTTCTGGGAGCTGTTTATTCAACAGGCTGATGTAGGGTAATTCATCCGCAATATCATCCCACTTCTCATCTGCCGCCTCGGCCTCGGTTTGAGCCACTTGATCCGTAGTTTCAGTAGTACCATCCAAACCCGGAACAGGCTCCGGCTTTGCGCGTTTCGGTCGAGCACTGCGGACTTTAATCCCAATTACCTGACCAAAAGCGCTGACGCCCCGATCTGTCCGTCCAGCCTTAGAGTATTCGCACCCCTCCCAACTAAGTGCGAAAGGAGTACTCTTCCGTCGACCACTCTTGTCATCTGGAATATCCTCGTCCTCTAGATCAGTCGGGAAGATCAACCTTGTCTTTCGTAATGCTTTCCACATTTCCTCCTCAATAGTCGGCAGCGGGGTGACATTCCCATTCGCATGCTCAAGCCCATTATACCGCTGGCCCAGATACGCAAACTTCAGCGCGATAAACCGGAAATTGTATTTTGCTGGGTCCATCTTCCTCTGTTTCTTTGGGAGACGAGCTCCCGGCGCATGCGTGATATCATTTGGATCGAACTTCCCAGTCGCCAGCCATCTCGGTATCTCTTTTGGCGCTTGTTGTTCTTGTTGTGACTGCGGATTCGGTGCCGATGCGTCTGGAGCAACTTCTTGTGTCTGCGCGCTCGCCGGGGTGGAAGACTGAGAAGGAGACGTGTACTCCGCTGTTCGGGAATGCAATTGGCGCTCTAACTCGGAGATCCGTTCAATCAGGCTAGTAGTGCTCCAGGTCGAGTAGTCCGGTTGGGCTTGCTGGCCTTGTTGCCCCGGCCCCGTGGGGTTATTGCCGGACATGATTTCTGCAGCGAGGGAATCGAGCTTGGAGAGGCCCTGGTGGCGGAATCGACAGAGAGTTTTGCTAGATTGAACTTGACAAAGGGCAGACAAGGATTTCCGCTGGAATCTCCACATCCCCTCAGTGGTGGTGAGGGGGTTTGTTTGGCTTGTCTTGAGGACTGTTCGCTCGTCGGCAGAAAATTTTGGGCCTTGATGCGGTGTAATATTCAGTAATGGCTGTGTACTGGTTGGTATTTATGGATAAGATAAACATGACTGGAGTGGCCCGTGCGAAGTCTCAGAGACATGTAAAGCTTTCCCTCATAAGCTGGCTTGTTGAGTCGAAATTAGTTCATTCACATGCTATTTAAAGATTTAGTAGAGCTTTTCATGATATATCATGATATTATACAAGCGCACCGCGAGTTGTACACAACATTTCGAGATGGATCTATGGTCCATACCAAACACAGTTAGCGTGGTCCTTATCAGCGACCTTAAGCCCGATAAAGTTCCACGGCAGCAACCACGACCGTTGTTCAACGTTAACTCTCATATTCTGTTGCAGCACTGCCTTTACCATATCAGGGTTTGAGGCTTGAGCTGCTTCACACTATAGCTCCTAATGGAAACACCGGGCGCCAGAGAAGCCATAGAGACACCGATCACAATCCTGCTACTCGGTGACGCAGGATGTGGGAAATCGACCTTTCTATCGTGCGTCTACCTTTTATGCTTCGTTCCTAGTCCAGATTAGGTTTTTAAATCTATTCCAGACTATAGACTGCGCAGGACTGATACCAGTATTTCAGGGGTTTAAAGTGCATTAGAGGCCAAAAGCCGGGAAGCAGCCTAAAGGAACCAATAGAGCTTCTCCATGATACCGACCAACCTTTCGTATATGAAATAAATTTCTCCAAAAAGTCATTTACACTTGAGATATATGACACGGAGAACCCTAATCAGCACTGGACTACGCTTCAACCGGATGTGGTGCTCTTGGCATTTGATATCTCGAATCGAAAGACTTTGGACGGTCTTAAGGGGGTGAGTTCTGACAGCTGTCTGGTTAACTGGCTACAACATAGGTAGAGTCAAGTGCCTAATGCGTTGTACCTGAACATTTAGTGGCGAAGCGATGTTATCCGTTACTTTCAGCAGGGAGAAGGCGAGCGAATTCCCGTCATGATGGTTGGTTTGAAGAGAGATCTGAGAAAGCCTGGTGAAGGTCTTATTTATCCTCAAGAAGTGAGTACTACTCAATACCGTTTATGCTCGCCGTACAAACTAATAAACCTCGCTGCAGACATACAGAATTGCACAAGAGCTGCGCTGTGATCGGTATGCAGAATGCTCCGCTGTTACTGGGGAGCTCATGACGCAGGCTTTTGAGGATTTAGCGAGGCTTGCGTACATGACTACTACGGCCGAAGGTGGCCAGACGAAAGGGGGCTGCGTTGTTATGTGAGGATCGGTGAAGCGAATTTCTTGTACACAAGTGTTTTGATACCCATTTTGACTACAAGTGGAGCAGGGATCTATAAATTTATCGAGTCGCAAAAAAAGGCCGTTCCGTTAAGCTCATACGCTTACTACGAATGGATCCATGGATATTGGGGGACGGAATGGTAGCTTGCATCACTTTCAATTACGAGTATAACATACAGGGAGAAACCAAGGTAACGATTAAGTCCACCTTGTGAAATTGACGGTACAGGGCTTTCCCCCAGAAGTTCATTGATAAAAGAACAACTGGATATCTTTCCCTCATAAGTGCCGATCAATCATTGACAAATAATTCCTCCCCGATGCACCATAAACAAGACGTAACGGCGGGCTGAAGGTATAAAAGATGATTCGTAGCAGCATACCATAAAAAAGTGGGTAGAGAAAAAAAAGGTTGAAGAAATTTGGCTTTCGTGAATTCTTTTCCCGTTTTTTCTTTTCGTCTTTTGAGATATTTGCGGAACAGGGGCTAGGATGACATGCCAGGGGATATATTTTTGGTCCTCCTTCTCTCCAGACATTCCTCCTAACATTTGCTCTCACTACCGGGTAAAAGTTTTTACCACTTGGCGGCAGCCTCGGGGTTCTGAGCCTCAGCCCAGGTCTCACCACCGGCGGGGGGGGCGGAGCTGGCAGCCCAGTCACCACCGTCAGCCTCCCAGCTGGTAGCACCGGTAGTGGCGAAAGTGGTGGGAGCAGCAGTAGCCTGAGCATCCCAGCTCTCACCAGCGAAGCCGGATTCGATGGCACCGGCACCGACTTCCTCGGCGCTGGCAACCTTGGCCTCCTCAGCAATCTCCTTGTTCTCCTCGGCCTCAGGGTCACGGTAGAAGTAGAGATCAACAACGACGTCCCAGTCGACCTCACGGTTGGCGAGAGTACCACGGAGACGGAGGACCTCACGGGCAAGGAGCCACCAGATCAGACCGATGGCGTGGCGACCCTTGTTGTTGGAGGGAATGGCAACATCGACGAAGTCGGTGGGGGAGTCAGTGTCGCAGAGAGCGATGACGGGGATGTTGACGTAGCTGGCCTCCTTGATGGCCTGAGCATCGGTGCGGGGGTCGGTGACGATGATGAGGCGGGGCTCCTTGAAAGAGCGGGTGATGTAGTTGGTGAAGTTACCGGGGGTGAAGCGACCGGCAATGGCGGTGGCACCGGTGTGAGAAGCGAACTTCAAGACAGCACGCTGACCGTAGGGACGAGCGGAGATCACACAGATGTCGGCCGGGTTGTCAATGGCAGCGATGATACGGGCAGCCAAGAGGATCTTCTCCCTATAATGTTTCGCGCACGAGTTAGACCCCGTTCAAAAAGCTCCGAAATATACCATTAAAGTCCTCCCAGTTAACGTACCAGGTCTTGCCAACGTTGATAACGTTGACACCGTCAGGGCGAGTCTTCCACAGGTAGGGTTCCATGTGAACCTGGAGGTTCTTGGATCCCAGGTGGCATTGAGCTGCGAGGAGCATCTCAATGTCCTGAGGAGTGGGGTTGAAGATTGGGGGAAGCTGAGAGGGAGCCATGATGGGCGATTGATAATGCAAAGGTCGGCGATTTGAATATATCAATCGTCTGGCGCTTGTCGCGATGTGAGGTCGAAGAGAGGACTGACGCGGAAGACAACTTTTGCTCCGCGGGAGATGTCGCACTGAATTTCGCTTCCTGTTTGTGAGTTTTAGGGCTAGGGTTGGCAAATCAGCATCGCCCCCGAACGAACCCGGTGGACTCGACCTTAGTCATCAAGATCTTCTCCAGAGACCCAAGTCACGTGTAACTACCATCCAAAACAGGAATAGCGTATTATCTCTCAGAGTTGAGATTTTGGTCCCAAGTCGAAAGCGCAGTGACACTGAGGGTTGGTGATTGCCTCTGCCACAACTCAAGAAGACTGTTGTGGCTTACGCAAAATGCCTCCACGAATCCCATTCCAGCCTTCACTCAAGGCTTTCAATGGTACGCTGCTCCTTTGCCGGTTATTGTATTGTTGCTTGTGCTAAAACTGCTCCCGATTCAGGCTCCTCATATGTTCAAAGCCCGCTTGCTAGACTCTCGCTGAACCCGAACAAAACATCCGTGAGAGCCGGCTCCGCTGAATCGAGGGAACGCAAACGACATGATCCGTTTTTAATGGCCCAGTCGCGTCAGCGTAAAGCTGCCAACCTATCCCGTCAACAAGCTCTTGCCGCGGAGCGCGATGGCTCTGTCGGCGACCCCGTCCACGGACAAACAACACCGTTTATCGAAGAGCTACAAGTCAAGCAATTTGGAAAACATGAACCGCATCCCAATCATTTCCTCACGCCGGAGGAGCTCAGCAAATCTCTTGAACATTCGAAGCGCTTGACCTCCCCCATCGAAAACCTGAATCGAGCAACAGCAGACCCGCAGCTGGAGAAAGAAGCCGCCGAAAGGCACCTCCAGGAACATCTGAACGCGCAGGAAGCAATCAATCGAATTGTGAATATCAGAAATGGAAATACTGCTGATCAAATGCGCCTCCGTATACAGAAATGCATTGAGACGTTTGGGCGACACAACACGGACAAGACGTTGCCTCCGAAGCCCGCCAGCGTGCCACCAGAGTCGGCTACCGTTCATTTGGAAAAGACTCCTCGTGCTGGCCCCGACACTGGCTCCCCGGAAGTCCAGGTCGCAATTCTCACCGCGAAGATTTTGAACCTGTCGAGGCATCTGGAAACCACTAGGAAGGATAAGCACAATAAGCGCAACCTGCGACTACTTGTTCACAAGAGACAGAAGCTGCTTCGATATTTGCGCAGGAAGGAAAGGGGAGGCCCTAGGTGGAAATACCTGATCGAGATGCTTGGGTTGTCGGAAGCTTCATGGAACGGCGAGATTAGCATGTAATTGATTCTGGCGTTTGTATACTAGCTTGTTTTTCCTTCCGAGTTTCTTCCCAACGAAGCGTTGGCCTGTACCTTTACGATATTCGATTATAGTGGCATGTCGGGTCGTTTGACGCTGCCCTCACATTTCTTTTTACTTGTATAGATACAACTTGCATTAACTGATGCCAGCCAAATAGGACACCCCTCAATTCCTCTTGTTATTCAATTATAGAATAGCAACTGTACCCGCTTGCTCTCGGTCAGAAAAACTACTTTAGTGAGCATGCTCGACAAGCTCTACCTTCGATAACCTCGAGAGTGTACTCCGTAAGCTCTGGCGATCTACTTAGCAACGAATATCAACGAGGATGACCAGCAAAAGCTCCTTCCAGTTGGCCACGCAGGCTCACCCTGTCAAGTATTGGCTAGATTTAAAGAAGTAATTGTGAGAAAATTTTGGATCGATGCCCAGCTGATAGGTATCATCACCTGCCTTACTGGTTGGTCCCCGCAGTGAGGATGATAAACTCTAGGTGTCGGCAATTGTTGATGTTCTGGTTAATAGGCGATCCTTCGACGCATTTCTACTGTTGACTAGGCTGTAGGTATCCATGACCTGCCATAGGTAGGTATGCCAGCGAATATCGGGGTCAAGAGCACACTGAGCCGCGAGTCGAGCATTCGGCCTGTCCCAGGATAGGGCCATGGTCCGATGCCGGAATCAACCTTGCCTAGTCAAGCCTTGGGCATTGGCCAAACGTTCGAACTTAATGCAAGGAATTCACCAACTCCCACCCAATCTAGTAAGAAGAGCTGCCATTCAGTGCGTGGCTGGCAGCAACCACTGCTTGACACGTTGTGGTACCGACCGCCTTCCAGGTTGGATTCTGCCCGAACGTCACTGCCCGCTCCTCGATTTTCCGGGACTGAAATCGAGCTCCTTCACTAACACAACACTTTTTATTCACTCAAAACAACCACAACACAAGGTAGGTGGATGTTGCTAACACTTCGGGACGCGCCGCCAAACTTGCAGCAACACAACCGTTGACGAGAGCGATTTCCCCTTCCCACTTCCTCACTTTCTCGTTTCCACCCTTTCCCTCCTACAATACGCTCCTCGTTCTCCAGGTTTCCAAACTGCGATTTCGTCTCGAAGTACGTCCTTTTCTCTTGATCGCTGAAATATCCAGTCCCAAAATTGGCCTGATATCTTCAAATCCAGTCCCCTCTTGACTTTCTCTCGCACGATTTCACATTGAAATCATTATCTTACAACACCAAAACACGCAGAGTCAAAATGCGTACTCGTTCTCAACCAGCTTCTCCTGGTGGTCTCGTTTCTCTTGATGATACGAAACATGCTACTCGACGGACGACAAGATCCGCTTCTCGGGGTGCCTCTCAAGAGCCCACTTCGCAGCAAGCCAGCACTCAGCAGCCCAGCGAGCCTGTAACAGAACAAACAACTCGCCCCAAGAGTCGACCACGCACAACAAAGAAGACTACGACCACCAAGAAAACCACATCTACTGCATCAAAAACTAAGCCGCAAACTCGCAAAGGCCCCAAGCGTGGGACGCGAAGCACTTCGCGCAGCACTAGTCAAGCTGCGACAGGAGAAGTGCAAGAGTCAATTGGCGAGAACTACATTGATAGCGTGGAAATGGATAATGAAAATGTTGCTGAAGCGGGCATCGATGGACATGAATCTGGTGCATCCACAGGTGCTGCCCTATTGGAACCTAAGAACACAGAGCGTGAGTACCAGCAATCTCATTTACCACCACAAATTCCACACCCCCCTTCTACAACCCCCTCTTCTTCTTCTTCTTCTTCTTCTTCTTCTTCTTCTTCTTCATCATCATCATCACCACGATATCTTTCATGTTGCAACGAGTCCTCAGAAAGAGTTGGCAGTACAACTACACTTTCACCACCCCTCGCAGTTCGAGAGGAGGGCCCCAAAAGATCATCAAAGAGCGGCAGCTCATCCAAGAGGGCACCACATGCTTCAAAGACTCCCCTAACCACAAAGAACCAGGACTTGCCACAAAAGACCAAAGTTAGAAAGAAGCTAACCGATGATAAAGTCAACAGGAAAAGGTCGCGTACCCAAACATCGCCTGATATGGACGCTGAAGACCCTGTCACCCCACATGCGAATAAACGCAGAAACCTAGGACCCCCTGGGAGCACGCCTTATGCTCGGCGTACGAATCGCCGAATATCAAGAGCCGTGCCATTAACTGACAGGCAGCGGCGCCGTACAGTAGAAAGTGAAGGTCGTATCCATAATACAATCTTCCGTCTTCCTGAGTATGTAGCTCAGACTGAAGCCGACCGTCGCGCTTCCGAAACCTCTGCATCACCCGCTCCACCATCCGAACCTATACAGACCAGTCTCGATCTATCTTCTGAACAGGACCAGGCGGCTGCTGTGGAAGAAGAACCCACTGTCGCCCAGGTGCCGACCACCCCAGAAACCCCTCGACGCAGCTGGCGTGGACTATTCGGCTCTGTGCCACGCAGCTTTAGCCGACTACTACCCAGATTCGGGCGTGGCCGTGCGAGCTCGGAAGCTCCAGGTATGTCTAGTACCCGAAACTTCCTCATTAGTATTTTGGTGCTCATTAAATGTAGTTACCCAGCAACCTGCATCCGAGCGCATTCAACGTACTCGGCCAGTTGAAGCGTCCCCAGCTGCCGCTCCGGAGGTGGAATCGCAGCCTCGCCGCCGTTCGAGCGAAGAACCACCTGCAAAACGCCCCCGTAACCTATCGTACTCACTTTTCCCGGCTCCAATAGATCGCAATCTTTACCTTGGGGATATTCCAGCCAAGTCTAACGCAACCGCTACCGCTGCCGCCGAGCCTGCCGCCGGGCCGACACCTGAGCCTATATCTGAGCCGACACCTGCTCTTCAACCTGCCCAGCAAGATATGCCCCAGAAAACAGAGACTCAGCTTTCTACCACATCCACCGAAAGAGGCCGCGAGAGCACCAAAAACACTGCAACTGAAACACCAAAGAAGAAGCGCAAGCGCTCTCCATCGCCAGATGTCATCCCCAACCCTGTGGGGTGTAGTTATGGAATGGATCTAGATTACTTCTGCTACAGCTCTGGGAGCGATGATGAGGCGGAACCTGCTGTTCCACAAACCGAACCTAGAAAAGCCGATACTCTGGGTAAGACCGCTCTTCGAAACCTCGCTCAGACAGAGAGACCAGCGTCAAAGAAGGTGCGCTTTGATGCGAGCCCTGAAGACACACCTTCGAAGCGTCGCGCTCGTGCCACCGACCCTTATAACGGAACGCACTTTATTGGAATGGGTGGACCCCAGGCATCTTCTGCACCTACTACACCGACACCTGAATCTCGCTTAACCGACCCCCGACAACGGCCTGGTTTTATCCCTAATAGATCGGGAACCTTTGAACTTGATTATGATGCCTTCTCGGATGATTCGGACTCCAGTGGTTCTGAGTCTCCTAGTGTTCCTGCTCCCGCCGCCGATACCACGCCTCCCATTTCCACACAACCTGATATCCCTCAAAAGTATAGTTCTGTGCTCAAACAGCCGAGAAATAAGTTTCTAACTGACTATCTAGTACCCAACCATCTTCTCCCCGCGCTTCCCCGCACCCTGCCGCACGTCCTGCACAGGTACTCTCGACACCTGCAAAAGTCAACCCCGCCCTGGACAAGGCCCGTTCTGAGGCCGAGAGATACAAGCCAAAGACGCCTAGTGGACTTCGTACTGCTAGCCGTTATTCAAGCCCTCTAACTGCTCCCACACCTGATCTTACCCCGAGACAGCCCGCAGAGAGACAGCCCGCAGAGAGACAGCCCGCAGAGAAGAGCACTGAGAAATTCGGCGATGACCAATTCGCAAAGGATGCTCAGTGGCTGTATGAAAATTGCCCCTCCGGTGACCTTCGTCAGCTTGTTTGGCCCGAAAGGCAAGCCTTCGGTGAGGGTCTAAATGTCAGCGCCGACTCCCTTCGCATTTTGGATGAAATATGGGATCCGGCTGAGGTTGACAACGCATATACCGTATTCCAACGTGAATATGCTGATTTCCAGAAGACGAATGCTATTGCATAGGGGGTTCCTGTTATTAGCGTCGTCGTCGTTCACAATCCATTGCCTGCTGTAACTCGTCGTTTAGGATTTACTTTTCCTGGCTGCATATGTGGCGCCATTTATTGACCGGGAGGAAACCGCGTTGCACTTTTGTTTGCCTCATTTATTGTGTTTATTAGGATTCGGCGTCTGTCATTTTAGTGCAGTACCTGTGCTCAATGGTCTTGCCGCCATGATGAAACTGGCTGGCTTCATGTTTTGAGTTTGCTTTTTTAGTTGTTTTGTTATTGGATGGTCTTAGGGTTTGTTTCTTCGTGCTTTTATTGTTCTTTCAGGTTTTGCTATGGCATGTTGGGATGGGGATTGCATCTAGCGCTCAATATCATCTCTGGATTCTTCCAATTCGACCAGACTTTGCATAGATAATGTTTCATGACAGCTTCGCAAGGTAGACTTGCCGTTGAAGCTGGGTGGGTGAGTACAGAAGCCGGATAGCGACAGGCAGATGCACCGTCTGCCTCATGAGTGTTTGTCTCAGTCGTTTGGTTTTGCTTCTGGATAGTTGTTTTAGAGACAGACGCAGTCTAGACACCAGAGGTCTCAGCCATGCCAACAAAGAATGCAAACCATGAACGCATCCTCCTGTCTCAGGAAAATTATAAAGAAGAGCTATGTAGCGCGCTGGCCTAAGAATTCTCATCCGCAGGCTTACATTCGACATTATAGGCGTCTACCTGAGTATTTCTTCTACCATATCCAAAACCCGAGGACACAGCACGAGCCATACAAGAATGTGCTTCTACCAACCAAACCCCGTGGGCTGCAGATGCACCTTCTTCCAGCTCGTCCAACCCTGCGCATTCGCAAGGCTCCTTCCACCACCCAATCCAGCACAAAACGCCAACCCGCTCATCGTCCCCTGCAGTACAAAATACATGGCACAGGGTGTCGGCGTACGCATTTGCACCCACTGTCAGGCTTGGTATGGAGGTATGCCGGCACCGACGGTGGAGCCGATGAGCAACGGCATGGGAACGCGGATACACGATCCAGATCCGGAGAGGGATACGATGTATAGGAACCCGATGTTTGAGTGGATGGGGAGGTACGACCGTGGGTATGAGAGCAAGAATACAAATTCTGGCCCTAATGGGATGGGGAATGGGACTGTCTCTGTCATGGAGCCGGTAGAGGGACAGATACTCTCGTCAGGTTTACCATTGCCCGACCCGTCGTCGGTGGATACGTCTTTTCTGGGTTCTTCACGAATGTCTGCGACTGAAGATACAGAGGGACAGGCAATTTTTGGCGAGAGCAGCGAGTGGTTTGGAATTGGGGGGAGTTCTTTGGCAACGGGGGATCAGAAGCAGGGAGAAGATCAAGCACCGAGGTACACTCCTGCCATTGGGGATGGGGTCAGGGTTGACTTGGCTGCCGCTGAGGAACGGACAGAGGTTACGTCTGAGGAGAGAACAGACACGGAGGCTGCGTTAGAAGAAGAAAGTGAGGAAACTAATGCGGGTGGGAAGGAAGAGGACGACGCAGAAGCCGAGCCACTGAGATTGCCCATTATTCAGAGGGGGAACAACGAGGATAATGTAAAGACAAGAGATGTTCTTTAACAATACGCTGGGACAGCGTTGGTATGGTGATTTTATTTACATTGAAGGCTGGAGTTCCATTGGCGTTTTACAGATCTGGGTTATTTTTGGGTTGCTGAGGATAGAATAGAACGAGTTCCTATAAATGAAGGTCGGCTTTCAATCTCTCCATTGCATCAGTGCCAAGAGACACCATAACATCCACGCCGTCATCATACCAATGTTGCCGCTTGCCCTCCGGTCTACCCTCCATCAAACAAAGTATCCCATCGTACACCGGCATGTACGGTTCAACAAATCTTGGTTTCCCCCGTCCCCCTCCAAAGTCAGCCTCATACAAATGTAGATGCGCCCAGCTTGTGAATATCGTATGCCGTGCACCTAAATACGCCGCCCAGAATCTCTGTGGAGCGCATTCGAAGCAAAGGTCATGGAGCTGTGCTTTCAACGCTACCTCCGTGTACAATGATAAGTTCTCATGGATCTTGTCCGCAACATCACGGACTGCAAGCCCGCAAGCATCCTTCCCCGTCATCGACACCGACGTAAGGAGTATCGGGCTTCCTAAGAATGAACATGGTAAACCCAGGCGTCTCCTCAGTCCAAAGGAGATGTGCAAGGAAACGTCCCGTTCATCGGCGCCCCAGCCGCGAGCACGATTGATCGCGCTCCAGAGGTGAGCAACAATCGCCTCGTGACGACTGGCACCAGGTCCCGCAAGTTCCGATATTCTTTCAATCTGAGCGGCAGAGAGGTGAATTGTCGCGTGGGAGACTGGCGCTAAGGTGTCCCAGTCTGCTGTTGGCATTGGTGTTCCTGGGGTTTTGACCATGGAGCGCGCAAGGCCCTGTGGAAGATTTTGATCGGGATCACCACTATGTGCCGGCCAGAACCAGTCATATCGTGAAGACGGAAGGGAGCGTGCTTTTGCGAGGAGTGTTTCATCTGGCGAATCAGCGTCGACGTCTCCCGCTGCGCGGGCATCCAGAAGCTGAGGGTCAAATGTTGGCGGCTCTAAATTAAAGGAGGGATCTGAGGGTGGTGGCATAGTTGTGACCTGGTCGCAGAAGAGAAGACTGTGTTCGTAAGACCAGCGATGCATAAAGACAGCTAGGGTTTGCGCGTCGGCCAACGGATGTGATATTTTAACGCCGATGCTGACACCGCCGCAAGCAAACTCTGTAATTCGTATCGATACAGGAGACTTTGGCGTTGGGTCACCTTGCACTGTGAGAGACCTCTTGGATAGATCTGGGAGAAAGGCCTTTGCAGAGCAGGACAAGTTCCATGGCTGAAAGTTGCCGGATTTGCGCTGCGCAGGACTAGGAGCCACTTCATTCAAGGAAACAACACAACGAGCGATGCTGAACTCAACACCAGGATCTGCGGCTGCACCGAAGGTGACTTGGAGTCTCCCAAAACGCTGTGTATGGTTACCCCCAAGAACATTCTCGACCTTGCTCAATTCACCGGCGAAATGGGGAAAAAAAGACAGAGTTACTCGAAGGGACTCCTGCAGGGTTGAGGGCCAGTTCAAATGTACACTGTCTTCGATCGGCGCATCGAAGAACCAGACGGCGGTGGTTGGCGCATAGTTGGTGACAACCGCATCGAGAATTGAAAGAGGCACGGTAGTTTTGCTCTGTTTTTGCGTGGGAAAGATGGCGGAGCTCTCAACGAGCTCTATCTTAAGCATCTTGCAGCCGTAGGGTGGTGTTTATCTCTGGCAATGGCATGATTGAGAGGCGTCTGCTGTCCAGCTTATTTATATGTCGGAATCCGCATTGCCACATACTCGAAGTCGATGGTGCGCGAGGTGGAAGGAGCAAATATTGGGCAGGTGCTTAGCACCCCGAGCTGGGATAGTTGCCTCGTGGTTGACCGCAAACGGCACTGGAATCACTATGAGTCACTATTATTGACAGAACAAACGATAAAATGAGCCCGTGTTCCTTGTACTGTTGACCTGCGATACCATGCAATTGGCCAACGATGATATTTCGATGTCGGTGACAGTCATCGTCGAGGTAGTACGTACAGGTACAGGGATGAGTGGACTACTGGGCACTGGTAGTGAGGCAGCCTCGCCACTTAGGGCATGATCGATATGATATGTATATATTTTGGCCTTGTGGGGCTGAGCTCCTGGGAGTTCCGTAGTAACGCAGACCGGTTTTTGAATAGCTCTATAGGACATGCAGATGCTGGGTATATAGGTAGGTGGTATATTGAGTGTGAACACTTCCGTCTCAATTAATTGTAAAGCTCAGTCGAAGCCTTCGAATTCTTCATCTCCTTCGGTGTTTGCATCTTTGTTGGCTTTTGCAGCGGCGCGCTTGAGTTGCCACTGTTCTTCGTTCTTTGCCTTGATCTGCTCCACCATCTGTTCCGTTTCCTTTGCCTTCTTCTTCTCTTCCTCAGTCATTTTCTCCCATCGTTTCTTCTCTTGACGGACTTGCTTTTGGTCTCGTCGCTTTGCTTTCTTGTTTTTGTTCTCGACGTTGTTGCTCCACGACACGCTGTCATTTGGACGTTTCTTGTTTGTTGGTTGTTGTTGAGGGTCATTCTGTGCCGTCTCCTGGAGTACTTCAAGACGGCGCTTCTCCCGTTGCTTATCCTTATAAGTATACGTATCCCAATCCATGTCTACCCCTAGCGAGCGGTCTCCTGAGAAATTCCTCAGCTCGGGCATCTTTGGTAGTTTCAGCAGACCCCAAGCTTTCCCCAGGCCCTCCCAATCCAAGTCCGCGACACGGAAGATGCTGCTTGCTTGATGTTTACTGTAGCTCCTCAGCCAACTAACAAAAGCCTTTTGTCCTCGGTCATGAACCGCACGGTCTGCCCGTGCTGCCCTCCGCGCAACCTCTGTGGCTACCTCGGCATCGGTGTCCGAAAAATCAATGGGTTGAGGGAACGGAGCGACTGGAGTCTTTCGTATTTCTAGGAAGGAAACATAATCCTCTTCCCTACCCGGATGCAGTAAGACCACACTAAGACCCCTACGACCAGCCCTACCAGCACGACCACAACGATGGATGAAGGTCTTCGGATCTGAAGGAGGGTCGATTTGGACGACGAGATCAACTGATGGAATATCTAGTCCGCGTGAAGCAACATCCGTAGTGAGTAGGATAGCTGGAGTATGGGCATTTACAAAACGGTTGAAATTCTTTTGGCGCACGTTTGCCTGGTGTTTGCCGTGCAGTGGTACGAGTTGGAAATCGTCACCCAGTATCAATGGAAGAATTGTGGAGAGATAGTCGACACCGGAGCATGTTGACACGAAGAATATTGATTTTGACGGAGTCGGTTGCACGGAGTTTAAGATGTGCTTCAGGGAGGAGAACTTATGAATTGGGGGAACGGTCAAATAAGTCATCTGAAGACTGCGTCGCGAATTAGAATATGATATTGAGTGGGTGAAAGAAAGAATGCTTACCTGGCCGGGGTACGCTTATCATCGATTCCGGATCCACCTTTGACCTTGACTACGACCTTGACGGGGTTGCGCAGCCCTACACGGACGATCTGATCGACAGCCTCGCTCACACTAGCACTGAATAGCCCTGTTCTCCGTTGCTTTGGAAGTCTGCGCAGAATGTTTTGTAGAGTCTCCTTAAATCCGAGATCTAACAGCCGGTCTGCCTCGTCCAAGACGAGCATCTCGAAGGACGATTGCGGGCAGTGTACGTGGGGGGATGAGAGTAACTCCAAAAGTCGGCCAGGAGTAGCCACCAAAAGATTGGGAGAATGTTTCAAGAAACTGCTAAGATCCTCCGCAGGAGTGGTTGAGCCCCCAAGGAGGAGCTGTGGAACAACCTTGAGTGTCGACGAAGAGTATTTCGTACGCGGAGTGTCTTCGTCGGTTTCGGAGGGCTTGATTGCAGAAGCTGATGGTGGATGAAATGCAAGTAACGATAACAGCACGTTGTATATTTGCGACGCAAGTTCTCTGGCGGTGGGTTAGCAAACACACTTATCGCCCATTCATTGATCAGCGGGGCCAAGAATTACCGGGTTGGGGAAACGATGATGGCGCCGACATGATGTTTTTTGATGGGCTCTTCGAGGCGCAACAGCTTCTCCACAACTGGAATCAGAAAAGAAAGTGTCTTTCCACTACCAGTAACAGCCTCGACAACGACATCTTTGTGAGCCATAAAGAGGGGAATGGCAGATGCTTGAACCGGGGTCATTCGAGTGAATCCCATTGAAGAGACAGCGTCAAGCACCCATCCTGACAGCGGCGGATTCACAGCATCCCATGACCGGGATGAAGTGCCCGACGGAGGTGTAGGGGCCATTGTAAATCGCTTCGTTTCTCCTTTTGCTCTCTTTTCGCTCTGCTTTTGTCAACGGGAAGCCGAGCGGAATTTTTTCCTTATCGAAGGGCATCCCGATTAGATAGCGAGGCGGTGAATTTCTGCCGTCGGCGTCCTCTTTTTTTTTTTAAACATTTGCACGTGATGCACGACCGGCTTTGGCGGAAAGCAGCAAGTTGGAAGCGCTTTCGATAGACCGAGTTTGTGGTCAGCAGAGAGCAGATCGTCATTCGCCCTGGTACACCTAAACAACCGACCCAATTGGAGAGAATATTCCCGACGCCAGCACTCTATTTGCCCAGTTCGTGTGCGGTCTGACAGCAATGCGCGACGCTGTCTCTGCCTTGGTACTCTAGTCAACCTAGCGAATCTTACGCTCAGCCACCAGTCCCACGTTTTCTCTCCTTTAAAGGACACTTGCCCACCATTCCGTCCTCCGAGGCAAGCGATTTTCTCTCCCCCTGTGCTGTGGCCTCCAGTGTCTGTTGTGCCCCCAGACGCCCACTTTCCGGCCTGAGCATCGCTGCGGTACTTCCGCCCTTCTCCGTCAGAGCGGCCGAGATGTCGTCGGCGCGAAATCCAGGAGCTGTCCCTGCGACACCAAGGGTCATCTCTCCTTCGCCGACCCCATCAGAAGGCGGAGCCTCATCAAGATCGCGGGACGATTATTCGGCGCCTACAACACGTTCGGCAGCCCGACGGCGGCAGCGCCTTGACGAGGTTACAGAAGAAAGCCAGGATGTGACGACAGATTCTTCCCCTACGCAATCGCGTCGACGCAAATCTAGATCCAAGGCCTCTAAACCCGAAGAACCCGAAGCGTTGATAGCGAGAACGAATGGCCACGCGCCACAGACCAACGGCTACCTCTTCCCGTTGTCGAAAGCTGACGGCACCCGGCTTGTCGACAGTATCTCGCGATCACCTTCCCCACTCGGCCTAATTCCTCTACACACACGCTATCGCAACTTTATCCACCGCCACGAGATCCCGCGAAAACTACTTCACGTCTCAATCGGATTCCTAACGCTTCACCTGTATAGCCGTGGTATCCAAACACACCAGATCACCCCATGGCTCTTTTCAACCCTCGTCCCAATTGCCGCTACAGATATACTGCGTCACCGGTCTGAGAAGATCAACAAGATCTACATCCGATGCGTGGGGGCACTCATGCGCGAAACCGAGGTCTCTGGCTACAACGGCGTGATCTGGTACCTGGTTGGCGCATATACAGTCCTTCGCTTCTTCCCCAAGGACATTGGGGTTATGGGTGTCCTTCTCCTCTCCTGGTGCGACACTGCCGCCTCCACCTTTGGCCGACTCTACGGCCGTTACACCTACAGCCTGCGTAAGGGAAAGAGTCTTGCGGGTACTCTTGCCGCCTGGGCTGTCGGCGTTGTCACCGCGGCCGCCTTCTGGGGCTGGTTCGTTCCATACGTCGGAACCTTCCCCAACGACCCCGAAGGCGCCTTTCTATACACAGGCCGTATCAACCTCATACCGGACCCAGTGAAGCACCTAATCGGTTGGTCGGTAACATCAGCGTCCGATGCCGAGAGCGGCACGGTTATCACCGGCTCGTTAGCACTTGGTGTCATGAGTGTCGTTTCCGGCATCGTCGCTGCAGGCTCCGAATTCATTGATCTTTTCGGTTGGGATGACAATCTCACCATCCCCGTATTGAGCGGCATTGGACTATGGGGCTTCTTGAAGGTTTTTGGGTGATTCAAATTGTACCGAGTATTATTAGATAGACTTTCCCCACCACTATGTTATACGGCGATTCCTCTTTACTTACACCACCTTCCCACTTACTCTCTCTCTACCCCCTCTCCATTTATTTCCCCTGTCCAATAACCCATGTCAGCCTATGATTATACTTGCATGCATGCACACACATATACTTATGCCTATACCACCTATACTAATATCACTACTCAACTCTTAACTGGCCCCGACCTTTACTCAGCCATAGTCTCAATAAAGATATCACGAATAGAAAACTGGGCATGATAAGCGCTACAGTGTAACTACCAAGCTGCCTCTGCCAAATGCATTCAGATCTCTCGTGGTTCGGTTCTTGGATAGGTACCACGAGTTTAACCCTAAATTAGGTTTCTCATAGTACATGAGCGACAAACTAATGTTAAACCAACCGCTCAATGCCACTCATCCATGGATAGAGACAATAAGCATGGCAACTTAGATTACACACGTGGCGGCGGCTGCGCCGGGTCTACCAGCGAGCCGTATCTTCCAAGGTTGAAATAAGGAAAGCCATGACAAAAGAAATTCAAAAATGGCATTTCTAGTAAACCAGAGGGCAAAGGAATGTACATTACTATCAATGCCGAACTGATCTGCTCTAAGGGATACTGGTTATGCGAAGAAAACAGGTGAGTGAGTACGTGCAAGTCAAGTCAGGTCAAGCCAAGTACTCGGAGCCCCGGAACGTGGTATCCAATGCAATAATACAACGGATATGACGAACCTTCGCCATTCCACTTGCGTAGATTTAATCCGTAAAGCATGAACAAGGGGATGGGACAGAAAAGTGAGATAAAAAACAATATACCACGGAAAGAAAAGAAAGCAAAAAAAAATGAGAGAAGGGGTGTGAAAAAAGTAAATGCCAGAATATAAGTAAACTCAGTAGTCACGCCAATTCGACCTAAACGCCCAGCGGTAATATGTCCCTTCCGGCCCGCTATTTATTATGTGTATCTGTACCAAGTAACGCCATAAGAAGCGATTGCAGTAACCGCGGATATATTCATCCTGTCCTCACCTTCTTGGCGCGCTCGTTGCTCTCCCCGTCTTTTCGAAGGGGGTATAGATGCATACCCACCTCCGTTGGGAAGTCGGGATGGAGAAGGTTGAACCGGTTTGGGTTGGTTGGGATTCCATCGATTTCTGGCGGAGCTTGCTCAACTAGAAGATGAATGAGGTTCTTATCGACATGCCCCAAATGCTTGTTCTGCATTTTATCCATACGGATCCAATCGTCGTCCACTTCCTCGTTCATTAGCGGAGGCAGTGGAGGGGCACCGCTGTTGCTAGGCCGAGCGTGGTAGTTGGCTAGGATATTATACGGGAGATTCGGACGGACAGCAGGCTTATCGGACAGCTCGGCCAACGGGTTGAGAGCGTGGTTGCCATGCGTCCGGGTCGAACGTGTAGCATGGAAATTCTGGCTCGCAGTTCGCGCCATGTCGGTGGCGGGAGTGCCGTTGTCCTCGGCACCGGTGCCGTCCATGCCGGATGCCTCGTCTGCATCCGTATTGTTCCCATTAGTTGCCGCACCGGAGGGTTGGTCGGGACGTTTGGACGTAGAAAAGAAATGGACTGTGGCAATGTGGGCCTGGTTCGCATGTGCACTGAGTTCCTTTTCTGTAAAGAGAGACTGAATAGAGTATGTCGGCGCAAGTTGTTGCTGGGCTACTTGGGCTTTTGCCCGCTCCGCCGGGGTCTCACGGACTGGTGACCCGACATCTTCCTCTGGAGCCTTTCTCTTTCTCTTATTGAGATGATCCGACATGATCCCGTTGCCTAACTCGTCGAGATCCACACGATGGCGAGTATGTCTAGTTTTGCGGTTCCCGTGTATTCCACCAGGGCTGGCAGGATTGGTGATGCTGAATTGACTAGGGTGGAGAAGGAGGGAATTTGTGTCCGCGATGTCAAGATGCTCTTTTTCTCTCATGAGGCGAGCTCGCTTGCCTGAGAGTGTTTGCACAAGACGCTCGCGGAGGGTTGACGAGAGGTTTTCGTATTCTTCTTCTGCAAAATGCGCGCGAAACGCATATTCTCGCTGGAATCTTTCCAGATTATTATTATGGCGGTGCTATATCCAAGATTTCAATCAGCGCTCGACTTCACCAGATAACACATCCGGGGGCGAAGGGAGTAAAAAAAAAATAAAAGAAAAAGAAAAAGAAGAAAAAAGACTTACCACCAACATAGCGAGATCTGCATCTCGGTCTGCTTTGACCTGGTTGACCTCTTGAACGAAGCGAGCATACCACATGCCCGCTAAGCTAGCCATCTCTTTCGCGAATTTGCCGCCTCCAACCGTGTTCTCAATCAGATGGGCAATTTCATCCGCCGAGTCGGGGAGAGGGCCCGGATTGTAAGGATCAGCATTGTTGATAAGGGTCATATCGCACTGAAGAGCGTGCAATTGTTGGCGAAACTGAGTATCACGGTTCTGGCTGAATGAGGCCGTAAGATCGTGGAGGCGCTCTTGTAGCGCGCTGCGTCGCTTGTCCCGCTTTGAGAGCGGCATGCTGGTTGGAGGACTGGTCGACCGGCCTCTCGAGTGCAAGCCATTTGACATCATGGGGCCGCTGCCTCCAGTGCCAGGAGAAGGGGGAGCAGGGGAGTAGGCCATAATCTGATCGAGCAGGCTGGTTGCTGAGTAGAAGTGTCGTCACGCGGGAGGAGGATCTGTAGTCAAGGCGCTTTCTGTGAAAGGGCAGGGGGGTAAAGACGTTGTCCGAAGAATAGTGCTACAGCATGGAAAAGAGACAGCTGCACATCATACTTGGCCAAAAAATGCAGGTAGGAGGAGTATACATGGAGGCACTGAGACACAAGAGGAGGGAAACCGAGAGGAACGTCGAACTTGAACAACCATCGGATGGGGCAGAAAGGCCGGGCGGGAGGCCTATCTACTGGAATAGGACTAGCGCTCATCTCTCATTTGCACTCACCGCCCATGTGACGAGCACCAGAGCTGGAACATGCAATGGAAAATGCTACGAGACCAAGGTTTATCAGGAGAAATATAAGGTAAATTTCAGTTGTTTCATAATGGTGTACATAGATAATGTCTATCCAAACTAGCTATTCATAGTCATCTCATTTCAAGCCAGTGCATAATGATAAGCCAAAGCGCCAAAACAAGACGTAGCGATAGGGTATTATTCGTGTCCAATGCATCTCGGGAATCCACATTCCCGATGTATCCCATCCTAACACCAAAAAACGCCATACCATGAAGATCCCTTTTGTATCGCCAAAAAAAAAATTAATCACTTCTCAAAAACAAATAAGCCATGTTGCATGGCTAAGCGGCTGAGGCCGCATTGTCGGCACCGATTTGCAGATTGCTTAGTGAGATCGGCGAATCACGAAGATGCCGAGTTCAACTCCATCTCGAGGCTCCATCTCATATGGCCGCCTTCGAATACCATCGATAATCTCGCTGAGCAGCATAGCAGACGTCACTTCTTTATTCTCCATGCGATGATAGCCGGAAGTGTTTAGTGACGGCTTCGACCCTGGAAGACGACGGCTGTTCTGCCAATAGAGGCTGATCACTTCCTTCATTCGAGCCTTATCTTGGTGGATATACCATTCGGACCAAAGTTTTCGGTCAAGTCGGACACTACCTTTGCGGGCATCCACGATGTTGAACCGAGAGGAGGATGAGCTCATTGAGTCACAAAGATGGTCGAGATTTTCCCGCATGGTATCGAAATCGTCCATGTGAGCGACGGCGGAAACTTTGCCTAGGTAGCGACCGATCTCTGCTGACAATTCGTTCACAACGACGAGTTGTCGCAGTAAGGGGTCGAGGATGGGTCCTAGATATTGTGACTTGAAAGTTGATGCACCTCGTCTGGTGGGATAGATGAAGAGCATCGAACCACCGTCAGGAGAAAGCTCACTTAACCGATCGACAAGAAAAGACGGCCGGTGAGAAGAAAAGAGGTCTTTGTATTCTTGAGTTGAGGAGGGGGGCAGGTAGCGTTCGAGAACTGAGATATGGACGCTGAAGGGGGGGACAATCGGCATTGGGAAGTGCGGTGACTTGGCTTGAATTGGGCCTCGAAAGTCGTGGTACGCCGAGACCACGGCTGCGCTGGAAAATACTGCAGTCTGTCTAAAATAGTCGTCGGATGGGGCCAAGGAGTGAGGTGTGCTGGGAGGAGAATGAGGGAGATTCGAAAGGCTGAACTGTTCCGGAACAGCATGGGTGACGTTGATATATGGAGATTGCCCGTGCTGTAAGCGGTGCTGAACTGCCTGCACAATCGAACAGAAAATACTCTCGTTGATCTCGGGACTCGCAGGTTTATCGGTGGGGCAATCCGTGGAAGGGCATGGATATGGAAGCATTTGGTAAACAATTTTCGTGGCTTCACCTCGGGCATTTGAAAACGGCAACGATGACACTAGGAAAACATGTTAATTTTTGGCTCATTTGCTGGAAGATCACGCAGTTGAACGGAAACTTACAAGTTGCTTGCACACTGTTCTCTAGCCATGAGCTGGGGTCGCAGTCCATGTCGCCACTAGACGACTGTGGACTTCCGCCGGAGCTTGAGGGTGATATGTTATCTGACGGACTGCCCAATGTATCCGAATGCATTGTACCAGAAGTGGTGTCCATGTTGGGACCTTCATCCATGGGCATTAACCCCGGGTCCCGGTTGATGTGCGATTCAAACAGCAGCATATTGTTCCGAGGGCTCCACGCAATATGATCGTCGTCTTCGGGTGGTGTTGGTGGTAAGGTTGCGGGATAATCGTCCCTGTCTGTGGATTCCCACGCCCGCGGGGAGGACTGGGTGGTTCGAGCCGCCAGCGAACTCGAAGCGGTAGAAATCCGGAGACGTGAGTCGAGGGAGTGTGTGCGGAAGTCGGCGGAGCGGTTATAGGATTTTGTGACGGAACCGGGGGTATCGACAGTGGGAGGATGGAAAGAGGCGCTGCTGCGAGACAGGAAGCGAGAGACAGAGGATGGCTTGGTTAGAAGCGAGCCCTGCGAAGCCCGACGCTTGAGTCGACCCGAGCCTGGGCTCTGGGACAAAGATACTGGAGTGCGTGGACGTTGAGAGTTTGAATGTGAAGGTGATAGAGGTTGACGCTGTTGGGTATGATGTTGACTGGACGGTGTCACGATGCCTTGACGCGATGTACCGGCTTCTGCGGATGCATCTGATGGAGGATCTGAGGAAAGCGGCGAACGCATGACAGGAGTACTATTTCGCACTGTTGAGGCAGACAGGCAAGGTCCATGACACTGTGGAGAATACATCCAGGGTGCGTCGGATTCAACGGGCGACGAGCAGGCAACCGACAGTTGTAAGATGGTACCCGAGACGCGGAAGAGCGATGAAATCAGTCCGTCGGTCGCTGGTGGAGTTTATTTCGAGGATGGTGGGCGCAAAACACGATGCAGAAAGCGAGACGTGCGTTTTATTCTAAGACGAAGAGGACGGGGGGAGAGAGAGAGGGAGGGAGAGACGAGAGACGAGAGGAGTTGAAAAGGACGACGGAAGAGATGGTGAGAGAGTGACGATGATACAGAGGGAGACGGTGGAGAAGAGGGAGATTGAAGGAAGGGAAGAGAAAATTGGGAGACAGTCTGAAGGGTCTAGAATATGGGAGGAAAGCGACCATTGAAGGGCAAAGGATTAATGACGCCTGGAAACGATCGTGACCCAAGGAGCGACAGTCAGACGGAGTCTGGCGCAGTCTGGTTCCCTCGGGCTGCGACTGGTGGTCCTGCGGTCTAGACCAGGCCTCATTGGGAGTCCATGACACGAGTCCCAGCGGCTCCTGCTCTCTTTCTCGCCCTCACCGATGTCGCGGCGAGCATCTACAACACTGCGGGAGTCAGAATTCAGTTTCAAGAATCTCACGCTGGGATTCCTCTGCCAGAAAGCGAAGAATCTGCACTAAAATAACCTGCCAGCAGACAGGGTGAGGCCAGACGCGCGGACTTGTCTAGGCCCCCATAGTGGCTGATCCGGACGCTCCACCACGGTGACTGTGCTGCCGCTAGGCCGAAACGGGAACACACAGACCTGCCTCGCTCAGCCCCACTCTGGCTGACTCTGACACTGGCAGTCTGGAACTGGCCAGCGTCTGTTTGATATGGAGAGCATTTTATTCCTCTGTCTGATGCCCATGTCTGAACCGGACGATGGAGCCTGGAGTATGCCAGATCGATTCGTTTCACTTCGAGCCCCAGCATGGATATCTCACGCCAGCACACCTGCAGCCCCAGCTGGCAGCATCTAACTTTTCCCCCCTCGGTATTTGCTTTTTCTTGCGCATACAACAGTGTCATATTATCCCTAACCTCTCCTCCAAAGCAGCACTCAAATACGGACGTAGATCATGCCTAGCTCAGCCCGTGGACGCATCAAGCTCTGCATTTCTGTTCGGTCTTTCCATTTCTTTGTCCTACCCGACATATCTTGCAGCTACCCGTGCAAATTCAACACACAACCTTGCAAACGGAGAATTTAGCCCAATCCAATCACCGCAATGTTCATCGAGAGGCTTTCAACAATAAAGAAGAGAAAAAAAAAAGTTAAAAAGCAAGGAAGCAGAAGAAATCTCGAGTAACAATAAAAATAAAAATAAAATAAATAAATAAAAGAACAGAAAAAAAGTAAATAACGTATGACACTGCAACCGCCAAAAGTCCAGAAACGGGCTGATCGGCCTGCGCCACGGCCAGCATCAGCTTGGAGGAGTGAGGTACAGTACAGTCTCGATCTGGCCGGCCTCTTCTCAATCTCAATGCGGACTATGGAACGCCCAACGCTGGCATGGCAGCCATCTCGCATCAGCATCAGCATCAGCATCGCCTTTGGCGATCGGTGCGATCAATGCACAAGAGACCGCCAGTTTGCAGCTATTTCGAGCTGACCGTACCTTTCCTGGCGAAAGCACATTGTTGACAGGGCTGGCTGGGCCGACCGCCATCCTGTTGCCTTCAACTATCAACTCAACCCAACTCGCACTGCAAAGCCCGTCAGATCAATCAGGCAAGAAGTGCGATTATCCGCACCAGATCCAAGGCTCTGGAAGCAGTGGGAATTCCCCAACCAAAGTCAACCAACAATATCCTTGACGTCGAGACTTCTCGACGCACTGCAATGTCCGGTTTTCTGCCTTTTCGCCTCCATCCGCCGGCCAATGGTCGGATGGCCGTGTGGAATTTTCCATTGGCTGGGCCGACCCCACTGCCGTTTCCGGCCAGGCTGGAATTTCCTTGATCTCAGTCTCAGCCTGTCGAGGCCTGGCTCGGCCCTGCCCAACTGCCACTGCCGCTCACTTCCGTACCGCTGTTGTCGACCCGGCTCAGGGCTGGCTTTTCGACACGCCGGATGTGGAATAGTGCTGCCTTCCATGCTTATTTACTTGCAAAAGTGGCAGGCAATGTACTCTGAAGCTCTGGGTGCTCCAGCTTACTCCTCTTCTCAGTCAGAACGAGCATGATGCATCCCCGTAGCTCCGAGACTTCTCCTGTACCAAGCACTCTAGTCCGCGAACAAGACTTCGGGTGCGGGCACGCGCGGAGAATCCAAGATACCGCATCGGGCAGGATGCAGCAACTCGCGCCGTCCACCCCCTCCCACCATGATACTATCCCACCCGACTCTCCGGACGGCTGCCTCGTGGTCGTGAGCCGTGACCCCCTGAGGAGTCAGTAGTCAGTCATGTCATTCAGTCTCCAATTTCAGGCTGCTCGGCTGGGTGTGAATTCCGAAATTGGAGCAAATATACATGGAGCAACGACTTGAATTGCAAGTCTTACGTATACGTACTGGACTACAGTAGACTCTGGTAACCGAGATGAATATTCTATCCCAAACGCCGCATTCCATGGACACACTGGGGGGCGGGGAAGACGTACGGAGTACTCGCTTACATTTGTACACCGTCGATAAACAAGGAAGTTGGAAGGCACTTACAATCTTAGTGGTGCCATCTCTCTTCGTAACGGTCGTATAGTTTAGTTAATTCTCGACTGTTGCTGCTGCTGTTGCCACTTCGGGTGCGAGATCAAGTCACTCCGTATCCGCTAGATTGCACCGCGTACCCCAGTGGATTTACACTGTGGGTTACCTCCTGGAGAGCGGACGAGTTATGCCGCCGCATAAGTGACTTGATGATCTAATTCAAGGGTCTTGCCGTCTGCCGGATGGGCGATATCCCGTGTCACCCCGCCATTGTGTCTCAGATTAAGTGCAGGTTGTTGATCGATCAGGATTCATCGGGACTGCTGTGGGTATGGGTGGTGGGGGGTTTCTCGTCGAGATCGGACTACGATTTAGTGATTATGCTGGTTTCTTTCTTTAGAGTTGGAGTTTAAATGCGATTTTGATTTGTATTGTTTTGCTATTGTTGTTTTGTTTGTTGGAGTTATGACGAGGTGCTTCGATAACAAGACGGGCTATTCTTCCTCTTCCCCTCGCTTTTGGCAAATGCTTCCGACATTCCAAGAAGAGGACGGCACGGTATATACCGAGTGAGTCACACTGGAGTCACTAGTTATTTGTTCCAGAACTTCCAGAGCCCACAGCAAAGTCTGGGTGACGTTTTGCTGTTGTTTTGTTGTTGTTTTGCTTCGTCGTGTTTCGTCTCGTTTCGAATGCGCACGTAATCGCCTTCAATCGCTCAGAGGATTGCATCTACCTCAATCTCCACGAGCATTCTCTCATCGACGAATCCATTGCGCACCACCAGCATTGTCGCCGCAGCTCCGACGCCTGGCTGGCTCTTGCGTCCTAGGATTTCCGTGAACCCCTCCCCGACAGCAGTGCAGTCCTCGGGGCGACTGACGAACATTCTCACCCGCACCACGTTCTCAGGCCCCTTGCCGCCGAGGGCTTGGACTGCCTTGATACATTCCTCAAGTGCCACGCGTGTTTGCTGGCGTGCGTCGCCTGGGAAGAGGATTTGCGGGGCGTCAGCAGGAGATGCGGGGTCGACTGCAGTGGTTCCAGACACGAAGACTTGTTGGCCGTGGCGAACCGCTCGATAATATCCGATTCGCTCTTCGAATGGGGATGGCGTCGAGTAGAACTGTTTATCGGCGGAGGTTGGGTTTGAAGTCATATTGGGCGAGTTACGCAGGCTTCAGAGCTTGAGTTGCTCTTTTGCTGGCCATATCCCCTGACTTATATGCTTTTTGCGAGCTAAGTCAATAGGGAATGAGTCATAGGTCGTTAGCCTGTTACTTGGCCCCTTGACCTCGTATAACCAAAGGTTGACACTAGGAAGAACCTTGGAATGGTGTGAATGGCTCAATGCCGCCCCTTCCTTTCGAAAGGAGACATGGTCAACCAGGATCGGCTCAAGAAGTCACCGATCGGCTTCGAGTATCACCTTCCCGCCTCGTGTGAAATCTCCGAGGCCGCTCGGCCCAATGCGACTGCAGGCACCGATTCGCAGAGATCTTCGAGCGTTGCCTCGAATCCGTCGCATGCCCGAGGGGCAGCTGTGAGCAGTCGGATGCACCCAGAGGGACCGGATGAGCAGGCAACGACTGAGTTACATCACGCTGAAACCGACAGTTTGCCTTGTACGGCGTAGTTGATTGCAAGTTGTGTCGGTCTAGAGCTGTTTGGAATTCCAGGCATTGCAGCGACAACATCTGGACGCCATTGATGAGTGAGCATGCACGATATTCGATGTCGGGCCAGCAGTCAGCGCCCCAAAATGGATCCTCGCGAACTGCCATTTCAAGCGCCTCAAGCCAGAAATTAAAGCTAGGCAGCCGTCGACTGGAGTTGAGCAGGCCTGGATTGAGCAAGTCGTCGGACAGGAGACACGCCACGGCAACAAAACGGATGGTGGGTTCTGAATGCAAGACGTGCAGGCCGATGCAGGCGGGGCAGCGCTCAGTCATATACCAATCATGCTCCTCACTAAAGATGCAATGCAGCCAAGCATAAGCATCGCGTGCTTCACCTCGAAAGGCTCGCTCTGACTCTGTTGCTTTACGGCCGGGCAACATGTTGACGGCAACGCGAGACGCTTGGTTATGGAGAAGGAATAGGGGGAGGAGCAGGGTGTGTATTATATCACGATGCAGGCGAAACGACTCTTGTTCCTCGTCCGAGCACGAATAGCGGTGGGATGTGCAAAAACTGAAAGGCAACCAGGCGTCAGTAACATGACGCATACTCGTGATAAAAGGGGTCTACCAACCTTGGGGCTTCAGAGCCGAGCTCCTGGCGCCTGAGATTCTCTCTAATTGCTCGAAATGCTTCATTGCGAGCCAGCCGATCGCTGGCAGCCCGCGAAATGCGGAACGGGCAAGGGGTAGACATTGCCTCGACGATGAATCGTCGACCGACAGCGGAGAGGATTAAGAGGGCGATTCGAGGGGGATTCGAGTGCGTCCGGGATCAACAACTCGATATAGTCGAATTGACTCGTACGTACTCACTGACGTCGAGTCCAGATGGCGAGAGCGCAGGGGCCAATCAGCGACACTGGCGATAGCGAAGCTTCCAGTTTCCCAAGATAGTGACGTTTGACGGGCGCAGAACCAAGGGTCGCATGGTCTGGACAGGTCAGATTTGACTGGGGAACGCCGGGTAGGGGCAGGAAGGGCGAAACCATTGAAGATGGAGAGGAAGAAACAAAGAGGGCTTGAAGTAGTAATAAAAGATTGCGCCCGCGGCGAGCGCAGAATGCAGCGATGTCACTTTGGGGGACGAGATGAAAGCGGGCATCTGAGTGGGCGACGGAGACGGGGCAGGGGACACATCCACGCAAGCTGCTGTCGATCCTCTTTTGGCACAAAGTCCTGCTCATTTCTATTCGATTATTTGGCATTCCTGGTTTTTCCCCCTGTAGACTGCGGCCTGCTGCCGTTTGTATCTTGATTGCGTAGTTCTGTGCTCACCACGGCGTCGCTTTCAACGAGGAGTTGTCGGCGTTGTCTCAGTGCCCCTCCTGCTCAGGCCCTGCAGACTCGCAGCCCGAGCACTCTCGTTTTAGCAGATCGCAATCGAATTGTTGTCTGAGTGGAGCCGGAAAGGGTCTCGATCGTTGCCCAGATCCGGCTTCTCAAGCCTGAAAAGCCTGTGCATGACGGTATCTGCCGATTTCAGGAGGAAAAGGGGCCGACCGTGTGTTTTGCAGTTATCGTGACTGGCGAGCACTGAATCAGGATCAGAGCAGATGCAACAGGTTGATGATACCCGCTGCGAGTCTTAATCTTGCTGCCGACTGTTCGAAACCCTCGTGGTCGCAGGGCTGAAGCGGATCTTCGTTTTCCCTTCAATCGTGTTTTCTGCTCTTCTGATCTTCTCTGCAATTTCTGTATTTTCTTCTCGGCAGACGGAGTGTCCCGAAACTCAACGGCGTCAACCTCCCAACTGCCACAACTGCCACAACTGCCATCTCACTGCAATGGTGAATCAGTGTCCTCATTGCGCTGAGGAACAGCCGGCCCATGTCTTGAACGTCACCCGCTGATTGACTCGTGCAGATTACCCCCGCCACAAATCGCATTGTCGTCCTCAATATCACCAATCATTTGCCCTCTCTATTCAATACGCTGGATCTGAGCTGAGTTGAATGGATTCTCGAGAGCAGACTGTGGTGAACACTGTCTCAGCTATAATTAGGAGGCTTCTCACGTCTGGCCTCCATCTCGGGCAGCCCGGTGAAAGCAGTCACCCAATTTCAAGAGTGGAGCACCGATGATGGCGTTTCGCTGTGATGGAAGGCCGTTGGCTCAGGGCTGTCAACCGGGTTTATTCCAGCCAGCTTCCAAGTTCTCACAATAATGTGTGTTACTGTGGTCGAGCTATTGCGGGCCATACTTGACTACGAAGCTGCGGTACAAAGCACCTTTGCAGCAAATACTATCGCTTTTAAATGCAAAGATAGGGTCGCTAATGGCCACCAAGCAGTAGCTGTCCCTCATTCCCAGAGACTACCCCGTTTACGTGGACGTCAAGAGCCTGCTTGTTCAGGAACTGACAATAAATCTTGTCAGAGTAAAGTAGTGAACATAGCGGAGATAAAATTGGATTCATTGCTCTCCAATGGCTTTCACTGGACAGGTTTGTTGTGAATATTGAATCTTCTAAGGTCTTTATAACACATTCAGCCACTACAAGCTCTGGAGGCCATGCATCTCACTTCAAATATCCTATATATCGGCATGGCCGAGGCTGTTCCATAGCCGATGTTTTCACTAAATCTATAACTTCCCAAGTCAGTACACTGGGCTGTCAAAGTGAACGCCCTCTCATTCTCTCAGTGTTGAGATTGGACATAAATACAACGATCAGTCCCAAGACACTTCTCACCTCCATCTCTCCTTCTATCTCAAGCAATTTCAAATTGTGCCCACCAGCCTCGCAGCAAGATGCCTTCTCTACCCCTTCTTGTCTCCCTCCTCTCCCTCTTCTCCCTCAACACTGTCGCAGCCCATGAGGCCATCGTCGGCGGACACCCAACTACAGCTGAGAATTACCCCTACCAAATCAGTCTGGAACACCTGGGCCAGCACGTCTGCGGCGGTTCGATCATTGGCGAAAAGTCCATCCTGACAGCCGCCCACTGCACACACGAATTCCCAAATAACTTGACCGTCCGTGTGGGCACGTCAACTATCGGCCACGGTGGCGACGTCTACCAGCTGTCCAAGATCACGCAGCACCCCAATTTCAACCCCAACACAGGCGATTACGATGTCTCGGTCATAACCCTCAGCAGCGACATCACCTTCGGCGGCTCAGCTCGCCCCATCACACTCAGCTCCACAGCCCTACAGCCCGGCCTCAACTGCACAGCTACCGGATGGGGCTTTAACCGTGAAAACGGCAGAGTCTCCGAGCAGCTACAAGCCGTCGAACTGGAGACAGTCTCCCGGGCAGAATGCCGCAATGACTATCAGGGCGTCATCCCGATCACAGACCGCATGGTGTGCACTTATACGCCGGGGAAGGATACCTGCCAGGGTGACAGTGGCGGGCCGCTTGTGTATGGTGGTGTGCAGGTTGCTGTTGTTGGGTTTGGGCTTGGCTGTGCGAGGCCCGGATACCCGGGAGTCTATATGGATGTTGCGAGTGAGGAGCTTCATCGCTTTATTATGGAGGCTACGAAGAACCAGGGGACACTGCAGCCGCCTGCGGGATCGAGTACATTTGTGCCATCGAGCACGGCGTTGATCCCAGGCTCGGCGTCCTCTAGTATGGTGCCATCGAGCTCGATACCATCAAGTGTGCCGTCGAGCACACTGCCATCAGTTTCAACACCATGGACTACTATGCAGTCGAGTACAGTTCAATCGACCACACTGCAGACGAGTATCACCTCTCAAGCCGCTGCTCAGCAATCTGGCGTGCAGCAACCGGGTTCCTGCCGCCCAAAAGCTAAATAAATGATTGCTATTTACGGGTTTTGATATCTATTGGGAGTGATCAGGTTGCCGAGTCGAGGGCACGGTACAAAATTTTTTTTCTACCTTAATGTGAGTTAAGGGTGTCTAAATTATAAAAGCAAATAATGTTATTTTCCATTTCATTTTTTATAGTCTAATACCGCTTGAGTAGTAACTTAATTAAGGAAGGCTGGTGGCTATTTCCGTCCCATCAGGAGCGTCGGAACTACGCCAAAAATAATCTCTTAATGGAAGAAGTTGGGCTACAAACTTAAAAGCAAAAAGGCGATCATTCATATTTAATACACCAATGTCCACTCCAACCAGACCGCCATACCGTTATTTCATATCAATCATAACAAACTTGATCAGGATCAAGGCGTAAAAGTGCAGAACAAACATAGGTGGGAGAGTACAAACTGGTCGGCTCCAGAAAGCCGGGCAGAAATGATAAAGTACAGTCTGATTAGACGAATAGGGACTCTGCAATAACGGGTATATAACGAAAAAAGAATTAGGGCTTTAAATGCCAAAGAAATATATTAGTCTTTCAGAGCCATCCATGGAGTCGCGTAGCCCCATGATAGATCATTTGTGAGTACAGGGCTCGATCCTTTATCTGAAGACATGCCACCAGCTCTGCTCGACTTTCTCTTGCTTTGTTTCCGGTTGGGTTGTTTGGAGTTCGCTCTTCGGGGCTCGTGATCTGATTCGCTGCTGGTAGAAGACTCGGTTCCAGAAGAGCTTAAATATGCCCCTGGCGTGGATTGAATCGTTGGACTTAAAAGGCCGTTTTCGTCTTGGAAGTAGGCTTCTCTCTGGCTTTGGTCTTTTCTTGCGCTTCTCGGAGAAGCAGATGGTGATTGTGACCCTATCCTTGGCACAGTCACTCTCTCATCCTTAGCGGATCTCATACCGTCCGGGCGTCCGTGGTGACCAGGATACAGGTTTGACGAGCAACAGAGTGAAACCTTACTCTCTGCCTTTTTGATAGAATAAGCGAAAAACTGCTCTACCTGGAAGGCAGAGGGCCGATTCCCCGGGTCTTTGCTGACCATGTCTCGCGACATTGCAAGCATTGGTCGAACAGCTTGGAACACGGGGTCTTTGCGCTTCTTTGCGTCGCTATCAAGAAGAGTAATCCACGAACTCACTTGGCCAATGTTCCGGTCCAGGTGGAAGGAACAATCTGCAACGCCGCCACCACGGCCAGCTGTGCGATTCTTTGCGCCACGGTGGCTGGCGAACGCTGATACTTTTCGCTTGCACAAGCATGTAAAAATATCCAAAAATACTGCACCGAGGGAAAAGATATCGGATGCTTCAGGATCGGTTTGCCGAGACTGCCATGTCTGGACCAATGCTCCACCACTGCTATGCGCAGTGGGCACCCCAACGGAGTTGAAAATCATGGACCCGCGCTCTTCCGAAGACCCTGAAGAGTTGGATGGAGTTATAGACGGAGTGTAGAGTATGGGGCGTTTCACCGAGATGCCGCGCCGACGGATGCTCCCGTTACTTGACCCCGAGGAAGAGGAAAGGCCCATGGAATATCGAGAAGACGGGTCCCTCTGGCCAACATGAATAACAGTGCCATGAGAAGCAACCGACTCTGGAGGCGGGCTCAGTGACTCTGGATCCGATATGCGCAATCCCTTCAAGCGAGTTAGGTTCAATGCCCCTGGACGTTCGCCCACCTTACGACCGGAGCGTCCTCCTGATGGAAGTGTGCTGCTCGCAGGGCCGCTGTTCTGGACGCTGATAGAGCGCACCCACCTTTCCGGTGGGCCATATTGGTAGGACTCAACATCATCCACCTTTACCGGTGGAAGTAAGGTGTCCAGGGCTTCGAATTGACCAATGAAAACTCGAAAATCTGCATCGATTAGAATATTGGATGGGCGAATAAGGCCATGAACTTGGCCATGGGCATGCAACCAGGATAGTCCATGGCCAAGACAGTGTGGCCAATTGATTAATATTTCTCGACGTCGTTCTTTTGCGAGCCTTTTGAAGGATTGAGGCGTATCGGCCAGGAAAGACATGAGGTTTCTTTCATATACTCCCGAGAATAGGATGCAAATAGTGTTGTCGGCAAAGTATGATGCGTAAATGGAGTAAACATGGTCATGGGCCAATCTCCTCATAGATCGAATCTCTTCGAGAACTTCGTCTTCGTCGAAGAAATGTGGCGCGCCACCGATGGTAACTTGGGTCCGCAAATAGATCTTGCAGGCTGCTCCAGCAAGGACGACCCTTTCAACGCCCTCTCTCACCAATACAGTGCCCGTATCCAGTACTTCGACAGGGACGCCTTCGTTATCGGTATACTTGACATGCTCGCCTTCGCCAATGCCCCTGACGACAAAACGCCATTGGGCCAGGAAAAACTTTGAATCTAGTTCAGAATTTGGATCCTGAGCAGAAAGCTGCAGCCGGTCAACACTATGAGCAGCAATTGGGAGGTCCTGGTCGTCAAAGGATTCATCAACCAGGTGAAAGATTCGTTCAGGAATACCAATATCAAGTAGAATAAGAAACAGCCTTCCTGCTTTGGCAAGGATCCAGTCGAGGTAGGTCTCGCTCGTCAGGCCCTCGCCCCAAGGTAGGGGGGCAACAAGGCGGGGCAATGTACTTTGAGGAAGGTGCTTGAAGACAAAATCAGAACAGATAGTCGTCTGGACGCGGTCCTCGGGCCACCAGACAGAAGTCAAGGTGGGCATGCTGAACTCCGCGGAGGAACTCGAAGCAATGAAGCACGGAAATGGTTGGGAGATTCAGAGCGTCCTAGGAACATTTCTATGCAAGGTTAACAAAGAAGGGAGGTACATAAAGGCGCAGTAAATACATATATAAGGGTCAGCTATTAATGAGACCGGGGAAATACCTATGTCGGAGTAGTTTGTCTCTGAATGGGTAAAGACGACGCGGCTTATCTTGTGGCACTAGACAGAGGCCACCATCCTTCAGGCACATCAATAGTTGCAACGAAGGGCGAAGTTTTGTGACCGGGAGAAGCATGGACCAAGAGGGAATGAAATGATTTCATGGCCATGGGCGGAAGTGAGGGAGATCCTCAGCGTGGCAACGGCGCGGCCAAGCATCGAGAAGGAATGAAGACCGTTAGGAGGCACGATAGATCAGAAAGACAATGCAGCGTAGCGCGTGCATCATTGGACAGGGAACATTGGCAGCGACAATCAAAGAAAAGACAATTAAGCGCAAGCTGATAAGGGGAGAATTGCATTCTTGTGATTGACAGAAGTGAGAGCTGGGGTGAGGTGACTGGTCATCCTGGCCCAATCGGGAAATATGCTTATCAGTTGACAGCTGCCTGTCGTTTTATTCCGTAAAATGCGCTGATAAGCCGCTTCCTCTCGTCCACACTCTGTCTTCCCCAGTCGAAAATCGCTGACTCGATGTTGAATCCTTCGACGAGCTCGTCCTTGAGGTCTGCGGAGTCCCCTTTCTGGCAATGTCGCTGTCATTGGATTCTAACCGCCGCTCTCTTAGGAAGTTCCCGGCTTCCAGGCCACATGTGAACCGCCGTGAACCGTCGAGGCCTGTTCTTATCTCTTGCGCCGGAGCCCGCCGTACTCATTAATCTGCTGAGTCGAACCAGGGTCATGGCGCTGACGTGCCAGAGACTCGTCTGATAGCCAAGTCGAAGGATGGCTTGGATACTACACAAGGGGACCCTGGAGTTTTCTGGCTATTGTCTCGGCTAATCACTTTTTTTCTTGCTCCGAAATGATGTTTGGTTGGTCCCCTTCCTATAGACAGAGTGTGCGTCAAGGGCGCTTTCGTTGCATCACTCCCTTAACATCATTCTTGGATTCCTGGGGAACGCAATACCCCATACTGCTATCTCCAGATCCACCAGCACAGACACACCAACATCCAAAAACCCACAAAAATAGCAAGCATGTATCCTGCGTTTCCGAGTTTACGGGTCTTTGGCTTTTAGGCAGTTCCTGACTCATGCCAAGCCCCATCTGTGTTCTTTCGCAATCGTTGATGATAAGACCAGTGCCAACCACCCAAGCTTTCCGCGAATCGCGCGCAGAATCGCAGGTCAAATGCACAATTTCCTGAATTGGCGCTCTCGATTACCTACTATTGAATCCGTGCATGGTACACCGAGCCATGGGGACGGGACCACACATGATAGGAAGACAAGGAGGACAAGTCAGAGGGTATGCCTGGTTGACAGCAGTTCGTCGATCATGAGGCTTGGGCTGATAAGCATACACGAGCATATTTACATCTGTGGACAGAATCTTCTTTAATTAGAGCACTAGTAAGTGGGTGGACCTAGTTAAACCATGCATGGTAGTCTAATGATATTGGATCCAAGCGCTGGTACATACTCCGTAGTATTCACATTACTGAAGTCCACATAATGCCATTCTCCCTTGCATCCAGTACCGGTGGACTGGATGGTCACATCTACCTTGTTCTATTTATCAGTGACTTCTTCAAGTTTGGTTCATGGAGTGTCCCTGACTTGTATAGGGAGGGTGGGAAATCTTCACGGCCCCTCTATTTCCCACCTTATCAATCTCTCTTTGCTACAAGATAAGTTGCAATCCACCAGGACGACACTCCTACCTGCACTGACCAAGTCCATCTCCGTTTCCGGCCTTCTTCTCTTGGCATGTTATCATGCTGAGCTTAATCAGTTCATCCTCCAGTCCAGTCCAGTTTAGTTTCTTCCCCGAATTTTCCCTAGTCGCACCGGCAGGCTCGCCGTTCGTTGTCCCGGGGTCAGTCGTTGCGGCTGGTCTTGCGGTTGATCCTGTTCTGAACGCCTTCGGGTTCGATCCCAGGCTTTGCGAAAGATGTTTTGTTCGTCACCGATGTGTCTCGCACGATTGTTGAGGAACCCCTCGTGTGCTTCCTTTTCCTCGCTCAACTCTTCAATCTGTTTCTGTCAGTGTCCATCATCTTTCTTTCCCATATGTCGGGATTATTTCGAGCGATGGTTCTGATCTGAACTCGGTTTAGAAGACGCAGTGACCTGCGTATCCGTCTGCGTTCCCGTTTGGTCTGGTGTCTATACAAAAGAAACCCCAGCAGCGGGCGAGAGAAAACTTACACATTTCAGCCAAATTTCTTGCTCCGAGCTCCATGCTTTCTGACACCTGGCCAGCTCAGCTCGTGCATGTACAAGCTGCTTTTCTTGCTGCATAGTCCATCGACTGCTCGTCTGATATTTGGTACCATCCCAGCTGACTAGTCTCTTCCTCTTCCTAGTAGCAGCAGAGACCGATGTGCTAATGCCGACAAGGTCGACATCTCCATCAGACTCGATCTCTGATTCAACATCTGATTCATACTGCACCCGAACTGTTTGAGGGATGCTGGTGTATAACCCTTCGTCGAGGTCTTCTCCGGCATCTATGTCCTTCCCTTTCACGTTCATTCGCTTTGTCTTGAGAAACGAAATCGGAAGACGGAAAACATACTTGGACTTGACGCGTTGGCTGACTCCCATTTTCACTCTCTGTTACCTAAGCTCGGCCAGTATAGAAGGATATGTAAGGAGAGAGGGCGACAAGGTAAGGAAAGTATGTTATACCTATCCGCGAGTAAGCCTCTTATAGTTGTAAAGATGAGGTCTAACGGACATGAGAAAGCCCGAATGGAGTCCATGCTTATATACCCAACCAGTCCATCCGTCTCCGCGCATCAATGCCATCGAAAGTTTGCCGCCCCATCCTCAGAAATACCCAATATGGTCCGATTTCCCTGGTCCGAAACCCGATAATCCGTCCAATAGTACCGTTACATCCCTATCCTTGCCGCCACAAGCGTTCCGACAAACATCCAGAAGTCAAAGCGCCCCCATGTGCCCCATGTGCCGCCGTCTCTCCAGTCTCCAGTCTCCACACAGCAACCCAGATCACCGAAAAGCCGCGGGGAAACGCTTTTGTTCTTCCCAAAGACAGTTCTAGAGTCCAGGCCCCCTCATCTCGTCAGCGCTGGCCGCTATGTGTGGCTGCTTTAGCCCTTGAAAACCTGCAAGATGCAGGCCCCAAGTGCCCCGGTCTAGACTAAAAAGGAACACTAACACAAGTCCGACGCTAGCAGTCTAGCACGAGGCCAGCTTCCCCGAGTTAAGGCGCCAAGGGCGGAGAGGGAAAAGGGCTTGCACGTTTCTTAGGACGGGGGCGAACCCTTTTGGGTCCCGGGTCTGAGGCCTGGAACGGGGACGGTAACTGATCCGCAGGGTTTGTCAACGTGGCGGCCAGAGAGTTGTTCTGGTGCAGGGGGATCTGTAGACTACTCTGTATCCTGGGCACTACATATATACGGTGAAGACACGATGACGTCGTGACCAAGGAAGCCGCCACGGGCCTGGGGTTATATACCCTGGATCTCTGTATCAACCATACTGACCACACCTTATACTCAGACTTAGAAACAGACTGTTATGAACACAGGCAATGCAATGGCCCTTGGTCTCAGAAATGCTCGATATGAACAGGTGGATAAAGAAAGAAACAGTCAAAAAGGAAAAAGCAAAAAGAAGGAAAATTAGTTGGGCAGCTGACTTCGTGATGCAAGCCCCAACATCCAATCAGAGCTCCACCTCCAGAAAAGAAATAATAACATGGACTGGGCCCTTCTTTCTAAGTTGCTTCAGGTCAAAGTATTCAAGAGAAAATAATCGCCTACCATCCAACCGCTATAAATGACAAAAGATGGATACATTCTAACAGCTATGCAAAAGGCAACCAAAGTCAGCCAAACACCATCCCCGTCCAGGTTCGCCAGCACCGGAACGACCCGATTAAATGTACCCTGACATCAAACTGCATAAGAGAAAAAAGACCAAAAGAGAGAGAGAGAGAGAGAGAGAGAAAAGTTAGACATCACTTCATATGCAATAAACACTAAGCCCTACCCACCGCGATGCAAACCAAAGCAATCAGCCCCGCTGGATAATACTCCTGGGCTTCGAGCGCGTAGGCCTTGATTCGTGGGCGCTCTTCCTGTCTGCTCTGGTTTGCTCGCCGATAATGACGCTGACCAGTCGGCGATGCAAATCAGCGTCTGTCCAGCCGACCCATCCCGTGCCTCCGGACTTCAGGTCCTCTGCGGCTAATTCCTGCCTAAACCGGTACACGATGGCAAATTGGAGTTCCGTGACTGGGACCCCGTAGGTATTGTCTGAGGTCCAGATATAATCACCAATAATGCCGGAGTGAGAAGGGCTGGAGTGGTAAGTAAAGCTCTCGGGGGATTGTTTAGCGAGGCGGTAGAGACGTCGGAGGAGAGTGTAGTGTGCATTTGAGAAGTAGCCAGACGTTTCAAGACGCGTTGGCTTCTCTGGCGACTTCCCTGTCGTCGTTGGTTTTGGTTCCTTCTTTGGCGCTGCTGAAGTACGTTTGACTTTGGGCTGGGGACTGGGAAGCCAAATTTGCTCAGTCTCGGACTCCAAAACGGCATCGGGCTGCGGCTTTTGGATTTCCCTCAAGTTATCTTCCTCCCGAGAGTCCACAGGATGTTGTTCTTCCTCTTCCTCCTCCCCTTCTTCATTCTCGTTATCCTGGTCCCTATCCTGGTCCTCCTGTTCTGAGTGTTCTGACTGCTCTTCAATCGGACTTGCTTCTTTCGAATTCGGCCTACTCGTCGGTGGGCTTGAATGCTTATTCTGGGGACTTGAGTTTTGGAGCGGAGCCTTTAACCAGCCGGGTGTGAGACTTGTGATCCTTTCATACCAGGATGTTGCTTGGCCGCCCCTATTGGCGGGTGCTGGATTCTTGGGCGTCAACGTCTCTTCATGCACGGGCGGCTCATCGCCTGCACCATCCGAAATGCTAGCATTATCTGCGAAATCTGACGGGTAACGTTGCATCTCGCTTTCATGTCTGGTGGTCGGATCAATTTGGAAGGTCTCATCTTCTAGGTCTTTCTCTGGGCTGAAGTCCAAATAATCTGCTGGCTCTTCTGCTTCTTCCAGTTGGCCCAGCTCATTCTCGTATCTTTCCGCATGTTTTTGACGATGAGATGCCGCAGACGATAGCATGTTGTGCTGCGGGGAATATCCTTGAGCTGAGCTCAATGGACTACTCTTCCCATAATAGTAACGGGCACGATTGGGTGTGTCCTCCGCACGAAGCAGAGCAGATATATCAACTTCCTGTTCTCGTAGTTCACGGACACGCGATTGACCCAAGGAAGGCATCTTGCCCTGCCCATCTACCCAGTGTGCCGGAGAAAAGGACATGCTGTAACCCCGTCCCGCAGGAGTTGAGCCACCTTTCTCAGGGCTTGACTGTACTTCTTCCTGAGGCTCTAGCATGGACTCTCGACCCGAATTCCCTTCATCTTTAGCTTGGTCCTGCCAAATATCCTCATATCCATCGTCCTCGTCGGCATCAAGGCCATAATCTGCCCCCTCCCCATTGACGTAGTCTTCTTCCACCACTTCTGAATGTTGATCTTCGTCCAGCCTGGGGATTCGGGGACTTCGGCTAGCAACGTAGTCCGCTCTGCCCTTCTCGACGTCGAAATTTTCCTCATCCGCCGCTCGCTGGTGTTCTCCTTGCTTTGGCATCCAAAGGCTTTGGTCATCATCATAATCACTCCGCTGTTCCTGATTGCCGTAGTTATCCTCTTCCAACTCCCCCTGCTCTTCTTCTTCTTTTTCTTCCTGTCTTGGTTCTCGGGAACTTTGGCGAGAATTGTAGATTGCCCCTTCCTCCTCATTGTCGTATTCGTCCTCTCTCACCTCCTGGTGATCTCTATTCCACGTTGACGTCCACCGACTTTGGTTCGCATCGGCCCCCTCGTCCATCTCTAATTCCCTCTGCTGTTCTTTTTCTTCCTGCCCGAGCTCTCGACGATTTTGGTTATCATCATAGACATCCCCTTCCTCCTGGCTATCGTAATCGTCATCTTCCACTTCCTCGTGGCGCTTTCTATTCCATTGTGATACCAAAGGAGTTAGATCCCCGACGTCCCTCTCGCCTGCGTTGGTATTCGGCGTACCAACATCGCTATCGATGACGATGACTTGGCTTGAATTCGCCATTTGTATTGTGCGACTGACTGCGTCCCTTTCTCTCTGCCACTCCGCGAATCGCTGTTTCATATCCGTGTCCGGGGAGGATGAGACTGGAGAAGGATCGGCTGCACCATCATATTGTCGATTTGGAGTTCTAGACACTTCACGTTTAGTGTATTCAAAATCCAAACTAGCGTGGTCATCCTCTTCTCCTAATTCTTCCGCAGCCAAAGCTCGCCGTTGCGGACTCCTGAGCTCCATCATTTTTCGCCTGATTGCAAGTACTTGACCAAGTCCTAGAGCTGCCCCTAGGACCCGCTGTGATTCCGGATTCAAGTCGCTAAATATTACCTCTAGCCGTTGCCTAGGCGCCATGTAGTCGGGAACTGCATTTCCTGGACTATAAGGAGGGTTGGAGTGGCTAAGAACGCGTTCGAGAGCGATTCCAGCCTTGACTAACTTGGCCAGACGGAGCAAAGGCTTGCGCTGGGGTGCTGGGGAGGACATTTTGGTGGGTATAGGAGAAAACGGTATCCGTTTCGCAGCTGAAGACCGGATACTGCCCCGCGGCTGGGGAGAATCAAGATGTCGCTGTGAAGACAGCGCTGGGTCAGGACTTGGGCTGGGAGGAGATGTCTCCTCAGATTCATGTTCCGGAATGTTCGTTTTTCGCCTCAGAACGCCGTTTGTTTCCCGTTCGATGAATGGCTTGAGAGCACCCTTGGCTAGCTTCGGATTGCTTCTCAGTCCATGTTGTTGGGCTGAGGGTAATGTATCTAACGAAACCATGCTGAAACCTTCGCTCTCTATAATAGAATCGAACTCTCTGTGTTCATTTGTAGGATCACTAGGACGAATGGCGCTCGGCTTCGAAGAACTCGCGGATGGTTCACGGGAAAATCGGTTACGTTCTGGCTGTTCATTGTCTACCAGAGACGTTGAAGCCGGTGTCGGGTACGTACGAGGTGGCATTGGCGTATGGCCCGCATGTATACTATTTTCGGGAGATACGCTTGGAAGTTCGCGGGTTGGCGATGGCATTTTGGAGGGAGTTGAATGTAACTCATCATCTCCCTGTTGGTAATTAAAGCGGTCTATCGCATCACCGTTGGGAGTATCGTACGTTGGTTCGATGCTTGGTTGCGGGTTAGGATCCTCAGTAGGCGGGTCGGGCTCCGCGAACTCGGTATGGGCAGGGGCCTCAAAGGGTATATCCAACTGCTCATTGTCGTAAATCCCATCGTCCGAATCTGCGTCGCCCGCCAGGTTCAGTGGGCTCCAGCTGTGTCTTTCCAGCTCCGTGCCAGCCGGAGCAGGGTCCACCATCTGCACGTCCTCCTCAGGTTGCTCGTTATTCTCGATAACATTGTTTTCGGCGGTAGCATCAGATTCTGGTTTGTGCTTCCTTGGCCGACCTCTCCGCCTCTTCTGTTCACTGTTCGCTGGGCCCGGAGTGTTACCGGGACTCCCAGCAACCGGAGTCGTATCGGGGGCGCCAGACTTTCTGGGGCGGCCTCTTCTTCTGGGTGTCTGCTCCGAGGTATCCTTCAGCGGGACCTTTGTAGTGGTTGTTTTTTGCTTGGGCCGTTTACGCGACGGGCTGCCCTGATTTTCCTGGTCGTCTTGTGTTGCCTCAAGCGTGACGCGGATCCGCCAGGGACTAACATTCCCATCCGCATCTACCTTGTCGGGGGAAGCAGAGCGTCGGCCATCCAAATTCCTTGTTGGCGAGCCCGGGAGCACAATATCGTCGAAGCGGATCGAATGTGCACTCTTCGCAGGGCTGAGGCTAATGCGCGACCGTTTCCGTTTTGCGGCGCCGGGGGTCTGGAGGATGCGGCGGTTTGCGGGCGACATGAGGCTGCTTTGACGACCGGGGAATGGTCTGAATGGCGAAGAAATCAAGTAGTCGGCATCGCCAGGCGGCGCAAGAATGTCCGGGGAGGAGCTTTCGCTATGGGAGGAATGGGAAGCGAACATTGGATGCAGCATGCGAGGGAGACCAGAGCGACCGAGAATGAGCCTACCAAAGTGAATTCAAGCGCGTCAACAAGCCAATCCAAAACACGTCATCATCCTGTATCTAGAAGCAAAAGGGCAGAAGAATAGGAACAATTGAAATATACAAGCAGCGACTAATCGCACGTAGCGGGGAAGACTAGCTGGAGCAGCAGAAGACGGAATAAACACGTATTCCCAATCGGGAAGGTGAGAGACATAGCCACCTCAGGCACAGTAAGTATTATGTCAGCGGTCATATGACGGTCATGCGATGCCGCTTCCCTGGTTGGGACTAGTTTGTGTTCTGATTGCAGTGGACAATGGGCTTCATCCCACCCTCAGACTCTCAGACTCTCAGACTCTCAGAGTCCCAGACTGCAGTCACGCAGCAAACGGTCCGACGCTTGGATTTGGGGGCCAGAGCCAAACGGTCAGACGGTCACGGCCCGGTGAGCTCCAAAGTTAATGCGATTGCACTCTCGCGATCTCATTTACGGAGCGCACATCACTGCCCAGAGTGGTATACTTCCGGAGGCAGCTTACGTCGTTGGTCAAGCATCCTTCTCCTGCGAGGCTCTTGGGACCAATTGACGGAGATTCGCTTTGTTCCCCCGCCCTTTCTCCGCACGATGAGGTGACATCCACCGGAGATTCATTCCTTGCACTTGGTGGACTGGTCCGGTCCCCAATCCACGATTCACTCGCGCAGTCCATGGCCGCCATTCCCGGGGAAACTATAAAGGAGAAAGCTTCCCCGGCAATGCCCTCGCCCTCGCCGCTTAGGTTCCTGGTCTGTCCCGCGCGTTTCTCTCCTCGCGTCGCCCTTCTCTATTGCTACGTCTTTGTCGGAGTGTCTGCGCTCCTAACATACATTATGTATTTCAAACATTCTACCCCAGCCTTCCTCCTTGGGCTTCTGGCCTCGACGCAGGATGTCGCCGCTTTGCCCCAGGCCGGTTCAGCGCCTCAGCCTCCCAGCGCAGACCCTTACAAGGTCTACACCATCAGCGCCAACAATATCACCGCTAAATTAATCCCCCATGGGGCGCGCTTGACCTCATTGCTTGTTCCCGACCGCGACGGAGCCCCTCAGGATGTTGTTGTAGGCTACGATGACACGACCAAATACAGCGCCGACACGAATTTCTTCGGCGCAGTCGTCGGCCGCTACGCCAACCGCATCAAGAACGGCACCTTCACCATCGACGACAATGAGTACCACATCCCCAAAAACGAGAATGATGGCCTCGACACTCTTCACGGCGGCGACATCGGCTATGACCAGCGCAACTGGACTGTAACTGCCCAGACTAACTCCTCGATCACTTTCTCCTTCTACGACAAAGCCCTGCAGGGCTTCCCCGGTGACGTTCTCACCCACGCAACATACACCGTCGACAACGACAACCTTTCGGGCTCCCCACAGCTCACCACCAAGCTTGTCTCTCTAGCCCTAACCGAGACAACACCCATCATGGCCGCCAATCACATCTACTGGAACCTCAACGGCTTCCGTGATGCAAACGTCTTAGACGATGTCACTCTCCAGCTGCCCCTCAGCTCACGCTTCATTTCCACCGACGGGATCCTCATCCCCAACGGAAAAATCTCCACCGTGGACGCCTATGATGGCTCTCCAGACTTCACCTCGCCGAAGCTCGTCGGCAAGGATATCGATTCCGCTGTCGGCCTCTGCGGCACCGACTGCACAGGATACGACAACTGCTTCATCGTCGACAGACCAACAGGGTACGCTGCCGACGCGCTCATCCCAGCCGTCCATATGTCCTCCAAGAACACAGGTATCACCCTCGATGTCACAACAAACACTCCGGCGATCCAAATCTACAGCTGCAATGGTCAGGATGGATCCGACCCTGTTAAGCCATCGCAGATCCAGCGCGTCAAGGAGGCGGGCTTCAATGGTCCCACCACCCTCGACAAGAACGCTTGCGTTGTGATCGAGACCGAGGGATGGATTGATGGCATCAACCAGCCTGGTTGGGGTCAAACCGACAACCAGATCTTTAGCCCGGGCGGCTTGCCCGCGGTTAATTTGGCGGTTTATAAGTTTGGAACGGCCTAAGCTCCGGATCTAATCGGGTCGTATTGTAGGATCAAATATCCATGGGCTACGTAGCGTACCTCGTTTTCAGGTACTATATGAAATTTATCTAATTAATTAATTGGTTTTAAATTGAAAGTTTTCGTCGTATGCTATATATGTATTTGTATATTACTTCCCAAAAAGGAATGCAACCAAATTGTAGATTATACTGTAGTATTGGGTATCTATTAACAACCACATCTATCCAAACATAACACAACGGGCGAATGACACCCTAATACATGATGATATAGGAGATCTCACCATCACCCCCAACCCGCCAACGTCCAACTAGATCTATCTCCAGCCCGCAGCGAGCGCCGGTCTGGAACACCTTCTTTGTGGCTATTGGCAAGCTCCGACTCTCGAGTGGCACCCGCAAGGCCATGCTGCAGGTACTTTTCACGCTCGATCTCCACCAAGCCCCGGATCTTTAGGCCACTGACAAGGCTGGCACCCGCCCAGGACCCGAGGGTCTCGACTTCCCGAAGGGTCCCTTGGACAGGGTTTATGACATCTTTTTCGCGAGTGCGGAGGAGTTTCTGTTCGATTGGGTCGACTTCTACCCCCGCATCATTTGTGCCCTCTGTTTCGTCCGCGGTTTCGTAATCAGACTCATATGGGGTGTCGTTCGCAGCATCAGATGAGGCTTTATTTTGCCCATGAGCTGCGTTAGAGCGCGGCTCAGGCTGCTGGGAGAGTTTGAGTTTCCGTAGTTCCTGTATTTGTTTGTCTACAACCCTGCCACGCACGGGACTCCAACCATACAACTTGACTAGGTGAGTCACTTCGTCGAGAATCCGGCGTCGAACACCTGCGATATTAGAGCCCCCGCCGACAAACACGATGCGCGACATGCAGATACCCCGGACATCCGGCGGGAGACTCAAAAGCGTGTTGTAAACTACCAACGGAATCGACTTTTCTTCGTCATCTAAGTCATAGTCCGCCTCTCCTTTTGCGAAAAGCACACGCTCAACAGGCTCTGTGAGTTTGGAGAAAGGAAGCTCAACGTCGAAAGACCCAGGATTCGAAGGAGAGGGAATAGAGACGGTCTTGTTTAGAATGTCAGCCAATGAGTCATCTGGTGATTGTCCCTCCTCGCGCGGCCCTGAAGGCTCGCACCACATAAATCGACTGGCGACTTCCTCGCAGAATTCAAAATCCACTGAAATTGTATCCCCTGACTTTGAGTCTCCTCCCAAAAGCCGTGAAAACATTTGTCCTGTTTCTTGCAATAATGACCTCATTGCCCTCGTACTCCGTTTCGTAGCAACCTCTCGGTATTCATAAATCCCGGAGACGACTGTTTCTGCCCAACCAATATCAACCACTAATGCCGACCGCAGTCCAGCTGCTGTCGCGGCCATTGCAGCACTTGTCAATAGTGAAATGCTAGGTATTTTCCATCGATTAAACAACGTTGTCAAGACCGAAGACAACAGGGGGTGCGATATCACAGACGGTAGGACAAGAACTAATCGTGCCGAACCCGCGTCCGTCAAAAGATATTTGTTGTAGGCTTCCCGAAACGTCCTCTCAATCTTATCCTCAACAAGTCCCATGTCAACATCTCGTAAATCCATCTTCCACAACTCGTATGGTCTCGTCCAGTCCTCCGGTTTTGCGGGTGGCATCGGTAGCGTGTCGTCGGCAATGGGTGTACCCTTCAACCATTGCCTATAGTCACCAGCCCTCCGTGACTCCTCAGGTCCAAATCCTACCACGCACTTCGGTTCGCTCTCTCCCTCGAATCCGGCTCGCAGCCATCGAGCGCCGAGTTCGAATATAATTGCATCTTCCTCGACGCGGTATGTGGAGCCGGACGACGTACTCGCGAAGGAATTGTTGTTCGAGCGCAATTGGTGTTGCGGAGTGCGAGGTGGTGACTTTGAGGACTGGCTATGCCGTAGACTCATTGGGAGTTTGATAGTAGGTGTTTTTCGTGAAAAGTTGTGTAGGGTAGAAAGCTGCGTCCGTATAGCTGTTTGGGCGGAGGGCGGGGAAGGGTCGGGGTTGAGTGGTGAAGGAATAGCAAGTCATGCTCCCCACAGCAACACGCACCCTTTGTTTTGTATCTCCAGCGGATAGCAAAAGATATGATTTAAAAGAAGTCCGGGGGAGAAATCTGGAATAAAGCGGTCATAGTAGCTAGAGTGTCACTCCTAGGCCATTGGTCAAGAAGGAGCGATGAAAGGCCGGATCTTTGTCGGCCCGTCACTGCCGTTCGTTGATGTCAACAAAACAACCTCATGCAGTCCTCAACAACCTATAAAACAACCCCTTTTTGTCGGTTTGGTCGGCTTGTTTCTATTTTTGTGCTCTGGAGCCTTACTCGATGGGTATTCCTGGGTAAGAATAACTCTTTTATTTCCATTCAACTTTTGGTTGCTGCCCCTAAAGTGGGGACGTAAACAAAATATATATCTTCCCCATTACTATCGTACTCTAGAACTATATGGCTAATATACAGTGACAGGCTTATCAATGCACTCGGAAACGGGGAGCGAATTTCCTTGTCTAAGTTAGCAATATCTCATTTGGAGCGTACCTCACGACCTATTCGGGTAGCCGTTGATATCTCAATATGGTTGTTCCAGGTGCAAGCCGGTCGCGGCGGCAAGAACCCAGAGCTCCGTACACTATTTTACAGGCTGCTCAAAATATTGGCTTTACCAATCCATCCGCTTTTTGTCTATGATGGCAAGGATAAGCCGCCCTTCAAGAGAGGAAAAGCTGTATCAGGGCGGAGCTACGGGAATGCACCGATCATTCAACTCTCGAAGATTCTAATCGATTTGTTCCGATTTCCACGTCATGACGCCCCTGGTGAGGCAGAAGCAGAATGCTCCAGGCTACAGATGGCTGGAGTAGTCGATGCAGTAATGAGTAATGATGTGGATGCACTCATGTTCGGGTCGGCGTTTACTATCATGAACTTCTCGAAAGAACCTGGAAGCAGCTCTGGTGGCGCAACACATGTTACCAGTTACAAAATGGGTGGCGATGACGCATCAAACGTGATTCTTGATCGTTCTGGAATGATTTTATTCGCCATGCTAAGCGGAGGCGATTACCTACCATCAGGTGTTCCTAAATGTGGCAGTAAGCTCGCCGCGGAAATTGCGAAGGCGGGGTTCGGAGCAGATCTGCTAGAAGTGTTAGAAGCAGACGGGGGTGAGCTCGATGCACGACTCAACGAATGGAGAGAAAGGCTTCAGTACGAACTAGAGGAGAACGAAAGCGGATATTTCCAGACAAAACACAAAGTTGTTCGTATCCCAGAGGAGTTTCCCGATCGGACGATCTTGTCATACTACGCGAAACCTGTTGTTTCATCAGATCGAGATATTGAGTCTCTGAGGTCTCGCCTCCAGAATGCATGGGACAGAGAGGTCGATGTTTGGCAAATAAGACAATTTACGGCTGATGCGTTCGAATGGAATTATCGCTCTGGGGCGAGGAAGGTAATAAGGCTCCTGGCTGAGCCTCTGGTCTCTTATAAGCTTCGTCTCGGACAACATCCTTCGACATTTGGCAGGCCCAGATTGTCCAACAGTGATGTTCGCGTCCTACAGAAAGTATACAAAAGTCGAACGAGCTTTAGCACCGATGGACTGACCGAACTTCAATTTGATATGACTCCAATTGATATCGTTGGATTGGATCTACTGAGCGAGGAGCCAAATCCCCCGCTACCTTCCCAAGGAACAGAAGCGGCCTCTGGCGACGAAGAAGAAGAAGGAGAAGGCGAGGCAGAAGTTGTTCCACAATCACCAACTAAGAAAAGATCTCCAAAACGGTACGATCCTTATTCTACCGAGAAGGTGTGGATTTTTGAGAGCCTGGCTTTGATGGGTGTTCCAGATGTCGTGGAGAGTTGGAAGAAGGAACAACAAGCAAAAAAGACCGCAAAACAGCCCGCACCAGGAAAGACGACAAGCCGGAAACCGGGCCCGAGAAGACGGAAAGAGCTAGATCCGGGCATGAAACAAGGAAGTATCCTGAAATATGGTACTCTCAAAAAAGGGCGCTCCGACATGACGGAATACAAGAGCGCGCAGTTGTTCGAGGCAGCAGTTTCCACGACATCTCCATCCAAGTCTCAGCCAATTTCAAGCCCTGGAATGTACGGACTAACAATGTCCACACCTCCAAAAATTGGCCAGCGTGCGGATGGCTTTGACTATCTAGTTGATCGGTTTGCATCGTGCAGCCTATCTGGATCCCCGGTTAAACGACGCCCGGTTACGAGATCTACGAATGCTCGACGTACGACTTTAGGACCGGGTGGTGGCACAGAGATAATTGAAATCGCAGACGAGGGTTATTCTCCGCCTACGACACCGAGAATCTACATGAGCTACTCAAATACAAGCTTCAGGGAATTGCGCTGCCATGACCATTTCACGCAGCCGTGCACTGTCACGCCACCAAGGTTGAATAAAGAGAAATTGTCATCGGAAATAGACAATCTTGAAAAAGCCGTTACATCTCTGCAGCTGGATCTGCAGTTGGAGACGCGTGATGCAAAGGCCACTGAACAATCGCCCAAGAAACCACCCAAGACGAAACCTAAGAAGCCAGAAGTCGTTTCCGAATTGGTTGTTCCTGACCGAAACAATTCGGAAGTTCAGGAGGAAGACCCACCACCAAAGCATCGAGCGAAATGTGTCGAAGACGAAGATGCTGTTGTACCTGTGAAGGAAGCTGCGCAAAGTAAAGCAGCCTGCCACGATTTCGCTGAAACCAAGAAAACCCCAACTCACATTGAATCTGTCACTGTAAGTGGGGGGTACTGGAACGTGGATACTGAGCCTCCAGAGGACGAAGATGAGCATTCTCAAGATTACGAAGACAAGTGCAGGAAGACGACGAAGAAGAAGCGCATTCCTCGAGTCAGCATTCTGGACCTGACTTGACCCCTCTCACAACATTACCACCTGTGCAGCACTCTTGCATATGTTCTTCCAGCGTATATTTGATTTTTGGATTGCAGATGTTACACGACTTGCTACTTAATAGTTTCTGGTGCATTGCATATCGTTACTAGTATTTATCCATCTTTAGACAGGTTGGCCATACAACTGGAAATCAAGCAAAGGATTGCCCTAGTACATCTTTTAATGTGTTCCTTGATTCCAAAGAAGCACTCTTCCACGTATTTCCCAGAGTTCCAGTACTTTTGAAGGTTACAAAGAAAAGGCCTTAGTTTATAGAATCGGCAATCAAACACTTCCGGTAATAGATACTGGTGAAGAGATGGTTGTTTTCAAAGAAGTCTAGAAAGCAGATAGAATATCATGGCTTATATAGTATAGCATAGCAGTATCTCCGCACCTCCTGTATTGAACACCACTTTAAGGGAAAAAGGATGATTGTTTTAAAATGGCTTTTGAAGAGAAATCACAATTGAACCCCTTCGGTTATAATTGATATAGGTGGTTGTTGCTGGCATGAGGTTATGCAAGTATTACAATACCTCGCTTCTTCTATCTACGATGTCCGAACGAATCCGAGAATTTTGTTGCCACCAATCTCATTTTGACATAAAGATCATCTTGATATTTATCTAAATATACCCAGACCGCTCCCCTGTCCGCTGCCTTTCATGCTAAATTGAAAGCATTGTCCGCGGCAGCTCGGGGTTCGATTCCCCGTATCGGGGTCAAGCATTGTTGTCATTGTCATTGTCATTATAATTATTTTTTATATAGGGTCAGTTTTATCAATCTCTTCAACTGGGCAAAGGTGATTCCTATCGAGGTCGGTATGATGCTCCCGAGTCGGCCTTCAATAGCCCGCATTTGCTGCGGGGGGGAATCCCAGCCGTGAGCCAACCGATCGAGGACTCCGACATGGTCGGGGCTTTCCATGACTTGTGTGAAAAGACCTCCATCTGCAGCTAAAGGAAGGAACTGGGGTCAAGCCAGCTGTCCCCTTTACCGCTTCTTTGAGCCAATCTCATTGCTGGGTTTCTTGCAGTAGGTTGCATGTAGATTGTACCTACTTTTCCTCTTTAGCGCTGGAGGAGGGCTGAGCCAAAAATAATGCAGTTTCATGACAGGCCATCCCTGAGCAGGGGCCAAGGGTGATTCCTGTTTGTCACGAGTGACGAGCGGCTAACAATAACATAACAATCTGCGAGCTTTGCCCACCTGTCTTTCTGGTACGGAGGTGCTTGTTTGCCACTCTGTGGGGAATAATGGACCGGATAGGAAAACTCGGACATGGACGACTGACTGTTTCCGGAGGCGAGTATCATCTCCCAGGCGAAGGATGATTATTCAAGGAGGGCGGTAGCAGTGAGGCGCTACAGAGTGGTATTTTATTGAATTTTGAAACCGCTAAACCAGAAGCAAGACTAGACTACCACGAAGTTACAATCCATAGCTAGTCTCAAAAATTTGCTTCCTCGGTCTTCCGCCTCACAGGAGTGATTTCTTTCCTCTTTGGGAGCTGAGCGCCACTACGTACATTCCTGAAGAATTTGAACAATGCAAAATTTTTTTTGTAGAATCTCCCCGCTTGAAGTCGCCGACGCTTGTTCTCAGTCCAAAATCCCGAATCTGATCCATCACTCCTTTCCCCAGGGTGATGTCAGAAATGTAAAGGATGAGTATGCAGAGCACGGTCCAAAAACTGCCCCTCACATGGTTGGATTCTGCCATTGCGCGCCAGGCGTGATCTGCATTAGGCTGCATGTCAATGATCTCTCAGTCTCCAGTTGTACCCAGTCTCCAGTGTCCAGTCACTAGTGTCCACCATCCTCTCAACGCCATCCGGATTATGAAGTCGAGAGCTTTCTCTGGTGAGGGAGGCAGCTAGAGTCATGCAGGTTCCCCAGATGAGTCACCTCCAGCGAGCTGACCATGGCCGGGCATTTAGTCTGATATCGAAGCAAATCAGCTTGCCGCTGAGAGTCATGGACAGCTGGAACGTGTCTGGACGATCGAGCACCAGCCGCAATTGTACCCAACCAGATGGGACTGCTCCGGACTGGACCTGGAGGACATGCAGACTTTTACGGCAGTTTCGCACAAGACACCCAACACATGTTCCTCTTGAGTCAACCCGTCCTCGAGACTTTCGACTCAATCTACACACCCAATCCCTGGCAGTAGCTACGTAATTGCCTTTGTTCCGTCGTCGACTGGCAGTCCTGCATTGCGATACCTCGTAATTTTATGACAGCCTTCCCGGGAAAAAGTGAGAAAAAGCCTTTGCAAGTAAAAAGACAAAATGCGGTGAACAGCTGTCCACCAATTGCCATCCACGTTTATACAGTATCGAGCCAATCACAGTCCGTAAAAATCGACCAACGGGGACAAACTCCACCAGCGCAGGCAAACGACTCCACTGCAGCGAATGCGAGGCGGGTGTGGAATCGAGGCGTGACGGTACGGTACAGGATCTGCTCCCTGCCATCTTTTCCATAATAACACCGATCGTTGCTTCACCCCTCATTCTTTTTCTTTTCCTTCTGCTCTCTCATCCAGCAATCCAGTCTCCGTCCAGTCTCCATCACTTCATTCAAATCTATATCATCCAATACCCTTTCCCCAATATACCAGATATCGTCAAGAGTTCCTGCCGCCATGGCTTTCGTTGAGCTGTAGATTCCTCGCTGGGGAGCCTTCTCCCGGCTCCCCAGTCCAGCAGCTCCGAGTATCTCCCAATTTGACTTGACGATATTTGTCCCTCTTTCGACGCAACTGCCAGGAGCGTCGAAATTGCCCTTCAGTACTTTCACGGAAGAAGCACTTGGACGTCCGGATTGGACGGAAAGGTGTTCTTGTGGCTATTAACAAAATCTTTTCCCCCCTCTCTCCCTTCGATCCCGATCCTGCCATTCCTCCCACACTCCCATCCTCCTAACGACCTCATACGGCGACTCTGATTATCTCGACGCTCTTACGATTAAAAAAAAGTTTTACCACGACCGATCCTCCTCACAGATCCTCCTCAAACCCCGCATAAGGTATTGACGCAATTGACCTGTTGCGGGTAATAAACTTTATCGATTTCCAAAACATTTCACCTATACCCCCACTTCGACTGCGTGCTGTTTGTCCCCGAGCACACCTTTAACTCGAACCCCAATTACAACCTTATTGTCAGAACAATGCCGAAAACTGTTCCTTCCAAGCGGGCCTTAAAAGGCAACTCAAGCCCTCTCACCAACTCCGGCAAAAGATCTAGCAAGTCAGTATCACTCGGTCAATTGAGTTCAGATCGGAAACGGAGGGCTTCCTCATCAACCGTCTCCAGCCTTTCCTCGGTCACCTCAATGGAAGGCCTGAGTGATGAGGATGAAGGTGCGAATGATTCAGAAGATGCAGATGATGAAGATGATCAACCGATTCTTCTTACCCCGTCATATGTGAATAGATCTCATACGGCGAAACAGCCGAAACGTGCAAAGACGAAAGCTGTGCAGGACGATGATGAACTTAGTGACGGGCCCGATTTGGAAGACAGCTCTGATGATGTCTATGCTGCCGTTGATTATATCAGTGATGGCGATGACGAGGAACAAGACGTCGAGATACTAGAAGAACTCATGATTTTAGAATCAGAAGATGAGCACGATTTATCCAGCGGGCCTAATAATGGTATTGGAAACACTCATGACTGGGCTGGCCCCAATGTTTTTGATGATGATATGTTATTTTCCGGGGCACCATTTTTCGACGAGCAGCAGTTATACAGTGCCATGGAGGCCTTTGGGGAAACTGATGTGGCAAGCGAGACTGCAGTGGAAACGCCTGTGCCGCGTCGGGTGCATTTTGAGGAAGATTCCGATTCCTCATCCGATAGCGACTCGTACACTGAGGATGAAGTCCCCGGTGATTTCCTCCAGCAGGAAAGCCTCGATCCGCAACTACGTCACATGATTGAAAACGACAACAATGAGGTCAGCCGTCGTTCGTCTCGCCGACAGTCTGACGAGATCTACGGAGACTCGGACTATGGACATTCCAATATCTACCACGTCGAGTCTGACGGCGCCGCTTCTGAGGGGGCCTCGAGTGGCTATGAGAGTATGCACAACACCGAAATTTTCAGCCACCTGTGCCCTCGGTATTTGCTAACATACTTGAAGCCGATGATGGCGAGACTACAGATGAAGACCTCCCACCCCCAGCAACCATCACTCACCCACGATCTATTCTCCGTCGCGATTCCTCTGCTTCTTTGGTTGGCGGAGTTGAAGAAGAAAAAGCTGAGCCTACAAACCGCCGAAGGAGAGGCCCCATCATGGGCACCTTTGTTGCTGACCCACACAAGCCGGTTGCCCTAGTTGATTGCAGCGGCAAGCATCTTGTAATAATCCCCGCCTATGCATCCTCTCGGCATGACTGGCTTGAATCTGCCGCTACCAGCGCCTGTGGAACCGCAAACAACAGCCCACGCGCAACTACGATGCACCTTATTGATGAGAGTGACACCGACGCTCTCGTGTCTCCAAACGTGGATCTCAGCCCTATGCTAGCGTCTAGTGCTAATCTGATGATGACTGCTCTGGGCAATGATATTGCTCCTGGTGGTCAGGTCATGGGTCCTCCCGAGGCGTTTTATCCGGCTCGCGATTTCGCGATTGACAGTTCCTTTGAAGAGGATGACGAAGAGGATGACCCGGAGGCACAATTGAACGTAGATGATTTCATTGACTTTGGAGATGGCTCATCGGATGAAGAGCTTGACAAAGAATCTGACGAAGAAGCTCTGGCATCCCCGATGACAGTGGCGGCTCCTGGTAGCACAAACGGCACACCTACCCCCAAACGCGGAGCAGACCCTCACCAAAACAACAGCGCAGAGCGATTTTTGAATCACCTTGATCGGGGCATTGTTACTGCTTTCCGTCAAAATCACAACCGATACCAAGCATTGTTGCGACTGCCGCAGCACCGAGAATTCATGCCGGCCAATTCCCCCTCCCGACCGGCCAGTGTGTTTCGACACGCGCGGCATGCAGACCAGCGTACCCCTACGAGAAAACGCAAGGCTAGCGGGTATGCGGGCGGAGAGGCAGTGCGGCGAAAGCTTATGAACGCTCAACGGCAGAGCCAGGTACCGTTTTAGACGAGCGATGAGTATGAGATACATAGAGTGTTTCGGCTGTTGTATCAGCCAAGCCAGCCCTCGGAGAGGGGTTTCGAACCGCACATGGACCAGGGTCGTGAGGGATTCGCGGAGGAATCTAATCCATGACCAAAAGTTTGAGTTTGATGACGATGACTATGAATTTCCTTTTTTGTTTCTCCATTCTCTCTCTCTTTTTTTTTTTTTTTTTTTTTTCTGTCGTTGTTTTACAATACCTGGAGTCGGAGTGGCTTTCGGGATATACCTCATACCTCAATTCTCCTGGTGCAGAGACGGACTTGTTTGTATCTTTGTGGATATTCAGCAAAACCAGCTACATAATTGGTTCACCATATTTGAAATCAAGATCAAGTAACCATATTATTCCTATTCTTGGACACGTAGTCGATCATCTGCAAAGCAAGCTGGGCTGACGAGTGAGGACGCGCCCGGGAGCTCCAGGGTCGGCGGTTAAGCACCTTCCTTCCCTGCTCTCTCGACTCGTCAGGCTCGACGACTTGGCACTCACCACCCTCCCTCCCCCGTGGACCACTCTTCTTCTTCCCTGCAGGAACAATCTCCAGTTTGACGACCCCGAACCGCTCAGAGATACCCTGACTCTCCACACCCCTCCGCTGCCTATCATGTCGGCCCAATATATTAATAGCCCTGGCGAGACGCTTCTGCAGGGCCGGCGGCCACCCTGAAACGGCCACTGATTGGCGATGGCTTCGCGCCGCCAGCGTTTCTGCAACGAACCAGTCGAACCAGCCTGCCTGGCCCTGCAAAGGGCTGGAACCTGCGACAATGGCGCTCTCACTTTGTCTTACCTGCACTCGATGCGACATTCTTTTTGTCGCCCACTTGCTTTGAGAGGCAACCCATTGCCTTTGTTGTTGCCGCCGGTGTCTCATGATGAACTCTTTATAAGGACCCTCCCGTCTCCTGCTCCTCCTCTGGCCTGGCTTATATTCCTCTGTATCGCTCGATTCTCTTTCTCTTTTGCAGCTACAGGTACAGACACTCGTTACTGTCTTGTCCTTCTTTCTTTCTTTCTTTTTTTTTTTATCGGTCGTTCCTGTTCTTATACTTGGTACTCTGTTCCTTCTAGGCTCTCTCTAATATCGCTGGTCTCGATATCATCTATTGTATCTGTTTTTTATAGATATCATATTCTTTCACCATGAAGACCACGTCCTTGGTCTCAGTCCTTCCCTTCCTGGCTACGGCTCAGGCCACTGGCTTGGTAAATATCGCCTCCATTATCTTTATGATAAAACCCATGGAGCACTCAGTGCTAACTGTCATCTACAGTGGTGGGGTAGTGATGAGTGTTACACTGCGCCTGACACTGTCAACAACGAGTGTACGGAAGAGCAGCAGGCAGGCTTCAACTGGGAGAGTCTCGACATCGGTGATTTCTCCTCGTACGGTGGCTTGGACTTCTCTGGTTTCTCCTGCAGCAGCGGCTTTGGTGGGCTGCGCACCCGGACGTTCAACGTAAGTGGCACTTCCTCACTACAAGATTTACATGCATGAATACCAATGTTCTCTAGAATAAATGTATTACCGGAAAGGTTGGCAAGGCATCGGCTCAGAAGACCACTCCGGGCCCGTCTTTCTCCTGCGGCGAAGGTCAATCTGGGTTCTCAATCGATAAATTCCATCTCTTCACCTCCATAGAGGCCGATGTTACCATCTCCTTTGGCATGCCGGACGGGTCTACCTGTAAAAAGGTCTCCAAGTGCTCATCCGCTGGTACGGAGGTCACCAATGACCAATGTGGTGGTGCCATCTCTGTTGGCTTCGAATTGCCAGACCACGTTGAATACGACGACTGTGACCTCGGTATTGGAAGTATTGGCTTCCTCTGTGGTCCAGGCAAACCTACCTTCACTCCTCCAGCTGAAACCCCGTCGGATACTCCAACTCCAAGCCTTCCATCGTCCACTCCGGAAGCGCCTACAGGCCCCCCGATTGCCTCCACTCCGATTGTCTCCGTTCCTAATCCCACTGGTTCGAGCCCCGTCACGTCTACTCCCGTGATCCCCCCTACTACGTCTTACCCTCCGGGCAGCAGCTCCGTGCCGTCTACAATCTCGACTGTGTACAGCACCAGCGAGGTTACTATCACGCAGTGTGCACCCACTGTGACAAACTGCCCTGCGGAGTCCACGCAAGTGACCACCTCGACGGTCTTTGTTTCCACCACTTGGTGCCCCGTCACACCCACGGACACTCCCTCGATCCCAGCTGGCCCTGGTGAGAGCACTGAAGTCCCTCCACCGGTGGAAACCGAGTCATCAGAGACTCCGGCTCCATCCACCCCTATTGCAACCACCCCTGCTCCAACCGAAACGCCTGATGTTCCTGGAGCCACCACTCCGGTTATCCCAACCAGCGTCGACGCAGGCTCGTCTTCCGTTCCTCCATCAGGAGACATGACCACTACGATAATCACCTACTCGACCGAAACCTACTGCCCGATCACCGACACCGTTACTTCTGGCGAGTCCACGTTCACCACAGTCACCAGTGGCTGGTCTACCACCACCCTGACCATGACAACAACTGTCTGCGGTGGCTGCAGTGTCACGGATATTCCTGTCCCAAGCCCGACTGAAACCCCTGTTGCGCCCACTGATACTCCAGTCACGCCCGCCGACACTCCAGTTGCGCCTACTGACACTCCGGTCGCGCCTACTGGAACTCCTGATGTCCCAACTGGGGTCAGCCCCACGACCACCCCAGGTGCCTCCTCTCCCCCTGACCAGACTGTCACCGAGGTTACCTATGAAACTGTCACTACCTGCCCTGTCACCGACACCATCACCACTGGTGGCTCTACAGTTGTTACTACATACACAACCACCTCTACGGCCATTCTCACTTCGTCTTCAACTATCTCTGTGCCAGCCGACGCCAACCCAACCTCAACCCCAGAGGCACCGGTCCCGACAACCTCTTGCCCTAACGTCGTCCCCAAGTGTATCAACACCTGGCTCAACCTTATCCCCGACTGCAAATCCAACAGCGACATCACCTGCTTCTGTCCCTCGTCCGATTTCACCGACAAGGTCATCTCCTGTATCCAAGCCTGGGGAGCCTCCAGCGATGAAGTTCAGTCGGCTCTGTCTTACATGGCTGGTATTTGTGCCAACTATGTTCCTGAGAACCCGGGTATTATCACCAACGTCCCCTCGACAATTACCCTTACGCCTCCGGCAGCACCAACCCCCACAGGCGTGAGCCCTGAACAGACCGAGAGCCCTGCACCTACTGCACCCCCCTGCACTACAATCACCTACTCGACCTTCACCGTCACCGTTCCCCAGGTCTCCTTCTCCACTGGAACCGTCACCGAAACAGCTGGCACTGGTGCTGGAGGCAGCACCGGTGTCAGCCCCGGTACCGTCGATCTTATCCCGCAGGCTCCCGCAGACGCAACCCCAACCGGTCCAAGCGAAACTGGCTCAACCACCATCCCCAACCCCTGGACAACCCTCAGCTCAGGCACTCCTTCCTCAACTTCAAGCCCCTCCCCCTCTCCACCACTATTCACAGGCGCTGCCTCTTCTTTCCGCGCGCCCATGACCTGGCTAATGGCCTTGGCTGTGCCAGTGCTAGCTCTCTAGAGCAACCCTCAACCCACATTCCATGTTTCTTATCTTTCCTTCTACATCGTCCAGTTCATAAATTTATCTGACGCATTTATTATTTTATTTGGTTGGTAAACGTATGCCCATGTTCTCACGTTCATCCTTGTCTAATACACACACACCATCTGGGATGATCGGTCAGTCAATCGCCTCCCTAACAAACACTCCTTATTTGGCCCAACTAATTCGGATCGGATCCTGATATTACGTCCATCCGCATGTACAATTGTCTAAACATGTTACATAAAATCCATCAAGACTGGGAAGAAAAAAAATAAACTCTGCATAGGTGAACTGGATTTAGATTTTTTTCATCTTCATCACGGCTCTATTACAGTACGCAAAGCAATATCGGTCCTTGCTACCATTTCTCGAGTATGACAAAGCCACAGGTGCCTCTTGTTAATGCAAGCTAAATAAAATATCTTGCTGCAATCCCGAAAAGTATACAGTATATCGGTCTTATCAGGGAAGTGGTGATATATGTCTATCAGACAGGGGTGTTGTTTAAATGAATGCTTGCTGTTCACGCTTTTTCTCCTTATTTTGAGGCAAAGAGTGGATGTTGTAGGTAAGTGCATGAGAGTAGTAGACTCATTCAAGACTGTATGATATTGTAGGGCAGGAGAGGAGAGCCGGGAGGAGAGGTTAAAGTACTAGGAGTAGACCTTGGGTTTGGTTTGACAAGAGTCCGTCGGTTGTTTAATTTTACGATAAACCGTTCAGTGGTCGTTCTCTGCTGGGGTTCAATGGTTTTCGGGGACAACATATCCTCGGGATGATACTGGGCAAAATTTCTGACACTGCGGACGCACCGTGGTCAATTCGTATAATCAGAGACAGATAGAGAAACGTATCATCAGAGCCAGGGCATGACAGGAGCTCAGGGCTGAGTAGTAAAGAAGTCATCCTTAGAGCTCCAGAGAGAAGCAGTTGGCAAAAGAGGATGAGGGGATAGCTCTGAGTGATTTTGTGTTGACTACTTAGGCTCCTTCTCTCACTTTCTTTCTTGAACTTATAACACCCTTCTCCCTATTCTCTCTATCTCACCATCCTCCTTGACCTCAACACATACTCTTCCATTCTACTCCTCCCCAAACATCTTCTCCCCAGTAGGTCTCTACACTCCGTTTCCTCATCCTCTCTCAGCTCTTGTAACACTTGTTCGGCTTCTTTCAATCTGTTTAATAGTGCGACGCTACTTTAAACAACAGTCATTTTCTTGTCCTTGTTATGTCAGAGACAGTCGAATCGACGCGGTGGCTTACCGCGGGTGGTGCATTTGGTCGCGGCTCTTTAACAGGTTAACAGGAAGAGCCTGACCGGCGGTCCATTAATCGAACCTGGGTATTGAATGACATCATAACTGATCGTAGGGCCTCATAAATTCCAATACCAGAATTTGGTTAGTAAATCGTCCGACATAGTGTAACGGCTAACATAGCTGCCTTTCATTAAATGAAAGATTGACCGCAGCAGCTCGGGGTTCGATTCCCCGTGTCGGAGTTATCTTTTATGATATTTTTTTTTGCTTTACTGGAACTGGGGGGCCGCGGGCGGCGTTTGGTCTCCTCTGTCTGACCCGAATAAAAAATATATATGTGGGGAAAAACCGGCCATAAAAAAAGAAGATATCTAAACTCCGACACGGGGAATCGAACCCCGAGCTGCTGCGGTCAATCTTTCATTTAATGAAAGGCAGCTATGTTAGCCGTTACACTATGTCGGACGACTTGTGGGAGAAACTCCCACTTAATGGGATAATGAAGTAGCACCCGCTGCTACCATTGTATTCGTCTGAATAATCAGGTGTCAAAGTACGTGTCGCACCTGCCTCAGGGACCTCTACCTACTTTAGTATAGGCGCCATCTATTGTCCAAGCTCAATGAATAGTCCAATATCATAATGCTAAGCCAGCCCTTTATGAATCTTGCGGCCAGACTGCATTCGTGAGGGCGAATATGTTTACATCTTCAAGTTGTTTCCCGAGAACCGAGTGCTTATTTGGGCTATGGCTGAGAGCCTGACCAGCACCACCTCCCTCGCCCTAACTAGTTTTCTGTCCAGCAAATCCTATACGGTACGAAAAAAAAGGGTTTCTTTTTTAGGTCCGCCTAACTTGTCCTTCCCAGTACGCGGTGAGCTTGAAATTGAGACATATCACTTGGAGAGCATATTATATATAACTATAAATATCTTGATACCGTTCTAGATTCTTACGGATGACTTTTGTCTGCACCGTGATCACCCCGGTGCTGGACTTGGTCGAATCCTGTCGGCATTCACTGTTTGTACGGTAAATGAAGTATTCACTACGGAGTCACACAAGGAAAGCTCACCTAGTACTAGTGTTGTAATAGAGAAATACAAATGGGCCTTACATAGCTGTGTTTAATGCGAAATCATGCACTCTTTTCATGTTGATCTTGTAGACAGTTCTCCACAAATTCTCCCCCTCGGACCTGTGTCACACTGAATTCGCGGTATACCAAAACTATCGCATCCTGTATTAGTGTATCCCAGTTGGTCTCGGAAGGTATCTATTAGAGCTTCAGGCACTCCCATTTGCGCCTAGCTGGGCTCGATTCCAATCGCCTGTTAAGCATATGGAAACCATAGCTTGCAAGATCATGCCCGATCCTCAATCATCATTCCCCTCCTTATTAGATGCTACCTGAAACTGGATGAAGACACATAGGCCCGAGATTCTAAAGGCCAGTTTTTCACTCGACCATCGGTCCAAATCATCAGACAGATTGTCTTCCTAATAAATACTATTTTCTTGAAGTTCTCCATTCTATACAATATCTTAATATAGTCAAGGCCACTCTGACAATACCTTGATGGCTAGACAGCAGAACAGAACTTGGACACAGCTTGTCCAGTCCCCCGTTGCTCGATCTTATCAGTATCTAGCTATTATACCAAGTACCCTTTCAAGAAGCATGGAGATATTTCTAAATACAGGTATGTACCATGCCCTAGGCTGTGCCTGGCATATTTACTGATATAAAACTCGATGAGGTAGAGTTTGTTCCCTGGAACACATCTTGAAGTCTGAGTTTATATTACAGGTCCGTTCTCAGCTTCGCTACAGTTGTATTTTTGCGAATGACTCTGTACAAGGATTGTTTTGAGATATGAATCTAAGCATTGGTGAGACAAATCAGTGAGTGTATTTTCTTTTCTATATTTTCTATATCTTCTATGTGGAAGGTGCTATTACGATCTCGCTTCCTGGCAGGAGAAAGGCAAAGCATATCACAACCAAGGATATAACCTGGGGGCGCAAATCATCATTTCAGATAGTATATGCATACTTTTCGACAGAAATTCTGTATGAAGTCTATAATTATCCCAAGTATACGGCCGCTCAAACACAGGGTATCTTCGCCGGGAACCCATGAAGCTATCGCGGCTTGGCTATGGGAAAGCATGAAGGCTTTGAAATTCGGCACCGTAGCTTAGCGACATCAGAATACCGAAGAAGGTTGTCAAATCCGGGCAAGGAATTGATTAAGGAATTTAGTAATTCTAGCTAAATTGATGATCAAATAAAAAGAAAGGCGGCGCGTGGCAGCAAACAAGAGGTGTCTGCGGACTTGGTCTGTGGCGAGCTCCGTTCTTTGCTTGTTGGGCGCTTCTCTCACATTATTATTCACTCTTCCCCTTCCTTTCTTTCATCCTCCCAATCTCTCACATTTTCCATCAAACCAAATCCGCTCTTTACTATAACCAACTTAATTATACTCTTGCATCATCTTTACTTCCGTTTATTTTCCTTTTGTTGATTCGAAGCAACCTTTAAAACACGTGGTAAGTGACGTCGCGTCATGCCGTCCTACCGCATAGGTAAGAAGGAACCATGGCCGCCCAGTTAATCGAAATGTATCCCTAACCAATATAGAACTCGCCTCTACTGGCCGTGCAGGGTGCACGAACAAAGAATGCAAGGACAACAAGATCAAGATCCCCAAGGGCGATCTGCGATTCGGCTCTTGGGTCGACAATGGCCAATTCCAGTCGTTCTTCTGGAGACATTGGTGAGCTCCTCAATTGGCGTAGCCAGTTCCTCCTCTGACTTTGTTTTTTAGGGGCTGTGTGTCGCCCAAGATCGTCAGCAATATTAATGAACTTATTGGAGAAGGTGATGACAGAGACCTCGATATGCTTGATGGCTACGAGGACCTCTCACCTGAGATCCAAAAGAAAATCGAGAGAGCCCTGGAACAGGGTCACATTGATGATGAAGACTGGAATGGCGTGAGTTGCTTCCTTATTCCCCGAACCACTTTCACCCGTCTGCTTTGAGCGGGCGCGCGTTCTTTGAAAAACTAAAAGGAAGAAAAGGCTTACTAACGTTGTATAGGACCGTGAAATGAATGTACCTGGCTCGAATGGTTTCCGGGTGAGGACACCCAAGAAGAAAGCCAAGGCCGCAGAAAAGGTATGTTCCTTTGACTTTGTAACAAGTAGACAAGCAGAGAGACTGACCCGATATGCAGGAGGAAAAGGGCGGAGAAAAAGAGGAAGAGGAAAAACCCAAATCTTCGAAGACCAAAAAGCGTAGCCATGCCCAGGTTGACGAGGATTCCAAAGACGCCGGGACCGCGGAGCCCAAGCGACCTAAGCGAAAGTCTGCAGGCGCTACAAAGAAAGCACCCGTCTCCTCTGAAGATGAAGATGAGAAAGATGATGATTCCGAGTTCCCGGAACCAAAGGCCAAGGCCTCGAAACGGGGCCGTCAGTCCAAAGAATCGAAGCCTGCTGCTACTACTGGTGCGAAACGCGGAAGAAAGGCTAAGGGCGCGGATGACGATGCTGAAGCCGAGCCTGTTGAGGAGAAGCCCAAGCGTGGACGTAAGAAGAAGACTACTTGATATCCCTCTTTGAATTTCGAACATTTTCATCGAGCGTTTTCTCGAGGTGTTGTATGGTATGTGTGAGTATGTATGAAAGGGGTTAGTCGTATGCTTGCAGCATTTCTTTGGACGAGCTTAAAATGCTGTGTCCTTATCGTCATTCTCTGGAGTTTGCCATTTCTGTTTGTGGTGTATGTATGTTCGTCAACATGTAGTAGTCATCAGCTCTGCTTTATACCATGTCATCGCCACGGTGTTTGAATCTCATGCTAGTGTTAATCCAAGTTTTCTCTGTACACATTCTTCTAGCTATTTTTGCATTACGCGAATAACCATAAATAGACTATGTTCCATCCGTCCATAGTCCAGTTCTCTTGTAAAGGCCTGTTGGCACTGACTCACAGTCACAACGCCCAGCCGCCAACCTTGCCAGCATATTATTGGACGAGTCTTGATGTATAACAGAGCAACTAATTCTTAGTTCTCCAATCACCTTCCGCTATCCAGGATATTTCTGTCAAGAAATGTCTCTCGCACATGACTGCCTATTGGAACCGTCACATGATGACGCTGCTGCTGCCTTGTATCTGATCGTCATCGTCGGCGCTTCCTCTCTTCTTTTCTCTCTTCACGCTTCACAGAGTCGACAAATCCACGCTGCGGGCATCTACATCTTATTTCTAGACGAAATAAGTAGATGCGCGTCCGCGCAAGCTGTCTTTCCAGGACTTTGTTCCTTCTAGCTCGCGAGTAGTCGGCTTTCAGCGTCAATGAAGGCCTTCAACTACGAGCCGGATCTTGTCTTGGAAAGGCTTCCAGGACTCTTCCCATGCAACGTGCGTGATTCGGCTACGTCGTTCATTTCCGACTACGCCGTCCGCTCTTTTCCCCCTTTCTGGTTTCTTCTGTCGCTCCTTTGCCTCTACACGTGGTTGTCTCTCGTCTCGTTCCTGGCCAAGTGGATGGATAGTAGCGACAACGCCATGGCTGTTAAACGCTCTTTTTTCTCTAGGGACAAGGTGGCCAAGTCCACCAAAGCCCCCAGGAAGTCCTTCGATGGACATGCGAAGATGAAAATGCAGGAGTCTCTGACAAGTCCAACGGAAGAGTGAGTTGGCGACCTGTATGTGGAAATGCTGGAAACTGACGTTATATCTACAGTCCCTTGCTTAGCCCCCTAGTCACTTTGATTGTGAGTCGGGATCAGCGTCTTTTCGTAGCTCATGAAAGCATTCTGTCTCGGTCTCCTTTCTTCGACTTGGTGCTGAGGGATCAATTTCCTATCGGGAGCGTAAACAAGGCCTTGGTCTTGTCAGACGAGTATGTTTTTTATCTATGGTTTTGGCTTGCCATTCTAACACAACGCAGAGAACCAGAGGTCTTGTCCTGTGTTCTCGAGTTTCTATACAAAGGCGACTACACTCCGCGCTTGCAACGAAACAAAAGCCGGAAGACATGGGAACTCGAGAGCTTCTTGGACGACCATCACCCCGGTGGCAGCGGCCTGAGTCAATCGACGATATTTCACTCTGGATTGGGTGATCTCGTTCTCCGGGATACTGCCGTGTACTGCGCAGCCGAGAAATATGGCCTGGAGGAGCTCAAGGACCTTGCTCTCCGCAAACAGGGCCTGCAGACTGGGATCCCTGTCGAGATCATTATCCGGTCCGCGCGGTACGCATACGACAATACTCCGGACTCAGAGTACCGGCTGCGCGCTCATTACCTGGCCATGATGATTCGAACCCGCGACATCTTCAAGCGCAGTGGAACCATGCAATTAGAGATGGAAATGGGACACAAGTTCTTTTTTGATCTGTTTGTTGCCATGTGCAATCATATGGATGATCTTGGAGAACTGAGGTAATTTCAGTCACTACTCTGTTGACTAATGCCTAACTAGCACTGATACTATCTCTATAACTACTCTCAGCTTGAAATAATTTCTCCAGGAACGCCCATGGATCACATCACTCAGAAAACAGAAAATTCGAAAAAAAAACTCTGTACCAACGCAAAGCACATCGTTTACAACCAGAATGCCAGAACAGCAGATGCAACAGTATTTACCTGATTTTAACGGCCTAACTACATTCGCAGCTCCCGGGCTGGTCAACCGCAGCGACGTTATGATTGTTTGCATTGCCCGCGTTAACCGTTGTAACTCATTTAACCTCATGATGAGCGTTCCTCGAATCTGGCTTTCTTGTGTTTTGTACAACTGAAAGAGACTGCCAACTACCATCCATTTCTGTACCATCTCCACTCTTTAAATTTCTTATGGTACCAATTACCTGGTCTTGAAGATGGGCCACCGGGAGAGAATATAATATTTGACCAGGAGATGAAGTTTACTCTGATAGAGTTCATAGGCCTTTCAAGTTCGTATATTTTACGCCAGCACCCGGTAAATTTAGACTATGGTTATATTGTCTTGACGATATTCGATTTAACTCCCTGGACCCCATACGGACCCCCAATGGAAAGTAAACTAAATAAAAATCATTAATAGTTACACCGTGTCAAATTGAAAATATAAATTGATCAAGTTTTGTTAGTCCTTTGTTGTTCCCTGGGTCAATTAAACTTAACTCTTGCCATGCCAAATGACAAAATCTAATAGGAACGTGATCCTTTGGAGTTTTTTAAAATCATGCCATGGCCAGGTGAAATGTGAAGCGTGTTTATCTTTAAGGAGTGGGTGGTAGTGTTGGGAGTATATGTGACTGGCATTATTTCTTTTCTATATTAGAACGCACCCTGGTATACCAAATCCTCAAAATATCAAACAAAAGATATTATATAAATCGTAATCGTCATAACTAGCCGCCCCTCATGTTCCCGGATACGGTGTAACCTTGCTAGCAGTAGTAGGAGTCGAATTTGTGCTGCCAGATCTGCCGAAGATGGATAATATCGATTTGGATCTTGTTGGTTTAATAGGCTCATTCTCCAACCGGACGGGCTTATCTTCTTTTTCGTTCTCTTTCTGCCCTTGTGCTTGCGCCTGAGGTTGTGTCTGTTCCTCGACGACGGAAGAAGCCCTCTTCTCTCGAGCCTTCTGTGCCTCTTTGATGCCCTCGCGGACTTCAGAAGCGGAGGCGCCCTGTGCAGCGGTTGTCGTGAGGGTCTCGGTACTCCGGATTTGAGATTCCGTTCCTGGTCCGTCAGAGGAGTCTTGATTCATCTTCTCGATTTCCTCCTCAGTTACGAGGCGCTCGTTTTCGAGACGGACCTCGCGGCCGCGTTTGTGGCAATACCAGAGGACGAACAGGAGGACTATCGGACGGTTAGATCAAACAAAGTCAAGTGGATAGTTATGGGGGTAACTCACTGAATAGCGCTAACGACCAGAGAACATTCATTCCTAGTACAGCCGGGAACCGAGCCCTAAGGAAGGCCATGATGGACCGTAGCATTCCCACGATCGCGGCAGGTTTCCCAACCAACTCCTTCAAGCTAGGTACTTGAATGCCCATCTTATTTGCAGCGGCAGCCGCCTTGCCGACGTTGTCAACATTGACACCACTCTTGCTGGCTCTCTCTGCAGCGGCAGCGATCATTTCAGGGGCTAGTGTTTCAGTCCACCGCTCGGGGAGCTTCTCAATTAGTTTCTGAAGGAAGCTTGGCAGATTCGAGTATGTGTCCTGTAATTGCCTGTTGCCGTTTGTGAGCAACATTTCGAGATCGTGGTATGCCGTTGGAACACCATTAATCAGGTCCTTGAATATAAGCTTGAATTTCCGAAGCAGCTCCTGCGTTTCGTCCGAGATTGAGAAAACGCGGTTATTATCCGCCGCAAGGTTCAGTTTATCGAGGATCTCGGTCATATCTTCGTTTTCCTGTTGCGTTTCCTTGCCACTAGAAGGGGTGTCCGTGGTCGCAAGAGCTGTTGTTGGTGCTGGGGCTGCTTCCGGTTCACGGGTTTCCGGTGCCTATAGTAGGGCAAAAACAGTTAGATATCACTCGTTATTAACAACTAGACCACGCAAGGATAGCATACTTTCTTATCACTCTTCTTCCAGAGCACACTCCACGGTCTCCTCTTCTTCGGACTCCCCGATCGCCCAGCCTTCGCTGAAGGCTCCGCCGCAGTGCCAGTCGCACTTGACTCCTCATTACCAGCAGAGTGCTCTGTCAGAGACTTCCTGCGTTCTCGTTCACCCAGGTCCTTCCCGAACTCCTCTACCGGCGAAATAGGCGCCGGCGCCGGGGCATCGCCAGACAAAGGCGACGACGGTTGATCGCCGGCTTGTTCAGAGGCCACAGCATCTTGTGCTGTCGCCGACGGGGAGTCAGACGTGACACTCCGCAGGAAGGCCTCATCTTCTGGCGACAGGACGGGGTCCTGGGATTTGCGCCGGGCTGGAGGGGGTTGGGAGCTGTTGGCGCTAGTGTTGGAGTTCTTGTTCTTGAAAAAAGTGTTGAATTGTTGCATTTTGTATTGGACAGTACTATCGCATGACAGTGTCTAGAGGCAGAATAGGATGGAAAATATTTTATCTGATATATGTATCGTGTTGAAATGGATTGAGGCGAATCGAACAAAGACGGAGTGTTGATCTGAGATCCATCTGAGATGACGCCGATGAGATCATTTGCTGCCTGGGGTATCAAGACCCACCACAAGCCCCGCTTTAGCCATAGCACCGCCACAGTGGCTGTAAATGTTGTGATTGGTTGGATTGGCTACTATATCGGGATTGAATTCCAGTTCCCTGATCCCGGCCATGGACCGTGGATGGATGAATGCTTGGAGGCTGGTGGAATAGAATAGTAAGTCTAAACTCGGCGTGGCAGTCACATGGAATATATAGCGTGCTTTTGTTTTTACCGGGTTAAATGTGACTTTAAAGTTCCTAAATCGATTTTACGTTGCACCGGCACCTGAGACTCCCCACGAATGTTGGTCAATAACATTTATATCCTTATTTTAAATTGTGGACGCGACGAGCGATAAAAGAATAAGTAATTACCTGGATCACTAAGGGGAAAGAGGGGCTCAGTACCCAAGCAGCAGGGTGCTGCAAAAGTACCCTAAACGAAAGCGAATGATAAGCCGTGCTTCTCTCCAATTCGTGCTTTCGCCGCAAAATAGCATCATCACGCATTGATAGGACACAAGCTTTCCTCACAAGGCGGAAAAAACAAATAATAAATAGGAGCTCACAATAAACCCCAAATCCCAAACAATCGCTCTAAGTTCCGGAAAAATAACGAAATAAAATACTTAAGGAGGGGGAAATGACTCGGCGCTACTCCTCAGTAGCCGTCATAGGTTCCGGCCCGGCGGGAATTTCAGCCCTAAAAGCTCTCCATGACGAAAAGGCATTCGAAACGATCCGACTTTTCGAGCGAAGGGATGGTCCCGGTGGAACTTGGAATTATGATGCCGTCCCTCAGCAGTTTCCGGGGACGTATTCGGAGGGACATGGGCCGTTTCAGAAGCCATCTACATTCCCACAGAAGACATCACCGGCAACCCCACCAGATGCTACGACACCAACAGCGATGTATAGTTGGCTAGACACCAATGTTCCGGCAGAGTTGATGGCATTCACGCACACGCCTATTCCAGATGCAAATTCACCCATCTCGATAGAGCGGTATGGGGCTGAGAATGCCACACGCCCATATCATGTGGTTGCTCAGTACCTTTTTGATTTGCTGAAGAAGTATCATGGAAATGTTTCATTCAATACCACGGTGGTATCTGTCGAGAAGATAGAAACCGGGAAATGGAGACTGACTCTCAGACGATTGGAGGTTCATGGCACAGAGGCCAGTGATATATGGTCGCAGGAGGAGTTTGATGCGGTGGTTGTTGCCACAGGGCAATATAGCCTGCCATTTCTCCCGAGAATCTCCGGGCTGGACGAGGTTGTTAAGACACATCCAGAGGCGTTGGAGCATGTGAATGCTTATCGATCCCCTGACCATTATGTCGGCAAGAAGGTGGTGGTCCTTGGAGGCAGCTTTTCAGCAGGAGATGTTGTGGGTGACATATACGCGTTTGTACAAGGCCCGCTATATGTTTCCCAGAGCTCTCATAGTCCTTTCGTCACCGAAATATGGAACCTGCCTAGTGTTGTACTAAAACCAACAATTAGCCGCATCGACGGCCATCACTCTTCTAAGCTCCGCATCACTTTCTTTGATGGATCTCGGTTGGAAGACGTGGACAAAGTTATATTCGCAACAGGATATCGTTTGTCTTTTCCATTCCTGTCCCCTGAGCCCGTCATGGTTGCCGACCGACTCTCTGGAATATACCAGCATGTATTCAAAATTGGCGACCCGTCCATGGCCATCCTAGGCCTGGTGAGAGCACCTCTACTCTTCCGCATGATTGAATATGAGGCTGTAGCCGTGGCCCGTTATTATGCTGGGAATGCGGGCGATCTACCTAGTCAAGAGGATCAAGAAGAATGGGAAATAGAACAGGTAAAGCTCAAGGGTGATGGCTATAAGTTCCACGATGTGACAAAGGAGATGAGGGAGCATATGGAGTTTTTGCGGAACCTAGCAGGCCCTCCAGCTGCTGGGACCGATGCGTACGAGCTGCCCCAAGTTGCGGATGAGTGGCTGGACAAATGCTTTTCAGTCTTCCGGCTGAAAGACCAGTATTGGGGTAGGGTATGGCGGCGAGAAGCAGAAAACCAGGTATGCAAGACTTGTATATAGAACCTTAGATGTCATAACACCATCTCAAAAGGCTTTACGACTCAACGGCCTGGTCGGCAAACGCTGTAATTTCACGAAAACGATTCCGACACTGGTCCAATTCAACAGCAGTGACATCCTGCTGCATCATAAACTCTGGTTCTTTCTGACTGCGAATTAAAGCAAGCGGCTTCCCATATCGCGAACGTTGGGACTCGATCGAATTCAATCTCAGATCATCGACGCGGTTGTATAAAACACTCACTCGTCTCAGTGATGGTAGACGAGAAACCTGTGCGCAAAGTACAGCCCACGATAGCTGCTCCCCCAGAGGGCCATTGCGGACGTATAGCGGTGCGGGGTAAAGTCGCAGGTACCGTATACTATCGCGCGCTAGGTTGGAGAATCGATCGAGGAGGAAGGTTAAAGAAGTCGGGTTGGAGGTAAACCCGAACGATACACCGGAGTATAGGACAGGAAGTGCTTCATCGTAGATGTTGTGGTTTGTCATGAGAAGGGCGACAGGGAGGAGCACTGCTGGGCTGCGGGTGTACTTCAGCTTGATCTGACGGGAAGGCTTGAAGATGACGCCAGTGCGGTGGACCAGGTGATTCCGCTCAACGGTGACGTGAATAAGCTCATTTGAGTTTGACGAGGACGAAAAGACGTACTGGTAGATGATCAAGCGGATTTCCTTGGGAAGAGAGAGGAAGCTCGATGATCTTCTGCCGGAGAAATGGGGAATTAGAGGATGGCTTGTCCGGCTGTAATCAGAGAGAGTCTCGGATTCACTCTGGTCCGCGCAAACGGTTTCTGACTCGGTGCTACAGACAGAGATAACATCGGGTTCATGATGAGTCTTTCGGCGTTTTGGTTCCATCTCGATGATGATGACGATGTTGTGAGGGTGATGGGATAGATGACGCCGTGAGGCTGAGGGGTTTTAAAATGAACCCCGACCTCCTGCAGCCTCATCCTCGAGGCTATCATACAACTCAACTATCTTCTTAATAGTATGCGAAAAGTGGCTCCTGGGTTTGAATATCACCAATCGTGTCATCTTTATGTCGTCGTCGGCTTAGAAAGATCGACATGCAACAATAGTGAGTCATTTGCGTACTACGTAGCCTCAGGCAACCTGTCATTGCAGGGCAACCTTTGGATTTATAACTCTTTCTAATATCATTTTTAGAAGTAAAGGCTTTCAGAAAGAGCATAATAGAGATGATTCCAACTCTCTGCCTGCAACTAGACTTACATCGGCGAATCATTATTAAACGAGCTTAACAACAGTTTGTTAGAGCATTGTTCTATCTCACAGCTCAGCCACGGTCCTGATGGTAAATGACTGGACCGGTTTGAGCTCTGATGGATAGTATAGAAGCTCAACCTTGGTTCAACAAGAGATAATCATGAGATTTTATCACTGAAAATCCAACAGTCTTCACTCTTCGAACGGAGCAGGAACAATCTGTATAGAATCCCGTGGTAAAGACAACAAATGAAGAGTGAGGAAAAATACTTTTGAGGAACATGGCTTCTTAACCCTTTCCCCGAAACCATCCACGGACACAAGCCCTATGGCTAGGTACTATATCTCTTAACTAACAGCCTCACTTCCCATCGAAAGGAGAACGCTTCCTAATTCCAATAAACCAATGAGTCCAAAGAAAAGGCCTTATGCACAGGCTCTGCCCGCTCCGAAACTCCCATTCAGCGGTGTGGTCAAGACAAGTTCGTTCAACCAGTCTTTCTAGTTCATTGGGTGTGCGGGTACGAAATGTAGACACGACTGCGTCAACAAACATCATGAGCGGGATCAGCGGGAGAAGATAAGTGAAAAGGAGATGGATAGGGGAGCGTCTATATATCGGTGTAGCGAGGGTGAATATGAATGGGTAAATGAGGGATCCTAGCGCGCAGGAGAGGAGGGAGCTGAAATCGCGTTGGGCGCCTTCTTGTATGCTGCGGGTTGGATAGCCTTTTGTTAGAATCTGTGTTTAACTAAATTTTGAGGGTGTTGTCAAGAGGAAGGGGGAAACCTGTAGTCATACATAAATGCATCTGCTTCATTAATTACGCTCCTCAGAACACCAATAGCACTCTCATCGTCAAAATGGTGGAAAGAGGCATTGAACATCCGACACTCTTTCTGTATAGGATCAGGTGAAATGCGTTTGCAATCCCGTGCATCGAGTGGCGTCTCTAGGAAGGTGATGTTGGCGCTCTTCTCTGTGATGGCCCTCCATTGCTGAAGAGAAGGGTATAGGTCTGTCAAGACAAACTGTGCGGTGTCTTTGCCCTGCTCTGTGAGGGTGTTATTGAGGAGTCGCTCGATTATTGGCGTGGGACCGCCGGCGCCGGCACAGAGGTCGACGAATGTAAAATTACATGCATCTGAGAAATTTTGGATGATAATCTCGCTGACGGAGGCGGCAGGCGTATTAATAGTGAGACCTCGGATATGGAGATCCCACAGGCCCTGGAGGAAAGCTTGAGCATAGCCCCGGAACCAGCGTGGGCACCATGGCTGGTCTATGAACTCGAAAACGTGGAAGCGGGGAAAGAGAATTATTGTGTCTGTATTGTCACTTGGAATGTGGACTGCACAGGGTGGCATACAGTGCGGGGAAGTTTGTGATGTAGGTTTGTACAGTGTGGTAGTAGGGTGATCTCAGAGATTTATGAGCGGTGATGTGGCCTGGATGCTGGCAGGGGCCATGAAACTATTGGAATTGTGTAACTGTCATGCAAATTCCGATCATGCCCAGTTCGGGAATAAAGCTCGGGCATATTGATTGCTACAAATATTGTAGTCGGGCCCGGCATAGGGATGTTTGCTTGTCGCTCAGGCTCGTACAGCATAGCATACATGATGAGGTGGTGGAGCTATGCCATCTGGAGAGCGATATAAATGGATATTCCCAAAAATGGTTGACTTTCGAGCTCGGGAATGGGAATGCCATGTGGCGACTCCATTTTTACTGAAGATAAGAATTTCATGAAAGAATATGAAAATGATCAGAGATGGAGTGGAGTGGATGACAGCTGTTTTAAAGACACATCAGTGTTGTCACGGCCATGGTCGAAGTGGAGTCTCAAAAAAGAAGGCTGTCTTCAAATGCCTCCTAAACGAGTGAAGCGAGTTGGACCAGCTTGCGGAAATCAAGCCAAACTAAGACCTTTGGTAGCTACATGAGACTCTCACCTACTCAGACGGCCATATCTAACTCCATTTTCTCAAGAGCCTCAATATGTTTTCGCAACACAATAACAGCACCAAGGCTTAGTCGGTGACAGAAGGCCGAAGCTTCAGATCCCTGTCCAGTCTGTTCTGATGTGCAGTTATGGTGCTCGATCATCCCCAGTGCATCTTCAATAACTTTACGCAACAGCCGCGGACGAGTAGAGGACGAGGACGAACTGGGGCGGTAATGCCAATCAAGTACATCCTCGAGCCCAGGCACGTGGTGTTCCAGCGCATGCAAAATGAATTTGCGCGTCAGGAGAAATACTTTCTCTGTGTACCTGGAGGACTCGATGCATCTGTCATTCTCTGCGGCGAGGGCTTCATAGCCGGCTTCGTCTGGGAGGGGTTTAAGTACGAAGATCAAACAAAAAATAAAAGACGAACGAGTAACTTACTATAGAATGGATTGTTGACGAGGACAAGTCCCATTATTGAGACTAGTACTTGCAGTAACGTGGACCTTCCAGGTGACCAGTTCTCTGCGGGATTCCGACTCGGCCATGTTCCAAGAATGCTTAGGCAGATGAGGCCGTCTTCATACAGGTTGGGGCTGATAGGACCTTGTCCAGAAGTCCATGAATGGAAATACATCGTCGGGAATTCGTAGGGATACCTTGAAGGGAGGTGTATATCAAAAACAAAAGGAGCATGCTCATACGGCGTGCCTTTTGGGCCTATGATCATTACCCGTAAAAGATCCATATGTGACTCCCATGATCGTACAAAGATTCCCGACGGTAACGAGCTTTGGAGTATCTCAAATTCGACTCGAATGCGTCTCGCACGATCAGCGGATGTATCTGAGTTCTTCTTGTTTATAAAGCGATGATCCGAGGGTGGTAGATCTTCTAACACAGCGAAGCACGGAGGGGGTGACTCTGGTACTGGTGGGCGCAGAGCTGATGGTTCATTGGGGCCTTGAGATGTAGACATAGGCGGGTGATCAGCCGAAAAAAAAGCATCGTTGTCAGAAGACGGTGGTGAATTACCAAAAGCAGTCTCTGGTAAATGCATCATGTTTTCTTCCAGGTCCTTAAGTTTGAGCCTGAGTCTCCCATCTCGAATATGAATATATCCATCAGATTCAAGAGAGTCATCACTCTCATCCCCAGCAACCCAACCACCACCAATCATATCAGAAGCAGGATCATCATCCTCGTCTGAATAATCATCCGCCCCAGGAATCACTGGGGAGGAGTCAATCACTGTCATGATTCGCTCAAAGGGGATTTGAATATCGTGGCAGCCGCTAGCACTCGGGAATCGAACAGTGATGATACCACTGGTATCCATTGCAACAATCTGGCCAAAAAAATCAACAGGAGATGTAGCTTCTTCCTTGTGAACGCTATATCGCCGACGCAAAGGAGGCTTTCGTATTGTGGTTGTATTTTTGAACCAATCAGATGCCATCATTGCGGACTTTATCCTTTGAAGATACATTGACCAGTAAGCACGTGCAACAATACTGTGCGGTCGAAAAGGGTTGCTGCGTGCGGTTGTATCATCCATAGGAGGTGAAATCATGATGGATTGATCAATAGATGCGGGGGCAACAACGACTAGATCACCATTGTACTTATTTAAAGCAGGAAAAGTTGCAAGCTCGTAAATAGACACAGGTGTAACCGCATCATCTAGCCGGCCCATAGTTGACCCTGGGTTTAGCACACTTCCCTCATGCGTCAAGTCAACAACCGAATTTTGATACCAGCGAACATAGGCTGTCTGTTCTTTGCTTTCAACTGTCTGAATAACGCCAACTTGTTGTAGATGCATTGTCCCTTTCGAATGAAGGAAACGCGGCACAGGCCCACTTCTTGCACTGGCAGGGTTGTCGACAGTTTTGATGCCGTCCTTCAACGCAACTAGATCACCAGGGCACAGTTCGCGCACCCAATTGTAGCCTACCTGCAAGGAAGTGGCATTTTCAGTGGTACAACTCCCATCTTGCCATTGTACGATGGCCTCGGTTTTGGTTGAGACAATTTTGAATACGTTCATGTCGTACCCAAAGGTCTGATGTTTTGGAATGCGCCGATAGTTGGGATGCTTTTGCGCGACACTTTCATCATGGAATCGAACCCTATCCCCAATACCAAGGAGAGAGGTACAGTTACCTACCATGGAGTCCTGATTTGGTGATCGCGAGAAATCGCATTTTATGGCATCTGCCTTCAATGTTGATGCCCTAAACATCTCAGTTAAATGGGTATCGTCTTGAGGCCCTGAAGAAAACACGTTGGGACACAGCCATTGGACGCGGACTTCCTCTACAGGAGTCGTCAGCACATAGGCCTGGGTCAATGACTTTTCACTCCCAAAACGACGACTAGTCCGGTCGAAACTCGCTCTGTCGGCCAAAACTGATTGGCCGGGAAAGGAACTTGACCCTGAACCCCAAAGGTAATTTTCGTCTTGGATGGCCCCCATATCCCAGCGAGCTAATGAGACCAGATCCGCAGGATTGGCGCGCATAGGAACCTCTAAGGTGATCGGTTCAAGAGGAGTTACAACTGTTGAGTCCGGAAGGAGTATAGTGACACCATGATCGACTCTGATGACTATTCCCAGCTGCTGGTGATAGATGATATAATCGCCTACTGTAAACTCGTTGGCATTGCGGAGTTCCGAGTTTGGGACGTCGTAGAGCAAGGAAGGGCTAGTTTCAGGAGCCCCAGAAACGGGGAAGCCTTCATGGCCGCCAACGGGTCTCTCTGTGAACCTCGGTTGAAGATGGTCTCCTGTTATAGGGTCGAGTGGTTGATAAACAATTGGCTCGAGGGTGCATTTTGTTGTTGCACCGATTACCGTGCCATGCATCGAGTCATTTAAATCCCGCTTGACTGGCTCACCAAGCTCGATCGAGCGATCAATGAGCTCGAGGTCGTTTTCGTGAATAAGAGCGCTGCCATTCGAGTTTTGACCGAAAACAACAAAAGCATATCCCCTCGGCGGCTAGATATGTTAGGACGCATATAATGGAAAAAGGATACAATTTACTTACGGTACCTGATTCCCTGAAAGTAGCGAGATCTTCCTCAGGAACCTGAGTATACCGGTAGATTGTGAAGTTGGCTAGGGTTCCAGGTTGCACTATCTTTGATGGAGTTAATCCACCATATCTGTATTATCAATATTGTTGATACAGGCAGCCAACATACATCATAAGATGTTCTCTGTTTGACAAAGTTAGTTTTGCGGGTGATAATACATCTAGCCAACTTACAGCAACATGTCCTATTAAGGACGGGTCAGATTTGAGACAGCAGAGGTCATTACGGTAGAACTGGATTGGTGCATTAGCGCAGTTGCGCCCACTTTTGGTTTGCGCATTCTAACCGACAGCAATAAATCAAAGGACGCACTCACCTTCTCATTAATCTCCATTCTGGCTTGAGAATCCAGGGACGAACTGGATTGCAAGTCCACTGCACTGGGTGTGGGGTATCTGTGTTATCAGAGTATGCTTTGCCAGGCTTTGGAGTGGGATAGATAGTATATTGTAGCCAGTATCTTTTATACTACTCCCTTATCTCAGGTATATGCCGTTGGTGCTAGTTAGTTGAAGGAGATAAGAAGTTGGAAGTGGCTTCAAGCCTGTATCGCCAGTGGATTGGAAACGACTACGTTCGTAGTTGAACATACAACCATCGGGTAGCAGTTGGGGAAAGTGATGTGGATATACTTGAATTCACTAAAGAGAGAGAAAGACAGGAGGATACAAAAGTTGCATTTACAGAAAGACCGAGGTGATACTGCAAGAAGAGAGGGATACACCATGAAGAGACCAGGGGTCGACGGACCAGGCCGGCTGTCACATGCTAGCTCCTTGGCCGGATTTCGCATCGACAGAGTCTCGATCTTGAAGTCAATCGAGTTGTTTTCGAATTCAGCCATGGTCCAAAGTGATGGAAGTCTGTTTGTTGCTGGAACCTGGCGGAGATGACAGCTTGATAGCGATTAGCTTCGGCCACTGACGATCTGATCCGCCGAGACTGCAAGGACCAACCTTTTTTTTGCTCCTCCTTCCACCACTTGGGCACCATTCTCACCATCACCCGCGCCCACCTACAGGGTACCTTGGAACTGCGATATATCTACGCGCCTTTTGAACTCTCCTCTTGATTCGGCCGCACGCCTTGTTTCCCATTCGGAACTTTATTGTCTCCGTGGTGATCCGTTTCATCTCGGCGCTACCGCTCTTGAACCAGCCTTTCGCAACTACCTAATACGCCCTCCCATCACCCATCTCAACACCCCAACCATGTCTGAACCCGGGCCCTCCTCGATCCCAACAAGTGCCGACCCTCGCAGTCAGCGCCCAACGAAGCGCCGCGCCGTAACCCCTCACGGCGAACAAGCCGACGCTGTTGCCTCGCTCTTCCGCGACCCAAGCAAAGAAATAAGGTTGCCCGGGACATCCAACCAAAAAACCGCGTCATCGCTTCCCGCGCCCCCCGAAATCGTCGCCAACGTGCAGGGTTCGTCGGCCGGTGCGGGGTCCGGCGAGTTCCACGTTTACAAGGCTAGTCGGAGACGGGAGTATGAGCGGCTACGGCTTATGCAGGATGAGGTTGATCGGGAGAAAAACCAGGATGACTGGCAGAAGAAGCAGGAGGAGGTGAGGAAGAAAGACGAGGAGAAGACGGAGAAGAATCGGAAGAGAAGGGAAAAGAGGAATAAAGCGAAGGCAGGGAAGAAGAAGAACGGGGGTGCTGGGAAGGAGGACGATGTGATGGACACTACGGCAGAGGGAAGAGGCCCGACAAATGGGTCTGGAGGACATGGTGAGGGGGACCAGACGGAGGCGGCTGTCGAGACGCCGGGTGTTATTATCCATGAGGATTGAGGATACAAGGAGCAAGGAATGTACAATTTGAAGATACCCATTGTAATTTTAGTCTAGGATATTCATACAAATCATGATTTGTGGCATTATGTACGCATTTTTATTCCCATAACCCTAACATTTATTCCTCGCCACCAGCGGGGCCACCCGGTTGCTGAGCAGTCTTACCACTGCAGATATCGTCGACGCGAAGCAGCAGGCACGCAGACTATTCGTGGTTAGCTAAAGTCACATAGTTATAAAGAAAACAACTTGCTTACCTCAACAGCCGTCTTGATGCTCTGGAGCTTGACGGCTTCCGGCTCCCAAACGCCGTACTCCTTCATGTCAACCAAAGCACCAGTGTCGCCATCAAGACCCCATGTGGTGTGGCCTTCGACGTGCTTGGCCCTCATGCGAGTGAGAACTCGGATAGGGCTGGCTCCAGCGTTCTGTGCTAGTGTTCGGGGAATAACCTCCATAGCATCCGCAACAGCCTTGTACGGCCATTGCTGGACGCCTTCAATGGACTTGGCCAGCTGGCCCAGTTTAACGGAAACAGCCATTTCTATGGCACCACCACCGGGGCACAAACGCGGGTGGAAAATAACGTTACGCGCAACGGACATGGCGTCCTGGAGGTTACGCTCAATCTCGTTGATGATGTCCTTAGATGGGCCGCGGAGGAGAACTGTGCAAGCCTTGGGGTTCTGGCACTTCCGGAGGAAAGTGAAGTATTCGTCGCCAATCTTCTCGATTTCGAAGAGACCGCACCCAGTTCCCACGTCGGATTCCTGGATATCGTCCACACGGTTGACGATCGTTGCACCCGTAGCTCTGGCGATACGGTTGTTGTCCGTCTTCCTCACTCGGCGGAGCGCTGTGACGTTGGCCTTCATCAAAAAGTGCTGTGCGAGATCTATACACCAATGTTAGGGACACATAATCACTAGTAGTTCATTGTAGCGCTTACCAGAGACACCCTTTTCGGTGATAACAATATCGGGCTTCAAAGCCAGGACGGCGTCACACATGTGCTTGACCTGCTCCTCCTCAATCTGCAGGATACGGTTCCAGTCGTCTTCCTTTGAGATTTCAATGTTGGTCTGCGATTCTCCTTTCTTGTACTCCAACGGGCAATCCAGCAGGACGACTCTGGGGTTCTCGATTCTTCTCCGCATCTTGGGGTGGGTAATGTCCTTGTTGACCATCACGCCATCGATAACCTCACTGTCCTCGATCTGACCACCGGGAATCTTCTCAATACGGGCGTAACGCTTGATGTCGACTTCTCTCTTTCCACCACCGGCATCGAAGGACACAGTGCGGACGGCTCTCAGTGCCAGGTCGCACATTAAATCAGACCATCTCGAAACGAACTTCGTCCCAATGGATGATTTAATAAGAGTGTACATAGCTTTGTCATCATCAATGTCCACGGGTAGCGCGACCTCCTCAACGATTGCAAGTGCGTCTGCAAGGGCACGCTTAAAGGCCGAGATAATGACGACGGGGTGGATATTACGTTCGAGCTGAGGGAGGGCCTGGGCAAGCATTTCACCAGCTACAACAGTCAGCAACATTCCATATATGAGCCAGGCCGGTCAGATCATAGATATGAAGAAATACCGAGAATGATAACGGTGGTTGTTCCGTCCCCAACTTCCTCGTCCTGTGTACGACTGAGCTCGATCATGCTCTTAGCGGCGGGGTGCGACACCTCAATTTCTCTGAGAATAGCGTGTCCATCGTTCGTAAGAACGATTCCTCCCATGGGATCGAGAAGCATCTTCAGCATAGCCTTGGGTCCCAGGCATGACCGAATAATATCCGCAACCCTGAATAATATACGTTAGAGCGGAAGCGGGGGTCCAAGTGGAATGGTCACGTACGTCTTTGCGGCAGTAATGTTCGACAACTGGGCTTTGCGACCGACCTGTCTCTCACCAGAGTTGGTGTCTGATTTGCGTTAGCTCTTAGTAGAGTAGGGGGTTCGACTTCTTGAAAACGTACTCATCACCACCACCGGAGCCTGCATTTTGGCGGTGTTTTTGGGGATGTAACGGGGAAAAGTGAAAGAGCGCAACAGATACCGGGGGCAACAAATGAGTGGTATCCAATGCAAGGAAGTAAAACTGTCAAAAAGTCGTGTTCCGGGGGTAAAGGTCTGGAGATGTTGTGCCCGCCTTTACCATCAAATTTCCAGCGCTGCTCGAAGTGGGATTGCGGACTGGAAGCTCACCGCCACTATCCTCCTTCAGGACTAGTGCGTACTTCCCCTGTTCTTGATCTTTCTGCCTCAGGAACCAACTTACTTATTCTCCAGGGTCCGGTTCAACAACTTCAGTTTATTTCAACTAAGCCTAATATCAAGTCTGCAGACTGACTAGGGAAAAAAAAAAAAAAAGGGAGACCTTAAAACCATACACAATACCCTATGTTTCTCGCTTTCCAAATCCCACATCGAAATCCAAACGCTAATCAGCACTCTGAACTCACAATCAATCCAATAATGCATTCACTTCTTGAAGATTTGTTTGATGTTTTGGGTCCTTTTGCGGGCCCCATTATACGCTTTTGAAAGTAGCGACGGGGGCTTTTTAACAAACTGTTTCTCGCCCTGGCAACCTTTTTGAAGAGTGCCAGCCTCTAACTCATAGAACGGCCCAGAGCACCTCCACCACATATACCCTTTGTTAGGACGGGGTCGAAAGTAGTCTTTTTCAACGACTGTCTCTGCTTCAGACATAGGAGAGGTCTGGTGGCTACCGATGCCGCACAATCTAGTGCGACTACCCGGAGACCTATCGTCCACCTCATTCTCTCCATGTTCTTGCCCAAAGTAAGCAGGAACCCATGTATGCCGTACTGGACACCAAGTCATATTCTCCAGAGTCCCAAGGCTATCAGCATTTTGCCCCTGCAACATCCTCGCATCCTGCTCTCTTGTGGCCGCCACGCCCGCCATCATGTTCTTGAACCACGTTTCCACGTATTTGCTGCACTCATTGCCCCTGAGCTCAAAATCCGACTCGGAATCTGCTTTCTGTTTCCGCTCTGGCTTCTCGCGTTTTCGGTGTCGAAAGCAGAGTTGACGCTCGTGCTGGGGTTGCTCTCCTGGGAAATTGTTTTGTTGCCACTGTTGGACTCGCTCTGCATGAATTTCACGCATATTATTTTGAAGATGAAGTGGGAGTAGTGAGAGAGCCTCTTCGTCGAGGTCTGGTACAATTTCCTCTTCGGAGTCTGTGTAGTTATCGTCGTCGCTGCCATCCTTTTGCTTTGTGGGTTTGTCGCGGCGATAGAAACGACATTTCCTGGATTTGGTACTTGCTTCGGTTTCGACCTCCTTAGATGAGGGGGTCTGGGAGACAATTGGCATAGGGTTGACGTCTGTGCCTCGTCCGTACCTCCTGTTTGTGCCCTTTTTGGTGTCATTTTCCTTGGATGCGTGCGGCTGGGGGGCGATTTGCTTGACGTATCCGGTTCGTAGGTGCCTTCTGGGCATTGTGGGTGTTTTGGCGTTCGTTCCATTATAAGAGAACGGCTGGAGGAGCGCCGACATATCGAGGCCGTATCCGTTTTTTCTGTACCTCCTCGGCATTTTGGGCTCAGGGTTGGATATGTATTTGTGATGTGTTGTTTGTGGTCCGGGCGCTGGAGAGAGGACAGATTAAAGGAGGCTTAGCTGGGCAAGTGTGGTGTGAGGAATAATAGATTTGATTTGAGAGAGGAGAAGCAGTGTATAAAGGGAGACGGGGCATTATTGGTTTTATTTATAACCTACTTTAATGCAATCTATCTAAGTGACTTGTGTACACTAGTACCTAGAAGTTAACTAATGGCCCACGTTTAACGTGTGATGGTGAACCTCCGTGGGAATCTAGAACTGGAACAATAGAACATCAGAAACTTGCTTATTCACTAGCACTGTAGGTGAATATAAGCATTAAAGGACAAGGGTATCTAGTGGAGTGTTCCCAAATATTGTTACACAAATGTATCAGGGAGCCAGTAAGCAGCTCACGAGTAGATTATAATACATGAAACAACAGTGATCGCACTAGTGTAACAATTCTATCTTAAATTTCAAAACTCTCGGCTCTCACCAATGTCACAGATATCGAACACCCCAGTTTCCGGGATCTCATGCTTCTTCAACGCCTCCTTGAGCTTCTTAGGGGGCTCGAGGACATCCTCTTCAGTTAACACCCAGGTACCCCAGTGCATGCCCAGAGCTTGCTTGCACTTGGTATCCCGGAAGATCTCAACAGCGTCGTGAGGGTCTGCGTGCATAGGACTCATGAACCATCGTGGCTGATACGCGCCGATAGGGATTAGTCCAAGATCGAACGGGCCACGGAACTCGCCCACTTGCTTGAAAGCAGGGCACGAGGGAAAGCTGTACTCCGGGGCATGGTCGTCCACATCATTTGGAAGAGTTGGCACCGAGCGATAACCAGTGTCACTGAGTGGAGGATTTCATTCAGCTGTTACACATGTGATAGGGTATGGTTTTAGAACTGCTTACCCTGCGAAATATACCCTGCGGCCGCCGGACTCTACATACCACGAGGCCCAGAGGGTTTTACATCGGTCAAATGGTGTTCTGGCGCTAAGGTGCTGGCAAGGTAAACAGCCGATCCGAGCAGCAATATCCGCTGGTTTCAAGGTTGTGCTTTGATCGGTTGTCTCTACCTGGGCTGAGGGTTGCGATGGAGAAAGGCGGATGTTGCGCTCATCCCACCAGTCGAGTTCCGTTGCATTCGATATTCCGGTCTTGTCAAACCATTCCTTGTTTCCAAGAGGGACAAAGAAATGACAGTTCGGGTGCCGCTTATGAATATCCTGGACAGTCGGAAGAGACAAGTGGTCATAGTGATTATGGGAGATCACGACTGCGTCGATGACAGGAATATCCTTGATGTCACATGGAGGCTGGGTATAACGCTTTGGTCCCAACCATGATAGTGGAGAGCATCGATCCTCGAAAACTGGGTCGAATAGTACTCGCAGTCCGCCAGGAAACTCGACATAATAGCAAGCGTGGCCTAGCCATGTCGCTCGCAGGGTAGACGTCTCGCGACTAGGTAGAAATTCTGGTTTCTGTACAGGAACAGTTGGAGGAGAGGTGTCAGGGCGATTACCCTTGCCAGTCACTACGTGCCTAACATTGGTGAGGATTTCATTCGCACGTCTGCGCGACTAGACCCTGAGCAGACTCACCACAGAAACTGTCCCTGTTTGTCAAAAGGCGAGGTAAACGAGCTAAGTCGACTAATCAGTATAGGGTGTTGGCTGTAGTGGTAGTGAAGGCTCACTCCCAAGGGTTGTCAAACCCGTTTTTGACATGATGTGCCTTCTTAGTGGCATCATCCGGGGCTGACGAGCCCGGAGAGGCAGAGACTGTCAGGGCGTAGAGAGCGGCTGCCGTAGAGGAGGCCATCCTGAGCTTTGTAGTAGGGGCGAAAGTCCGAGAGAAGGCGGGACTTCTGCTGTATGAACGAAAGGAGAACCAGCGTCGCAGAAAGGGTTGCATGCCGGATACTACGCCAGGATCGCCGTCCTCCGGGAAGAGAGGGGATAATATATTGTTCTTGGGTACATTTTCAGGTCAGAATCTGGCGAAATGGCACCGTTTTCTGGCTGGTGAGAGCCACTGTTATTGCCGATAACCCCGAGGAATCCCTCCGGTCGCATCCCAGACTCCGCCATGCCTCAGCCTTCAGACGGCCCAGTCGGCGCATCAATCCCTCCGAATGGTCTTCAGAAACTCATTAGTTCTGAGCTAAATACGTACGCCTTTGCCTAGTGGTGCTGACTGCGGACCAAACTAAGCATTAAGTTGTGCGAGGCAGCAGGGTCGGCACGTGTCAGCGCCGACCCCGGATGATTGAATGGCCTAGTCCGATCTGGGCCGCCTTGTCCAGGCATCCGTCGACTTGATCGAATGACTTAACTTGATGATTGGTATGGACCAAACGGGGTCAAATTCTCCAGGGTTGCCCTCGCCGGGGCCCTCGCTTGCCCAGCAAAGGAATGAGGCGATCCAGGCTGCTACGCGGCCGACAGGAGACGGTGGACTGCTGGCCCAATTCACGAGCAATCCTTTTTTCACAGCGGTAAGAAACGCTTGGAACTCGGGTTTATGCGCGTTTTTGACGACAGAACATCTTCTAACAAAGTATTTCTGCTAGGGATTCGGTCTTGCAGGGCTCGGAGTCGGCGCACGAGTTGCGCAGCATGGTCTTCGACGTGGCGCGGATTTGATTCGGAGACGGATGCTTGTCGATGTCGAGATCACACATAAGGACGATTCATACCCATGGTTTTTGAATTGGATGACGATGCATCAGGGGACGCAACTTAATGCATCTCGATCTGGGGCCAGCAGGTCTGGTATTGTGGACTCGCTCTTGAGCAAAATCACCCCCAGAATGCACCATTATTCCATCAATACGAAGAAGATCGAACACTCCAACGGATCCATCGACACGGCTTTCGCATTAGTCCCGGGGCCGGGTCGACACGTCCTACGCTATAATAACGCGTTTATTTTCGTCAATCGGGTTCGCGAGACCAGGACTCAGGATTCCATGTCCGGTAGGCCATGGGAAACCATCACCCTAACTACGCTATACTCGCAGCGCCATGTGTTCGAAGAACTTTTTACGGAAGCGCACGCGTATGTTGCAGAGGCACACCAGGGGAAAACCACGGTGCTGCGCGCCGATACTGCAGCGTGGACGCCTCTTGGACCGCCCCGGCACAAGCGCCCATTGAACTCAGTGGTCTTAGACGAGGGAGTGAAGGAACGCATTGTGGAAGACGTCAAGGACTTTCTGTCAAGTGCGCAGTGGTACCATGACCGAGGAGTTCCCTACCGCCGAGGATATCTTCTGTATGGTCCACCGGGTACTGGCAAAAGTTCATTTATCCAGGCACTGGCAGGGGAGTTGGATTATGACATCGCTATTTTGAATTTAAGCGAACGAGGGCTAACGGATGACCGACTGAATCGGCTTTTGACCATCGTTCCCAAACGAACTATTGTGCTACTGGAGGATGTGGATGCAGCCTTCTCGAATCGTCGTACCCAAACCGACGAGGATGGTTATCGTGGCGCCAATGTGACCTTCTCTGGCTTACTGAACGCCTTAGATGGCGTCTCAAGTGCCGAAGAGCGGATTGTCTTCCTAACGACAAACCACGTGGAGCGTCTTGACGAGGCCCTTGTACGCCCGGGGCGAGTGGACATGACAGTACGTATGGGCGAGCTCACTCGCTACCAAGCGAAGTGTTTCTGGGATAGATTCTACGGTGATTTGGACACGACTCATTCCTATCAACAAGCCTTCCTCTCTCGGCTCGCGGAACTAGGGCTCGTTGAGGACGAGAACGGCCAAAAAGCCGACCCGTCGCGGACCACAAGTGCTGCGGCTCTACAGGGTTTGTTTTTGTATAATAAAGGAGATATGGCGGGTGCCATTGCGATGGTTGAAGGGCTCACGTATGGACTCCATGGAGGCATGGTGGACTCGAGGACCTGAATCATCTGTATATTATGTGTCACGATATATTTTTCAATAGACGTAGAGATTGAGAAAGTGTACAATAGGGAAAGTCCGTTCTCACCGAAGATCGCTCACTTCTTGATGGTTGCAGCTTGGCAGCCGTTTCTCACCTCCAGGGTAACGAGCCACGAGCAGCATCCAGGCTTTCATCACACTTCTTCTTCCTCATCCACCTCGCCATAAAATCACAGGAACTTGATGCGTGCATATTTCCGGCATCGGGGGCAGTCCAGTCAGCTGCAGAATACGTTGATGGCCCGCCAACCAATCCGGTCTCTCATCCGTTCTTCACAACATGCAGCTGGGGCCCCTCGTTGCCTGGGGACGTGATCCTTCAGTTGCTCAGCGCTTGGATGTCAGCAAATCAGCAACTTCAATTTAGCATCTTCTAAGCGCTGTCAGTGCAAGCCAGCCACCCCGCTGTGATAGACACCGGCAGCCCGCCGACGGACCATCGAGATGTCGGCGTTAAGCGCCCGCGCGGGCTCTCAGCAACATCGCGCAGGACAAATGTCTGTTCTTCACACTTGCAGGAGCCTCTCATCGCTCAGACCCTTCTTCCCCACCGAGATAACTTTGTGACCATTTTCAAGCCAAGATATGGCTGCACGCACCTGGGTAAAATCCGTCAGCGGTTAGCCACCCGCAGACGGCGACGATGGTATTTAGCAATGGCTGCTGTCCTCCCCGTTTTTCTCAATCAATACTGCTTCAGATTAGGCCATCTATGCTCTACTCTGTTGCTATTATACTTCATTGGTTGAGTCGTGAGGTTGCGTGTATGTATCAATGCGACTGCTGCGCAACTCCATCTAAGACGGCTGCCAGTTGACTCCCATCCTCTCATTGCATCGAGCAGATCTGGTTGATCACAAATCAGGACATACTGCGCAACCATGACCAATGCGCAATTCCAGCTTTTCCCACCCCCTGCTCCCCAGGGGGTCCCCAAAAACCCTTTCCGAAAGGGCACCAGAAGGCCATCGATTGATACCCACTCAACATCTTCAACACCAATCGAAGACCCCAAGACCACAGGCACTGAAGCGAAGGCCGTGGTCTTTCAAGTCGTCGAGCCGCATAGTATAAAGCCCCCACCGAAGGCAAATGTACCTGCTCCACCACCACGGTCTGTTACTCCCGAACCAGCGCATGCACCTTCCACGGAATCGCTATATAGTTCCAACCCGCAACCTGGAAGAGGCGGATCTCTGACAGAAGAGACCAATTCATCTGCCAGCCAGGGTGATAGGGGCGATTCCCAAGGAATTGGGCCTACCCAGAGGTCCCCACAGTCGTGTATCTCTCCGGTTGTTCCTATAAAATCGATGTTTCCGCAGTTCAATCCCAACGTGCCACTCAGCCAAGAACAGTACAACAGCGATATCTCGAACAATTTTTCGCGACCCCGTCACCGACCCGCTCGGCTCAGGCTAGATATCACACCGGCCCCAGAAATTGATCGAGCACTTGGGCCGAATACCGTGCCCGCCGACGTTCATGACTTCCCGGGCAGCATCCTCTCGCCAGTCGGCATTCAATATTCAGATCCCGAGCAGCTTAAGGCGCTATGGGAAACCGCAAATGGACAGAAAACCGATAGCCTCTCGAAGGCTTTCAATCTTCGGATGGAGCGGTATGAATTACCTTCACTTCCCTTAAACGGTTGACCGGGCTATACTGACAGACTTTGGCATTAATAGCCTTGACCCTGCAACATTTGTCTTCGGTGACCCAAACTTACCATTCTATACTATGCAAACGTTCTCTACAAACGAAATGTCTATTACCAGAGGGAATCCCTCCGTTCCTAATAGTAGCATACCCATCATGATGCTCCAGCTTGAGGACCGGCGGCGTCGTGAGCCTCCAAACGATGGCCTAGTCTCTCACCTCTTCTCGCGACTTGCCGCCATGCTCGCAATTGATCAGGCAACAGAACTATCAAACCAACACCAACTGTCACCCTCCGATGCTGCGGAAGTGGAAGCGAATGCTCTGAGACGAGCAGCCGCGTCAGAGTCATATAAACTGTCTTGGAACGCGATGAAGGGGGCTTACGAACTACGCCACCCATCGTTGAACAAGAAAGCTCATAACCAACCGTCCCAACCCGCGACACCACCTTCTCTAGTCGGGGCAGCAGGAATCCCACTCTCTCCCGAGCGGCCTCGGCACCAGAACGATAGTTCTCTACATATCAGCGTTTCAACGCCAACGAACCAAGGACAGCCCCAAGCACCGACAATCCTCGTCACGGCGCCACTCCCGAACAATGCAATTGATGTCGCTACTGTAGCATCACCACGTACTTCTACTCTCCCGCTTTCAGGGTCCGAGTCAGAATCAGACGAAGCCCTTGCCTCCCTTGACCTCCGCACAATGACCCTCTCAATTTCAGCACTGGCAATTAACAAAACCATCCCTTCCTTATACGCTATTGATTCCATCATCGCCGCTATACTTGCTGTAGCAGTCTCAGACGTTTCCACGAACCATGTACTAGCTGATATGCCTTTGTATCATGCCCCGAAACCACAAACGCGGATGCCGACACCACCAGAACCCACTTATACAAACCCGCCCACCAGCAGACCAAAGCTTTTCGCGACCCTTGCAGAGCGCGAAGACAACGACGATACCGATGCCCCTCCGCTCGCCCTTCCGTCACAAACACATCCTCAACCTCCGGCGAAATCTCATCGCAAGTGGTACTCATGGTCTCTCCTCCGCTCAAGAATCTCCGAAATCCAACACTCTCGCCGTCAGAAAGCGAAAACGAAGTCTAACCAATCACCAACGTCCCCAGCTGTTGAAGAAATCGATCTAGAAAAGTACGGCGTCGGGCCAAAAAGCGCTAAAAGAAAAGAAAAGGAAGAAGAGCTACCAGGTCTCGCCCGAGGCCTCATCAAGCTTTTCGGCTGGGGCTTCAAGCTATTTTTCTGGGCGTTAACGGTAGCGTTCAAGATCCTCGGTTGGGCGTTGAGTCTGGTGTATAGATGTGTTACAGGCGAGAAAGCCTCGAGCTGAGTAGAGTTTGTTCGATGCTTCTTTTCTCTACTCTTCTGCTACCTGATTTCGTTTCCTTTATTTACGATTACATGCTGGGTTAGGCGTCTGGTTAATTGGATGGAATTAATGAAAACCATGGCTTTTATGGGAGATAAGACGGTTTATGCTTCATGTATTTTTGGGTTATTTGTTTATATACCTTTTCCTTCGTGATCTGATTTGGTTGATCTGCTCTGGAGTAGATCGTTCTTGCACTACACGCCGCGTTCTGATATATATCTCCGAAATGAAATATTGCCCCACTACAAATCTAATAACGAAAAAAGAACGAGTCACAGAGAAAATAGAAAAGAAAGCCCAGTCCGCGATTAAATTATAGAGCTTAGCAATATCTTCAGCTTCAAGATGTGACCTGCTTGGTGTAGGGATTGGATGCCAAGGAAAGCGCCTGGAAGATTGAGAGAAGGAATCCTCAATTTGACTGATTCATCATGCTGTAAACCGACTTTTGCCTTGGGACTGGAAAATAATATAGAAATACAGGTCTCAAACCAGAGATTTGAAGTGAGAATTGAAGGAAAGAACAGGCTCAATGTTAAAGTAGCTGTGCTGCTGTGCGCCATATCCCATGCTACATAGAAAGATGAAATGTCGAACTTTTACCGCATATCGACAAAGAATAGATACCTCAGTCGGATCTGTGCGACATCGTACACAATGTACTCGTTGTACGCAAGATAACCCTGGTTGGAGTCACGATTTGCCGTCCCTGAATTTGTATCAGGCACCTGGATGCCTTTCAGGTTCGGATGAATGCAACCGGCATCTTTCCACCCAGCTGGGACAGTCCGACCTTTACCCAGAGTCGCGATCTGGCCCTGTTTCTTTGCGTTCTCACCAGCGTTGTAGTCAGAGCTATAAAGCTCGTTCATGGGGTCGCCTAACTCAACATCACCGAGTAGGAGTAATGCCTTCTGGCCGCTGTTGTAGCTGCAGCAGTAGTTGGCGGATTTGCTGGACATATCGGCAAAGTAAACACCCTTTCCAAACATATATCCACTGACAGGCGCTTCAGGAGGCGCAATGCGCAGACCCTGGCTGAGGATACCACCGTAATTGGTACTGCGAGAACCGTGCCAGAGTAAGCGGCGGTTGCTGTTCTGCATGTTGGCGTATGAAGATGAATTGAATCGATCATATTCTCCTTGGCGCTCGATTCGGAAGATATCGATCACCTAGAAAGGTATCAGGATAACTGAGTTGGCGGAAACAGAATGTGAGAGAAAGCCAACCTTGTATTTCAAGCCGTGTGTTGATGCTCGTGATTCTGAAAGATATTTCTCCAGTTCTTGGAATTCAGTAGAGGCATGATCCACTATCGAAGATTAGCTTCAAAGTAGCACGCGTTGGACAAGGGGTTATCTCACGTGGAGCCATCTCCTGCATCCCAAGGCCTGCGTACTGGCTATCGATCGGATTAACATCTTCCATTTTGGTTGCATCCTTTAAGATGCTGTTGGTAATCTCCATATCGGTCAAAGCCTCCAGAAGCTCGACTTCCTTCTTGATATAAGTTTGGTTATCCAAGACTGGCGGTCGGTTTCGACCGAAAACGTGAGGAATTGTGGTAAAGTAGCGATTGCTCAGTAGCTCCAAAGCTGGACGCAGCTGCATCTGATATCTCGAGTTTGCTAAAGCCGGCGTGGCTGCAAGCTCGGCCAATTCTTTCAGGGTTTCAAAGCCCATCATCAGGGTTCTCTTGCTCAGTTTGCCAAGTGGCAGTTTCTTCGCGTCGTAAGACATTTGCGCCATGGTCTCGAGGAAATATGCTTGGTTGAAAATAAAGCTGATGAGTTTCTGGATAGCGGCTGGCAGTTTGCTCTCGGGGACGGTTGACGGCCCTGCTACAATCTTGCTGTCGGCTTTTTCGTCTTCGTCTTCGCTCTCTTCATAGTTGCGTTCGATAAATGTATATTTGTTGTTCTTCGGGGTGCTGAGTCGGTCTTTCCATGCCAAACCCGACTTGTCCTTGAATTTCTTCCCGAAGAATAATTTGGCGCTGTCGAGTGTGCCGTCACCCAGATGGGCAGACTGACCATTCTCCCCAACTCTCCCCCAGCGAGTCCAGACCTGGTACTGGTCGCCATTCTCGGACTTTAGCAGCTGAAGGCGGTAGAACTTGTTGTTATTCGCGGCTGAAACAGTCTGATTCAGCGTAGCATCCCAGATGAGGCCAGATTTATCAATATAGACGCTGGGTGCTGTTTCTTTGGGTTAGCATTCATCATAGGCATATGGTCATAGGAAGGAAAGATTACCTCTCCACGCAGTTTCTTTGGGCCAATAAAGTTCGTCAACTTCGACTTTTATCTTGCTCGCTTTGTCTGCGGTAATTCTTTGCGCATCCCCAGTAGCATTTTTAGGTTTCTTGTTGGACTCATCCGCGTCCACCTCAGTATCATCTACAGCATTGGCGCTCCGCTTCTTCTCCTTCTTCTCTGTTTTCACGGGAACACCATCAGTCTGGCTGTTGGTGGATGCACCCAACTGATACGACTTTTCTGATACCGGTTTCTTTGCCTTATCCGAGTCGAGCAGCCAGCTAATGGACACCACTTCACACTTCTTTAAACCGCAGGCTTGTTGGTCTAGTGTTATAAGGCGTGTGAGCAACTGCCATAGGGTGAAAATGCCAGTAACTCCAACTCACATTTGGTACTATTCTTTTCGACCTCCTTCTGGGTGGTTACAAGATGTGTACAATCTGAACCGACGGATGAACTGAACGTAGCACCATGGCTTTCTACAGTCGTTTTTAAGTCGGCTGTAGAATGGTAATAAGGGGTCAGCTTAGGATTTGTATACGGGGGTAAAGCTCCGAAATTGGAACCTAAAGTAGATATAAGGTGGGGGGTCGACCTTGTTTGTAGCCAGGAAAAGTGCCGCTCACGGCAATGACAAGTTTCTTGAACGATCTTTGAGGCATTTTATTATGCGATTGATGCCAGTGGGATGATTGAGGATGCAAAAGCGCCAACAAGAGGAGAATGATGTTAAGGGGAGAGACCTGACGAATACGAGAATCCGCTCAGCTGAGGCTGACTCGCTAACGCCGGGGTTCTGGATCTAAAACCAAACAAAAGAGGCTGAGCAGGGAAAGCAATTCTAAGATTGGACTGTAGAGGTTGTGAATCGTACGCGGAATTGGGGGCGTTGGAGCTTTAAGAGGTGAAGCTGTAGAAGGTGTACCAGACTTAATTGCCTGATCATCCAGGCTGCCGCAGCTGTGCCTAGCAGGCACAGCCGGAGGCAGAGGCTCACCACCCCAGGCTCTAGGCACCAGAGGACAGAGCGGAGAGCCCCAACGAGAGCAGTTGGTCTCCATTATTATTTGCCCAAGATCTTGGCTAGAAGCTTCGATAACTGCAGCAAAGTGAAAGAAAATCTGAAAGCAGTTTCTTTGGTTAACTGTTGGTACAGGCTGTTGCCTCGCTTGACAGAGATTAATATTTCATCGCAAATCTCGACTCAATTGAGTCGTCCTAACAGTGTTTCCATCCTTTCCCATTGAACCACAAATTCATCAACATTGCGCAACTTAAGCTGGCGGTTTGCAGTTTGTGGTTCTGAAAACAAGCGACCGGCGAACTGATGGCGGGCGCCCAGAACACAACAGCGACGGGACTGAAGGTAAACAAGTACTAAACAGTAAACAGTGACATCTAACCGGCGTCTCAAATTGAATCATTGAATGCTCGTGTAACTCTCCAAAATGTGCAATCAATATGGGACCGGACCGGTCGTACTTCGGATATTGCCCCGTATTCTAGAAATCCGGTCTGAGCAATCGCAATTAAACCCTTGTCGCCAGTCCCTGAATATCCGATCCTGATGACCTCAACGGTGGGCCGAGGCCAGAAATCAGGCTGGAACTATCCACTCGGAGGCGGCCGCGAACCGCCTCGAACGAAGGACTCAAACCCGGTTGCGACCGGGAAACGAAGCTGGGATGAGCGCCAGGACTTTTGGGGAGCAGGTTTGTTGACATCATGTCCCGATCAGCATGGTGCTGGAGAAGATCAGCCTGGATAAGTTTTGGCGTCGAGTTAAACGGCCAGTAATGGTTATTGATATTCAAGCCGGGTGCGAGGAGTTGCCAGGCTTGGGGAGAGCTCAGGCCCAAAGTTCCGTCGGCAATTGTCAAACAACGGAGCCGCCCCGGAGGAATGGAAGTATGAGATGCAGCTGCATCAGCGCTGCAACTGCCACAGCCAGCAGCCCAGCAACCAGGTTGGGGGACGGTGAAACGGTGAAAGTGAACTCCCAGAGCTCTGGCGGGACGGCTCGGACCCACGCCTGGTGCCGTGGATAACGGCCAACAACTCCTGCTTGGGCTGACCACGGTTCGCGGTCTCGTGAATCAAAACAGCGACGAAGGCGATACGATCAATCAGACGATGGGGGCAACAGCTGCAGGCTAAGCGCCGAACAGAGTTGCCTCTCAAGATGACCCATCACAGCACCTCGCTAACCCAGCAGGGTGCCAGGAGGGCCCCAGCTCCAATGTTGCTCCAAATCAACATCTGTGATTGTGAATAATTGGTACGACAGGGCGAAGACAGGGCGGCCCCGTCTGATAATTAACAGAAACAAACCCAATTGACCTCAAAGGGCAGAAGGCAATGAAATTGGGATCCCCGGCAGCGTCGAGCTCAGCGAATGGATGGAGAAACTCCGACGCAAGGACGGGCTGCAGGAGGGACGCTGTCAGACAAGAAGCAGAATATCAATCAGAAGACAATGAAAGAAGAATATTATTTTGAAACATCGTCAGCACCATCGAGGTGTGGAATCTGAGATCGCACTAGGCCGTAAATCAGCTAAATTGAAGGTGTTGATTTTGATTTTCTTTTCCCCTTTTCAGCATCCAGTTCCGCCTTAACTCTCCCACTCTTTCTCGCTCCCTCTCTTCTTCTTTCTCTTCGGACTTGGACGATGGAGTTTCACTTTGGCCCTCTGGTAGGATCGTGACGTTGCTTGTTCATGGATTGAACTGTTTTCTCGCACCGCCCCCGACTCTCGTTCACTTCTCCTTGGTTGGTAGCTAAGCTTACCCGATTTTCCCGACACTCGTTTACTCAACGCGACTCCAACACACACCTCTTGACCAGCAAGTCTCGTCTCATACTTTTCGATTCCATTTGTTCTCCCAGACTTTTTTTGAACCTAGAGTCATTCCAACCAGCTATCTGCCAGTCCACTATTTGTCGACAAATGTTCAGCGTGTTTTGTCTTTCTACCAGTCGTGGCAATGGTCACGGGAAATGGAGCTCTTCGATATCCGCCTCAGGGTCCGATGGGCGACCATGATCTTCCAGCACGCCGCAGAGCTCCTAATCCCCTCCAACTCGATCCTCTAAGAGCCAATCCTCCTTATCCACGACCCTCGACTGCGGATGGGTTTCGCCCGCCGTATTCTTATAACCGTTCTTCTCCATCTCCGCACCCTCCACGCGCTCCCAGAAAATATCCTGCATACCCCCACCCCCCACGAGTTGATTCCGCTTCGCGCGCCGTTTCACCTGCCCCCCATCAACCACGCCCTAACGATGGCTCACCCATACACCGACCGACGTACCATAACCCACCATACGCATCACCAGTCACTAAACACGAGTGGGCGAGGAGACCGCCTCCAGAAGCAAACTTTGAGGGCTTATCCAGCCAAACGACGCCCTCTAAGCCGACAGACCAACCACTTTCCATATCTACAGCAAAACTTCATAAGAAACGCTCCAAACCTCGCCTCGCACAAGCCGCTAGCCCCCACGGACTTGCACTACCGCGCAGTCCATATAATGGTCGGCTATCTGACCCATACGGCGAAGATGCACTCCGTTCTAGCGTGAACTCCGCCAAGACGTCGCGCTCCAGCATCGAGCAAGCGAGCGGAACAGAACGAAGTAGCGTTTTGACTAAGAGCAGCTCTATTACCGATTTATCTCCGGATACGCCGGATGGTTCATATGAGAAAGATGAAGGAATGAGTGTCGAAGATGCCATCTCTATGTACTTGGACGGGTTTAGTGACGTGACAGAAGAGCCAGCATCACCAGATCTTATAGAAGACAGCAAACTTAAATCATTGAGCCCACTACCCCCGGCGGAATTTGTACTAGACGACGACCATGCTCCCAACGCCGAACCAAATTTGCATTACATCCGAGATTTTCCACCAACACCACCTACGATTTCACAGCTGAACACACCAGACGATGATGTTTTGCGCAAACAGTACTTTGAGGAAGCGCACGAAGAAGAAAACCCGCTAGACCCTCCTAGCGGGCCTATAAGCACACTTTTGGAGCAAGTGTCAGCACCAAATCCCTCACAGTTGAACCCACAAGGCCAGAACTTGTTGGACAAGCAATTTCTAGGAGAGGGCCGCCCATATGAGAATTCGGTGGATGGACCTTTAAATGAGTCTTTAAATGAACCTACAAACGACCATTTGGACAAGCCTTCCGAAAAACCTCTTGAGCCGACCTCTCCAACTCAACCACCTCCTACACCTCGCTCTGCTGAAACGAAGGTCATGCTTCCAGGTATTGTGCCTCCGCCATTGACCATCGCTACGGAGGCGAGAGATTGCTATGGGTTTCGGAAAGCAACAAGTTATGTTACTATACAGCAGTACGAGGCCTGGAGCGCTTCATACGCCGACTTCGCTGCTAATCGCCGAGTAAAATGGGCTGAACTATTTCGCGAAAACGCGCTACCGCCCACCAACCCGACAACGTTTCCTCCAAAATCGCCCAAGGTAAAACGTTTCGTAAGGAAAGGAATCCCTCCGGAGCTTAGAGGTGCGGCGTGGTTCTGGTACGCTGGAGGCTTCGAGCAGCTTAACCGGAATCCGGGGTTGTATGACCAGCTCGTCCAACAGGCGATGGAGTCTCCAAGTAACGACGACAAGGAGCACATTGAGCGTGATTTGCACCGAACATTCCCTGACAATATCCATTTTAAACCGGAGCAAACGGGACAACCTGGTCTTGACGGTGGTAGCTCAGGGAACTCTGTCACAATTGAAACAGAAATGATTCGATCTCTGCGGCGGGTGCTCTATGCGTTTGCCATTCACAACCCCCAGATTGGCTATACACAATCGCTCAATTTTATCACCGGGCTATTTCTGCTTTTCCTGCCTGAGGAAAAGGCGTTTTGGATGCTGCATATTGTCACATCGGCATATCTTCCCAACACGCACGAAATCAGCCTCGAGGGCGCTAATGTCGATCTTTGGATTCTCATGGTCCTTCTGAAAGAGTCGATGCCGAATGTTTACAACAAGATTGCAGACACGGGAACCTCCAAAAGAAGTGCTCCGCTTTCAGTGAACTCACGCCTTCCTGACATTACTCTCGGCCTAACAAACTGGCTCATGTCTGTCTTCATTGGCACGCTACCTCTTGAGACAATGTTGCGCGTATGGGATGTATTCTTCTATGAAGGGTCGAAAACATTTTTCCGTGTCTCTATGTCAATATTTAAAGCCTGCGAGAAGGACATAATGGCCGTGTCGGACCCAATGGAAGTTTTCCAGGTGGTACAAACGGTGCCCAAGAAATTGCTGGATGCCAATGCTTTGCTCGACGGGAGTTTCACTCGGCGGAACCGTGTTGGTCAAGGTCGCATCGAAGAATTGAGGGCAGCTCGACGGGCAGCAGTTCGGCAGGACAAGCTGCGACGATCGCAAGCTCTGACCAAGGGACAGCTCCATGCAGCAACGGACGAATGGCCGACGCGATCTCGGACCCCGATCCCTGGAATCGAGCGCACATTCGCTGATTCTTGGCGCCAAATGAGGAACCATGCATTCCGGTGACGCACCAACCCCTCTTACGCCCGCCTACGACCTAATTTCTAATTGCACGCTGCAACATACTTGGCTTGACCGCTTGAGCAGCAGATTTTGAGGAGGATGTCGGACTACCCAGTGTAGTGTCCTGATGATTTTTCGTGTAGATATTCGCCTGTGATTCCCCTTTTAGCATACCAAAAGCGTTAGACTCGAGAGCCTCGGTAGCATTTTTTCACTTTGCGCTATGTACATAGAACCAGAATTGAAGACGACTCAGGTCCAATGAATTGCGAGATTTCCGATCTGTGGTAGGGCTGAGTGGAGATCCGATCCATGGATCGACCGCACGAACAGCTTTGAATGGGCAAATCGTCGCATCACCATGACGATTGCTGCCTATTTCTCTCGCGTGAAAGTTGGTTCAGGCCAAGGTTCACTGCTCTGGAGCTGCTGCGGTGGGAACTCGGAACTAGAAGTGAGTTCCTTGATTGCAAGCCCTGCCATGCCCCTGTCTTCATCCCCGTCTTGAACTATCTTTCTTCCCCTCTCCTCCTCGTGCTGCCTGCCTTCCGGCGATAATTTATCACCACCACCATCATGAGCGGACAGGCTGCTAGCTACTACGACCAAAACCAGAGCTTCCAGCCTGGTTATGGCAATGGCTATCCTCCCCAACAGCCTGGCAACGGCTACCCTCCCCAGCAGCCAAATCCTGGCTATGGCAATGGCTACGCTCCAAACCAGCCAGACCCTGGCTATCAGTACAACGGAGGGAACAACACCCACGAGCCAAAACAGCAGCAGCAGCAGGGGCCTCCTCCGACCTACAACCAGGCGGTGTATGGCTTCGACGAGGCGTTCAAAGTCGAAAAGCCCAAGTGGAACGATCTCTGGGCCGGTCTTTTGGTAGGTCCTTCTCTTGGATCTGGTACGCGACAGTGAATGCTAATTTTTCTAGTTGATCGCCGTGTTTTTAGGCTATGTCGCGGTCTCTGGTATCTCGATTTATCGGTATTCCAAGTACAAAGGATTCAGCGGCGACGGCATTTACGACTCGGTGAACAGCGTTTCTCTCGACACTAATACTCTCATTCTACTCATATTCGTTCTCTGCGTCGCACTCGCGTTCTCCTGGGGGTACTTCCTCCTAGCGCGCCATTTCCCGAAGTTTTTCATCTGGGTGACCGGCATCCTCAACATCATTTTTGCCCTTGGGACAGGTATTTACTACATCGTGAGAAAGCAGTATGGCGGCGGCATTGTTTTCCTTCTCTTCGGAGTTTTCGCCACCATCTGCTTTATCAGCTGGATTCCCCGTATCCCCTTTACGGCCTTTATGATGAAGACGTCAATGGATGTTTCTCGGAAATATGGGCACATGTTCGTTGTCAGCGCGATCGGAGGAATCGTATCGGTCGCCTTTGCAGCCTGGTTCTCGGTCACTCTGGTCGCGATCTACGTTGCGTACGAGCCGAGTAGTAGCAACAGCAATCCGTCTTGCTCTAACGGGGGCTGCAGCAGAGCCCGAGTCATCGGGCTTGTTGTCTATGTCACCTTCGCCATGTATTGGTTCAGTGAGTGGGTCAAAAACACTGTTCACACAACAATTGCTGGCGTTTATGGATCCTGGTACTTCTTTGTTAACTCGACCCGCGGCATGCCCGCGCATGCGACTCGCGGCGCTTTCAAGCGCGCGACAACATACTCTTTCGGCAGCATCAGTTTCGGCAGTCTAATCCTCGCCATTATCAACTGCCTCCGGCAAGCCTGCTCTATTGCCCAACGCAACGAATCAGCCCAGGGCAACCTTTGCGGAAGCATTGGGTTCTGGGTCTTGGGATGCTTTGTCTCCATCCTCGACTGGCTAGCTACCTTCTTCAACCGCTACGCATTCTGTCACATCGCTCTATATGGAAAGGCCTATATACCCTCTGCGAAGGACACATGGAAGATGATGAGGGACCGAGGCATCGACGCACTCGTTACAGACTGCCTGATCGGACCCGTAATCACTATGGGCTCGTTATTTGTCTCATATCTTTGCGCGTTGCTGGCGTACTTGTACCTGCAGTTCACGAACCCGAGTTATAACTCCGAGGGTAACTTCACTGCTGTTATTATGGCTTTTGCGTTCATTATTGGTCTGCAGATCTGCCAGATCCTTATGACACCCATGAGCAGCGGTATTGAGACCATCTTTGCGGCTATGGCGTGGGATCCCCAAGTCTTGATGAGCGAACACCCGGATCTGTATCAACAGATGGTGCGCTTGTACCCTCGCGTCCAGCAGGCTATTCATGCCTAGAACACATACCTCAGAGCCCTACTCTCGGCCCGATACCAAACACCGACATTTTATGTCAATCATATGTCTCATAACTAGTAATTCAGGATATCAATGACATTTACTTTACTCATTGGATCACAAACAATGAAAGCATTAGCATCACAGAATTAAGCCCCATTCCAACAGGAATCAATCATATCAAAATCATTACAACAGAACCACCCCACCAACAACACCTAAGGCACCAAAAATCGCACCTTTCGTAGCGCCATTCACCATGGCACCGCCTTCATACGTCTCTCCACTAGGACGGCCACTCTCACTTTCCTTCGGTCCATTCTGTCTCTCCCCGTCCACGCCCGTAGGAGCAGGGGTGGATTCAGCATCATTCGAAGATGCAGCACGCACAGTTGACACAACAGCCCCAGTAGGCTCGGCTGCAGAAGATTCAACGCCCTCTGTCCCTTGGGTAGCACCAGACGTCGGCTCCGGTGTCTCCGCTTCGTCTTCGTTCTCCGCCTCGTCTTCGTTCTCCGCCTCGGTCTCGGGTGAGTGCTCAGAGTCGGGTGTAGCAGTAGCCTCCTCATCACAAGAGCATACAGTCTCCGTAACTGTCACAACGGCGACAGCTTCATTGGTGTCATCCGTGTCGTTGGTGGCCGACTCCCGTTCTTCACCATCTTTATCATCACCCTTGTCTTTGTCCTCATCATCGGGCTTCGAGTTGCCTTCATCGGACTTTGTATCTGGCTCTGGGTCGTTTTCAGGAATAAGTAGTCTTGCCGAATCAGGTTGCATGGCGCGCTTCGAGGCTGTAGTTCCTTGTTCGTGACATCCTCCGTGTTCTTTATCCGAATCTTCGGAGTTCCCAGGATTAGGCTTCTCTTGTTCCTGTTCCAGTTCTTGCTGTCCCTCTAGTCTAACCATCGGCGTACTCCCGCGTCTCGGAGAAGCCGGAACAGCGGTGTCGTCGCAGAGATATCTAGATATTTCCTCCCTCGCTGTTTCAAGGTACCATTAGCCTCTTGATCTGCCTTTTTCCCGAATGTAGGGCAAGGTGAACATACGGACGCCACTCTCTGCACAAACATCCTCAGCCTCCTGGGCAATCTGTAAGCGGGCTGGAGAGCCATGGCCCGCTTTCTGGGCCTCGCAGAAGCAGTCGAGTTTGTAGCTTGATTTGCAGGAGGGGAACTCGGTTGATCGGGCGATGGCGGACTTTTTTTTTTTTTTGTGTTAGGCATTGGCTTACTTCTAATGTTCCCATTGCATGGGATTTGGATTGGATTGTTGGCAACATACAGCACATTTCATGTATTCCAAGTCGAGGCTCTTTTCGGCCAGGGTGAAGCTGAGGCTTCCCAGGAGAGTCAGGGTTTGAAGGGAGAGGTGCATTTTTTTGGTGATGTATAGAGATTGACGAATATTGTCGGCTGCTTAGTTGTCGATGTCTTCAGAATTGCAGTGCGCGTCCTCAGTGGCAGAAATGGCAGTAGATAAATATCCATAGTTGTTGTTGTCTTCTTGGTATCCCTACATACCTAATTATCGAACCTCTGGGGTACATCGGGAGTTCCGGTGTTGATCAGGGGGTGTGGGACTGTGGGACTGTGGGTAAAGATTTTGTCCTTGTGTCTTTTTACTGGAAGTGACAGTGTAGCATTAAGTGCATAGTTTAGAATGTCCTTTGTTGTGGTGGTGCAAAGAATGGACGAGGAATGTGGCGATGGATGGGAGAGATTTAGACTAGTTTTCAGACTATGAAAGGCAAATATTTTGGAGGCTTAATAGGCTACAGAGATAGATGCCTATAATTTCATCTGAATATGGCAGGTTGTGCAATAATTGTTGGAGTCTATCGCGCAGAGTGCATACATACACTGCCGCAACTGAGTTGGTCACTCTAGAACCGACAGCCCAATACAGTGTGGAATGTATCAAGTCAGTAGCGTTGTCGAAATCTACGCGAGAAGTGGGTTTGATCAGAAACTGACTTCATAGAATGCCATTGCTACGTCCAGAGTATGCAAGTAGAGACACTGCCTTTGCAGACACGCATAGAATCATAAAGACCAGTAGCCTCGCATCACCAGTTATGCAACCGTAGATCCTTGAAAGCCGTGGCCAATGCAAACCCAACCCATACGTGAAGCATAACTCATTGGAAACAAAATAGTCTACCTCACCTCGTATCTGTCTCTCGTCAAGAATATCCGGTAGTGCACTATCCCCCCTCCCCCGTCACAGCCCAACGCGGCCGTCCAGCGTCCGCACCAAGCGTACAATCACCACTGCCACCCCTTATCCCATTCCAAACCACTTTATGACGCTGTAGCATACTTCCTCGTCCATTCCCTTGCGATCTCTTCATACCTTGCCCTATCCTCGCGGTACTGCTCTGCGATCCGCCCCTCAACGGCGTCATCTGGCATCGGCTCCTCGAGCAACGATCTGGCGAACTGCAAAACAGCAAGTAGTTTTGAAGAGGGCTTCCATTCATCAGCCTTGAGCATACCCAGGCACATGCTTCCCTTGTCGTCGTTCGTTACATTAGGGTGATAGATTTTCGTCACGAAGGAGACAGTTGGCGGCTTAAAGGGGTATTCTGTCGGCAGGGAGAGTTTGAGTTCGAAGCGGCCTTTCTATAATAGTAGTTTCCTTCGTTAGGATTTGATTCAATTCTGCGGTAATTTAACATATAGTGGGGAGGGAAATCCGTACGTAGAAAGGAGACCCCTCAGGCCCGTCCATGAAGACCCTCCATTGGTAGAGGTCAGCTTCGTTCGCAAGCTCAACCGAGATACCCTCTGGAGAGGATTCTGTGAGTTCGGCGAGTTCCTGGATGTGACAGTGTTAGCTACCTAGCTTGTTTGTCGCGTCGGGGTTGGTGTTCGGCGGGGTAGAGACAGGGGCTTGTACCTTTGCTATCCGCTTTTGACTGCCCATCTTGTACGCTTAACGGGTGGGTTGTTTGAAGATTGGTAAAGAGAGAACAGGCCTAGGTATATGAGAAGCCTGGGAAGTATGACTCTGCAGAAGTAGGAGTAGTAGTTCAGTGAGTCAGAAGGAGGCTGTATCTGTAGCAGCGCCGTTGGCGGGGCGGATTACCTAGGCGGGGCGGGACGCAGCTAGACGTCAGCCTTGGGAGGCCGGAATCCACTGCCGTCTTTGGCTTCCTTCTGAGACAGGGCACGATTCACTACGATAAGCTACGATGGAAAGTAACAGTTTCAGATAAGTTTCGACGTTGATCCCGTCGTAAAAATTTCTAGCCCCATTGCTAATAGGATTGAGTCTCGCATAGGCCCAATCCCATTCTACATCGGATTTTTTTATTGCTCCCGCTGCAGCATCACCATCAGCCCCATTATCCCCAGCAAAACGCTCTTCAACCATGGGTGCTCACTTAACATGATCGTCACGTATCCAACCATCGGCATATATCCCCTCACACTCCCCACAATGTCCTCCTTGCGGTGCAAGAAATCCTGTCCACGCGCATAAAGTTCCGTATCATCCGCAATGTTGTTGTCGCCCTTGGTGAGAAGCATGTTCGGGGGGATCGGCGACGACCTGATACACACATCGAGCCTAGTTAGCCAAAGCAAGTAAAATAGCGACGTGGATTTGGAGCAAGGGTATCACGTACTCGGGCACTTCCTTGACCGTCTTCTCCTTTTTCCCCTCCACCTCAGGGAACGTGCGCACGACTCGGTGCACAATCGGGATATCCTTGCCCTTCACGTTGTAGACCACGATCTCGCCGACTTCCGCGCGGGGACTGCGGTTCCACAAAAACAAGAGGTCGCCTCGCTGGAAAGCGGGCTCCATGGATCCTGAGAGGACTTTGGCAGTTTGTTAGTACTGATGCGAGGAGGATGGTATCGGCGAATTTGGCTTCTTGTCACTAACCGACGACGATCGGCGATGAGGATGCCGTCACTACAGACAGGCCTTTCCAGAGCATAAATGCCGTTGAAAGAACGAGCGCAAAATTGAGTACTTGTGCGAGTGATTGTCGCGTATTCGACATACTCGACCCAAGGAAGGAGAGCATGGCGGCGATGAGGCTGAGGTGATGAACCGGTAGATGGAGATGCGAAGGGAGGAGTTGCGGGGGGGTTTGCGGAGCGGTAGAGTTGTGGAGTCAGCAAGATTGGATATTTCGGTTATTCTAAATGGATAACTAGAGTTATATTGCGAAAGTGTTTTCAAAATCGGGGATAATCAGAGTGAAGGAAAGGTGGTTGTTGGCGGGAGGAGAGGAAAAGTGTCCTCCGCAGCCCGCAGTCCGTGTTCGCCGCCTTGCTCGATGTATAGATCGCCAGCTAGCACTACACTGCATTTCAACAATCCCTGCGCTCCACGAAATATTTAAAGCTCTTAGAATAAATGATAATAATAATAACCACAATTTATACTATGTAGTATTGAAGTAAAAGAAGTCCAACAAATAAAATCTACAAAGCTATCTATAAGCAAAACAAGTGTCATACATTGCACGCGGGCTAGACAGCCCCCTTGTCACTCTGCCCTCCAATCGGTTGTCCAGTCTCATCAACTTCCCAGTAATTTTGTTGCTTCCCTTTCTTGAACAGTAACCCGATCAAATCGAAGGGGTCAACAACAGTAGCAACCCAAGGGCGGTGGTCCTTGAAACCAGGTCCCTCGATCTCCGTGACACCATCTTTTGCAAGGTAAATCTTGTTCGACTTGGGCAAGCACTGCATTGGATGAAAAATGTTGAGCATCGTGGTGTTGGCATACATAATGGCAACCTCAAAGAACCAGAAAATCCATTCATTCTTGATGATAGGGTCAACATCATTAGGGTTGTCCCAGCTGTTCTGCCCAGATGTGACGAAGTATTCCACGGTTCGGAAAACGGTGCGTGTGGTGATAAACACGCAGCTGCAGTACAAGACGGCGAGAACGCGTATGAGATTTTTGGTGAGAACCCCAGCAGAGCGACATCGGCTATGGAATGTCGCGGTCAGAGATACGAATCCGACCATTACTAGAAGTTGTAGAATCAAGGCAGCTTTGAGCAAGGCCTCTCCAATATCACGGCGATCCTGAGTAGCCTCTGTATTCGCCAAGAGCGCTGCTCCATTTGCTGTGAGAACCTCGACGAAGAAGAGCATCCCAACAAAGGTTGTGAATACACGGCCGGGATGTATAGGCGAAAGGTAAGGAATGTAGTACAGTATACGGCCGAGGATTAAGAAGTTCGCTCCCTCGTAAACGGGTCTGCTAAGAGTTAGACCAGAGTTATATCATATTTCCGCTTCGGTTTCACTTACGGCCCAGCCAAAAGGAAGACGGTGCTCGAGATATAGATCTCTACGTTGCCCCATTCTCCAAAAGCGCCTATACTGCGCAGGATAAAGCCAACTGTGAAAAGCAGGGCGGACCAAGGGAGTAACCCTGTGACTGTCCAAGCCTTATACTTGCTAGGAATGAATTAGCACTGGTTTCAATGGATAAGGAATTCGACTTACTAGGTCTGATAACCATGTAGGATGCCGGATATTGCGAAGAGGATTGCAAAGGCAATAGGCCCGCCTTTGTTGGGCGCATAGTACCAAATGCTCCCTTCCTCTGATATGTGTCAGCACATGCAATAAGAACAGTATGATAGAGCATACGGTATGGGTCCCTCTTGTCAAGCATTTTGTTGGCTTGAGTTGTAGACGGTGTTGGAACGAGACTAGGGTAGAAGTTTGGTTGATGGCGCTATGGATAACGGCGCACGACGTTGGCGGAAATGTATCTCGGAACCCATCTTGAGGAGAATGTGGGCTCTATATAACTTGTCCTCAGCTCCTGAAGCCGTGGCTGCGCTGTCGTTGCAGAGGCCACAGCCATCTGGTAGCGAAAACGAGATCCCGATTAGGCAACTCGTATTTGGGCTTGAGGAAAGGAAAATCTTAGCGCCACCCACATCGTTTGTCGAAAATGCGCTTTTCCTAATCCATTGCTCGTATTGCCCTTGAGTGGCAGTGAACTAATTGCACGAGGTCGATACGAACGAGGCGCAGACACCACGAGAGTGGACCTCTTCAGGGCTCATTTGCAATAGTTAAGCTTTTGGAGCCTTATCAACGCCTGACAAAGCAGGCATCAAGACCAGCTTCCTTTTTTGGCATTGTTGTCGGGACAACATTGCACTATTCCCAATGCAGCAAATTCATATCTCGTGATTTCTGGAGACAGCACATTTATTGATCACATTATCCTATCGACAATCGACATCACCGGTCCTTGCATTGCCAGTTCACGGAATCCACCATCTTCCTGCATCTGGCCCCGAACTTGACGGCAATAACTGAGGACCTTGCAGCTATGACCTCGACAAATTCCCCGTCGTCCCTCTTCCAGGTGTATCTCCGCCTCCGACCCCCAATCTCCCAACAACAGGACGATTTGCCAGAACGTTGCCTGGCTGTAGAGGGGCCCGATACCTCACATTCGATCAATAATGGACCCAGCGCTGTGGTCCCAACTCATATCACTTTGCAGCCTCCCAGTGATTCCCGAAAGCGCGGCGTCGAGAGATTTGGATTTACTCAAGTATTCGACGAGTCAGCATCACAACTCAATGTTTTCGAAGACACTGAACTACAATCAATAATCAAAGGTGTTTTGATTGAGCAGAGGGATGGGCTGGTAGCAACACTAGGGGTGACAGGAAGTGGCAAGGTGGGAAATATTTTGCCCTTGACATGTCGCCAACGCTAAGAATCTATAGAGCCACACAATTCTAGGCTCAAAGACACAAAGAGGAATCACTCAGATGAGTCTTGATGTGATCTTCAGATCTTTGGCCTCCACAATCAAACCAGCCGACAACACCATTCCCCCCATCCTTTTAGCCTCCGTGGCTGCATCAGACACGTCTGAATCGCAGATGTTCGCGGCGCATACTTTCCTTGAGGCTGTCTATGGCGAGCCTGGTGCAGACCGTGGAAGAAACTCCAGGGCCCAAACTCCTACTAGTTCTGGAAGGGCCCACACTCCAATGGCGGTATGGAAATCACCTCTCCCAAACCCACTTCAACGAGCCCCAAAGCTATACCCCCTTGGACCATGGAGCATATCCCAATGCTTCTATCAGCCAGGGCTATTGGCTCAGACCAATACAAGCACTCTAAGCACCAATATCACGCCACGAGCAACAGCTTTGAACGGTCCTAACCCCCCACAAACAGCCAGAAATGATCGATCCAACACCGTTGACTTTCAGTACGCTAACCTAATTTCTCGAATGATAAAGGAACCCACACCCGCTCTTATCTTTCCCCGTCGCCATGTGCCTATGAGGGCTAGCACTTTGCCACGATCACCGGATGTGAACCATCTGACACTCGAATTGAACCCCCATTCCGAGTACATCGTTTTGGTATCAATGTATGAGGTTTATAATGACCGGATATTCGATCTTTTATCGCCTGCCATTGTGCCCGGCCAGGGAAGTGCCGTTTCGCGCCAGGGAACATCGTCTCAGAAGGATCGACGGAAGCCTCTATTTTTCAAGTCAACTGAAGGATCCCCTGACCGGAAGGTTGTTGCAGGATTGCGAAAAATTGCCTGTAGTACGTACGAGGAAGCATTGGCAGTCCTCGAAATAGGCCTTACTGAGCGCAAAGTGACGGGAACTGGCTCCAATAGTGTCAGCTCCCGTAGTCATGGCTTCTTCTGCCTTGAAATCAAGCGAAGAATGCGAAACAAGCGGACTGGCGAGGAAACTTGGATAGGAAATACCCTTACTGTCGCGGATCTTGCAGGTTAGTCTAAGACTAGGTTTTATCCTTGAGTAACACTAATTGGGCCAGGATCCGAGCGAGCAAGAAACGCAAAAACCGCCGGTTCTACTCTCGCCGAAGCGGGTAAGATCAATGAAAGCTTGATGTACTTGGGCCAGTGTCTGCAAATGCAGAGTGGTATTCAGGACGGGAATAAGGTGCGGTTTTCCAAGTACTATGTACTCTTTCAGTGTACTAACTTAAGCCCAGACGGCCATGGTTCCTTACCGACAGTGTAAACTCACGGAACTACTCTTCTCCAACTCTTTCCCATCGAACAATTCGTCAACCATCAACCGGAACCCGCAGAAGGCTATCATGATTGTAACTGCAGACCCATTGGGAGACTATAATGCAACTTCACAAATCCTACGATACTCAGCCCTGGCACGAGAAGTTACTGTTCCCCGGGCGCCGTCCGCCGAGTCGATACTATCAAGTACTCTCGGGTCGCGAAAGGAATCTGGTGGGCGCCAATCGCCACAGCCTGGGGTGGCGGAAGAGCTAGAAAAGGCGTTGGCTGAGATTCAACGGCTCACAGCAGAGAACGATAGACTCAATCTGCGACTGACAGAAGAGGAAATATTGCGGGCTGAGACAGAAACTGCACTTATCGTAAGCGAGGACAGATGCCTTCTAATTGAGCAGGAAGTGCGAGAAGAATGCTGGGTTGAAATGGATGAGAGAATGGAACAGGAGAGAAAAAGATGGCAAAGCGCGTGGGATGAACAGGTGAGCAACATTCTACTTACTATATTTGCTGATTGATTTGACTGTTGACACTAAACTGTCTAGACTGGCCGCACCGATGATCACATAGACAAGAAGATTGAGCTTCTGTCTCGTGGTTTCCAGAGTAAGTCACCTCTATATCCGATGACCCTCATAGCAGTGATGTTAACCGCCCTATTACCAGTCCACGAAGATCCGCAACCATCCTCTGATGAACGAGTGGAAGAGCTCGAGTTCGAAAACGATCAGTTGCGCAGCAAGATTACCGCGCTGGAGCGTGAATTGAACTGCAGGTCGCCGTCAAAGAAATCCAAATCCAAGAACACTACACTGGAGACTTCTCGCAACGCCAATTGCCTCGGCCGCGAAAGCGACATTGAAGTAGCGCTGCGCAAGATGGATCACCTAAAACTGGCAGACAGCATGTTCAAAGGTTACCCTGCTGCAGATTCTCCCGGGAAGAAGCAGAGGAAAATTTCAACTCGAAAATGGGATTTTGCACCAGAGGACGATCTCGAAGAACTCTGGTAGGATCGGTCAGCTTCTAACTTGACAAACTCGGAAAAGCCGTCATACAGCCCCTGGCTAGAGCTTTTTGGTATTTTGTTCTGCTGAACAATCAATTGTCTCTTGTTTTCCCCATGTCCCAGGAGTTTATGGTGCATCTTAGGTGGCTGTTTGATTCCCGATATGTTTTTTATTTTAATATGTTACGCTTATACCCATAACACATACATGTCTATTAGAGCCGGTCATTCCTAAATACCCAGCCTTTCCATACCTGAGCGCCTATAACCCTATACGTACTTTGGAAAACATAATAATAGTACAAGACCTTTCCCCATGACCCACGCATATAAAACAGAAGGGGGAAAAACGCCCGCATTCTAATGACAATGACTGTTCCACTTAAAGGGCCGCTGCGGCCCCAGATTCATCAGCGGCCTCGTTCTCCTGCTCCCCATCCGCGCCTTCCTGTTCAGGCGCATCGGTGCCTTCCATAACAGTGTCACCTTCTTCACCTTCGTGTCCCCCAGCTTCTTCCTCGATTTCGACCTCGTCACCCTCGCCCTCGCCTTCACCAGGTTCATCACCATCCTCATTCATGGTTTCCCCTTCCCCTTCACCTTCGCCTTCTCCCTCACCCTCACCCTCGCCCTCACCCTCGCCTTCCCCGAGCTCAAGATCGGGGTCTTGACCAGTCACGCCTTCCTCATCCTTCTCATCTTCATCCAACTCTCCGCCGTCATCATTTGCGGCGTCTCCAGCAACGCTAACCTGAGCAGACATCTCAGATTCCGGATCTGCAGATGCCCTTTCGTGAAGATTAGGGAAAAGCCTTTTAGGATCAGTACCGAGTTTAGAAAGCTTCTCTTCATCAAGTTCGCTTAGCTCGCTTTCGTCATCAGCACTATCATGCAGACTGTTGGGGATGTCGCTTTGCTGGCCTGAACCGCCTTCTTCCGCGGTTGGCTGCCGAACTGTGATCTCAACCATAGATTTGGGACCGGCGGAGGTTGTACCACCGGTTGAATCGGCTTCCGTCTGTGCTGGGGCTCTGGCAGTAGGTGCACGAGGTGGAACTTTGCGGCTGACGATTGTCTCTGCTCGCTTTTGGACGTCTCTTCGGGCTATTCCTTTCGTGCGACCTCGGGGCGCCGGTGCCTCTGAGGCAGGAGCTGAGGTTGGCGGGGTAGAGACGTCGGCTGGCCCGTCAGTCGTCATGAGAATGTGGTCGACTTTCATTTTTTCCTTGTTTTCTTCGTTGACCAGCTCCATGACCTGGGGCATGTTCACCTGATAAAGACGGGAGTATATATCGGCAATTAAGTCTTCGAGCGAAGCGACTTTCATTAGGTTATTATTGAGCTTTTTCAGCTCAATTGCGTCTCGAAGTAGCTCGAGAAGGGATGAGCTTTCAGGAGCGAGTTGCGAGAGCTCCTCTAGACGAGCGGTATTTGCAACGAATTCGTCCCACCCAATTGGCTTAAAGACACCCTCCTCATGACCCTCACTGATATGAGCTGCTCTACGTATGACGCGGGCATAAGTGAGGCACATATCCTCCCATAGTTTAGTATGGTTGATAAAATCGCCTTGCTTTTTCCGTACCCGGCGGAGCAATTGGTCGAGGTTGGCCCGGTCATCAAGTTGATCGAGCAGAGCAACAAAAAAGTACGCATATCGCGTCGTATAGACAAAGTGCCTACCGGGACGTTCATACTCGGGCTTCCAGACCTGGATTGTCATGGTTTTGGTAAATATTTGTTGCGTTAGTTCACCCCTAGCGGCGGTGGCAGCAGTAGCATCTTTGTCGTCATCGTATACAATGTGTGCAGCCTGTCAGGTGTAAGCTTGTGCAAGTAAAATCTATTTATGGGGAAGTCAAATGTCCTGCTTACCCTGACGGCCATGCGGTGGTGCCAATTTGACTTGTCCGCATTCTTGAGGTTCTTAATTACCTCAAGTATGTACTTCTTCCAGGACCCCATTTCCTCACAAGGCTGGACCTTTCGAGCCCAGGGCGTTGCAAGTAGAGTTTTGCATGCTTCCGCAGGCTATGCAATAGAATGAGTAACCCACGTAAGATAAATCTCAAAAGGTATCTCTTACCGTTAGAATCTCTCTCTTCGCAAGCTTATGCACGATCGAGACAAGCTTATAGTGAGGTTCAAAGATCGGTTCTGACCGAGAGTCCTTGCGTTGCGGCAGTGCATCAATAGTATCAAGGTGAGCGTCCAAGACACTATCAAGGCTGATGCGACGCGCCGAGCCCCTCACGGAATCATCACAGGTGAACATTTTCCAAAGGCATTTGCTCAGCATATAATGCGCCCTATTTCGAATATTAGTAGCTCTTCACATAATTGTCGGGGGGCGGGTAACGTACATCCAGTTCCTCGGTTTGTCGACTATTGCACGTCTAAGAAGGTAGCTTGCAAGTCTCCAGGCAGCATAAACCCTCATTTCCTTGAATGGTTGTCCCTGGTACATCTGTTGGCTTTCCTGATTGTTGTAATGCCGAGTGAAGTCGGCAACGCTGAAAGCCCCCATAGAAAGGGGCTCTCTGGAAGACGAGTATAGACGAATTCCGAAATCCGTATAGAGATCCGCTAGAAGTGCTCGGGTCTCTGCATCTGGCTCAGCGGCCTTAGCGGCCGTGGCCACCGCCATTGCGTAGCAATGGATTGCATTGCGTTGCCAAGTAACCAACTCCGTCCGATTATTGTTGATTTTGTCTGCGGACCATGTAATATCTTCCTCGACCTTTGAATCCCATGTTTGGGCAAGCCGGTACCAAGTCTCCCATCTTGAGGTCCCGTGCTCCAAATCCTGTCGGAACCAACTAACAGCCTCATCAAGGTCGGTGGTTGGAACCGGGTTCAGGCGTTTCTGTGAGCGAAATTTGGTCAAGGCCGCGTAGCCTAAAAGGAAATACCAGCCACTTTTCGCGATAACTGCGGTTTGACTCGGTACGGGTATCAATGGCAGGTCTGCCACTCCTTGAATGGCGCGAACGAGTTCGGATGGATTCAGGGGAGATTTCAAGTAGGCATTGAATATGCGGCGATTATATGTCACAGGGGGTGATGCCTTGGTTGATCCGATGGATTGCTGCATCTTTTCAATCGTATTTTTCAGCTCTGACTTGGACAAATCCTTGATGTTTATCTTCTGCGCCTGCTTCATTACAAAGTCGATCATCATGACGGCCGTCGAACGGTCAAGCTTTTCAGAAGTGCACCCATGGTCACTGAGTAGGCTGTCGTTCGAACACAACTTGACCCCGTGGACGTCGTAAATGATTTGGCAGATGTCGGCCTCTGTGTCTTGTTTCACATCCAATGCGAAAAGCTCAGACTTGACCAGCTTGAGAAATTGCTTGTGAGATCGTTTGCAAAGTTTCCGAATGCCGAGAGCGTTGTGCACTGAGCGCAAGTAGTAAATGTGATCCTCCAAAGGCTCGTCAAAAATCTCTTGATTCTGGGCAATGGCTTCTTTGAGCAGGGTGTATAGCAAGATCCAGCAACGGACCCACATTTCGCGCAGCTTATCCTTGAAGCTTTCCAAAGATTTTGCCAACGACCCTCGCAGGTCTGTACCGGAAACCTGTCCAACACGAACAGAATCTTCATAGAGAACGAAACTGTAGAGCAATCTGAGAAGAGAGGCGACGGCTGACATCGAGGACCTCACATGCTCCATATCAAAACATTCATAGGCCTTGTCGGACTCCTGCAAGACTGTTGTAACAGTTTTGTTTAAAATGCCATCAAGCGACTTTAGCCATCGCAGGAGAGCTGCTTGACGATGCCCACTAGGCTCATCGAGATAGCCCGAGCTCCGTAATTCTTTGATAACAGTTTCTATGCTCCTCAAATAGCAGGATACCACCTTTGGAGGATAGTCAATTTTTCTATAAGCGTCCTGGAGTCGTCGCCACAGAAAAAGCCTCAATGTAGCATCGCCACGGTCCAAAAAGGAGCCCATTTCATGCCGTTGTAGGCTTTGTTGGTTATCGGATCCTTCTTCCATGAATTGTACCGACGATGGCTCGACAATTGGTTCAATTGTTTCAATAAGTCCAAGGGTGTCTTCAGAATCTGGATTGAAAATCTTCATGAAAAAGTCCATGGAATTCAGCTTTGAAATCTCCTGGTCGACTGCTTCACACGACAGTTCAAACATAACAGAGTTGTTGGGGAGCGACAGCACTGAGTCTTTGAGAGAGCTGAGATAAAGTTTAAGATCTTGCAGACAGAGTAAAATATGTTCCCGCTGCGCATCTTCTGCCATATTCGAATGGAATGTTGACGCCCAAATATGGCGGAGGGTTATTTTCCCCCGGTTAACTTCCGCGGGTGCGTGATCAATGAAGTGAGTCAATGCAGTGCGTGCTAGCATACACCATCTTGTCAAGCGATCTTGTTGAAGGATCCTCGTTTGTTCGTCCGTATCACTATTTGGCGTACTCATAGGCGCATATGTATCAAGATGAAGTTCGAAAACAGCCTGTATCATCTCTAAGTCTGCGAAGTATCTCGCATAATATTGAAAGACTTCCCCTGGCTGGCACTGAAGGATTTGGCGTTCGAGGAATTTCATTTGCTCCTCCAACCTGCCGTAGATGAACTCGTCCTCGAAAGATAAAAGCTGCAGCACAGTGTCCTTGAGCTCGCCGGACCATTGGTAAGCGATATAGGACGACTCGACCACTGACCAGTCTTGTATCGTATTGCCATGGACAGTTAAATTGCCGTAGTCCGGTCTCAAAATGCATCCTAGCCATTCAAATACAACATCATGAAGTTGTAAGCTGTCATCATTTACAGCTTTAATGAAATCAATCAATTGATCCTCCCCAGTAAAGACTTGCTTCATCTTTAATTTATGGGTTGGTTTCTTTGAGTGTTCGAGGAACACAGCGAGGCCAGATCTGCCCATGCCTTGAATGTCCTGCAGCCCGGCCAAGCTGTCGCTTTGTTGCATTACTTGAGATTTGCCATCGTCCCAGTGAATTATAATATCCCTGAGATCTTGAGAAAGCACATTATCAGAACTAGCAAGGTTGGCTGGGGTGTCGGGGGAGTCTTTTATTTCGCTTGCCGAGGCCACTTGTTTCCTCAACTCCTCCAACGTTCCCAAGTCGTCAACTTCCAACTTTGACAACAACGGGCCGACGGTGCCAAAAACTCCTTCGTCGGCTTGGACGTAGGGGTCTAGGAGGTCTTCATAATATTTGGTTTGATCAAAAACTACCTCGTCCGTATGATTTGAAGTATCCGCGAGCGAATCCCGCAAGCGAGTTCTTCTACTTTTGACCCTCAGGCGTTCTGCTTGATCTTCGGCGATGGCAGAGGCAGAAGAACGTTTTCGGCTTGAGTGCTCGGGAGATTTTGCATCGACCTCTTCGGGTTTGATGTCATCCTGTTGCTCTGTACCCTGTTGATGCTGCGATGATTGTACTTCAAGGGATTCCATCAACTGTTTCTCTGCGCGTTGGTCGACCGATGATTGATCATCACCATGATCCGCAGTCTGCTCTCGCCCCTGGACTCCGTTGGTCGATCGCGCCCCCGTACTTTGCGCATCATCCGCCATCTGCATATCTTGCGACTGATCATCTTCACAATGTGCCTTTGATAGTCGCCTCTGTGCTGTAGTCGAGTTCGCCTTCAACTCCGGGCTATTGGCCGGCAGAGAAAGGACAATCGACGTCCCTGGGCCAAGTTCAGGTGATTTCTTATCGGTACCGAGCAAGCACAAAATGGCTTTCCCAGTAGCGACCCATGTCAAGGCGTCAATTTTGGCTTCATAACGAGATGGGCGGAAAGCAAGCGGATTTCTCGACGGTCTTACATCTTCCAATTTATCTGGCAGTGAAGGCAAATAAGGGTATGGGTCGTTTTGTTGCTTGAGGAATTTGATAAGAGCCTTCTTTGGCTTCTTAATGGGAACAAGTGACTCGGACAAGCGATCTTGTACCGACTGTAACGTTTCCCTGAGACCTTGTTCTGCGAAGGTCTCCTCCAGCCCCAGCTGTTGTGTCCGCACTTCCAAACGATTATCGTCATCGGCCAAGACGCTTTCTAGACAGAATCGTGCAAGTCGGTAGCTCTGTAAAGCGCTGGATAGTCTTGCACTTTGTCTCCAAAGATTGAGGTCTGTATCATCCCGTTCTAATGCCTCCGCGAATTGTGACAGCGCCGTGCTGGTGCTCTCGGCAACTTTGGATGAAAGATCGTGCGCTTCTTCGGGCGGCTTTGGGATTTCCTGCAGAGCAGCACGTAAGGCATCGAGAATGTATTGTCCGTGGTTCTTGTACGACAGGTAGATGGTTTGTTGTAGTGTGCTCGAGATCGAGTCGTTGATGTTGAACTCGCCTAGCGCTACAGCAGTATCCTCGTCTGCTATATCATTTGACGTCCCGCCGAACTGAATCTCTGAATTCTGGAGCGCAACTCTTTTATAGTCGGAAATCGACTCCGGGTATTTGAATATCTCGGAGTTTAGGAGAGCTTCGTATGCGTCCTGGGCTTGGTCATAGAACTGTGATCCTTGGGAATGAAGCTTTAGTGCGTTTTGGTATAGCTTGAGAGCTTCCTCGATCTGGATTTCTTTCGTATCATCAACCTCCTCCTCGATCGCCTCGTCGGGCTCGATATTCAGAGCCACCCATGTCGACATCGTGCGGGAAGTATTCAAGCCGCGGAAGCGAATGCTGACCGTCGCAATAAAGTCGGAGTCGTCGCCAACATCGCAGGGCGAAGGAAACCAGTCCCTATAGGCGGAGAAAGGTTGGTCGTTCAGTCTGGGAAGATGAAGGTCTCGACCAGCGAAGGCCTGTGAACACGCCCGTCACGCGTTTGGCTCCGCGGGATGAGATCTCCCAAAGAGGAAAGGACTGGTGGCCTCACTGCCTCAGGAACATCGAAAGGGAAGAATGACGACGACTACACCCACTGCCCTTCTCTCATTAAAGAACAATCCAATCGCCCTGTCGGATTCAATTTCGACTTCCACGTTGTTTCTTATTTTCAACCTTCTTTCCGTTAAAGTCTGCGCAAGACTTCTTGCGCTTCTAAGTGCGCCATGGTCGCGCCAGCTGTTCCTGAGTATTTGTTTCCCCCTCGCCCTCGTGCTCCTGCGATGCAATTGCATTGCCATCCACCATGAGGATTGGTAACTGATCTCTCGGGTTACTTTTAGGATTTACGAAGAAGACGACCTTACTGCTGCCGTCGATGCGCGTACGGAGTCGCTTCAGAACCTGAGAGAATTGGGTCCCCCAGACTTGGTGTACCTAGTCAAGCAGCCAAAGGCCGGCACGACTCGCCAGGTAAGTCACCACAGTAGTGTCTCCCATATCTTAGTGGTGGGATAACATTGGATCATAACTAATGAGGTTGTGGCTCTATATAGACAGGCGTTTACCACCACGTCACTGGTATCGATGCTTCCTCCTCCGCAAGCTTGGCCGCCTACGTGAACACCTTGGTGTCCTCCCCACTTGACAAGACAAATAAAGTGGTATCTGGAATCTACTGGTCAGACTACTGATATTAGGTCAACCGTGGAACCATCTGAGTTAACTTTATGCAGTTGCTACAATGCATTTTCCCACCTTGACATGCGAGTCGAAGTCAAGATCCCCGGAAGCCTCGAAAGCTACTGCATCGATGAGCGTGGAGATAAGCGTGTTGCGACCGACGCATTATGGCTCGAGACCTTTCTTTGCGGCGTTCTGAGAGCCTATTCGTATGCAGACGATGGCAGTGGGGATGCAATCAGAAAGATTGTTGGAGTTCGTCGGTTCAATCCTGTCACCAATACGGAGATGGAGCATAGATTCCTAGATGCTGCTGAAAAACTATTCTTTTTGGGTAAGCTTTCCTGTCTCAGTGCCGCATCCTGTTCCGGCTGACAAGGACACTCTAGGAAGGCAACTCAGTTCCGACCCGGAAACCCAGGTTCCAAATACTGTCAGCAACCATCTCACGGCCGGCCTTCTCAAGTACATACATACTACAGGGCGATACGCATCTGGTATCAACTTATTCGAAAAGTTGCGCACGAGAGATGTAGAAGTATCTTCTCTGCTCGCCCAGGTCTATAGAATGGCAGATGAGGAAGTTCAAGCGGTGCGACTCATGTACGACGCTCTACAAGATGTTCCAATGGATTATGCGCTTCTCGATTGCCAGTCTGCCTTCTGCGCTAGTAAAGGCGAAGGTGAAATGGCTCTGGACTGCGCAAAGCGTGCCGTGACCGCTGCTCCTAGCGAATTCAGCACCTGGGCTCGACTGGGCGAAGTTTATGTGAGCCTAGAGCAATGGGACTTGGCTCTTTTGACATTAAACTCGTGCCCGATGTTCACATACCAGGATAAAGATACCCCTCGGATGCCTCAGCCGTCCCGCATCATGCTCCCCATCCTTGCTGAGAGTATGTTGGACGAAATTGATGAGGGACAGCCGAAACAGGGAGATCCTCACGACTATGTGCACGCCTCGTTGCGAAGGCTACACGCAGCTACATACCAGGGGACATTCTTAAAAGCGTACAACCTGTTGACCAAAGTCGCCGCTGCAATTGGATGGGATCAGCTCCTTAGGGTCCGCAGCGAAGTTTTTGTTATGGAAGAGGAATATCGCACCGAGCGCCATCACTCCACGTCAAAGAATTCCATCCACACAAACGATGATGCAAGCCCCGACGAGACAAATGGTAGTAGCGAACAAGAAAACGGAGATGGTGGTCCAGTAGACACCGTCACAGAAATAACTGCTAATGGGGATGACCACCAACAAGCCGAGCATTCGATTGAGAGGCCTGAACAGACAGTGGCATCAGAGGTTGTCAAATCCGGCAAAGAAGATGTGAGTATCAAACCTTTTCATTACATACACGGCTTGAATGCTAATTCACTCTAGCCCGACCCGTCACACTCATCGTACACGCAATTCAAGAATAAACGCCTATGTGAAAGATGGCTGGACAATCTTTTTATGGTTCTTTACGAGGATCTCCGCATATATACCATATGGCGCACGGAAGTTGCACAGTTCCGCCAACAAGCAATGGAATACAAGAAATCTGCCACCGAATGGGAGATCCTCGGCGAGCTGGCGGAACGACTACACCACTTCGATGAGGCCATTGAAGCATACCAAGCCTGCCTATCAATTCGATTCTCGCCGAAAGCCATGCGCGGAATACTCAATCTCCACGAGCAACGAAATGACACAAGGGGAATGCTTAGTGCTTTGATCCGTCTTATTGCCTGGCAATATCGATGGTATTCTGAGGTTTGTCTTCCCATCACCAAAAAATTAGACGAAACATTTTTAACATTGTTTAGTTCTCCCCGCAACTACTATTTATGATCCGCAAATTAATTGAGGACGAGGGTGCTGTCAAGGTCCGCAGCATCGTACAAGCTACGAACCTGCCCCAGACTGTTCTTGACCTCACTCACCAGTACTGTCAACTGTGCGCAACATTCCGCAGCAGCGGTAGCGATGGCTAAGGCGGGTAACATCTCGTAACGTCGATTATACGAAGAAGTGGGCCAAAAGGTCAACCAACCCCCTGTGAAACACTGTAGTAAAACTTGTATGAGCCTTCTTACTACATATCTTATAATACACTGTACTTAGATGACTTCACTGGGAGGCCCGGTCTATTGTACGCGGACGATTCTTCATTTCTCCCTGTCAGATTCTGTTTTTAATCTATACCTAATGCTCGCTTTTCCTTTGTCTCATGGCTCACTGTCTTGAATCATGTGTATGTATACTTTATAGAATATAAGTGTCGTTTTCCCAATCCTGCATGTCATCGATCTTCTTTGCTGTTCCGGATTCGCGGAAAGCATGTTTTCCAGCTACTTCTAGCGACGGTTATTTCGTAGGTTCGACCAATAAAAAATAACGGGACTTAGTAGGAAGCAAAGTGAGCGTAGTGTAGGTCGTTAAGTAGATGTCATTCTCAGGACAACTGAGCAACTACCTAGTTAGCCTAGTTAAATCCATCTCATCAACGTAGATATCAACGTAAAGAGCCACCCTAAATCCCCAAATACACAGATAAATAGATGTAAATCCCTTTCAAAGAAGCACGCCGCCATGACCAGACTTTTGATTTCTTTATCGAATTCAATCAAGCCTTCGCCTCCGCAGTCGCCGTGGGCTCCTCCGTGGGAGCATCATCCTTAGCCTTGGCAGCGGGGACACTGGTCTTCGCCGTCTCGTCGGCCTCCTCGTTGTCTTCGCCTTCAGCCTCAGCTTCGGCGTCTTCATCTTCTTCCTCATCGAGGCCGTTCTCGTCGGCTTTGCCATTCGCCTCGCCTTCTACCTCCTCTTCTTCACCTTCAGCCTCGTCCTCGGCTTTCGGTGCGGGAGCGGTCTTTCGCTTCTTGGTGGCGGGAGGGGCTATTGGTAATGAGAAGATAATTAGAATTGGGTTTAATTAAACGATTGGATTTGCTGGTGGGAGGATCCATTGTGCTCACCTTCCTGTTGTTCTTCTTCCTCCTCTAGCTCTTCTTCGGAAGCGTCTTCTTCTTCCTCGCTCCCTTCTTCACCTCCGCTTTCGCCTACATCGGTGCTTTGGTATCTAGTTGCGTGGGACTTGTTAGTTATTGGTTTCGAGTTTGGTTGTCGGGGAAAAGGTTTGGAGGATAGTGGCGCGTTCCCGCGCGAATAGAGTTGATGACGCAACGAGATAACGTAGGTTAAAGAGCAGATGAGTTATGAAGATGAGGATGACAAGAGCGATCGAATGCTGCTTACTGGGGGGATTGCGCGCAGCAAAGGCGCAAATCGCGCAAAGAGGGAGAGGGAGAGGGAGAGGGAGAGAGAAGTATACGCGGCACAGAAATAGTAAATATAGATGATGACTTACTCTTCCTCTTCCTCACTCTCATCGCTAGGGAGAGCTTGGAGCTCCTCCTCCTCTTCGAGCTCTTGCTTTCTCTTACGGGTGGACATGTTGGATAATAATTTGAGGTTTAGAATTGGTAGACAAGTATGAGAGAAAATGGATGGGGGTGAGGGAGAATCGGATCAATGGGCTGGATTGCCAATGATCCTGTATTAGGAGAAAGGATGAGAAGGAGGTGGGAAAGAAAGAGGGAGAAGAGTAAGGGAAAAGAGGACGTGAGGGGAGGAGGAAGGCGAGATTAAATGGGAATCGCAGACCAGGGCAGGGAAGGGAAGGGGAATCTACTACGAGCACGACCAGCCAGCCTTCTCGCAACCGGGGCGAGGGAAGGGGCCAGAGACGGAATGGGTGAGCATGAGCATCATGGACCGGATTACTTCAGCTGCGGAGGTCGCAAAGTCAGCTCAGCATTGACCCAGAGACCGGATCGCGCAGCAGGAGAGTCGGAGTCTGGGACAAGAGCCGCTCCAACTGGTGGTTGGAGGCGGAGGTGGGAGCTCTGGGGGAGCTTGGAATTGGGAACGCATGCACAACCGAGGGCGCCGCGTCTCGTCCGGGGCACTCCATCCGCACTGTCTGTCGCACGCCGAAGAGTCGCAGCCTGCAGTCCTGTCCGCTCAGTCCGAGGTGATCATGGCCCTGGAAAGGGGGAGGGGTTGCGTGGACGACCTTGAGGGATTCTTGCGTTTCTGTGGCGGAGTTCGGACAAGCCTTAGTTTTGACAGGCCTTCGTGCTCCTTTGTGCGAGGATGGATCATGCTCTGGAGCCTGTTAGTTCGAGCCTATTGCGTTCTTATCGAGAGAAATGACAAGGTTGCTGAGCGGTGGCTCTGCTGAGTGCTTGTCGCATAAAGAGAATCAAAGTTGATCTGTCAAATTCACGATGTTTGAGGGGATGAAGGTGTATGGTAAGACTGTTACGATCCTCTGCGGGAATGCGTCGACTTACAGCCAATTAAACCGCTTTGTTTTGACCATTAGACAGCTTGGTGATACTAGATTACAATACGGTACGAGATAATGCTGAGGAGTGGGCCGTGCACCGAAAGCATCAGATGCGTGGCACTGCCCGAGCAGCTGTATCCAAAAATCGTGATGTCAATAATGCTACCTAGCTTGCCAGGAATCACGTACTCTACTGGCAAGCCCTAGCTGACCTCGTAGCACCCTTCGGTAGCATAAGTAACTAATTATTGTAACAATATATTATCCTATATCGCAAACTGCTATCTCAGAAGTCCAGTGTTCTTCATGTCACTGCGCAAGATATTCAAAGTTGGCCATGCTAGGATCAAGTAAATTCTCATCCAACCCAAACCCGTATGTCCCTACCATGTCGTATATCAGATCTGGAGGCGGGAAGCCTTGAGCCATTGCATTCGCACCACCAGGAACGCCGCTCCCTGGCCGTTCGCCCACGGCCCCTGCAACCCCTCCATTAGCTATATCCCAGGCATCAAAACGCTCCAACATCTTGCTCAAACCGCGAGCGATATGCCTAGTCAAGTGTCTCTCGCCTGCGGAGACACAGTTCAATAGATCAATTACCCGCTCCACCAGACTCCGCACTTGACCACTGTCCAGGCTTAAATATGCCGAGTTCCAGTTAACTGCCACCTTCAGAAGGAAGACAGCAGAAAAGGTAACCATAGTGTGTGTAAAAATAGGAACTCCAACAATTGCATCCCGAATATCTTGTTCCTCTAGAACCATGTTTAGACAGGCCATGGCAGATGAAATCGCAATATTGGCTGATTCCTTGCGGTCCATGGAAAAAACTGGGGTATTGGTTGGAGATAGGGCACGTAGGGAGAGGGAATTGAGCTGAAACTTGGCAAAGTGGTAGTGCAGAACTACTCCTTTCGAAGGATACGTTCGAACATAGGGACTATCGGCTATAGAAGAGCGGTTAGTTACTCCTTTTCTTTTCTTCTTCTTTTTTTGTTTTTTTTTTTTTGAAACAGGAAAAAAAGGAAAAGAGTGGGTTAGATTCCGGCTTACCAGATCGTGGTTGCCATAGAAGTCGCCACTGATCTATAGCAACATTGTAGACACGTAACTGGCCAAAGTCCTCCTCTGTCAAAGCTTGCTCCGTATCGCTTCCGAAGGTTCGATATGCCTCCGTCAAAATCATAAATAAAGCTACCTGCGCCAACAGTCGGATATCTCCAGGAACAACCATTGGTGACTGGAGGAAATTTTCGTAGTTCTTGATTGCCAAATCCTCGTGAATCACAGGTGGTCGACCGTAAGCTATACTGAAATGGTGATCACATACATAAAGTAAATACCATAATTGGGCTCTCTCGTATTGATCAGTGTGTCCGCGCATCATCTTTTGGTAGCTTTGGTGGAGGCCTAGCTCTGTGGCTATACGCACAGCATGGCCGGACAACTTCCAACTCAACTCAGACAACCAAAATGCCCCCACGCACAGCGCTCGAACATCGTCCAAAGTATGAGCTCGTGTCAATGACATGCTTGATACCAGCGCCACATACTCGCTATAACATCGGTTCAATGTCTCGGTTCGGTTGGGGATATGCAGCGCTGCCACGGTGAGAACCGCTGCCGCCAGTAGCGTCGAAGCCCGTCGCACTGAGGTGAGGTCGCGGTGTACGAGAATTATTCCACCCCATAGTAGTTGGTTCATTGTCCGGCTGAAATATGCGAAGAGCTCCTCAGCCTCCTGTAAAGATATAATGCCTCGAGAAATGAAGTCTTCTTCGAGGAGCGTCAACTTGGGTTGCTCAATATGATTGTGGCGCAGGTCGCGTAGCTTCGTCACCTCATAGAGACTCCGCATGGGGGCTGGCACCAGTTCTCGGTCCTGTAAATCCGGCTCCTGTGAGGGCTCTCGTGTCACCACAAGCCCCGGTCCATCGGGTTTCACATCCGGTGGTGAATCGTTTATCAAAGGGCGATTTGCGACATAATATGCAGGCGCAGCTGGAGACGGGCCACTGGGGATGTCACTAACTCCGTAGGTTGAGAGCTCTGGGAGCCCTCCTTGGCGAAGAAGATGCGACACGGCCTCTTGAAGTTGTTGAATCGTGGCTGATGCTTGCGATTTCCATCTGTGGTGTCGAACATCAGCAACAGGTCCATCACCAACCGACTACCGAGCCTCCAAGAAAGTCAAGGTTACTTACATCCCATCGTCATCAACAAACTTCTGCGAGAAGTCATTCACAACACACTTGATTCCGCTGCGAAGACATTTCGTGCAGCTTGCGTCGCCCGCTCTGAATTCGCACCGTATTTTGTGGCGTTTACACTCTGCACCTGTATCGCTTAATAATTTAGAAGCTGTCCGACTAGACAATATATTCTCCCCCTCTCTCAGAGCTAGTGAGCTCTATCTTGCCAAGTAGGGGACACTCACAGGCGCGGGCTTTGGATATTTTCGGCGGAGCGGGCCGGCCATCAGGCACAACTGAGTGACGACGGTCCTGGGGGCGGCCTTCGAGGCCAGCATCGAGGGAAGAGCGCTTCATGACTACAAAGATTGGGGAAGTCGGGGATTCTCCGGTACCATGCAGCGAGCACGAGCTCGCGGTTTGCGACAACCAAGATCGGCGACAACCAAGACGGTCGGTAATCCCCCGCGACTCGCTTATAATCCGGATCGGATATCAAGCAAGGTTCTCGGTGGCGGATAAGAAGCGTTCATGGACGCCAGGAGAGAGAGCAGGTGGAGGGAATCAGGAAAATTGGGCCAAGAATGTGGGAGCGACGAGAAACTGGGGGAGGAGAGGCAACCCCGCTAAGGTTGGCGGCACGACGCTCTTGACCACTTTAGTTTCATTCTTCTGCGCCTGTGTTGACAATTGCATGTTGCCGCCTCAGCAGCTTCGCGCCGCAGGAAAGGACATTTGAACAGTCGTCGTTGATTTAAAAACAATGGAATGCCGCATTCGAGAACGAAGCAAAGTACGTAGCTATGCCCAGTCGAAGGCTCTTTTGCCAGTGGTGGTGACTCCCGCCAGAAGTTAAACTGTCCTCCTCGCACTCCAAATTCAAGTCTCCCATCAGACGCGGTCTTTTTTCGCCGAAAATCTCATGCTGCATATCAGCTTTGCTTCTCCAATAATGATCAACTGGAGCAAATCCGGCACAAGTCCGGTCGCGGAGAACATCGGACTTGATGCGAATGTGGAGGGTCTGGAGGCAAACCGATCCCCACTATATTGATGGTGAACTGTGGGTTGTGACTTGCGAGCATTTTATCAAGGCCAATTCTCCCACAATGGGGCCAAGGTTACAAGAGAGTTGTGTATTATCGCCTGGGCGTGTACGTTCAAAATGCACATTCTCATTACAGGCGCTGCTGGCTTCATCGGCCAATTGCTTGCGAAAGAGCTTCTCAACGACCCTTCATATACTCTCATCCTGACCGACATCAACGAACCACCTGTCCCGGCCGAGGTCAAATATCCCCAAAATGCACGCACGATAACGGCGGACCTTCTCCAGGGAGCTGATGCAGTGGTGGAAAAATCTTTGGATGCTGTCTACGCGTTTCACGGCATCATGTCATCTGGGTCCGAAGCCAACTTCGATCTGGGCATGACCGTCAATGTCGATGCCACTCGCAATCTACTCGAAGCCCTTCGTGCAACTTGCCCTGGTGTCAAGGTGATATATTCTTCCAGCCAGGCCGTGTACGGTTTGCCACTTCCGGAAGTAGTGGATGATACAATAATCCCCACGCCTCAATCATCGTATGGTGCGGAAAAGGTCATTTGCGAAACACTTATCAATGAATACACGCGACGCGGCTTCATCACAGGTTTTACTCTCCGATTTCCTACTATCTCGGTTCGACCTGGCCGTCCCACCGCTGCCGCTTCCTCATTTCTCTCTGGGATGATCCGCGAGCCGCTCAACGGTGAGGAGTGCGTCATTCCTGTTGAAGATCGATCTTTCAAATCGTGGCTCTGTTCGCCTAAAACTCTCGTCCATAACCTCATACTCACTCTTTCATTACCCGCCAATTCTGTGCCGTCCCATATCCGCCAGATCAATGTTCCAGGGATCTGCGTCACTGTGCAAGAGATGATGGATGCATTGGCCAAGGTCGGAGGAGAAGGAAAACTGGCTCTGCTAAAGGAAAAGGAGGACCCTACACTCCGACCAATTCTAAACTCATGGCCAACACGCTTTGATAATTCCCAGGCAATCTCTTTGGGAATGAAGCGCGACACCTCGTTTGAGGAAGCAGTCAGGGATTACCATCTTTCAGTTACTCAATGATATCTCGGTTTCATAAATATATTATAGATCAAAGTCTACTTGATTCAGTCGATTATGTGATTCTGCATTTGTATATTGCATAGCATCATGGAATTGTCTTGTTAGAAAACAAAAGTTACGAATTGTATACTCAGTGAAGGGCGTTCATGCCTGATATTTAAGGCAATAATTATGGTATTATAAGCCACGTGACTTCGTGAATCATCAACTGGGGAATACGCGTCGGTCGCGACTCCCATGAAGCATCCAATCCCAATTCATGGGTGCACAGAGGCAGCCCAGAGCAAAGACTATGACATTCGCATTCTAAAGCCACCAATGTCGTCGTGGAAAACTGGAATGTATTGCGATGTTCCTGATAGTCTCGACCTTGTTTTGCGGAACCTAGCGACATTATGAACGACTCCGATTGCGCAAACCCCCTGCTCCTGGGATGGATCAAAGAAATAATGGACCAGGCCCGGGAGCGTAATAGTAAGGGATTCACGGTGTGCGTTTACCTTACGAAGCATGTCTTAATATAAAACAAACCAGCTAACATCCATCGAGGTACAAAAAGGCATACGAGTCGATCAAGGCTTGCCCCTTGGTCTTCCAGCACCCTTCCGAAGCTCAACAGCTCAATGGTATTGGCCCTAAGCTGTGTGATCGTCTCACAGATAAACTGAGGGATTATTGTAATGCGAACGGCCTACCCATGCCTGAGGACCCACGTACTGGTGAGTCTTATCAAGACTTTTCTCTACGTTCTAGATTAACAATGTAAATAGTGGCAAAAAGCAAAAGAAAATCGTCTGACGGCACCACCGAAAGTCAACCAGCGAAGAGGACACGGAAGCCGAAGACCTATGCGCCCGCTTTACGATCTGGTCCTTATGCTTTACTCCTTACTCTCGGTAGTCTCGATGAGAATTCGAATCAGAGCATGACCAAGGCACAGTTGATTGAAGAAGCTCAGCCGCTTTGTGATAGCTCTTTCAGTGTGCCTTCAGATCCGTCGAAACATTTTACCGCTTGGAACTCCATGAAAACTTTACTCCAGAAGGAGCTCGTTTACACTCAAGGACATCCGTTGAAGAAGTATTCTCTAACTGAGGAGGGATGGGAGGTTGCCAAAGCCATGAAGAAGACAGCCAAGAAGTCAAACCAAAACACACTGCAATATGGTGTGAATCCAACCGCAAATAACGATAGTGACTCCCAAAGAGAGAATCTTGCAAGTCGCAGAGATTTCGAGAACCTGGTTGGCCGAGAGCCCCAAAGCACAACGCGACATATCACAGGTGGAGATATCACAGATGACTCAACGGCCACACCAATTGCCATCCCGCCAGGCAGTTTCACTGTCGAGTTAATCCTTGACACTCGAGAGGTCCGGACATCCAAAGACAGGGACTACATCTCCAATGAGCTCATCAAGAAGGGCATTTACCCCGAAGTCCGCGCACTCGAAGTTGGCGACACAATGTGGGTAGCAAAGTTTCACGACCCGACATTTCTCTCGAAGTACGGCGAGGAAGGCAATGAGATAATGCTTGATTGGATAGTCGAGCGTAAACGCCTAGACGATCTAATTGCCTCTATCAAAGACGGCAGATTTCATGAACAAAAATTCCGCCTCCGCCGATCTGGTGTCAAAAACGTCATCTATCTCATTGAGGAGTTCACTGTCATTCATGAGGGTAATGCCGCAACGGCAACGAAATACAACGATATGGTAGCCTCGGCTGTTGCTCAAACACAAGTTGTGAATGGCTACTTTGTCAAACGAACAAAGAACCTCGACGACACTATCCGCTACCTCGCTCGCATGACATTCCTTCTCCGCAATATGTACAACGCCAACTCTCCATCACCATCCTCCCCCCCATCTCAGGCCCAACACCAGTCCTCAGCAACTCCACCCCACATGCTCTCCCTCCTTCCAACTCGTCATTTCTCCCTATCAAACTCCTACACTGAGACTCTCGCTGACCTTCGCACCCAAAACCCCAACGTAACATATGGCTTGACGTTTCCCACATTCTGTGCCATTGCATCAAAGTCTGAAGCCCTTACACTCCGCGACATATTCCTCAAGATGCTCATGTGTACCAAAGGTGTCAGCGGTGACAAGGCACTAGAGATTCAGCGCCAATGGCCGACTCCTCAGGCTTTTGTCCGGGCATTCGAGGAGCTTGATCCAAAAGATAGAGAGACGATGGTTTCCGATCGCATGTCACATTTGATGGTGGGGAGAAAGAAGATTGCGAAGATCTTGAGTAAAAAGATTGCAGAAGTTTGGGGTGGGGTGTGATAACCTTGATAGGCCCTAATGTGATGACGTCTTCAAAGTAAATGATCATCAATCCTAATATAAATTCGTATAACGGCGTTAACCAATTAAGTATTTGGGTATAAAATAAATAACAGATGTCATCGCCATAAATCCATATATCATAAAACACCTGAATGCATCAGAAACTGATTGGCTCAATAGCACTTAATTCCCACGCCCCAACTTAGCTTTGAACCATTTCAAAGTTTTAACAAAGGATTTCTTCTCAACCGCCAAAGCCAAGCTACTGCAGACCACCGAAATACTACTCAGAGCCATCGCGAGCGCCGCCCAAACAGGGCTGAGTCGCCAGTGCGAGTCAACGATAACCATATCGTCTCCGACCATCTTCATCTTGTGTCCACTGACGATAGGATAGAAGACTCCAGCTGCAACAGGCACAAGGCAGAGGTTATAGACAACCGCCCATCCAAAGTTCATTTTAATGCGATTGATAACACGACGGCTGAGCAGTGCGAGCTGGAGAATCGTGTCGAGCTCCGAGTTTAGGAGGATGAAACTTGCTGAGTTAATGGCTACATCGGACCCCGACGCCATGGCAATGCTCACATCCGCCGCGGTGAGCGCGGGGGAGTCGTTTACTCCGTCTCCAACGAAGGCGACAATTGGTCGGGATTGGGAAGCCATGTCTTTTTGCTTGTAGGGGCTTGTGAGGCTTTCTTCTAGTGCAGCGTGTTGTCCAGTTTGTACTTGACGGATGAAATCGGCTTTACCAGCTGGTAGAGTGTTAGCAAGCACGTTGGTTCGAGGGATTCCTATCATGTCGGCAACGGCATGGGCGGTGGTCTCGTTATCGCCCGTGCACATGAAAACGTTTATCTTGCGTTGTTTTAAATTCGAAACAACATGTTCTGCATCCGGTCGAATTGTATCTGAGATTGCGAAGACGATCGCAGGGACGTAGTGGGTTTCCGTTGGAGATTGGGAATCAGTATCGGCGGTGTTTATCTCTCGCAGCGATAAAATGGCGGTTGACCTGCCAGTTGCCTGGTACTTAGAAAGGATGTTAAAGAGGTAGTAGTGCTCCTGATCGGGGAGGGAAAGGCTCTGGTATAGACGCTGGTTGCCGATGGAAGCCTCGAATCGGCGGGTTGTCTCCGTTTTGTCACTCGAATCTGAAACCGACACGGTAAATCTGCCCTGCATTCCCTGCCCCAACTTTTCTTCTATTTCGGCACTGGTAATCGATACTGCGGGCTGCGTTTCACAGAAATCGGCTATAGCCCGGGCAATGGGGTGGTTGCTGCTTTCTTCAAGTTTTCGTGCAACGGCCCAGGCAACCTGCAGCTGACTGGGGTCGGTGATTAATGCTTCATGATCAGACACTTGAAGACTCCCTCCTTCAGTTAGAGTGCCAGTCTTGTCGAAGACAATTGCGTTAAGGCGACTGGCCTCTTGGAATGCTTCACCTCCACCTTTGACCAGGATACCATATCGTGCAGCGAGACCTCCTCCAACAAAAAGCGCAGTTGGAGCAGCAAGTGCGAGACCACAGGGACATGCGACAACAAATACAGCAATGGCAAATTCAAGACTCCAAAACGGCCAACCACCACGGTTCACGTCAAGGTAGCCCGCCGGCAATGTTCCAGAGACACCGAGGGAAACCCAAATCACGAACGTCAGGACAGCAATGAGCGTAATGACAGGTACGAAGTGAGAAACGAGCATATCCGCTACACGTTCAAGCGGCGCGCGTTTACTATGACCTTCGCGCACCACGGCAATAATTTGATCGAGCATCGATGATCCACCAATGGCGGTGATCTCGAACTCAACCGGTTGTCCGATGTTCACAGAACCAGTATGAACTTGATCTCCAGCAGATTTTTTCACTGGCTTTGATTCTCCCGTCAGTGAACTCTCATCGAATTGATATGATCCCGTTCCTGTAATCCTACCATCCGCCGGGGGTGAGGCACCATGCGGAACTCGGACCACGTCGCCGACGTCCAGCAAGTCGATATTGACTCGCTGGACCTGATCCGAGTCGGACGGGTGAGAGGTATTCATCACGAGCAAAGCCTCGGAAGGGCGCAATTTCCCAAGGGATGCAACTGCATCACCAGCCCGGCCCTTACTATATGCCTCCATATATCGACCGGCAAGGATGAACAAGGTCAAAAAGACCACAGTGTCGAAATAGTTCGAGCTATGCATATCAGGCTTGACTTCAGTCACGGCATCCATAATTAGGATAGCCAACGAGGAAACATAGGCTACCAATGTTCCCGCAGAGATTAAGAGATTCATGCTGCCGAACCGATAGAATCTTCGAAAGAAGGGCACGCGGCTTCCAGGACGCCACAAAGAAATTATCTCCTTGGCTGCACGCACGTGGAAGACGTCTGTTCCGTAGAACATGACTGGTGTTGTCATTATGAAGAGGGCCCATTCCATGCGAGATACGCTCCCCGACCACATTGGCTGCTCTAAATATCGTCGGACATGGTTTTCAGCTGAAACCAGGCTCATGAAGACGATGCCTATTATGAATTCGGGAATAGCCACTGCCAAAACAAATAAAAAGCGAGATAGTAAACGACTTTTTTCGCGGCGCTGCATTTCTCGAGATCTATCCTCGACACTTGGCGGGCGATAAACTGTGGCTTTAAATTCATTGTGGGCATCCTCAATCTTCTGGCGTATAGACCTCACTGTGAGTAAGGGGGAGTGGGGGGTGTAAGTTATCTTCAGAATCGGATTTTTAACGGATAGAGTGTCATCAAATTCAATACCGGACATCTCCTTCATCGAATTGTAGACCTTGTCAGGGCAGTGATGGCAGAACATGCCCTCAATACGGAAAGATACCGTCCTTCTTTCCGCCGCAGTCTCACAGTCAGCGGCTTTTGGAAGGATGCTGACCAGTGAGGCATCGTACCCCAAGTCTTCGATTTTTTCGATGATCAAAGGTGCATGATCCTGATTATCTAGTTCGACTTTAGCACTATGAGACATCAGGTTCACCACGGCATCAACCACGAATGGCAGCTCATTTAAGCCTTGAGTGATAGCCCCGGAGCAAGAGCCACATGTCATACCACCAACCGAAATTTCTGCAATGTAGCTTTGGTTCTGCTTCTGCGGCGTCTCGGCGTCAATAGGATTGACCTCGTCCAGCGAGGCTTCAAATCCGATGTCTTCAATGTGCTCGACTATCTCGTCAACCTTCGACCGGGGCCCCTGGTAGACCACAGTTGCACTGTTCGAAAGAAGAGTGACGGTTATCTCATTGACGAAGTCAAGTTGGCGGATTTCGTTTGTGATGGAATTAGAGCATGAGGCACAACTCATCCCCTCGATGCTTATGCGGGCGTGGAACTTCCCTACCTGCTCTGCCGAATGTTCTAGACTCAGTACCGATTCACCCCCAGTTTCTAAATCTTGAGGCCTTAGGAGAGGGTGAGATTTCTCATCCTGGCGCGCAAGGGACTGTTCCAGTTCTTCTTTCTTGCAGGCATCGCAGTTGGCGAGATGTTCTCCCTTGTCTTTCCAGTTTGTGAACGAAGGGCTGGGAATGAAAATGTTCGAATTGCGAGACAACCGTGATTCTATATCAAGGTCGGAGAGAACGACGCCTGCTGGATCTCTAGTCGTAACATGGTGTACTTCAAATGCGGCATGAGCTAAGATCCGAGCTATGGAGGAGGGGCTTGTTTCCGGAGTATGGACAACAAACACCTCGTGGGTGAAAATAGAGACATCGATATCGAGTATGCCAGTGGTACCCGACAAGACCTGGTTGATATAGGCGACGCAGGAGGAGCAGTGCACATTACTAACGAAGAATGCACTGCGGTTCTCTGATCTCTCAATAGTTTGCGCCATCGTGGGTGGCGACTTGCGTTGAGGACGTGCTCAGACCGGGAACACTGAAGAGCTGAGGTATAGGGAGTGGCGCCAACGCAACTGTAAGGTAATGGAGGGAAGCGTGTGTTATTCGCGATTTCTTTCCTTCCGTTTCAAGCGCTTCCAGCCTTGTCGGCAGCAAACAGCAAGGGGTATTGAAGAAAAAACACAGGGAACAGCGATCTGGAACTGGGGTGGAAACGTCTTTTAAATACCAATCTAGATTACTGCCAATTTTACTACGTATACTCAATGGATAATGCGCGAATGGACTGGAATGCGGGTTTTGTGCGGGTGATCCGGAAACAATGGTGGGTGAGGCTAAAACGCGCACAATTCGCGCAGACCCAGCAGACCACAGAGAGTCGAACCGCCACCAGACACGAAAAGCCAAAGTATACGGGTACTTCACAAAGGCATGCTGCAGAGTGGCAGCCAGTAGGATCATCGGATGATGATCAAAGTTCTTCCTTCATTCACGGATTCAAAGGCTGGTGACCCGCCTGGAAACTGGCAACCGTAAATTTAAAGCGGAAGGTGAGGATCGAACGGGCGATATTGCGGCCGCACCCACGTGATCCGCCCACTCAACCACCGACAGAATTTTCCATCCGCCGCGTCCGATCGCAGCTCGCGCCGCACTCACTCCTGCTCTCCTCAGTGCTCCTCCGTCCTCATCCATCGCTCCCTCTCCGATACATATCGAAAAGACATCTCATTCGCTGAGTCTTCCAAATAACGGTCTCTCTTTGTTCCTGTCTCATACTGCCATCGATCCAGTACCAGCAAAGACGCCCCTCGAGCTAATACCCGCCGGTGGGGTGTTGGAAAAAGATTACCTGCTTATCTAATCGGCTACGCGACTCGAGTCTTATAGATCCCCAGCTCATTCGGCCGTGGATATAGTCCCAGTTGCGCTCGACGGATTATCGACACACAATGACGATATAACGAAGTTGCTATTCTTGTGAAATATATTTCTCGATGCAGCAGCCTCCCACAGAGAAGATCAGGTCTCCTATATTATACTAACACGCTATACCCTATTATCATTATCATCACCATGTCTGCGAGACCCGGAATTCGTCAGCCCATCCCCCCGAGAACCGGCCCTAAACCGCCTGTTGGCCGTTTGGCCAGTCTCAAATCTCCCGGTGCAACTGCCATTAAACGTCCCCAACCAGTTGCACGTCCTCAACCGGCTCGGCCAACCACCCACCCCAAAACTACAACGTGCCCTAACCCGAGCTGTCCTGCCCCTCACATCATTGAGGATGATGGCCAGAAGGTTTGTTCCGGGTGTGGTACTGTTGTCAGTGAAGCAAACATCGTTTCTGAAGTTACTTTCGGTGAATCCGCCTCTGGTGCCGCTATCGTTCAAGGATCATTTGTCGGGGAAGATCAAACCCACGTACGCAGTTATGGCCCTGGGTTCCAGAGGGGCGGTACTATGGAAAGTAGAGAGATTACGGAGCAAAATGGTGCGTGATGAATCCTGCACATTCAAATCTGAACCGCATAGATTAACAGACAACAGGAAATCGTTATATAAACCAACTAGCGCGCGCTTTAACTATCCCAGAGAGTGCTTCCAAGGCTGCAGGACAGGTCTTCAAACTCGCTGTGGGTCTTAATTTTATCCAAGGACGTCGAACTAAGACGGTGGCTGCCGTGTGTCTCTACATCGCCTGCCGGCGGCAAGACGGCAACACTGTGATGTTGATTGATTTTGCAGATGTTCTTATGGTAAGCACCCTTCTTGAGTACAAAAATAACCTTATCGCTAACTATTTCTCAGATCAACGTCTTCAAGTTAGGTCGTACATATAAGGCGCTCTTGGACGAACTCCGACTGGGCGGTAACGTTTTTTTGATGAACCCTATCGACCCGGAGAGTTTGATCTACAGATTTGCCAAACAGCTTGAATTCGGACCTTCTACCATGCAGGTGGCCAGTGACGCTGTGCGCATTGTGCAACGCATGAACCGCGACTGGATGACGACAGGTCGACGTCCCGCAGGCATCTGTGGAGCCGCCTTGATCCTCGCAGCTCGAATGAATAACTTTCGCCGCACTGTCCGCGAGGTAGTCTATGTTGTTAAAGTCACCGAAATCACCATCAGCCAGCGTCTAAATGAGTTCAGCTCTACGGAGAGTGGAGAACTAACCGTCGATCAATTCCGATCTGTGCAATTAGAAAACGCCCACGATCCACCCTCGTTTGCTCGGGCAAGGGAGGGAAGAAAGCCTGTCCGGAGCATTAAGACGAAGGCGGCAGAAACAGCGGCAGAAATTGAAGAAGATGCAGAAGAACCGGAAAGTACTCAACCACGACGTGTTGATGCCGATGGTTTTGTGATTCCAAGCCTACCCATCGATCCAGCGTTGATACAAGTGGACAAAGACAGCCAGCAGCCGTCATCGCCACCCACTGCCCCCGGAGAACGAGACCTTACAGCAGATCACGCCAAAGGAAATGGCCGTCCGAAGCTACCCTCGCCATCACCTGAACAATTAGCTTCTGAAGAAGCTCTAGAAACTGAAATGTCTGAATATTTGGCCAACGGTTCGAAAATGGTTGAAAGTATCGAAGGCGGAGCAGCTCCGCCAAAGAAACTCGTCTCAGATAGTCCCGAAATTGATGAGACTGAGTTTGAATCAGACCCCGAGGTTTCTAACTGCCTCCTATCCGCGCCTGAAGTCGAAATCAAGGAGCGCATTTGGGTCCATGAGAATAAGGAGTACCTACGTACACAGCAGGCCAAGGCCCTGAAGAGGGCTCTGGCAGAGGCTGATAGTCAGCCCGGTGACCGGAAGCCACGGAAGCGTCGCAAAGGCAGGTTGGGAGATGTACGGTATCTCGAAGGCGAAGAAGACGGAGATGGGAGAAGCACACGAGCATCAACACCTGCAGAAGCTACGCGTCGGATGCTGGAACGAAGGGGCTTCAGTAAGAAGATTAACTACCGTCTCCTCGAGACATTATTTGGCGATGAGGAGGACGACGGCGCTAAGGAGAGTGAGAACGACGGCCGTAGCCGCAGCCAGAGCGTTGCTTCCAGACGCAGCGCCAGTATCGACACTGAGGCAAGCGCTAAGCGCCCAAGGTTTCTGGGGGGTCCTACCACACCCACGAAGGCCGTTAGAGACTCTCTTTCGGCCGCAGCTCCCAAAGCTGGCCCTGCTGAAGAGCCAAAACAGCGCGTGGTTCCGGCCGCAAAGGTTGATAATAAGCTTCCCACGAATTCCACGGAAAATATCTCGGGCTCAGCGCCAACGGATCCAGGAGCCGTTGACCCAGATGACGAAGCTGATGACTACGACGAGGACGAGGGTGATGAAGATGATGGCGTCGATGCCGCGTTCTCCGGCCACTACGGAGATTACTATGACGATAGCAGTGATTACGGTAGCGACTAAGGTATTTGACTTAGATAAGCCCAAGACAGCCCATGATACTGAGAATAGATCACGTCAAGCTGATCCATCGTCCTTATACTCGAATTAGCCTAATATGGACCACCTAGAATTTATATCCCTTGACAGACAGCAAAACCAAAGCGCTGCTGTCACGCCTCCCCAAACCTAGTTTCGTACTTGATCAGCAGTTCTCGGATCGCGGTTGCCACTCCCACCAGCTAAGGGGCTAATCTCAACTTGGATATTGCTATGTCTCTCAGCTCTCGCCCACATATATCCTGATACCATGCCATGATTCACCTGGAAAATATGATAGCAACGGTTCTCGTGGGGCCCCAAGGCAAGGGGCAACTTTTACTATACCATATTCTGGGAAGCCTATACTACGGCCAGTTTGCTGCTGAGTGATTTATGGGAAGGCTCTCGGATCGTGTGAAGCATGGTTGAAGTTGAGCCTCCGCTGAGGACTTGCACTATCGAAAAATCTGAGCTTTTTTCGGTCTCTCTTCTCTAGGAAGAAGCTCATCAAAGTTTAAGATCTCGTACTTCAGCGGTCCCACAGCTCACTCCATGTTGGGCCTTAGGAGGAATGTGCAAGGATGGCGTCCCACTATACAGAATGCAAAAACAGGGCCGTGAGCCCGTGAGCCCGTCCAAACCCTGGCAGTATCGGCTGACTCTGCCTCCTGGCTTCGCGTCCTTGGCCAATGTAGTATTCCTTCCCGGGTTACCCGCGGAGGCTGGTATGAAGGACAACCTCAGTTAGAAAGAGCAGGTATATTGTTTCTCCGCCGCTGACGAACGTTAATATGGAAGGCAAGTTCCATGCTCAATTGCAGTATACGCTGCAGCTCCTCGGTTCGATCTTTGCTGCAGAAGGCTCTATGATTGCTTTTTAAATCAGCAATCCGGGAGCTGTGCATATATTATCTTCCCTTTTTTTCCCCCCTATCCTGATTTACCACCAGCGGGAGCTTTCGAGTACTGGTTCCTCAATACAGCCTACCTGCCCGATATTCATCACCAAAAATTATGGTGAAGCTTGAGATGTACGGCAGGGGGCTAAGCCTACGGATGGCTATTCTGTCTACCTGCTTCATCTCATTCATCCTGTTTGGTAGGGGACCAACTCCCAAGGTTATTTGAGAGATACTGCAAGCTAACATGATTTTTGCGCCCTCGTTTAGGTTACAACCAAGGGGCCCCCGCGGGCATCATTGGGAATGAGAACTTTCTCAGAGTCGTGGATCATCCTGGGTCCGCAGTCCTGGGGTTTATAGTCGGCATATACAACATAGGCTGCTTGGTGGGCACAGCTGTGGCCTTTTTGACAAGTGACCGTCTTGGTTTCCGCAAGTCCATGTGGGTGGCAATGGGAATCTTGACAGTGAGTCAGCGTCTTCTTTTCTTATCTGGAACAGTGAGAGGTATTTTCTAACTTTGGCTCAGGTTGGGGCTTTCCCCCAAGCATTCGCATATTCCAGGGCCCAAGTGCTCGCGTTTCGATTCGTCAGCGGAATTGGGACTGGAATCATGTCTTCGATAGTACCCGTTTACCAGTCCGAGCTTTGCGAGGCGCGGAATCGAGGAATGTACGTGTGCAGCCAACCTCTTGCCGTTGGTGTTGGCATCTCGGCTGCCTACTGGTTCGATTACGGAATGAGCTTTGCCCCTGGATCAATCAGTTGGAGGCTGCCGATAGCTTTCCAGGTGCTCTTTACGATAATTGTGATGATTCTTCTCGTGGGGTGAGCTTAATTATCGCATTCCGGTCAGGGGTTGGATCCCGGCTAACAGCCTGACTCAAAGACTACCAGAAAGCCCCCGATGGTTGTGCAGGAGAGGCCTGAATGACGAGGCCGTGCGTGTCCTATGTGACTTCTATGATAGGCCAAAAAATGATCCCAAGGTCGTCAATGATGCGGAAGGGATCTTTAGAGCCATTGAACTTGACAGTCTCCGGGGCGAATACAAGTGGTCCCAACTACTGAAAAAGGATGAGATACAAACTGGCCGCCGAGTCCTACTGGCCTATGGACTACAGTTTATTAATCAGATGGGAGGTGTCAACATGATTGTTGTGAGTAGCTATGCTTTTCCACAATTTGAACAAAGCTTCATGTCTAACAAACACGCGATAGTCCTATGTCACACAAGGTACATCAACCCCGGCTTCACGACCTCTGGGCCCTCACTAACAAGCCACTAGTGTTGGAAGTTAATGTGGGTTTGGATCCGAAAACGAGCCTACTGCTAGGGGGAGTTATCCAGATCATGTTTGTCATTGGTAAGCCCTACCTACTCGCCTCATCCAGCTATGTTATCCCCCAGCTCTTTGCTAAGCGGAAGAATTCACCTACGACTAGGCTCTTTTTATCCGACTTTCTACTCTGACCGGCTGGGCCGGAAGAAGCCAATGATGTGGGGATCTTTCGGTCTTTTCATCTGCATGATGATGATCTCCATTCTTCTCTCCTTCAAAGGTTAGTACTCAACCTTATCGTGGAACCCGCCAGAACAGCCAAGCCCTAACTTTTCTGTTATCAAGGAACTGCTGAGGAAAAAGAAGCCGGCAGCGCATCGGTGGCATTCTTTTTCCTATTCATGCTCATCTTCGGAGCATCCACAAACTGCGTGCCATGGGTATACGGCCCAGAGCTCTTACCCATGCACGTCCGGACGAAAGGGTAAGCGTGCAAGCAAGACGTGCTTTGTCCCTCCACGTCTCCTCCCCATCCATCCCACATTCCGGAGCCTCAACCCCAGCCCCTTGCAAAGACGCAGCATGACACTCAGCGACCCGGCCACTGCTACGGAATACGGATTTAGGAAAGAAGCTAACTTTTAAAAGAAATGCCATCGGAATCTCGGCAAACTGGCTGTGGAATTTCTTCGTCGCCATGATCGGTCCCACCCTGATCACCGATCTCCAGTGGAAGGGATATCTGATTTTCATGTTTATGAATTTGACTTTTCTCCCGGTACGTTTTGTCCTCTCTTCTCACCACCTACACCTATACCTACCACCACCTATAATGTTGGTTAGGTCATACATACATACCCCGACCACCAGGGAATATCCCATCCCATTTCATCTCACAACCGACCGCAAACCCCAGCTGAATCTAAGCGAAGCTGACGAATATACCCTGAGTAATGCAGATCCTCTACTTTTACTACCCAGAAACCGCAAATCTGAGCCTCGAGGAAATCGACTCGCTCTTCATGGTCAAGGGTAAGGCCTCACATGACCACAGCCATGGCTCAAGCAGCGGCTCATCTTCGGAAAAAATAATCACCACTTCCTCGACACAAGCTTGGGAGAGTGAGAGGAGCGGTATTCCGCTGTCTCCTCTGTAACCTGCTACCTACCCTACTACCTGCGCAAGGCCATGGGTAGAGAAACTAGGTACTAAAAGTAAAGGCGATGACCCCACTGCCGTGGTATCTAGGGAAGTGAGGGAAAATAGCATTTCCAGGTGGGTTGGATTAACCCTTTCTTTTGAAAAACAGGAGTAGTTTACGCTATGTGTTCATTGGGTTTCGTCTCACGAATACGCGCAATGGAGGACTTGTTGGTGAAGGGGAGGGTTGGGTAGGTAAATTGTAGCTGGGGCTTGGGGTTGAGATCGCAGTGTATCAGTAGTTTAGGGTTATTAGTTAGCTCATGGAGAAATTCATCTCTATAGAGGAATAAATTTGAGGTGAATGGGCGAGTTTGTACTGGCCATAGCCAATATGTGGTGTTCTACCAACGGCGTCTTACATACAGCCTTCCCTAGACTTGGGTGCATTAGCCCTACAAGCCCAGTTAATCCACCTGGACAAGTTTGCATGCTCCCAAATCTACATTGAAGTTTCAAAAGCGTTAAAATAGAAATCCAATGACAGCTCAATTTTTTTCTTTCTTATTCATAATTTCTTTTCTTTCATGTATGCATAGCTGCGTTCGCGCTGCTTACTCATGGAAGTCATGGAAGCAGGACTGCTGAAAAAAATAGCAAGGCGCTCCTATACCAGCCCACTAAGTGCCAGCAATATCGAAAAGAAAGAAAAGGGATAAAACAGAATCGTAAAAAAAAAGAAAAGAGGAAACAGAGAGCAAATAGAAGAGAACCCATCCCCGAACCCACCACCGAACCGAACCGTGTCCTACTTACGCCAAAAGCAAACCCAGGAAGGAAATCACAAACAGGAAGAAGCATGAAAAAAGGCAGGGGAAAGAAAAGTAAAAAAGAAAAGAAAAGAAAAGAAATCCACAAACATTTTGTCGATATCTTTCGAAAGAAAAAATATTACGAGAGCGAAAACAAAACGACGACGATACTGCCAAATGGTGAGATCAGTAGATGCAATACGTGGCAAAAACGAGCCGGAAATCGTCTGACGAGTTGGCGGACCGCATGACGTTTAAAGATTTCGAGAACTCGCATTTCGTTTAAATTTGGCGCGATATGTTAAGGTGTTTCGTTAATGGCGAGCGACATATTGGACTGACTGTTTGAAGGAGGATGAATGGCGTTTACATGTCAATGTCCATTCCCGTTCCCTGGACCATGCCATCATTCGATCCAACACCAGCATTTGAGGGCTGGGAAGTGAGGGTTTGGAGAAGAGGAAGTCCCGTTTCGACGGGGTTTACGCCCAAGACATTCTGGCCACAGCTGGACGGCCGGTCGGAGGCGTTGAGAATCTCTGTGCCCTCGAATAAGACAGGCGACGTTTGAAGGTTTCGGAGGGAAGCCTCCCAAGATGAAGCCACAAGTTGACCTTGAGTCAGGTCATCATTGAAAAGATAAAAGGCAGGCATTTGGGCGGGTCCTGCAAAAGGGATCATTGGTCGAGCAGAAACAAGGTAAGCGTTGAGAGCGCGGTTCTTCATGAGGATCTCGGCATCGGCGAGGTACTGAGAGAATTGGCGGTCGATGCACTTCTTCCATCCACGGATGGCAGCAGCCATGTCGGCATCGTCGGCTTGAACACGTTGCCAACTAATCCCAAGAAGTCGGGTGGCATCGTCAACCAACGGTTCTTCGGATGAAAAAGGGTTCGAGCGAGCAGAGGAGGCATTGAGAATACGGCGGTTCTCGTCACTGTCGTTATCTTGAAGTTGTTTTTGGATTCGAGAGGAAGCGATGTCGTCAAGGCTAGGGGCTGAGGGATCGAGACGTTGTGACTTGCGGCTCGCTTGAGACGACGCGTGATTTTGAGACGCAGTAGGTGGCGGAGCGGTCATAGCATTCTCAAGAGCCTCCTCGTACCAAGTCCCTGTTTGACTTTCTGCAGACAGTGCCATCCCGGTGCGAGGGTTGAGCAGAGTCATGCCTTCTCCATAGATTGGCTCCTCCTCGGGAGGAGGCGGCGGCGGGATCGAGACTTTTGGAGCACGCTCGCTAGGAGATTCTTCGGCCGTGACATCATCACGCGATCTCTTTCGAGACGGCTTGCTACCGGCGGTAAGGCCTGAAGAGGTCGAAGGCCCAAAGGTGTTCATCTGGTTCACCCCAGATGAGAAACCATTTGTAAATGGGGGTCGAGAACTGACGCCAGGAGATGGTCCCGGCTCCCGCTGATGAGGGAATTGAAGGAAGGCATGGTCCTGAGGAGGAGATAGGATCATTGTTGGGCCGTCTCGAAGGGAACTGACAAGCATTGGACACATGGTGGAGGCAAATCGTCGAAGGGAGGATTGGGGCGCGGTCAGCTATTGAGAGATGCGACACGCACGTGAGGTATCCGATCTGTGTAGTCAAGTGAGCTAGACAAGAAGTTAGAAGCACCTAAAAGTTGTATGATGTCGGCCAGGCGGATGTGACGGCCGAAGGTCGACAGTAAGGCAGGTGGTGGAGAGAGACAATGAGGTAACGTGAGGTTGGACGAGGCAAGGCAGGTGGGAAGTATAGATAGAAGGAGGAAAGAAAGGGCGTGCAAGAGGGCAAGGAGAGAATAAGGCGAGAGAGGGAAGTAAGATGAAGAGATCAGTCTCGTGAGGAGCGAGAGTGAGGAGAAGGGAAGAGGAAGAGGTTGACGGATGCGGACGAGACTTCAAGACAATTGACGGCCGTCCACTGGCGCGGAGCTTCATGCGATTTGGTGATTTCACGGATGAGCTGCAGAAGCGCAGATGCGCCGGCTGGTGCGGAGTGCAGCTTTTCGCCGTCTCATTACCGAATATTACCGAGCCCAGCCCTCGCAATTTGCCGTTTCCCCTGCAACCTTCTCGCCCGCATACCATACCATACCGTATCATTTGCAGCCCCACAGGCTCAGATCGCCCTGCAAGGACTGTCGGGTGATTGGCTTTTCGAGACGGGGCTGCATCTCATATTGAAGTTTAATTGGTTTAGGGTAAAAGCCCGGTCCGCGCGTCGTTCCACACTGGAGCTCCTTGGAGTGCCACCGCCGCGTCTGATTGGGTTATCCGACAATAAAAAGTCGGAAGGCTTCCCCAACAGCTCATTGGTTGTTGGCTGAGTTGCCCCATTTATGCAAGTCAGCCGTGAGCATGCCTGAGGCAAAACTATTTGCCAAGAATTTGGGAGGCTGGAAGACGCAATCTTGGAAGCTGGCAGGACTGGAAACTGCGGGAAGACTGGAGCGAAACGAAACAGTCAATGACTCTATTCTGCTGGTACATAAGCTAGTGACTAATAAGAATAATCAAGTAGTATGGAGGACTGCCAGATGATGAAAGCAATATCTGACACCAGAACCTCGTGCTAGTTAACATGACAAATGTTCATTGAGCCAAATCAGACAAGACAATAACCCCTTCGGATTCGACCGCATAACCAAGTTTAGTAAAATGTGGTACAAAGTGAAAAGTTAAAAGAAATGAGAAGTCCCGTCTGGAGCCTGGTGTTCAGTCACGTCACACATCAGGAGGGCGATGGGCGTTTCCTAGGTACAAGCTGCATTCCCCGCATGAGGCCGTACCTGAGGCCGCTCCGGTTTCGCTTCAGCCGAGGGCATTAAGATCGAAGTAGAAAAAGGCCTTGGGAGTCTATGGAGGCCACTGAAACGAAGAAATAAAGGGTTCAAATAATATAGGAAAATTTTGTCGTTCAACATCTCAACTTCACCGAAGCATACACACACCACGAATTCGTGTTTGATTTGACGTTTCCCGGTTGGAACACAAGAACACAAATTCAATATCCCCTTGGGAACTGTGTTTTAGATATTCAGCCTAGGTTTTTAAGCGTTACCGGCAGTGGCTCCGCCAAGGACGCCCTTGACATTGGCCACAGACTCGGGGGCGTAGCTGGGTGCCATGTATCCGACAAACAGGAAGAAAACCAGGAGAGCAGCACCGATGATCACAAATCGGCGCTGGGCAGGGTGGGTGGCACCATACTCAGCCCAAGCACGGCCAGTCTGGCTGGTGTATTCCTTGATCTTGTCTGCACCAAGCTTGTAGTAAACCAGACCGATGAGAGAAATGGAGTATCCGAAGAACTGAAGGGCAGTAACGGGAGTGCTCCAGATCATCATCGAGGCGGCAACAAGGAGAATATCCTTCAGAACACCGCAGAGGGTCATGACCAAGGAAGATGTCTTTCCGATCTATAATTGATTGTTAGTGTAACTGTATTAAGGCCGCTGGGGTCGCCAAATTCCCGTACCAAGAAAACGACGGAAACGTTTAACAAGAACGCAACCACGGCGTTCGCCAAAAGAGTCCAAACTCCAACGTTGTAGATGTGGCCCATGGTGAGTGTAGGGACCTCAAGGAAGAGAGCAGTAACACCGTTCATCACAGCACAGACGGGAGCAAAGTAGTAAAGAGAGACAAGAGGGTCCATCTTGTACTCGGCGGAGCTGAGAAGGCGCTGCACCATAACCAGACGGGTGGCCTCGAAGACGATACCGGCAATCTGGAAGAGGAAACCAATGAAAACGAACTTGATTTCACCGAACGAAGCAATGACAACACCAATAACGATGACAGCCACGTTGGTGAGAACCTTGAGGTTGACAGGAGCCATTCCCATGCCCCAAGTCGCAAGCAAAACAGCCACCGGGGTGGTCGCCTAGAGTATTAATAAGTACGTTGTATCTCATCCAAATTCGATCGTCCGATCATACCTTGAGCATTTGAATAAACGCAACAGAGAGATAGAGGTATGTGACGTTGCCACAAATCAAACTCAAACTGAAGAAGAGACCGATAGGAACAATAGCACGGAGGTATACACGGCCAGTCATCTTGACGGTCTTTCGGCCATCAAGGAGGGTAGTGGTGCGAGCGAGAACCTGGGTCATGAAGGTCGCGAAAGCCAAGTGCCATGTTGTAAGAATGATGGGGAATCCTGAAAACCAAGGCCAAAGCCCGTTAGAGGTGTTCTTTGCATATAATA